GTCTTGCATACTGTAAGATGGTTGCAAGACCAAAAGTTTCTAAAGTATCCTTCTCTTTTATTTGCCTTTCTTATCTTTACTTGCTGTTTCCTATATAAGAAACAGCTTTCCTCAGTCTCTTCACTTTCTTTCTTTAGCTTAGAGCTTTATCTTTTTCTTTTTTAAATATAACTTGCAAACCTTCTCTTTGCTCAGCTTTGCTCGTTTTTCACACCTATTGCCAGCCCCATGCACTTAAAAATGTTTTATCTTTCTAAAATGCTGACCTTGGCATCAATGCAAATGTTGCCAGAGTGAGAAATGGATGCTACACCAGCCTGCTTGTTGCTAGACAGACTGACCTCATTTGCTGTGCTGCCCACTAATAAGATAAAAATAATAATATAATGTTAGTATGTTGTGAATGTGCCAAAGCATTTTATGCTGGCTGCAGGCATGCTTGTTGGTCCTTCTAATCATCTGCAAAATAAAAAGCACAATGAGTCATTGGCATAGTGGGTGCAGGCTGGGTCTTAATTTCCCGTGAAACAGTATTTTCTGTTAAAATGCAGCTTACATTGATTTGCAGTAGTGCAGTGTTGATAGCATTATCCATGCTTCTCTCTGCTCTTTTGTCAGAGGGTGCCTGCTTGGAAGCTGCGTCCACCTTTTTTGTATTTGTTGGCTGAGAAGTGTTCATGTGTTGCTTCAGCCACTTTGTAGAAGCTGACTGTGTGAAAAACAAGCAAAACTTTTTTTTGCTCAGCTTTGCAAGTTATATTTAAAAGGAAAAAAAGATAAAATTCTAAGCTAAAAAAAGAAAGTGAAGAGACTGAGGAAAGCTGTTTCTTATATAGGAGACAGTGAGTGAAGATAAGAAAGGTAAATATAAGAGAAGGATACTTTAGAAACTTCTGGTCTTGCAATCATCTTACAGTATGCAAGACAGAGTTCCACCAAGAATGGAATTCCAACAGCTCCAAGCCATTGTCTTACACAAACAATGAATGCAGAAGCTGTTTCAGCTGCCTTACATCATTGGATGTGCTGGGCATATTTGCGAATATGTCCATTGCTTTGTAGACAATACCAGCAACATTTTCTGCCTCCTCCTGGTGCCTTTTAGACTGTGGCACCTGTAATAAAACTTATCACTACTAAATGTATTTATGTCAAAAATACACTATAAGCAGAGCTTTTAAGCTCCACTTATCAATTCAAAACAATCAACAGTAAAATAGGAATCACGATCATAAACAATTGCGATTGCCATGTGACATAGAAATAATTGATGTCACATAATCGTTGTTTGTGCTAATGCTATGCATACTCACTGCACCATTGCCAAGCATTGCCATATATTTCACAATGACATATGTCCAAAAAATATATTGTTTTGGTGTATAATGGATGGCACCATCAAGGGCATGTTGATTGATTATAACCATGTCATCAACCTTAATTCACAGAGTTGTACAGTTTGCAGTGAGTGCTCTGGAATACTCCAGTTTGTCCTTATCAATGACCTGGATAAAACATCAACACACACATAATACTTGACGATTGCAAAGTGTTGATTTATGCTTTGGCCTGGCTCTGGACATTTGGGTTTAGCAGAGACTCTATGCACAAATGAAATGGGTTATCAGGGTGGAGAAATTAAGCTGCTTATTTGCAAGTAGCACATGCCTGATCCATACATATCTATTGTTAAAGGGAAGCACATGTATTTAAATTCCAATAGCAACTTTTCCAATATCGTCTACCACCTGAATCCAGACATTGAAGACATAAAACTGCTACAATATTTGCTATATGATCTCTGCATTGTGCTTGTTGGTAATGCTGAGTTTGGGCCAGAGTTTGTGGGAACTCATGTTTGGAGGGTATATAATGACACTAATGGCGACTTCTCTGTGCCAGTGTTCTGATTTAGACTAGCAAAAAGCTTTGCAAGACACATATTGTGGTGCCCAACACACATTTCAAGCCACTATCTTTCCTTTTCAAGAATCAAGATTGCTCTCATGGCCACTATACACATTTCTGTTATTGCTGGCTGACATCAAGAAACACCATGATGTTTACAGTGCTGCCCCCTTTTCAATTTAGTAAGTAATTTTTAAGACTTGAATATATCGATTTAGACCCACATTTTTATAGAGCATGACACATATTACTCTTAAATAATTGCACCTACCAGTGCATCAATCCAATTGGAAAGCATGCAAAAAAAGCGTCAGAGATTTTTAATAATTTTGTAGACATTCTAGATAAATATGGCTGCAAAGAGATTTTAGATAACCAAAGTGGCATGAGAGGCTTGGGCAAGGCTAGTGAGCAGAGTGATGATGTTTAGTTTTATTTAGTATTATGTTCAAATTATATTGCAAATGATTCAATATTTACTTCAAAAACTGACAATAAGCTGATTGCAAATCGTATTTTTGTTTTAAATTGCTATACAGCAGGATTAAATTTCACCACCAATGCTTTTTTATGATTGCTGGTATTATTAAATGTCGTTTCTATTGTTGTAAACCTGGCCAACAGGGGCCAGTAAAGTGTAGGGCAGGCAGTTACTGGTAAATGCTGTGAATAATAATGATAAAATATAAGTATATTAGAAAACTAAGGTATTCTGCATCTGTGTGCGCCTGCAGGTCTTGGTCCAGGTTGCTGGCCTAGGTTGCCTCCCCAAGGGGTTTTTAACATTTGACAGAGCTTGTGTTGCCAGAACATATTCCTTCCTCTTACAACCATGCTGCCGCTTTGGTGGGAGCAGCAACAAGGTGGGAGGTGTGGGTATTGGCTGTTATCCCTCTTTTATTTGTGGCCAACTTTGTCTCCTTTGTAGATCGGCAACTAGCTGAGATACAAAGGCTGCAAAACATAACAAAATGTGTTTCTCGCTCTTCTTTTTTCTTAGTTTTTGACAGAATATAAATTTAGTCCAATGATTCAACTCAGTAATTAACAAGAGGCAAACAGTGAGCTCAATTGCTCACATACACATTGTTTAATTATTGGTTTGTACAAAGTAAATACATTATTTTGGCTGTATTTAATTTTTACAAAAAGCAAATACTCCAAAGATATGCATGATGTCCAGTGTGTCTTTGATTTTTGTAAACTAATAAATATTACATACTCTATTTCCATCCAGTCTAAAATCTTTTAGCAAAGTTTTCTCACATTATTATTCTTCCTGTGTTGGGAATTCAATCATTTTTCTATAAATAGTTTTTCATGTACTTCTCCGTTTAAAAAACTGTACATGTATCTAGAGTATTCATTGAGCTAAATATTTATTATATAAAGGTGCGAAACCCACATAGGGACGTAAACAATAAAAGTTGCATTTGCATTTATTTTATGTTGATAGACATGGTTTATTCTCATCCTTTTATTATTTATAAATAATATTTATCTTTGCATATTTCTGCGAAGATTGATTAGTCTAGACAAAAGGATTAAGCACTCTAGCAAGGTGACTATTCAATAAATGCCCAAGTGGTAGAGCTAAATAATTTGGCATGTCTTCCTATAAAATAAACATTGTAGTTAGCAAAAAATGCCGAATTGAATGCTACAAAATTATTCACTGTTAAAGATATTAAAATGCCTATTTGTTCAGAGCTTGCAAGCAGAAAATGTAATATAAATCCTACTGATTATAACTTGTATGTAGGTAGCTGGAAACCAACTGGTGTGTGCTTGGAAATAATTAAACGTGTGACATGTATGACATAGTAGATAAATCTAATTATATTTTTATAAAGGGTGGGATGTACAAAACGAATTAGATCTACAGGAAATTGTATATAAAATAAATATAAGGGTGGATTCAAATAGCCACTGCCTTGGGTTAATAGGTGTAGTGCCCAAGCCACATTCCAGACTCTATTCCCATCTTCAAGCACAAACACCGTCAAGAACTCTTTACTGTTGCAATGTCAATTTCAATATTGCCGGCTCACATCAAAAGTCAACAAAACTTTTAAAGTGCCGCCCCTTTTAGTTTCACATCAAATATTTAAGACTTTATTTAGTTGGCTCATTTATCCGTAAACACACAAACACAGGCTTAACAATAGATATAGTTAGAATATTTGTTATTTAAATACAATAATAAATAAGCAAAACTGATCCACTCCAATGCTAGCTAATCATCAATTGTGGTCGAAACAGCTGATGTGCATATCTCTATCCTCATTGTTGTTGTACACAGCCACTTCAGTGGACCGTCGTCTTTGTCTTGTCGCAGATTGTATAGTTGGGGTATTATTAAATTAAAGTCTTATCAATAATTGGCGTTTTTAGGCGTAAAGATGCCCTCATTTTCATTTAATATGGAGTTTGCACCACCCCTTGTACTAGTCATGCAGTTTATCAACAATCTCTTTTACAAACACCATTGCTTGTTTTGTGCAATTGCCTTAGAATTTCTTGACTAGTGTTGTGTACCTGTCCCATTTAATCTCCTTCCAGCCATGGTTTATACCCAGTCCAGCTTTTTGTCTGGTAGTGGGCGACCACATGCTTTTTGGCTTCCTCCAATATGTCATCTGTAGGACCTGGATACACCCAGAGTCTGTTAATTGTCTCAGCCATAATATCTCATGGCTGGGTCCCAAATATCCCAGTGAAAATCCTCTTGCATCAGAATTTTTTGTGCTCCCATTGTGGACACATGAGCATATGGCCCTGTCTCTTGATAGTCTGAAAGCCAGACGATGGGCATAGCTTCATCTCCAGTTCAGAGTATGCATCGGGTACCATTATATTGTTTCTCTATTACAGGCAGTGGGCCCTTTGCCGAATATGTAATTGAATTATACTTGTACTAATGTATATTAGTACATGGAAAACAAATAATTTTTAGGCCATTACCAGATATTCAACGTGGTATTGTTAGATGATATTGTATAAGTCATTAGTTGTTTAAAATATGGTTAAATTATAATGAAATATATTGAAAACAAATTTAAATTGCAATATAGGCAATACCAAAAATATCTATCTTCTCTCCTTGATGACAAATGTTAGCCATACCAACGACATACTCAAGCTCACTGCAAGTACTACAATCAGAGTAAAAATGTCCCACCAGAATGCTTGCAGGTTAAATCCAAATGATGAAATGAGTGCTGCAGTAGGAACCTCAATCTGCAGGCCAAACTTCACTTCTTCACGTGAGCATATCTAAGCTCATTGATAGACAGGGCCTCATATGCCAGATTAAAAATAGAAGTACCAAACAGCGGCTGCAGCATTGCCGGAATTGACTCCTTGTTCAGTATGAGACCACCAAAAAGCAGCGAGAAAAGGAGTGTGAGAGATGCCAAAAAGTTTGACACTATAAGCTCCTCTGCGAGCAGGCCAATAAAGAACATTTGCGATGCAATTGTCAAGTTGAAGATCACCAATGTGCAGAAGAACTTGATAAACTGATGCCAGGTTGCAGCCAGACCAGCCATGGGATACAAAATAAGTGTAAGCAGCATGGGTGGCACAACACGCAATGGGATTAGGTCAAAGGTCACCTTGGCTAAAAAGTATGCCATTGGATCATAGTATGCATTGGCACGCTCCCTTAGATACAACACACGTTCATCTGAAAAAACCATCAGTGAGGTTGTCGAGCCAAAGCCATAGAAAGCCAATATAAAAATCAATAGACCAAGTCGATTCTGCACACCCTGTATGCTGGTGTCCATTTGGTAAAACAGTACACCACACATCAATCCAACCAGCACAGACATGGCATAGTTAGCCAGCATCAATGTTGGGTCACGGTAGAGGTGCCTGAATATACGTGCAGACAGCACCTTATATTGCTCAAACAAAGATGGACGCAGTTTGTCATCAAACTTGGGACCAGTGTTCTTGCCCTTTAGGCGGCAATACACCAGGTACACCAAGTCAAATATGTTGACAAATATGACAACAGCTGTTGGAGTGGGGTCACTGGGCGTATGTGAGGAACAGTACCAATAGAAGTAACCATTTCAAATGATGATGGCACCCAGTCAACACCTGTGACCTTGTCCAGCTCACCTGATACTTGGTGATACTGGTTGCTTGCCTTGAAACTGTCCAAAAGTCGTTGCAAGTTGATTCGGGCATTGTAGACTATAAACTGGCTTCCCTTGGGCTGCTGCTGAGTTGCCAAAAAATCTTTGTTGACAGACTTGTGGTTTGGATTGTTAGTGCCATGCTTTTTGCTGCTGGAAGTTTCCAAAGATGTGGCGTCCAAAGAGAGTGTGCTTGTGCCTAGTAATGGGCTCCACTCACTGTCACTGGAAGTTTTCTTGTCAATTGAAGATGAAGAGCCAGTGTGGCTGGCTGTGGCAGCATTGGGATCTTCCTCATTGCCCCTCTGATTAGCACTGTCACTGTTGCCTGCTGGACTAAGTCAATTGAAAGTCGGCAATGTTGTAGCCCTCAGGACTGGATGACCAATTGATTCCAGGTATGTGCTGATATTGCTTGCTGGGCCTGAGTAACACATCTGGCCAGCCGCCACACAATGAGTTGGTCAAACATGGTGAATATGTCTGTGCGAGGCTGGTGAATAGTACATATAACAGTGCGGCTGTAGCGACGAGCAAGCTTTGACAATGTATCCATCACAACAAATGCATTGTAAGCATCCAGACCAGATGTAGGCTCATCAAGGAATATATGGAAGGTGAGGTTACCAGCTCACATGCAATTGACACACGTCTCATCTCACCACCACTAATACCACGGGCCCCATTCTTGCCAATCTTAGAGTCACGTACATGCCATAACCAAGATCAATCAGCACGTCACGGACGCGTTCCTCTTTGGCTGCAAGTGACATGTCCCGTGGAAGCCGCAATAGGGCTGAGGTCATAACAGACTCGTGTACAGTGGCTGTTGCCACATGTACATCCTGCTGGTCAACATAGCCTGACATGCGGTGAAACTCTTCAGTCGTTATGTCACCAATGATGTCCTTGTCGTTTATCTGTACCTTGCCAGTGACCTTGCCACATTTTTCGCGCCGTGACAGGATATCAAGCAGGGTGCTCTTGCCAGCACCAGATGCACCCAAAATGGCCAGAATCTCACCAGGTCGCACAATGCCATTGACATTTTTCAGCAACTGCATACCCTTTGTCTCACTGGCACTTGTGCTGCTGCCATCTGGTTGCAAGCCTAAAGACACCTTTCCACTTATGTTAACTCCCAGCCCTTTGAACGACACCATATCTGGTCCCTGTGCAGGAATTGTGTATGAGATGTCACGGAATGACACAGTTGCACGCAGTGTGTTTGCCATCATGTTACTAATCTCGCTGTGCATCTCTGATTCTGAGCTTGTACGTTTGCTGCTGCTGCTTTGAGGGGTTATGATCTTCTCATTGTTGCCATCAACATGCACTAAAGTTTTTGCAGTTTGCCCTTGGACTTCTGAACTTTGAACTAGCAGCCGTATCAGTCGCAAAACGACATATACAGTTAGCAGTGATGTAGCCACACCAAGCAGAATGTTGCTCTTGCTTCTCTCATATACAGGTTTTGTATAGTCTGGGAGCTGGCTGTAGTGAACGCACTGTCCGACTGTGCAATGCATGTTGATTGCATCATCGCCAATAATAGAGGTAAGGGTTTTACTGACTTGAGACTCGCGGATAAAGCAGTTGCTGAAACCATCATCATGGCACTTAATATTGACTGGGCCTTCGACCTCATTAAGGACTGTGGATATGTCTAGTCCATAATTACCACACAGGAACCGGCCTGGGATGCACTTGCACTTCATCCTTTGCAGTCAATGGCCGCAGTTGATTTTGAGCCCCATGTGCCAATGTTGCACTGGTCCAGATCACAGTAGAATGCCTCCTTTCCACTAATCCAAAACTGTGCTGAGCAAGCGCTCGAGTTTCTGTCACATCCAAATGTCATCTTGGGTGTGACGCCCTCAGGGAGGTACCTACTTAGATCTGTGTTGCCCACATAGCACTGCCCGACAACAGTGGTTATCAGCTCACTGCCATTGTAACACCGGCCTCCTTCACCAGTAGGGCTAAGTGCGTCACAGACTGAATCATTCAAGCACCCTAAATGGAAAATAATAATAGTAAATTGCAACTGCACTGAAAGATTAGATGGCAATTTATAAAGTGCAGTAGTCAGTGCATGTGCAGCAATCAGTCGATACGTTTGTGCAGTAGCACATTAATATTAGCTACAGCGCCTATCGCCTATATATATGGCACTTACTGTTACAGTTCCAGCCGCCCCATCCAGGCCTGCACTCGGTGTCCTCATGGCAATGCTCGTTTTTTGCTGATGGTCGCTTGTCCTTGTCCACAGGGCTCAAACAAGCTACATGCAAATGAAAGATACAAGGGTGTTTTTAAGCATAAAGAGCTATTTTGTGGGTTCAAAATGGCACATGTAAAATATGTGAAATGCAATGGCCAATTCTTACCTGGCTGTAGGCAGTCATCACCCGTCCATCCTATTGGGCAGTTGCATCGACCAGTAAACTGGTTACATGTAGCATTGTGCGCACACAGAGAGCCTGGATACATGCAGTTAAAGCATGACGGGCAGCCGTCTGGCACCTTCTTGTCTTCTGTCCGGACAAAATTACGGATACCAAGGGCTTGGGCAATATTGGCAACGCCACCCTCATCATCACCATTGACAAACTCATTAACAATGGATGCAACATTGCGCACTCCATCGCCACTGCCAATGACATTGTTGATAGCTTCAGAGATAGCCGCAGAGGTGCCTGGGGTTAAAGCTACACCTGCACCTGCACCAACACCCTCGCTTGCAAGGCCTTCAATCACCTGTGCAATATTAACTGCAGCACCCTGAGAAGCGCCAGGGTTTCCTTGCTTTGTATTTCTGTTAGTGGCCGCACTAGCACCAGTACTGGCACTAGTACTAAACTAGAGCCAACACTGTTGGTATTTGAATTCATTACGCCGCCAATTATGTTTGCAATACCCTGGAGGTCCACATTGCCGTCGTTACCACTTGCAACCATGCCAAGCAGCTGTGCCATGTCAATGTTTGGAGTATTGGGTGCTGTGTTGCTAGTGCTGCCACTATTGTGCGCGGCGATTCTGGTGCTGCTAGCGCCCAAAAGCTGTGGATTGGCAAGCATTTGGCTCACAAGGGCGGCAATGCCATTGTTCAGTACCATGTTCTGGTTGTTGGTGCGCGACCTCCGTTGTTGTTCTGCCGTTGCATTTCTGTTGCTGCTCCAATGCCAGACATCATGAAACCCAATGTTGTAGCCATGTTGCCCATTTCGTTCATATCAATGACGTTGGCAAGGTTGTTTGCAATTTCTATTCCAATTGCTCCAAAATTGACGTGGCCGTTCTCGTCGCCAGCCATAAGGTCCAATATGTCGTCTAAATTGAAGCCAGCACAACATTTGGGTCGGCAACGCTTGGTCCATACACTTGGGAGGAGGGTTTTCCAGCAACGGCGGTATTGGCGACAGTAGTGGTAGCGGCTATGTGGAGTTGTTGCAGATTGTGCTGGGATAATGCGGGCTTGACAATGTGCTTGTCGGACTGCGCACCACTTTTATCGCCAATGCTATTTTGCAAGAGGTCAACTAGTTCACCGCCGAGATTGCTATTATGAGAGGCACTGTTGGTATCTGCTCTCTTTTGGTGCAAGAGTATCTGGTAGTCGGTTCCATCATTGACAAATTCAATGGGCACACGCGGGCCATCTGAATCTACATTGTTGTTGGCTGCTGAAGCCAGGTTTGCAATTGCTTGCGTTGCAAGAAGTGGCACTAATAGTACCCAGAACTTCATACTCTAAATAAAATTGCAGAATATAATATGTAAATAATAAACCGCCAGAAAACTAACTACAATTGAATACAAAAGTACAGAGGTGGCTGCAAGTGCTGGTAAAGATTTATCAAACTGGTCATGAACCTTTCATTGTTAATTTGTTTGCATTGGTATGACAGGGCGATATCAAGCTACAGGCTTATATTCAGGCTTAGCAGTGCTTAATAATTTACATTACTAGAAATAACAGCGCCAAAAACAGTTGAGTGGCAACGTTACTATATTTGTTAAGATTTGACATTACATGCATGGTACATATAATTGTTGAAAATTTACTTTTTAAAAAAATATGTACGTGGTTAACCGTAATTATATTTTGGCGGTAATGTTGTGAAGCCGCACAGTGCCGCAAATAAAATATAAAATTATACTATCAATTGGGCTGTGATTTATACAGATGCAAATGTGACTGTAATCGCGATATTGCCATTTACGAAGCAGTAAATGTCATTCTATTTTTAGTATTCATTTAGAGCAAGCGCTTATATTCATTGGCCTTTATTTGAAATTCAATTATTCACATATTAGCCGTATTATGCGTGTTGTTTTCACCAGATGTTCCGCACGCAAACTGCATGTATGCAGGGGGCATCCTCCACAATAGGCAATATTTTAATAATTGTGTATATAAACTTTGAAATGGTTTGTATCACGATAATGATATATACGAGGGTTAGTGATAAAATAAAATGCTTAAAGGCTATGTAGCTTCAAATGCTGGAGACAAAGGCTACGCTGCACGCAATTAACAGGCTGACGACGCGGCCGCAGCTCTGAACCCGCCACGATGCGGATGTGGTCGACGCGTTAAGCCCGGCCAGCCACTTTGATAGGTCATCGGCAGGGGCTGCTGACTTTGTCAACAAGGATGAGTGTTCGTCCTCCAAGCTGTCCCTATCATCGTCCTCTTCAGACGACTGACCAAAGTTGGCAAGACCATTGTTGGCTGAAACAGTTTTGGACGATGCCACCAGCGACGCACCCTGCTGCTGGTTAGACAAGGCGACCGAGCCCGAGGCCAATGCGTTTGAGTTGTGAGGGGTATTGGTCAATCCAGTTCCATTGTTGTAACAGTTGACCGTAACAGACTTGATGACCATGTCGAATTGGGGGCTGGTAGATTGAATGGTTCCGGCCCAGCTCTGGGTCATGCTTGGGTTGATAGACTTGCTGGCGTCCCATATAGAAAACGACAGGCGCGCTGGCTTGCTTGGATAGTTGTATTTTTGCTCACCTTCGGCCCAGGTGTCCTTGCGCTTGACTGAGCGCACAGCGAAACCATTGGCATACCATGTCAGCGAGTCGGGCAGCCATACAATCTTGTACTCGACAAACGTGTTTATCGGGTTGGCTGCCAGAATGGGCGCGACAGCCCCAGACAGCTGGACCTGGCTGTTGGTGTAATAGTTTGCCTGCACACGGTTAGTCGAGATTCCTACCCAGTCAAAATCAATGCTCGAGCCAGAGTCGTCTTGGAGTTGGAATGATGAGACCACGCCGGCGGTTGTAGAGCCAGACTTGATCATGGCGGTGATAACTCCATAGTGTATCCATCTACAGCGTGCTGAATGATAATAAGGGCGGTTAGCGTTGTGTGCTGTAGATATAAAAACAATGGGCTATGTTTTTCAACATTGAGTCGTGTTGCATCGCATCGCACCGCATGGGGAGACTTCAACTCGCTTAATGCTTTCTATTAGCACCCAATGTGGTGTCTGCGCTGAATTGGGTCTATTGTGAAGTTTTCATGTTTTAGTGGCAAAAAACGCACTTAGCACCAGCGTCCAGTGGCAATAACAACAACAATACAAAGAGCAACATCATAATTGGAAAACAAAGATGAGATGCATACCAGACCAGAGCAGACATAATTTGACTATGAATGATGTCATTCGTTATTAACAAATCGGTGAAAGCAGAAATAGTGTTTTTGTACCTTGTAAAGTAAACAGTCGAGCCAACGTAACTGGCGGTGTTGGCGCTGGCGGACCTTCTTAGCGACAGAACCAGGTTCTCGCGGTCAACTGCAGCAAAGTCAGGTGTTTGCTCAGAAACAAAAGTAGCATTCGAGTTTGGTGTAGCACTGTAGCTCTCTGCCGAGGCGAGCACTGTGGGGTTGCTAAAGTTGTTGTTGATAGCTTGGCACTGCATTGTTGGGCATGTGCCACTGTCGGCAACATTCATGCCCGAGCATGCTGCCAGCGCATGGCTTACAAGCAGAGACGCGAGACCGACCAGTGTCAATACTTTCATTATTAGCTGAGGGGAGAGCGGGGCTCTTCGGAAAATGCAATGTGTGGGCGTGGTTGCAGTCACAGCAGTGGTTTGGTGTTGGGCCGGGCTGAGCTGTGCCAGTGCAGAAGCTCAGTTAAGCCTGTTAATGTGCCTGGCAAGGCAAAAGAAAAGAAAGAATAAAAAAGTGCAACTGTGTGGCGTGGAAAGTAAACAAAGGACTTTATTTTGCACGACAAAATGGGCTGGTAAACGGTCCAATAGTAGGCTTGGAGATTAAAAAAGGTAAACAGAGAATTGAGGCGCCCAGCGAGACAAAAGAGGATGCGGAAAATGAGAGAAAGAGAAGGATGGTAAAGGTCAGGCGGACGATGAAATAGAGAGGGAAAATAGAAAAAATAGAGAAGAGTGCGAAAATGATAAAGTTGAACGGAATTGAAAAACAAAAAAAGAATAAAGAGAAACAGGGAGCAGATGCAGATGCAGAGGCCAAAAAGCAAAATGTGCCTTCAGTCTCACAATAGCCGCCCCCTTTAATGTCAATCAATTTTTATAATATTTTTCTGCTATTATATTCTACTTTCCAAAAAAGAACAAGCGGACCGCGCGTGGTGATTGGCAGAGATGGTTGTGGTCTGCGAGGCGAGGGACTATGCGACACAAAGGCCGCAACATAAATGAACATGCTTATTTATTTATTTTCGGACAAAGTTCATATTTGGTTGAGCCTGATTGCTGGGCAGGCTCTTTGTGGCACATGGCAGAAAGGGGGAGGTGTTTGAAGAAACAAGGTAGTTTTGCCTTGGCAAGCCCAATTTCTATTATTGGAAAATGTTTACTTTTGACAGAATTATATGCATATGTGCGCCATTTTCCACAATGAGGTAACTTGTAACGAACCTGGTTTCTCCTCACAAGTTGTCTGGGCACGTCCCTGTGTCACTCAGAAGCACACTCGGAAGTACATTCGGAAGAATTCCCTGGTACGCGAAAATGCAGCGTGTAAAGGTGGCTCAACAAATGGCTTGGTATTGGCTGCTCGATTGTTTGATTGAGTAATTGCATTGTCAGGACCAGCGGCGCCGCTGGCAAACAGCGAATGGCCAGATGGGGGTCAGAGAAGGGGGGTGGGAGGGGATGGGGTGGGGGGGGGCGCACAGACTTAGCTCTGCTGCTGTTCTATGCACGCAAAGCGCAGGCGGTTGATGGCCTGCGCCACTTCGATTCTGCGCGGGCGGCCCAGGTCGCCGACAATGCCGAGCCCAGTGCACAGGTCATCCAGGGCCTGATCGTCAACCAGATCCAGCCACTCGCGCATTGTCCTGCGCTTGTTGTGGGCGCGCGAGGTCGCATGGATGATTCGTGCAATGCTGCGCGTCTGCGACGAAGACACCAGCTGGTCCAACGCAGCCAAGTCGAGAATAGACTGCGCGTGGGCCTCGTCGGCGCCATAGGCAGCGAATTCAGCATCGTGTTACCGGCATCAGCGTCGCCAGCATCATCAGTAAACCGCCCCCGCCTGACGGGAAAAGCACAATTGCCCAGCGCGTCAGCGCCTTGGGCGGTTTGAAGCTGCCAGCGAGCTCCGCCGAAAACCCAACGAGGCGGCAAGGACAGGCCCGTACTCGGTGGGTGCTGGCTCCAGCAAAACAGGAATGTGAGCTACAATATCCCTGGCCCGTGCGGTGGCGTCTGCAGGCGCGTACTCGCACATGTCGATGACAGTGTCCGCGACGTCGAGGTAGTCGCCGCAGCCGCCGATGACCAGCATGGAGCTGACACCCTTGGCCTCCCAGAGCTCACGGACGCGCGCGATCAGGGGCGTAATTGGCTCCTTGCTCTGCGCGACGAGCTGCTGCATGCGGCTGTCGCGCACAAGGAAGTTGGTTGCGCACGTGTCCTCGTCAAACAGAAGCATGGTGGCGCCGGCCTCCATCGCCTCCTGGATCGATGCAGCCATCGACGTCGACCCCGACGCGTCAGCTGTGAAAATGCGGCGGTGTCCTTGCCGAACGGCAGGCGGCTGATGAACGGCCGGATGTCGGTGCTGCACACAGAGCGGCCTTCCTCAGCCTTTATCTTTGTCGCCAACGCCTCTGCAACCACGAGCTCGCGGCCGTCGCCAGGAATGTGGTTGTAGACGCCCGACTCAATTGCCTGCAGCAAAGTGGATTGCCGTTGAAGCCACCGCCGCAGATCAGCGTCACGCCGCGAGCAACGCCCATGCCCGAGACGCGCCCGCGGTTAGGCAGCACAAATGACACAAGCATGCTGTGCGGAGACCTGAACTCAACGGCGCTCGACACTGCCAGAGGCAGCCCCGACACTCCACTTCTTCGGGGTAGAACCGAGCCATTTCCGACAAAGGCGACCAGCCCGCTTGGCCCGAGCTGCGCGCGCAGCGACTCCTGGTCCTCTACGCACTCAATCAGCAACTGCATCGCATGGGCGTCGACCGCCGCGTGCAGCAGAGCCTGCTCAACAAGCTGTGGCAGCGTCTCGAGTAGCATCCGCTGCACGGACTCGCCGATAATAGACCGCCCGGCTGCAGGCATGCTGGCTGTCAGCCGCGCCTCGACCGCCTGTCCGCTGATGCTCACCGAAGTGCGCTCGATGACCTCCTGGCCTGGGCAGTCGACGCTTAGCACGCCGCCCTTGGCTGACCGCCACCCGCCACTGGCACCGCCCCTCTCGCGCTCGTGGCCAGACTGGAGGCAAACAAGCGTTCGATGAATGAGCTGCGTCAGGTAGTGCGCGGCGGCTACTGCACGCACATTGGTAGAGAAGCACGTTGCGGGGAACAACGCCGCACTCTGCTTGACACGCACACGGATCCTGCTCGGGGGCGCATATGCGTCTGCCTGGATATGGTCAAAGAAGAGTGAGAACTGGCGGAACTCATAGCGCCGGCCGCTGAGCTGTTTGTAATGGCCATACTGCTTTCCGTCCATCGAGGCTAGCAGCGCGCCTAGCTCGTCCTGGACCCCTGGAAACTGGCCGTCCTGCGGTCTCTGGGATCGGAGCGTGTTGCCCAAGTCATGGCCAGCCAGCCCAGTCTTGTTTCCGTAGAGCTCTCTGTAGTATGCGCCTCTGCCGCGCCCGCCTCGATTATGTGCGCCTCTACTGCGTCTGGGAGCGTCTTCGCCTATCGAACGGTCGGATCCCATGGTTGGCGTAAATACGTGCTGGAAACAGGGTCAAAAAGAAAAGCCGATTGCGATGAGACTGGTGCTCAAAAAGTAAAACAATAGAGTATAAACACTTGTAGAATGGATGGCATGTCGCTTTGGTTGCACTGGCATGCTGGAAGGCGCCAAGCAATGCATGCAGCCGGTATATAACTGTGCATACAAATCTACTTGTGGGGATTGTGATGGTGATGGTGAGCAGGGGCCACGCGCGACACTGTAACTAAACCAGGGTTGGCTACACAAATCTATTGTGGTGTTAGTGATGATGAACAAGCTGATGCGCAATTACAGAATATTGCTAATTGGGGTTGATTTGATTTCAATCATGTGTGGCCATGCTCACACTGTATATACTTGCCTACTTGTTTCCTCGGCATTCCAGAATCCTGGCTTTGCCATTGCCATCTGCTGGCCACAAGGCGTATAGTAGGGTTAATCCGCTTTTTATCTTGCTCATGCTCATACTCATAATCACGTGGTAGATGTAGCAAGTAGAGCCAATTGCAAAAATTGAAGCAGTAAAAGTGTTGCCGCAGTCGTCCGCAGATAGCCTTAATCTCATGAAAAAGGGTATGTAAACTTGTCTTGAAATAGAAAGACAAGTTAATTAAAATAAAACAGAAGCTGCTTACGGCCTTTGCCACACACAATGTGTAATGGATGGTACACTGGAAAAAGAAGAAAATATGTGTTGGTGTAACTGCCTAAAAATACATGTAAACATTCTGAAATTAAATGCAAACCAAATCAAATTTTGGACGACTGCAAAACCGCTAAACAAAAAAGAAGGCTGTTTGCTTCGTCGAATACCTCATTTCTCATCTTAAATTGTGGTTATTTTTCTACTTTGTTTGCGAGTGTATCGCCATCGCCCTACTGCACTGGTATTTTCGTATGCAGTTTTCGTCGGGAAAGACGATTGGTGTATGCGAAATCGCAGCGCAGTTAGAAAAGTAAAACAAAACAAAGCAAAACAATAAAAAACATGGGTCTTGGCCTTAGCGATAAAAAACGATATTAATACTAGCGACAGTAAAATATGCGCATTGCAAACTATTGAGCACGCAATAATGTCTTGCCAGTTCCCACTAGGTGTATATTTCCTACCCGTAAATAATTAGTATAAAGCATCATTCAAATCCCGGGTTTATTGAGAGTGATTCAGTACACAAACACATTGGCATCACATTCTTCCAAGTTCTACAGTCTACAGTCCTTAATCAAGCCCACGATCGCATTCCTCACGCAAAAACCACTGACTTTACAGCATATTTTTAAACTTGATATCTCATACTTACTGCAGTCACCACTACAAATAACCATGTACGCCGCCGCTGTTACCATCATTTTGTCTCTGTCCGCATTTGCCACCGCCGCTCCGGCTCCGGCTCCTCTTATTCCCGTTGTCGCACCCGCCACTTCGTTGTCCAACACCAACTCTGGTGCCTTTGACAGTGGATCAGTCGCCAATGTTAGCCCTTTTGGTTCCAATGGCAATACATGGAACAACGGGTTCAGGGCCAACCAAAACGCCGCCGCCAACCCCTGGGGAAATGCTGGCAGCTCGTCGTTTAACAACTGGAACAACAACGCTTGGAGCAACAATGTCCGCCCCTACCCCGCCCCTCACTGGTAAATCGATTTACCAGTAGATGTGCTGACTCTATCGTCGTTTTAAGGGTGACAATTTCTGATTAAGCATTTCCATTACTCATTACTCATTATTGTCCATTATCATCTACGTTTTATTTCTCATGTCATAATTAAATAAAAAATACTAGCAAATATGAAATCATGAAGTACATTTTAATTATATTGATACAGAAAATATGCTTTCAAAGTGGCCAAATTAGAGATAGTACTCCTGCTTGTGCTTGTGTAGATGGGTGTGTGTGTGTGCAACTTGGTATAAACAAATAAGGTATACGTCTAATATATTGTAGCATTACAACTGAGCAATGTTAATTCGATTAGTAATGTTTTGTATAGTTTTAGCTTTTGTCGCTTCATTTTCAGTTACAAATTTTCAATGTAAAAAATGTCTCGATTGATGATTTAGTCATATATCATGTATAAAAACTATATTGATTCAAAAACCCTAGATCTACCAGTACCTGGGGTAGCCGCCGTATTGGTTGGAGTAAGCGTTGCTGTTCCACTGGTTATACGAAGAGCTTCCGGAATTACCGTACGGGGTTGTATTGCTGCTTTGTTTTGCAGCAAATCCGCTGTTCCAAGAGTTGGAGTTTGAGCTATACGGAGAAGCGCTAGTACTGGCCCCATTGTCATACGCCCCTGAGTTGTGATATGAGGACTGGGAAACGCCTCCATACCCCGGATAGTACCCATAAATTGGGTACGCGGAGACAACCGTCGAGGCGGCAAAGACGGCAATGGCAGCAAGCATGTTCATATTTGTTTATTTTTTTGTGTACTAGTGGTAAAAATATATAGAAAAAAGTAGGATGATAGCGCGATGTGTTGATGAGTATGCAACAAAAATTCAAGGCCGCAATCGGATGTTTAAATACATACGCCAGTGCGACAGCGGCAAAATCGTATATTGTCATTTTGTGCGCAGCCTACCAGTTTCTAATAAAAATGATTTCGCTACTTTCCGTACTACAAAATGCTAATGCTATCCGTGAGAGCATTAAAATTACTTTAAATCCTTTATTTTCAGTAGATACTACGATAATAAAATGGTTGTAAACCCAGTATTTTTCCACTCTCTTTAAAAGCGGTAATAAAAATCGCGATTGGCATTATTGGAGATATGAAGCGTATACGAGATATGTATGTATACTGCCATCAAACGGAAAAACAGCGGAAATACGGGCCAAACACAGCAAGACAGGGTCGACTAAAACTAATTTGTTTATCACAATAACAGGCTCATGATTTAAGCTAGTGGTTAATATCAATATGTAATGTAATTTTGTGCCAATTTTTCGAATCATAAAATTAGACGTGGTTGTTACACTTGATATATTAATGAAAATAAAATGTTAATAGGCCACGGGTCTAATTATTCCAGGCAATGCCGGAAACATCTGGAGACGCGAAATGGAGTTGGACGTAGACCACCGTTGGAGCTAAACTGCCCCCGCATATGCGAGTTGAACCCGGCCCAAAGCTAGCAGCATCGTATCCATTTGGGCCCCATACCGCTTGGACGGTATTTCCGTTAGACACTGCTCTTACGTTTCCTCCGACATAAGGGAATTCAGCTGGGATATAGTAGCCCGAAGCTGTCTGGACCATGCCAAGAGAGACGGCGGCGGCCACAAACGCAGTGAATGTTGTCGAGTACATTTGTTGAGAGATGTAGTTTGGATTTTAGAAAATGAATAGGAAAATCGTGGTTTGGATGAATAATTATATCGAGGCTTGGATGTTGCGCACTTATAAACAAAAGTCAAGCTAGTGCAAACAAAAAAGGCGAGCGGATGAGCGTCAGTACAGCCAACGGTGTGCTATGATAAGGCAAGAAATAGAAAGAAAAACATATTCAAACTTGTGCTTGGATGTTTGTTTGTTGTGGCTAGCCGTTCATCGCGACCAGTTTATTGGCACAAACTCGCGCATTCCATTTTTCTTTAAAGCAATAATAATAACAATTCCCATCCAACGCATACAGTTTACTTGTTGGTGTTTCTAGTATAACCCCGCTACTTCCAAAAAATGTTTGCTTTTCTGTGTCTTTCTCCTACCACCTAATGGTTTTTATTTGTATTTGTTCGCATGGTACTCATGGATTTCCATCCAAAAGAAGCAAACGTTGCCTGCATTTGGTCAGTAAAGCGGGTAGTTGCAAATGCTAGTACAGCGGCGTTGGCAGCACGAATCCGCCCCAATACTGCTATTGTGTCCGGATTATTTTGAAAAATTAACTGTCGTCCTAGTAGTGGTAGTGTTCGTTTGTTTGCTGCGCATTACTTGACATGGCATTCGCAGTAGGCATATTTTTCAGCGCAGCACAAAATGCATTCCGTCTTCCTTCAGTTGCATCGCTTGCAAAATAAAATTTGATATTCTACTTCGAGCTAATCAATTGGCGTGATCTAGACAAGGCCAACTGTGAAGCGAAGCGATCGCTATTGTTTATTTGTTAAAAAGCAGTCTTGCGCTGCATCCCACAACACACGTCATAAATTCAACCTATGGTGCTCGCCAACCGCGCAGCGCTGCTATTGGAGATCAGTTGGCGATGTTATATACATATCAACAACCCTGTTTCTGCCTTTTTTGATACTTACGACGTCACTATGGACACACTTGCAGACATCAAGCCCGACATGGCCAATCCGGATTTTTGGCGCCAGAAACAGGAATGGATCAAGCAGATGCGACTGCAATTCTCGCGACGGCCCGAGTTCCCTGAAACACACAGCATAATTGACGACGAGGGCATGCTCAACCAAGAGTACTTCCAGCCGCCAAAGGACGCGCTGCCAGAAATTGAACGCAAATGGGGCGATGCCGAAAAGAGTAAATTGCTGGAAGGCATTGCAACATACGGGATTGGCCACTTCCGCGAAATATCAGAAAATCTGCTTTCAGACTGGTCGGGCAATGACCTGCGAATGAAGTCTATCAGGGTGATGGGGCGCCAAAACCTGCAGCTCTACAAGGATTGGAAGGGAGATGCGGCTGCGTTCAGCGCGAATATGAGCGCAACAAGGGAATCGGGCTGCGGTTTGGAACATGGAAAGGAGGAGCGCTCGTTTATGATGACGACGGTCACGTCCTTCAGGCCATCGAGGACTCTAACAGAGCCAGCCCACCATAGTGTAAAACCCCCGATGAAACTGGAGTTGCATACTATCGCAGCGTGAAGGGCACACGGTTCCATTATGAATGACTTTTAAATATAAACATGTACAATGTGTTTATGAAAAATTAAAAAATATATTTAAACAAAGTGTGGAGTAAACTTAGAAAACCTCAGCATGGAAGTCAAGCTTAGTGCTGCTGCGTTCCTCAGCGTGCTGTCCCACTTGTGTGCCTCCCTCCTGGTCTTGCGGGCCATCGGCTTGGGGCCGCAGAAGAATGTACCAATGCGGGTATTGGGATGGTTTGCGCCGACGTTGTCAAAGATGTCGTCGAAATCCGGGCGGCCAATGTACGACTTTGTGCCGATGGCCGAGTTGATGACCTGGTCGCCAAACCTGTCTCCGGCCGGCGACGGCTCTGGGGTGCAGCCTGTTGGGAGGTTTCCGGTGTAGTACGTGCGCACCTCCACAATGGAGCTCATGCCTTTCTCTTCGAGCGCAATGAGCAAGTCCTTGAACCACTCCAGAGTCGTAATGTCGCGGTACACCCAGAACAAGTACACCTTCTTCATTGTGAGATCCTCGGGTTCTGCAGCGCCTTGAAGTACAGGCTGCGAAGAACCGCCGCTGCAGGTGTAACACCCACGCCAGCGGCAATCAGAACGCTGACCTCATAGTCAAAGAAATGCTCTGTCGGGCTGGAGTACGGACCATCAATAAAGATCATTGGAAGCTTGGGACCCATTTTAACACGACATTTCCGCCTTCCATTTGCGCGTTGGCCGACATGTCTGCCTTGCCGTGGATGGAAACAATCGGCTTGTTTTTGTCGTCGTCGTCGGTGCTTGCTGAAACGGCCGCAAGCGTATCTCGGATAACAGCGTTGTCGCCCTTGGCCACCATATCGATGCTGATGTAGGAGCTGTTTCTGCCGGCCTGCGAGTACATGTTAATCCAGTGGGATCTTGGTGCAGTGGGTGGTAAGGGATGTTGAGGGGGCGGCGCCGCGCTGGCGATGCTTTCCAAATGGGACAGCGTCCGCTCCAATCTTGCTGGCCACCAACTTCTGAGTTGCCAAGTCACAAATGTTACCGGCTTCAAACTCGCAGCCAACGCGCTTTGCAAGCTTCCGTGTCCATCCGCCGTAAAGGCGGAAGTGAATTGTCAGCAGTTCCTCCTCGGGCGCGCTGGAGATGGTCATCGGATGCCACTGGAACAACGAAACCGAGGGGCAGTAGACCTTGACAAACTGGCCCGGACGGTGGCCAAGATCTTCTTGTCCATCTGAATCTCGACCAGCCCCGAGGGATGCTGGATGACGGCACGTATAGGTGATTTGGCAAATGCGCTGCGGAGGGGCGATACACACGGTCAACAACGTAGAGGGCGAGCGGTCCAGCGATATAATCGGTTGTCATGTATGCCTTGTGGTGCATGAACATCATCACAATGTACAGAATGAACAAGTGATGGACGTAGTAGAACAGCTCAAACATGCGTTGCGGACAATGACTATATATGGATGATTGAATGGTGGTTTGTCGTTTGAGGGCGTTGGTTTGAACATTGGTGTGCATTTGCGAGATGATTAAACATAAGCGGCCATTGGTACTTACTGATAGAGGTGACCATAATCAGGAACAGAGCGAACAGCAATACGTGCCCGGTCCAGCCCGTCTTTTTGATGAACATGGGGGTGAGCATAGGTGTTCCATCCGAGGCCTTTCCCTGACAATTCCAGGCTTGGTCTGGAGGACGTATTGGTGGTAATAGTAACCTACGAGAAATGAAAAATGAAATATAGCGCGCGATATTATAATGCACGTTGAAGACCGCTACTTTGGCAAAATAAAATGCCTCAGGCATGCCCGCATAACAGTTAGACAAGTGAAGCTTACCAGTGTGCAGAATCGACCAAAAGAGCATTGTGTACGAGGCCACCTTGTGAGCGTGAATGTTCTTCTCGAACGTGATGAACCTCGGCAGGAAGGTGCGGCGGCACAACGACAGAAAGGTGGGCGACATAAATATCAGGATAGCAGCAAGATCAAACAGACTGCACGCCATGGAGACTCTGTTCATTATGGAAACACGCGAGTTGGCCTTCTTGCCGGGATTAGCGTTCATATAGGCGCATATGATGATGTGGGGGATGGTCCATATGAAAAAGAACACCGAGCGCCGAATGGTGATTTCGGGATAGAACTCAGGGTCCAGGAGCTTGCGCCAGTGGAATGAAGTTGAGTCGACCTTTTTCGAGATCGCTTGCGTTGGACTGGTCATTCTATTTATGGATGATGGCAATTCAATTCAATTCAAGGAAAATGCAAGGATTTAGTGCGCTGCTTTTTTAATTGATCACTGAAAAAGTGTTGGCACTGTTTATTTCTGACAAAGCATGAAGATTCCGAAAATGAGGTGCCAAATCGTTGTGCAGGTACATGTACATACCTTAACCGCTTTTGTCGCTATTGCAACTACAAAAAATTAAGCAATAGTAATTGCAGTGTGTGAAATAATAAATATATATAGAAATAACTTTTGCAACAGTCCCTTGTAACAGATAAAGGTATTAATACATAGGTGAGCAAAATATTAGAGAAAGAATGCACTGGTGAAAATGGCGATGTTAAAACTGGGAAAGTAGAATTGGCCGCTTCTTTTGGTCTAGTATTTATATAGTCGCTTGCAAAATGTCGAAAATGTGGACATGCAAGCTGGCGCGGCCAATTTATGCACAATATGTAAATGAAGGCAGGCGCGGCGGATAAAGGTGTTGAGGCGAGAGTGGTTTGAGGATTCTCCATCCTTCCAAGTCCAGGAGCTCGCGCAAATTCTGTGGTAGGTAGAAATGTAAAAATGAGGGCAAATTGTTAATGTCTCGTTCGCCAACTTTATTGATTTTTCAGTCGCGGAAGGTCCGTAACGCAGCAGTCTGTATTTGGCAGCTGGATAACCAAAAAGAGAAAAGGCTCGAGTTGTAGTGCGTGCTCCCATCAGGCACAGCGCCACTAGAAAAGGGAAATGACAAGTGGTATGAAATGATGAAATATTCCAAACTAAATTAATGAGGTATGAAAACCATCTGAAGTTTTTCGCTCCAATCTGTGTGCTTGGAATGTTTAATTGACAATAAGCTGGGCTACAACTGGCATCTGATAATGGCGAATCCCTTGCGTCGACAGCGCTTCGGTCGCCATGGTACTCACTCAGCCTTTGGCCATCTTCTCTCCCATTAATTTCGATCTGGCAGGGAGCCCAACGGGAATTCCTTGCGCTTTGGGCGCACGCAGGCTTGCTACTTTTGCGGATCAGCCCCATCTCTACTCTAACTGCCGCTCCGTCAGATAACAATTGTCTACCTGGACGAATGTGGAAACTCCACTATCGCATCCAGCATTGTTTGCGGCGATGTGAGCATGGAACATTCTTTTTTGCGGACAAACGTCTATCAGACGGCAGTGCGCTTATCAGACGCACACCCGCCCGCCCATCAATCAAAAGGCATAATCGACATTCATCCTTTGCTGAAAGGGCTGTCACTCCCCCAACATTTTCTCTCCCCGTCTTTTCGCCCATCAGCCAGCCGGACATAAACTTGCCAATTGGCCCCGCAGCAGGCGTTGGCGGGCGTTGCCGGTCATTCCGGCCAGAGACACAGGATTATTTGAATTAAATTAACCCATGATCTGTCGAATTCTTCAGTTCAGACGCGCGCCGAGTATTTGTTCCGCAATGAGGCGTGCTTCTGGGAAAGGTTGTCAAAGGAGACCAGGCCTGTCGCGCAACGAGGCAGGTCAGCCTCTATCCAGTGCCATGTGCTTTGGCAGATGGGAGCCGCAGCAGCCTGATTCGACTGCAGCGCAAGGTACAGTCAGCTGGCCCCTATTCTGTGCTGCGCTGTGCTATGCTGCAGCCGCCCACCTGGTTTCTGCATGCAGTCCGGTGGAACGAATTAAAGAATGACCGTGGAATGTCAAAGGAAGTATATTAAAAAAGCTACCATTTGCCGCCCTTCTTGCCCTTGCCGCCCTTGGCTTTGCCCTTGCCGCCCTTGGGGCCGCCCTTGCCAGCACCTGGCGCTGCAGAGGGCGCGGGGACAACACTCTTCTCGGGCTTGGCCTCGCTGGCTGGCACTGCTTCAGCAGCCTTCCCGCCAGCAATGCGCGCGCTGCCGGTGCCGCCGAGTCCCGACCCGGCTTCTGTTGCGCCGCCCTGGGCGCCACCGCGCAGCTTCTGCTGCTTGGCATTGCGGCCGCGTGCCTTGTAGCTTGCGCGCTGGCGCAGCGGAATCCACCGCTCGCTGTCGGGCTTGCGCGCTGGGCTGTAGCCCTTGGGCGGCGTTTTCAGAAGTCTGCGCTGGCGGCGCGCGCGGTTGCGCTCGGTGCGCTTCTTGGCGGGCGCCACTGCGCCACTGCGAGCCAGCTCGCGCCTGGTGGCCGCCAAACTCTGCGGCGCCCCGCCGGCTCTGGGCTGCAGCTTCCGCACAAAGCGGGGCGAGGCTCCAGGGACAGCCGACACAATCTGCTTGCGCCGACCAAGGCCTCTGAGCGCCTGGGCGACGGCCTGGTTGCTGACTCCGCTGCCATCACCCTGCGCCGCCAGTGCTGTGGACGCGTGTGCCGAGACCAGGCTGGTCGCGTCGGCGCCCTGGCTGGCCGCTGCCTTCTTCGCTGCGGCAAAGCACTCTCGAGCACCCTCCGCATCGCCGGCTTGCGCTGCGCAGTCGCCGACAGCTAGCAGCAGCGCGACGCTGGGCCCAGACTCAGAAGTCCTGCTGAGCTCCGTCTGCAGTGCCTGGCAGCAGCAGCTGCAATTGAAGTGCCAGCCGCCGCATCGGATCGGGTGTCCTCAGAGAGGCTGCCGGCCAGCAGGCTTATGCCAAAGTAGTAGCGCGCAAATTTCTCGGGGGCACTGGTTTGTGCTAGCCGCACGGCCTGCGCCTTCTCCATCCACTCGGAGAGGATTTGGCCGGCGCGGCTGTTGTCCCCAAGCGCAATGGCTGTCTGGGCTGCTGCCAGGCCGCCTTGACACCTCCAGTGGCACTCTGGCTGTGTGCGAGTGCTGAGAGCTCGTTCAGAGCCTGGGTGGGCTGGCCCATCCTCAGCGAGATCGCAGCGGAGACGAGCCCGGCGTTGGCAACAGCCATGTCGGAGAAGCGCTTTCCCAGGCGCCTGAGCGAGCGGCGGGCTGCGGCCGGCTGGTTCTGCGCGAGCTGGGCGACAGCCATGTTGTACGTCATGAGCGCGCGCTGGGAGTGGCTGAGTGCCTTGCTGCTGCGCCCTGGGATCTGAACCGCCCGCTTGACGATGTTGGCGCGAGTGGCATCGCCGCCACTTCCATGCATCCCAGCACGGCGGCGTTGTGGCCCACCACGTCGCGGACACCTGCGTCCAGCGCACCGCCAGCGAGCAGGCGCGTGTATTCAATGCGCGCCTCGCCGTCGTTGCCAAGCTGCTGCAGAGCAATCGCCCTTTGCGCGTCAATTGGGCCGGTCTCTGCATCGATGTCCTTCGAGGCCCACCCGTCTGCGGCAAGCGTGGTCACCGCCAGCGTCTTGGCCTCAGAAAGAACTTCGGCAGCCTCTTGGCTTTGCCGCTGGCCAATAGGCCGGTGGCAGAATTGAACATCAGCTCGTAGTTGCCCTGGGCTGCGTGGCCAGAGGAGGGATACTTACCACTGAGCTGGGCTTCTGCTGCCTCGGCCGCCGCCAAATTCAGCAGCAAGTCAGTATGCTCCTGGCTGTCTTGCTCGGCCGTGGCAATAAGCCTCTTGTAGATGCCCACGCACTCGGAGAACTGGTCGCACTTGTACGCAATCTGCGCCAGCAGATAATCCGTTTTCGGTCCTGGGCTTGCCTTTTTCAGCGCGTTTCTGGCATCGGCATAACTCCCCAGTGTGAAGTGGCAGTACGCTGCTTCGTACTCCATTGCTTTGCTGGAACCAGCTTGGCAGTGCGCGCCCTGCTGATGGCGGCAAGAGCCTGCGAGACGTGCTCCAACTTGATGAGTGCTACAATCTCGACCTTAGCCAGCTCGGCCTCCTTGGGGTACTGCTTTAGCCCAGCGCGCGCGCTATCAACGACACCCAACAGATTGCCTGCGCCAATTGCATCCTTGATTGTAGAGTAAAACGATTCTAGCGATTGGTTCGACATTATCCTTTTCGAGTAAACTTGGGAGTATGGAATAAAGGATATTTGGTAAAAAAAGGTCAAGCAAAAATAATTTGTTGGCGCATGCAGGACGATTTGCTCGAAACAAAGCAAAGATGTGCCAAGCTAGTGACGCGACTGATCGTGGCCGATTAATCGATCAACACAATGCATTTATAAGAAATCAAGGACAGGCGCGCAGCTTGTAATGCCTCCTGAGCCTTGAGCATTGGATATTTAATACCAAAGCTTGAGTTTTGGAAAACCCTCAGCAACATCAGCTCACATTGGATGCCAGCAACCAGGCAAATCAGCAGTTGATTTTGGCAGTTTCAGTAACCAAAATCAATGGATTCTGTATGGCGCGCACAATACCCCCATTTTCGCCTGCCACTGAAGCTTCGCTAGGATTCAATGTTAATGTCGAATAGCATTTTTGCCTAAATAATTTGTTCTCCGCATTTATCAGCCAAATTAATATGCTGATGGGAAATTATTATACGCGTGGAAAATAACAGTTCGTTTTCGAGTGCTTTTTCTTGCAATACCCAGCACTAAACATATGTTTCAACCAATTTATTAGGGTTGAAAATATAACGGAAACATTGTATTTAATATATTTGGCATTTATTCCCCGAATTTAATTCTATTCAATACATCCTCAAGTATTGCGCGCGCACACGCACACACACACACACTGCAAATTGTGCATATCGCTAATAATAATATAATTGTTTTATTAGAAATTATGATGGTGAAAACACCATCGCATAGTTACCATGGTTTTGTTTGACACAATCGCCTATATTTTATTTTAATATTAAACGACGGTTATTGGTTATCGCGTCACGGAAATTATTGTTTAATAACATTTTTGCTCGCATTTGCTTTTTAAAGATTATCCAGAATTTTGCTACATTTTCTTGTTTGTTACTGCTAACAATAGTGAACGAAACTTAATTATAAACATATATTTCATATTCATACTGCGCTAGACCCTTGAATATCCCTACTTTCTGACTTGTTTCATGATCCTTCAAGTACTTAGCATACTTTGAGTTGTGCCAATTTAATAGTAGAAGCACAAACATCAGCTGCAATCGACTTACAAATACCTCAGCTAAGAATTCGTCGTTACATATTTTCTAAAAATTTCCTCTTCTCTCCTCTTGCATCCCCGCATTTACAGCCGAATCGCTATTGCATTTGGCCGTGTTCTTGTATCTCTCTCTTTTTTATTTTTCTCGCTCCCTCCGCCTTTCCATTCAGAAATTACCATCTCTTCTTTAGAACATAGTATTTTTGCCACTCTGCCCATTTTCACCATCCGACGCTATACTTGTTTGCACCAGTTCTTTTTTTGTGGATTGCATAATACTAGTCTCCTCAAACAACAGTGCTCTGGCCAAAGGTTCACTTGAACCATACACTCCTTTATTTTCAACCCGCGCGCTACCGATTCTTTATTTAATGGTGGTGGATCCAATAATGGCAAACAGAAACACCTCAACCAAGTGCGAGGGTGTCCGCCAGTTCAAGTGCCCACTATGCACCAAGGCATTCTTTCGCCTGGAGCACCAAACGCGGCACATGCGCACCCATACAGGCGAGCGGCCACACGGGTGCGCATATCCCGGATGCGGGAAGCGGTTCTCACGCTCAGACGAGCTGACTCGCCACATGCGCATCCACAAGGGCACGCCTGCCCAGCGGCGCGAGGCCAAGGGTATCAAAAAGCGCGCCACCCGTGGGGCTGCTGCTGCGTCTGCTAAGGCATTTTCAGGGTCTGGTTCCGCGCATTCGTTGTCATCTATTGCTGCCCTGACAAACACGATACCTGGAATGACTCTGTTAACAGGCACTCGTCAGCAGCCATGTCTGTGAGCGGGCATACTTTTGGTGCGCAGTATGGTGCCATGGCCGCTGTCGCTGCCGCTGGCCGTCAAGACCTAAGCGACATGAGCTTGGCCAGCATTACCTCATTGCCCGGGCTGTCGCAGAACTCATCGTATTACAGCACCATTCAGTCGCTCAATCCACTGTGTACTCGTCAGGGCTCTCAGGGTCGGCGCTTGGCAGCACGGCATCGCATCCATACCAGCAACATGCGATGCCTGCCTCCGCAACCAATCATATGTCTGCATCGGCGTACCAGCACACGCTCGGAAGCATCATTTCAGGGGCAGCGGCCGGCGGCTTTACAAGCGATATTACAGGACGGGCCAACCAATCTTCCGCCGCAGGATATGGCACTTCGGCACTGCAAGTCGCCGGAATCAATGGCAGTAACTACTCGTTCGGCAGGAATTATTCTTTGGACTGCCCGACTAGCAATCTGCCGTCGACATCGTCCACCTCTTCGTGGGCGTTAGGTGCTGGTGATTTCCTAAACTCGTCGAGAGATAGCCTTTATCCCATGATGCTGCCGTTTGGAAATACTCCGTCCAGTCGCTTGCAGCGGGCAGACCACTCCTGGGGCCAGCATTCTCGATCAGACAGTAACAAGACCACTCAGCAGCAGCAGCCATCAGATCAGAGCTACAATGTTGCCACAATCGATAACTATTACGCGTCGCAAAATGCTGACAACCGCTATGCCCTTTATAGGCCACTGACCGACTCGCGCTCTGCCAATAGCTACAATCTGGAAACTGAGCTGAGCGCTAACCAATCGAGCGCAGTTGGGCTCCGCGACTCTGCCGTTGACACCTCGTCTGCAGGCAGGTTTTCCAGTCCCAACATGTTTGCCGGAATACCCAGCCTGGACCTCTCTTTTCGCCCTACTACTGCCACAATAAACCCCGCCAGCACCACTACCTCATCAACAGCACTGTATGCCGATACATTTCGCGAGCACCAGTACCAAGACAAACAACACAACCTGAATAGCCTTGGCCTGAGCGACACCACCACCACCGCCGCCGAGAATGTATTATCCGAGTCTACATCCTCATTCCAGCCGCTAATGGTTGATAATAGCGGCTCTATGAGATCCACAGACACGTCCATCAGCGGGTCATCTGTCGTCAATGCTGCAATAATGAGCCTTACTTCTTGGCAACCCCACGCGCACTCGAACATTGGTTCTCCACTGTACCCCTCAGCGTTTCAGCCACTGGGGTTTCATAGCGAGTATGTCGCCGAAGCCCCCCAGCCGAGTAGGGCCAACGGTGCTTATAACGGAGACACCACGATAAGTGTTGCTGACAATTCCTTGTCTCATGGTTACTCGAAATCGTCGGAATCCCCGTCCTCAGGCGCTATTTCTCTCACCGCGCTTCTTGGCGGCAACAATGCGGGCTACGTAGACAGCCAGCCATCGTTGCATTATTTTTTAGGGGAGCCCAAGCCGACAGCACTGGAGGCGTCGGTAGAGGGTGACATTAACCATTCCAACTGCCTCCCCCTCCTGTAAGCAACACCCAAACATGTCTGGAGAATCGTCAGTTGTGTTTTCGGCAACGTCTACTAGCAGGGAATCATCTCAGCCATATACTCCGTATACCAACTCTGCATGTCCAGTGTTAGCGGATGTTGTCCAGAATCTAAACACAACCAACAGCAGCAGCAGCAGCACCAAAGCCAACACAATCAACACATGCTACCGCCAATTAGCAGCCTTTTGAATGGCGTATAAAAATACCACGTCTCAGCCTTATGCTAGCAATATTATATATTATATATTTTCACATTTACTAATATTTTATAAATTAATTTGTTTTCTCTTTATATTTAAAAACTGGAAAATGCGTGTGTTGTCTTAAGCTAGGCGCACACATTGGTCTGTTCCAGGATACTTTGGTACTTTCAGCTCTTCAGCCATGTCTGGAGGCACGAACCTTCCACCCAAGTAGTGGAATCTTCCGTTAAACTGTTTGGCACATAACTTTGGCACAGTCAGTGACACCAGCATATCCGGACGCAGGCCAACGCCCTGGACATCGCCATACTCAACGTCCCAGCCGCTGGGAATGTCCACAGAAACAATGGGGGTGTTTACGCCACGCAGTATGTCAAGTGCCTGGTCAAACGGTGCCCGCACTGACCCCTTGAAGCTGAATCCAAATATCGCGTCGACAATCAGATCGCTGGACTTTGCCTCTGTGGTGAGATCAGTGACGACTGGAATATGGTGGATGTCGCATTGGTGCAAAAGATTTTTGTAAAGATCCTTTGCAGGCTGCACTGGGTAGTACAGGGACGTCTTGTATCCAAAGTGCTTCAAATGGCGGGCAGCCACCAGCCCGTCGCCGCCGTTGTTTCCAGGGCCTATGCACAGAAGTACCTTTCCGGCCGGATACTCCTTGGCAATACTCTGAGCAACGCTGAATCCGGCAAGTTCCATGAGCTGCTCGATTACGTATCCATGCTTAGACATCAGGTCCACGTCAACCAACTGAGCTGCCTTTTGGCCGAGATACTATGTAAGAAATGCGTTTGCATAATAATAAAAGTTGCTTCAACAGGGTGAATTAAAGACAGCTGGCAAATGGAAGATCATCATACATCATGTCTATATATATTCAAACAAGCTACAATAATACACACCTTGATATTCGCTGCCATTACGTTGAACTGCCCTGTTTATTCTTTTCCCTCTACTACTGTTGTATGTTATATGTTGTAATTTTAACAATGCTAAGAGACAATCGAAAGTGTGGAAAAATTAACCATTTCGCAAATAAAAGAGGAAAAAGATAAAGAAAAGAATAAAGCACGTTCTCTTGCATCATTGCAGCATTGTGGTGGGATTAGGGTGTAGTGTGATTTTTAATTAACAAAAAATGACATTTTGTCTGTCATGCGCTCGCATCGACAGGCATAACTTGGTGTTAAACACCAAGGTCGCTGCAAACAATGTTTGCAGCCCGTGTTTCCAAAATCATAATATTTCTCAGATTGATCATTTGTATGTAAACATATTGTTACTCATTTTCTGCACACGATAAGGCGAGAAAAATTAACAAAAAAAATAATAGTATTGTAAAAAATACACCTAAACTGCCAAGATAGAGAGAGATGGTGCGACGCACTTTTAAAATTTCATTTTTCAGGATTTACAATCAATCAATCGAACGAATAAATAAATAAATGAATATGCAGGTTACGATAAGTGAAAAATGCAGTTCATATTAATCCAAAGATGATGTAAACACGTTGGTGTGGTCCCTCTGGGCATGAGCCGATGTTGGCGTTGGCGGCGGAAGGCGCATGCGGCTGAGCTCAGAGCGGTCGGTGCAGTTGAGAATATCAGCGATTGCAGACACACTGCGTGCTGACTTTGTGTGCAGCATTGGGCGGCACGGGATGGCCGAGATAAGATTGGCAGACGCGCGCGTCTCCTCCTTACCATCGCTGCGCAGGGGCGTCCGGATGTGGCTGGCAATGCTGTAGTTGTACGGGTATACTGACGACATGCTGCCAATGTTGTCCTCGATGCTCGGGTCGGAAATCTCTAGCCGGCTGGGCACCCTGTTGCAGGCACCCTGCTGTGTGATCCAGGGCGTGCGAGGCGAGTTGGCGTTCAAACAGTGCTTTAGCGACCCGCCGCTCAATGCGGGGCTGCCACAGCCATCTATACTGGACATGGCTGTGCTGGGAGCTTCAGGCTGAGCGAATGCTGAAGATGCTGGGGGCCGTTGGAGCGCGGAGGGCAAGCGCCTTGGGTCTTGTACAGCGGCGACAACGCCGATGCAGCTCCAGGGTTGTAATGTGAGGCACGGAGCGGGGTTGTGGGCAGCGAGTGTGTGCCCTCTAAGTGCCTCGCGGCGGCAGACGACAGCGTTACCGCCGAATTAAACAGCAACTGTGCACCGTTGGCAGTGGCGGCGCTGCGGCTGTTGCTTGTCAGCAGCGACACCATTGAATCTGACGTGGCGCCAGCAGGCCCAGGACCAGAGAACCCTGAATTGGATTCGCAGACAATCGGGGCTGTGGCCAGCTGCGATGGCTGTGTTTGTGGCTTGGTGCAGCGCAGCGCCGAAAATGCGGCTGTTGACGCCGAGTGAGGAGGGGGCGGGAACAGCGGCGGGCATTGCGACTGTGCGGCGGCGAGGTTGAGAGGTGGTGGTGGCGGAAGCCCAGATGAGGTGCGCCTTCCAAACAGGGTGCGCTTTTGTACGAAGGAGGCTGTTGAGCCAGCGGAGAATCCGCCGTTGAAGCTGGTGCTTCTGCCGTTGGCGCTGGCGCTGCCAATAGCCATGCTTGTGCGCCCGCTGTCAAATGGCGCGAGCGAGTTTTGGGGGTGCTCTAGTGAGCCCACTGCGTTTGGCAGCGGCGATGGCGCAGATGATCCCGACGAGGCTGACGACATTGCGGAGGAGGCATGCACGCCAGCAACGGCGTTTCCGGATGCATCTGCAGATGGGAGGGAGTGCAGCAGAAATTTTGATTGTTGGGAACCAGCTGTGTTTTCTGAGCCACTTGCTGCAATCTGCGAGTAGCCGCGATCTTGTTGGTGTTGGTGTTGCTGCTGTTGCTGCTGGTAGAAGTGGCCGGCGCTGCTATTGGCGCCATTGCAGCTTTTGGAGGGTGCGTTGAACACCCGGGGCGGTGATGAGGAATGGCTCCGGCAGTGGTGGTAGGACGACTCGGCCACAGCAAATGCGGGACCACCAGCCGCAGCCTCAGAGCGCAAGGAGGAATAAGAGCCCGCTGCGCGCGCATAGTGTGTGGAGTGCACATCGCTGGCATCCGCCCGGCCGTGGGGCGCACTTGGGATCTGGTGCTGCTGCTGGTCTGCTGCTGGTGCTGGTGCTGCTGCTGGTGGCGGGCGTGTGCCTGTGGGTTGCCGTAGTGGTATTGATGCTGGTGCGAGTGGTGGCCGGAAAATGGACTGCCAAAGCCAGACGGTATGACGGCGGCCGACGCCGAGTAAGGGGCGTGCTGATACGGAAACACGTTTGCTGGCATAGTAGCAAAGGGGGACCCCGCAGTAGCAATAGGGCTCAATCCTGGCGGAGCACGCAATGGAAACTGCCTGCGCGCAGTAGACCCGTCGGCAAACGACATTGGCCCAGCGCCGCCGCTGCCAGCCGCAGACAGCATTGTGCGCGTGCCGTGAGACGCTCCATTGCGCCGACGCGACGTACGCGCGTCGCGCTTGACGCTTACGTCAGGGCGGTGGATGCGCATGTGGCGGGTGAGCTCGTCGGAGCGCGAAAAGCGCTTCTCGCAGCCAAGGTGGGTGCATGCGTGTGGGCGCTCGCCAGTGTGGGTGCGGATGTGGCGTGTCTGGTGCTCGAGGCGGAAGAAGGCCTTTGGGCACATTGGGCACTTGTACGGGCGCGGCGCCTCGGGCTTGTAGGGTCCGGCGGCGGCCATGTCGCTGGGGCTGCTTGCTGAAACCATGTGGATGGGCGGGCTTTGTAAAAAAACTAATGCAAACAAATCGGAGTGTATTACGCAACCGCCAATGCACGATCAATGGTACAAATGTGTGGAAAGAAAATAAAGCGCGCGTGTGTGTGAGTGAGGGCTGGCGGCGATTTGATAGGGCTACAATATGGAGATGTTGGATGACGATGAAATAAATGGGTATGGATTTTTTTGCAACGGCTAAATGATCAACATATAATATGAGTGAAAAGGAAAAGTTAAAACATGTAAGTGGATAATAAATGGATGTGACGATGGAGATAAAACAAAATAAAATAATAAAGATACAAGAGCAAAGTGCAAAGTGCAAAGTGCGAAGTGCGAAGTGGTTCAGAAAATATAGGTTTTGTGGAGGAGAAAAGCGGCTTGTGAAATGCGAGTTTATGTGCGCTGCATAAAGCGCTGGAGGCGGAGACGAAGTGTGAGTGTGAGTGTGAGTGGAGAAGGAAACAAGCAGCCAGAGCACAAAGGGGAATCCGGTGCAGCTATCCACCAGCAAAGGAAAATGAGGCTCAGGGGGTGGGCCACGGGGGGAGGGCAGCAGAGGGGGGAGGGGAGGGGCAGTTACGAGCGGTTGTTGCCAGCGCTGAACACGCCTTGTTGTCGCTGCGCTGCTCTGCGTTGCGTTTCGCAGTTTGGACCTTTTGTTTTGTTGTTGTTGTTGTTGTTGTTGCGCTCTTTGTCCTGAAAGCTGGCCAGCCCAAATGCCTTGAATAATGAACTGGATAATGCAACGAGAAACGAAAGAAAAGTAATCCTGATTGGGGAGGGGGATGAAGAGGGGGGTATGGTGCAGCTCTGGGCTCTGAGTTGCGGATGAAAGGCCACTAGAGTGCGTGCGCCTGAGCAGGCGGTGATTAATGGTTGCAACAAAGGAGTGTTTGGCTGAAGGCCGGGGGCTGAATGCACAAGGCCGGCCCAGCGCTATGAACGAGGGAGGGAGCTGAGAAGGAGTGAGAAAGAGAGAAAAGAGATGGAGCAGCTTGGTCAACAAAGAGCTGAATAGGGGGTGCTGTTGTTTAAATATGGCGAGGGGCATACCAATATAAAAGCAGGGAGGGACAGCCGCCGCTGTCGCGATTACGTTTTTCTCCGATTCTGCGGAAGTCTTTCTTGCTCGCCCTGCCTTGTCTCGGAAAGATGACTTTAATACCGCTTACTCGGCCGCCTGAATTGCAGCAAGAGCAGTTGTGCGTCAGGAACACACCCGAGCAGCCGCCAGCGCACACGCAAAATGGGGGAGGTGGCCAGAGCAGTGCGCGCCTTGCAAGGTAAACTGGGGATGGAGATGATGCTGCTCGGCGGAGGGCAGGGGTGACAAGAGCACCCGGACTCAGACTCAGACTCGGCGCAGTAGCCTAGAGTAGAGTAGAGTAGAGTGCCCTGGAAAACGGGGAGGGAGCACTGGGCGGTGAATAGTTTATATGTAGCCGATACAAGGTTTTGTTTTCGCAGTATCAATTCCACCCGCTCCTCACTCCTCTCTATTGCTCGCTCGCACAGTGCTGTTAGGCCACAATTTCAAAGCAGTAAATTTGAACGCCCACTGCTTTTGTCAATAAAAGGGCAATGCCTTAAAATAGCGCTTTTGGCGCGGCTAATGTTGTCGCTTTAATGTCATCTGTGTCCCTCCTTGTGCAATATTAGCTGTGAACAAGAAACACCGCAAACAATATAAACAAAACATTTATGGAGATGTGAAAAAGAAACGAGTGTACACGTACCCGCATAACGGGCGCGTATGTGGGCAGACTTACTTTGGCGCGGAGCGATAGTGCCTGTGTGGAGCAAGAGGCTGGGATGGCGACGGCGACTGCGACAGCGGTAGCCCGTGGCAGAATAAAGTTTAGTAGCCGTGTTATATGAATGTGCGGAGAAAAAAGGGTGGGGGAATTAATGCCAAAAAAGTGCAAAGCCGATGGGTATACACGATTGATTGTTTAATTCTCAATAGCTTGACAACGGAGGCGTGGTAAAAAAGGTGTTCCTAACACATTTGCTATTCAATTCCCACCACGTTAAAAATATATTGTTGATTGATGAAAGACTAGTACCCCCCAAAAATGCAGAGACGTAGCTGCTTTATGAAAAGATAAATAAAATAAATATAAGGCTCTTAAAACAGTATTTGCATTCCAACCCTAGCTTTGCAGTTGCGTTGGCTTTAAATAAAAATATGTGACCATTTGGTTTTTAAATGTTTGTTGTACACGACATAATATTAGAGCAATGCTTTTGCCATCCCAAATGAATAGTGCATTATTTAATGCGACAGTTTGCTTTCTGAGAATGGCCTAACCAAGAGGGGGAATTACATGTGTGGAGCAGATGCACACGGACACTGCGTGTGGCGGTATACTGCCATATATACCGGAGCACGATAAAGCAAGCCATCGGATAGCCACCTTGCTCGGAGCAACCATCAGCCAGAACTACTATAAAAATGATAATGTGTGGGTAATCTCTGCATATAAAGCGCGTTGCAGCGCAGTATAATATGACGGGCTAGTAAGAAATTGTATATACTTTTAGCAACTATCTTATTAAACGTATTTATATAACAACCGCTCTTGTTGCAAATATATCGCGTCTACAACTGCATGGGTGAAAAACGCCAGGCTAGATAATATAACATGCATTTTCATCACACAAGCAGCACCAAATGCATTGAGCCGGCATAACGATGTAGGTGCTCCATGAAACAGGCGGGCATATGATATTAGCATTTTGGAATTGAAAATGCTAAATGTAATTATTAAATAAAATAAGCACGGCCAATGGTGATAATTATTATTTAATACCGCCCAAACCACAGTTTTTGCCACCTTGCAAACACAAAAGGTAATTTCAATTAGTGGCGTATTTACAGGCGCAAAACATGCTATATCGCCAGTTTTTGAGATATTATTTTCTATTTATGTGTTGGCAACATTAGACATTCAGGTTGTTTTAATAAATAAAAACACTGCGCACAATTGCATTTTTTTAAAATATTGCTTGCTTTGAGTATCTGTAATTATGTGCTATTATTCACCAAGGGATATTTACAATTCTTTTTTGAAATTGCCAAGTAAAAAACATAATTAAATGTGCTGGGAATTTGCCATTACGACATATTGAGTACACCAATATGTGTGGGCGCATCGATTTAATTGTTAAATAGTGTACAACTTGGTACAATATTGTTTCAATTTAATTTAAGTAAACTTTTATTTTTATATTCCATGTGACTGGTCGGCAGCAAGTACTTTATCAACAACAATCAATATATGCCAATAAAAATATAAGTGCCTTATTTACTATTTCTTATTTCTTCCGCCTCAAGATGTGTTGTTTATTCCGCCACTTGCATCATGATGCTGCTTTAAACTATTGCTTGTAAATTTAAGCACGTGCATTTTAACAAATTGTATTTTGGGGGAGGTTTTTAATTGCAATGCATTGCCAGCGCATTATTCGTTCCCCAAGATCATTTCATTATATTTCATTATTCTATATTTGGGGGCTCGCAATTGGTCATGCATAACATTATTTTTTATTAAAAGTGACATTTTGACACATTTTTTAATTAATTCAATGCCAACTACTTTGCCAATTTTACATAATGTCACACTACATTACATTTTCAACTGCACTTTACACCACCCTATTTTTGATGTTTAAATAAAACAAAATAAGGCAAAAAATAAACCTAATCGAAGAGCATCTTTGATTCAAGGTGTAGTGTGGTTTCCAATGCAGCAATTCACTTTCCTCCTTTTTTACCAGGAGCATTTTTGTATTTAAATTGGGGAGGTCTTACATATGTGCATGTCATTTCATCTGATGACAAAGCAGTATTACAAGCATAAACATCACATACACACACCCTGAGAAATGTGACAATACGGTTTTCACTTTTGTCGGTGCAGCCGTCCCTCTTGGTCATTCATTTATATTTTTATCTATACAATTCTGGGGGCTGCTGCTACTGCTGCTACCAGGAAAAGCTTGCTTATAAGCGTGTGCTTATAATATTTTCTTTTGCGAATACTGTTTACTTTTTATTGTCTGAACTGTCTGTTTGTGCTACTGTTTTGGTTTTTCTTGTTTGCTTGAATGCACAATTGCTGGTAGCTAAATAATAAAAAGCTGACCGTTTCTAATTTGAAATACACAGCTTTGTTGTCTTGTAGCAGCCAAGCCACCAAATGCACTATTGTAGCATATTTTTAGGTGTGTTGTTCGTGGGAAAAGGGGCTTCTGTATATGGCTAATCGATTAGCAGCAATTAAATTTCTGACAAGACAATCGATGTGGCTGGACGCAGAGCTAATCACAACATGCCAAATCAACCACGTTTTCGAATTTTAAAAAAGGTTGCTTACACTGTTCAAGTAAACTTGTGGCTGCAAGAATATCATATGAGGATATATAGATAAATATTGAGTAAAAAGATAAATGTTGAGATAAATGTTGAAATGGAGACTAGCAGTATGTCATAAAGTGGCGTGTACTCAAAGTCAGTGCAAACAGCTGCTTACATCGTCTTGGCCTTGACTTTGCCCTTGTTTCCATAGGTCTTCATTGAAAAGTCGACAAACAGATAGATAAGTGGGATTAGGTACGACAGCATGACAAACAGTAGGTTTCTCTGAAGAGGCGTCAGGCATCCGGGAAGCGTGATGTACAGGGCGATGAACACGAGCCCGATGAGGAACTGGAAAATCTGCAGGTGGGTCAGGTATTTTTTACCCGGAGGTGAATATCCCATGGCAGTCAGCGCAAAGTACGTGTACATCAGCGTATGGATAATGCTGTTTTCGACCACATAGAAAATGAGCTGGGGCGAACCAAAATAGCACCCAACCCACATTGTGGCAATGGCACCAGCATGGTGGTACGTTTGCAAGAATGTAGCCTTGCGACCTATTTGCATAATTTAAATTTATAAATAATAATATGTTGGATTTAGCATTATATTATTGTTATGTGTATCTCAAAAATAAACATGCTAGCAATGGCGCGTAATGCGCGCACTTCCAAACTTTGTCAAGCGTAGTCTTACCTTTGGCCAAAATAATAAACGTGTCAATCAGCTCATAGTACTTGCTCAGGTAGAACAGATAGTTGAACTTGAACATATTGTTCCATATTGTGTGATTGGTATCGCAGTACTACATTGAAGATGTTGAGAAAAATGGTGCAAGCTTAGCATATGGCAAACCACAAATTCAACGCACGTATAAATAAAAATTGGCACTTGTCGTTAACCATCTTTTTTCCCAAACTACAAATGTGTTACCACTGTCACTGCATTAAATATTATTTTCATATGACATATTGCATTCACATTTTGGATTACTGTTTATACTTACTGCGCAGCGTAATCCCTCTTCACCCACTGTTTTGGCAAAGGCAGCCGTGTAGTTTGTTGCGCACCAGTACGAGAACCCTGCAAGCGCCAAATTGTGGAGCACGATAAAAGCGGTCATCCAAGGCCGCTCTCCTTTTTTGCTTTATTGACAGTGCCGACATCTTTCTGCAGCTCGTCTCCGGCGAGCTGCAGGCTTTGGCGCTTGGCCTCGATTCTTGACAGGTTTTTACCCCTTGTAGAGTTTAGATACTGGACAGCAAGTGTGTACACTGCAACGATCACGAGTGGTGTGACTGGGTGTAGCGAGATGTGGTAGAACTGATGCAGCGGGACATTTTCCAGGTTTACCGCTGTGCCGGCAGGAAGCTTGATTTGCGACATGCCGTATTGATGAGGCTAAAACAGCTGATGCAATAAGATGGTTTGTTAATTACGGAACCTCAGGTTACAAAAGATGGAGGAGCTGTACTGAACGCGGTGTATTGGATTGGTGTTAGGCTGGACGTTGGGTTGGTATACACGAATGAGGAAGGGGAGGAAGAAACGAATAAAAGAAAGAGTATTCAAAAGCAAAAGGTGTGCGACGAGATTTAATGTGCCATATCAACCATTCTTTATTACTATTTCAGTCGCAAATATGGCCACCCCTTTCTCTTGGCCTGGCTGACCAAACATTTAATAATATTATTTCCCCCAAGTGCGGCATTTGGCGTCAGTAGCACTTTGATATTCAATTTTTTGGCATTGTGCGCGTCAATATCTCCGACTCCACATCTGTTTTGTTTTTTTGCCCACCTTCGTTTACAATCGAATGACGCTGGTAGCTGGCCAAAAAATATTAATAAAATAGTAGCGTCTATTCACACATACAGATCTCATCAAAATTGCCTATAAAACCAATCGCTCCACGCATGAAGTTGGGCGTATACTTGCATGCGAGTATTGGCTTCCTACGGTTTTATTTTATCCATTCTGCAAAGTCGCTCGAGAGTCGTGCAAAAAGAGGAGCGCCCCCCAATAATAGCCATGCAGTGTGGATAAGTGCTGGTTTGAAAATAAACTATACTTATTTCTGGAGAAATGTCGGCACATGCGTGCATAAATACAATTGCGATATGTGTTATAAGTAAATTGATATTTGCACTTCCACGGTAAAGGGCATAGTCGTGGCGTTCGGTGTTTTAAACACTTGGTTTTCAAAAGCTCAAATTAATAGCATAAACATTTTTTATTGAAACACTTAAGATACGCCAAACTTGTGAAAGATGCGGAGATTATTTAAAACAATTGTGAAAAAATAAAACTAGGGGAAACATAAGCTAACTATAAGGGCGGTTACTCAATAACAGCAAACATTGACTAGAGCATGAACGCAGCGGCAACAACAAGAGCAGCAGCTGAGAGGTAGCGGTATGATGCTCCGCTGGAGCTGGAATCGGAGCCGGAGCTGGACTTGGAGCTCGACTTCGACTTTGAGCTAGAGCTACCCTCGTTCTTATCGTCAGACTCGGAAGCATTGTGGGCCTTGGTGCTGTGGTCAGCGTGGTCGGAGCCAATAGTGCCCTCCTCCTTCTCCTCGCTGGTATCAGTGTCCTTGTCGGCATCGACGTCCTTGTCGGCATCGACGTCCTTGTCGGTATCTACATCCTTGTCAGAGTCGCTGTCGTCACCATTGTCAGTATTGATGCTGGAGTCCTGCTCCTGCGAGGCATCGCTGTTGGACTGGACGGCCGAACTGGTACCGACGGCTTCAGTATCGGTGTTGGTGTCCTCGGAGACGACTTCGGAAGTAGACAAAGTGCTGGCGGTAGTCTGGGATGAGGACTCCGACTTTGACGACGTGCTCCGGGTGATTGAAATGGCACCGCCAATCTCACCGTCATCGCCCTCGCCAATTTCGCCATCGCCGCCGTCAACGCTGCTGGAAGTGCTGGTGTCGCTGGCACTGCTGCTGGTAGCAATGCTGCTGCTGCGACGCTGGAAGAGGTCACCTCAGTGCCCGGGTCAACTCCAGTGGAAACGCCCTCGGGGTACCAGTGGTACCGCCGGCAACCGAAAAGCGCGTGGACCACGACGAGCCCGAGCCGTCAGCAGCAGTGTACATCAGGAAGTACATGCCGGGCGCGGTCTGGGGAATGGTGAAGGGGACATTGGTCTGCGAGATAGGGAAGGTACCGATGGTCCTGACGGTGGTCTGTATGATGTTTCCGCCGGTCATGAACTTCAGGGTGTACGCGCTGGCGTTCGCGAGCGATGGCTCCTGATCGTCGGTTCTCCACTGGATGTTGATGGTCTGACCGGGGGTGACGGCATCGGCGCCTACCGGGTAGGTGGTGTAGAAGCCGGCCTGGACGGAGCTCATCAGCGCCATTGTTGCGGCGAGATAGGTGGTGAACGAGGGCATTGTCTTTCAAGCGTGGTTTTTTTATGACCGTGTTGGGCTAGGAAATAAGGGGAGAGTGGGGGAAATTGGATAATAAATGGAAGGGAAAGTTGGTACGCGCACTGAAATACAAAATAAAATAAAGTTCGTGAAGAGCAAGAAAAAAAGTAAACCAAGGAGGAAAAACAGAGGATTTTTGCTTCTTTTAAAGGATAATGGAATTGAACGATATTTTTACATTGCTATTGCCTTTGCTGTTTTCATTGCCATTGCCATTGCCATTTTGGGTGGGCAGCTGGCGAAATGGTGCTCAAGCAGTATGCAAGCGACTCGAGTTTGGGGGTTGTTTGCTTGCACAGGCCCCACATTTCTTTTTCACAATCGCAACTTTTCATTGTTTTTTCTTTGTGCCGACACGCACCTCTATTTTTGACCCCCCCCCCCCCCAAAGGTGCTTTTTTTGCCAGAATGACGCGCACTAATCACCTGCGCTTTCCATACAAAAGAGGCCTCTAGTATATCAGCAAAGGTGCCAGATGCGGGTCGTGCTGATTGGCAGCTCTTTTTGCTTTCACTTTTCACCTTTGTATGGCCTTTATCAGCGTGCTTTCTGTAACCATGAGGGAGCGCTAAAGTATCCGTGTTGGCACACTTTTGACCTACAATATCACAGGCAAGGCAAACTACTCCATCCATCTTTGCTGACAGGGAGAAATAAACGAGGGCGGATAATCCCTTGGGCTGCGCTGCTGTCCCCACACCCATTTGCTGATGCATCTCTGTCTGTTGTACAGTGCAAAGCCTGTTTATAAACTGATCGTCTTTATTTCCCATCCGGATTGGTGCTTGTGAAAAGCAACCATGCTCAACAGTGTGGTCGAAAAAGTTCATGCTTTTTGCATTTTAAGTGTCTGTGTGTGAGTTCGAGTGTCACCGCGCCAAACAAGCGACAGGTACTGGGTCAGCCGCAGATTATATTTGGACCAGGGTGCGAGCCAAAAATTGAAGCCAATAACAATAATAGCAACAGATATTGCACCCGCGATAGCGATAATGGCAGCTGGTGTTGAAGCTGCAGCGACAAAAAAATATCAACATTGGTGGCAAATAAAGACATCCGATCTCCAAGAGCAAATAAAACAAATATTTGCCCGGATGATGCGCAAAACAATAAGCGAAAAATAGATGCGGTGCCAAATACAGAAATGAAAATATTGTCCTGCAATTATACACAGCACCAAAACAGGATCACGTTGTTGATGTTTTTAAAAAATGGGGGGGCATGTAAGGAAGTAGAAATTGAAAAAAACGATCGACATACAACCTTGAAGTGGGCTGGACCGCAAAAAAAAAACCCGACTGGCTGACTGATGAATGCTTCTGAGTATCCAAAAGAGGCTCGGCTCGCCCAATAAAAAGGGGTATGCACAAGCCCTGGTCCAATGCCAGAGCCGAACCGAGCCATCCAATAAAAAAGATGGGCAGCATCAATTATCAGAAACAAAGCGAACAAGCAAACGATAAAAGTAAAAAAATGAAATTAAAAGACGGTTAGCAAAGCGCTTAGAACAAGCAAGCGGCGATCAGGGCAGCGGTCATGCCGCCGAACGAAGCAACAAGGGTACGCGCATCGCTGGAGCTAGACCTCACGAAGGAGGCTCCAGCCTTGATGCTGCTCTTGGAGTTCTCATCGTCGTCATTCTGCTCCTCGACATCACCGCTGATCCGAGACTCTTCGTCGTCAGCCTCGCTGCTCTCGTCCTCGTCATGGCTAGCGGACTTTATGCTGCTGGTCTTGGTGGAGCTGGTCTTGGAAGAGCTAGACTTCACGGACGACTCCTCCTCCTCTTCCTCGGAGGACTCATCATCATTGTTGACCTCTGACGAGCTGTCATCGTCAGTGTTGTCAGCAGTGCTGCTCTCATCACCCTTGCTGGTGTTGCTCTCGCCGTCGGTGCTCTCGCCGTCGGTACTCTCGCCGTCGCCGCCATTGTTGCCGCTGGTCGGAGGAGTGTAGGTAGTTTCATTGCCCTTGTAGTAGCAGTCAATGTTGATGGACTTGACGGCCATGGTGAAGGGCTGGTTGCCCCACTGGATAAGGCCGCCGGCCCAGTCCGAAGTGCCCTTGGCGCCGGAGCCACCATCCCAGATCGAGAAGCTGACGTAGGACTCGGAGTCGGGGTACTTGAAGGTGTTCGAGGCCGAGTCCCAGGTGTCGGCGCGGTTGACCGTGCGGAAGGCGTTGCCGTTGACCAGCCAGACAATCTTGTCGGGGGTCCATTGGATGGCGTACGAGTGGTAGTTAGTGGTGGTGTCGGGCAGTGCAGGCGACTTGACCATTTTGGTGTAGTCCAGCTGGTCGTGCCAGTAGAAGTTGGACTCTACGGATCCCTTGTTGGCGCCAACAAACTCAAAGTCAATCTCGTCACCGACCTTATCGTTACGGATGATGAACGACGACACAACACCGCCGCCCGAGGAGCCCGAGCGCATGACAGCCTCAACGGTACCGTACTGGAAGGCACGGGTGTTCATGACCGTGGCACCAAAGCCCTTGCCATCAGCCTGCTTGACCAGCGTGAGCTCCAGCTCGCCGTTGTTCTGCTTGGCGTTGGAGGGCTCGAACTGGGACAAAAACGCAGCCGTCGACGGGTCGCCGTTGTAGTCGGCGATCTGGGCGAAGGCGTTGCCGCTGGCAAAGTTCACGCTGCTCTGCACGCAGTGAGCGGTGTCCCAGCAGCTGCTCTCCGAGTACGAGTTGCCCGCCTCGCAGTTGAAGGGGCTGCAGTACATGGCATTGGAGTTGCAGTAGCCTCTGACGCAGCAAGGCGAGTCCTTGCCGCAGGACTGGGAGCCGCACTGGCCGGCGGCCATGGCGGTTTGCAGCAGCGCTGCGAGGGCAAGGGCCGAGATTGTGAAGTTCTACAATGCGAATGCGAATAAAATTGCGTTTAGCGCTGTTAAATTGTGGCAAGTGGAAAAACAACTTTGCGTATGGGGGAAGAGATAAAAGACAATAAAGATTAATAAAGTCTGGATGAACCCATCAATTGGTCCAGTTGAAGAACAATGGAGATCAAAGAAAAGCCCAAACAAATGGAAATAAAGCAAGGCATTGTGCTTTATATTTTGCATGGAACCGAGAAAAAACAAACAAAAACAGGCATTGTTGGCACCAACAACAATGATGACAATAATAATTTTGATGGAAAAGTATGTGTACGCATGACAAAAGGGGAGAGAGGGAAACCCTGAGAAGCCAGCCATGCTTGACAAATGTTTTTCATTGTTGAACTATGGCTGTTGTGGCAAAAGCGTCTACCACGCCGATTTTGCTGGCGTACCGCATTGTTGGAAGCACTGGATATGGTCAGCAAGTTTTTTGTTTGTTTGCAAAGCAGGCTTTGGTGCGCACCAGACAGACAGTACGTAATTTGCACTCTGTGATGCATGGAAAAATGACCGGTCCGCAGACAGAACCGGTCCACGCAGCTGGCGGCAACGCTCGGACCGCAAGCGATGCGCGCTGCGGGTATTGTGCTTTTGGCTGTGAATTCTTACCTTCATGATTGGTATTAAAGCCGGGTGCTAGGATGTGTGTACGCGCGCGATAACACTTCGTAATAAAAGGGTATAAGAGGGCGAGTGGAAGAAAGGATAATAAAAAGGAGAAAGGTAATTGGAGAACAGGGCGTGGGTGTATTAAAAGGAAAAACGGAGGAAAGAGAAGAGAAGGAGGAGTTATTTTTAAAAGCACGCTGGGAAGCTTGGGCTCAAAGATATAAATATAGAAATGAAAGAGCAGAGTAGACTGGTGGAACAGAACAAGAAAGCAAAAAAGGCGAGCGTGACAGCCAGAACGCTTTTAAGCGCGTTAGGAAATCAGCAGATGGCTAATGATGGCACCGATGATGGGGGTCGAGGGCACGAAAATAGAAAGCACATCTGTCGCTCTGCCCTCCGTCCTCCGCCCTCGGTGCTCAGTCCGCCCGCTAAAAACAAACGTTTTCCCCGGCCAACAAAAAACGAAAGAAGGGTGTGAAAGCAGATATCACAGCGTAGCGCTTATATGTATTGCATTTGAATCCTTTTTCTGTTACGCTTCTGCATTTAGCCTTTCCAGCGACGAAAAAGGATGGACACTGCAGCTGTATCGACCCATGAAATCAGCCCCGGAAAGAAACCATTCTGCTGCTGCGGCACGCTGCTGTGCCCTGCTCCGCTGTGTCCTGCTATGCTTTGCTCCGCTCGCCTCGCTCTTTGGCGTCAGCCTTTGGGTTTGTTTTTGCGCAGCACCATTAGGCTGCGACGCTGCACCCGTATTTCGCAGTGTTTGCCAGTGCTTACCAGTACCAAGTCACACCAAGATCATGGTGTCTTTAAATCTCTCTCTCTCTCCCTCCTCTCTCTCTCATTCCTCAACATTGTGCGCCATTGATGCAACCGCGCTAAAAACGCGCAGCACTGCTGTTGCGAGGGATGTCATCGCAACTCCAGCCTGTGATGAGTGGTTTGTGCTTGTGTTTGTTTTTGCGATTTGTTTACTGCTTTTCCATTGTCTTATTTTTAATTCGGAAAACGTTGCAGGCATCCATTAACGTGCCTTCCAAGAAAGCGCTTAAACAGGTTGGTAATAACTCGGGTGCCTCGGTTGGCCAGCATATTCCACCAAACAGCATGCCACTTTTTTTCGAGAATCAATGGCAGCACCAAAATGCATGGGATATTGGACTGGATTTGAGCAGGAAAACGAGCTTGGATCGCCGTCGCTTGATTTCTTTTTCCCATTGGTATACAATTGCAAAGTTTTTATTCCCACCAAAGTATCAAACAGCTTCTATTTTGAAATGATTTGTTTGGGTGGCAAATAACATCTAGTGTCGATCCTCGTCTGTAAAAATAGCCCCAAATTTTATCAAGAAAAACAGGACAAAAAAGAAAATTGCAATTTCGTCTGATATTGGCTGCTTTCGCCATTTCTCGGAAGCGGCCAAACTTGGATCCAGTTCCTCAGCTGGAAAGGGTGAACAATCAAACTGTTTGCATCCTATTATCTGCTTGACAAGCACAGAGGGATTTGACGTCATTTGGTTTCCAAATTCAATGTTCAGTATTCAAAAGCACAATGGTGGACCCTAAAAAGGAAAGCAATCTCAGGGGTTATTCTTTACCCATGTGTAGTAGTACTGCACCACGCCGAGTGGCTGGCCGACTATGCAGAAGGAGATCCAGAAGATGGCGTTGCCCAGCCCGGACTCGGGGCCGCGCCACCGCACCAGCCACTGCGTCAGCTGGATCAGCGGAATCTGCGCCATCATGCCAACAAACGAGTACCCTTCAGGCAGTGCGTCGGGATGCCAAACAGCAGCTCGTGCATCACAGCCGAGAACAAAAAGGTGACCATCACGCCGGCGCTCACCGGCAGGTTCAGCGGCGCTGAGACCAGCGGCACCATGATGTGCCGTTTGCAAAAGTAGTGGATCGGCAGGTTCCACTCGCGCCAGTACGCGGCCAGGTCGACCGAGTTCCACCAGTCAAGATAAAAGGCGCGGTCGGCGAAGCGCAGCACCTCGGCCAGCGCGTTGAGCCCGGCGTGGAAGAGCGCGTAGAAGCCGAGGAACCACACGATCGCGCTGATCACCGACAGCTTGAGCACGCGCTCCGACAGCCAGAACCCGTCGCGAGTGTCGATGGCCTTGACAGATCCCACCAGTGTTGGCACGGCGTACTGCTGGATGACCACGTACATTGTAATGCACAGGATTACCAGCTCAGATAGCCGTTTGGCCACAAACGACTTGCTGATCGACCCCGATATGCGCGGGTACGACGGCTGGTAGCACAGTGTCGGCGCCAGCCAAAAGTACCCAAAGTTGCGCAGGCTGACGTTGTGCGGGTACGCGACCAGGTAGTGGATCCGATGCCTGGCATTTCCGTGCGCCGGGCCCGCCTTGCTGCCGTCGCCCACTGCAAGGCTCTTGTCTGCCGAGAACAAGGCGCTGTCAGTTGATATCGCCGATCCGAGTACGTCTGTGTCGCGACTGCCTAGATATCTGCCGTTGCTGCTGCCATTACTGCTCTGAGCGCTGCCGTCAGTGATTGTCGCGGCCGAGTTGCCAGCCGACCGGATGGTGGCTGCGGCGGCATCTGTGCTGTCAGCAACAAGCCTAAGGACGTTGGCCGCTGTGGTGGCAGCACGTCGGCGGATGCGCGGCCGTGGCAGGGCATCGGCCTTGGCATCGATTCTGTCGTCGCCTCCCACAGGAATGTCCGCCCAGGCACGCGCATTGAGCGAGAAGCTGCCGCATGTGTCAAATGGGATTCTGGGGCCGACCAGACCGTTGCCGCTTGTGGAATCCTGGCTGCCATCGCTGGCAGCGACGTCGGCTAAGCCATCAACCGCGTTCTCGCTTCTATTGTCCCTGTTGCTGCTGCTGCCGAGCTCGCTCGAGACATCTGTGTCGCTGTCGGGGTTCTCGTCGGCCGGCTTGTTTTTTAAATTGAGCACAAAGCGGCCGTTCTCCATTCTAGAGAATATTAGCGGGTCATTTTTCAGGCCAGAGTCTCCCAGGCGGTAGGCGCGGCGCAAATCAAAGTTGGTCGCAGCCAGCGAGTACAGCTTAAGGAACATGATGCATGCGGACATCATGACGGCAGTGCCCAGGGCCGGCTGGAATATGGCGAAATACGTTATGCATGAGGGCGCGACAAGCACAAAGGCCAGGTTGGACAGATGCATCAACACCGTGCGCTTCTCATCGGCGTCCATGCCAACACGCAGTGCCTCGTCGCTCACATTCGCGTAGTTGGGCTTGCTCGGCACAGCGTTCTTTTCGATGGCCAGCGCGACAAAAAATGCCACGCTGACTGAGAGAAAGCCCGCCACTGATGCCAACCAGTCTCTCCGCGAGACGCTGGTGCCCGGAATGCTGACCAAGAAGCCGTACTTCATGTAGTTCTCGATGGCCAGCCGGATCAGCGTGGCCGAAAGCAGCAGTAGCAGAAAGTTGATCAAGCCGTGGTAGCTCACGGTGGTCAGCTCCTTGTCCAAAACCGACACGCGCGGCTTGTAGTGTACCACCTGCGCCTGCAGATACGGAACGCCTGGTCTCTTTTTCTTTTGAGCTTGATTGCTAGTGGGCACTACTTTTATCTCTTTCGGCTGATGTTGGCTGAGTGTACTGTGTCTGGGTTGCGTCTGCGCAAAGCCTGTGGCTGTGTTTGTGTGTGAGTGTCGTCTACTGCCGCGCACGCAATGGCCGGCGAGACGACGCGTTGGTGATATCACTGTTAATCGACGCGGTGTCGGCCTTGTCATCAATGGCTGACATGCTTGTCTCTGTTCTGTTCTGCTCTGGTGTTTAATTTTTGACTAGCGCTTTAAATTCACTTGAACACGATAACCGCGGTGGCTGTGTGGTTATTTTTCACAGTAAAAAACGTGTTGCTTACTGGTGCTAATGCCTAATGTTATTATTGTTGTTGATGTGTGTGTATCGAGCGATAAAAAAGGCAGTAGAGATATTAAAGAGAGAACGAAAAATTAAAAGATGGACTTGAATCGGGGCCCCCTTTGTTCAAAAATGGGCAAATATTTTTGTTTTTCCTAACGCATAAAAAGTAAATTATACAGGACTCGATGACGTTCGATATTAAATTTTTTTGCATGTGATTCCTGGATTTTAAAGTTGACATGATGATTTCTATCAGAAGCAGAGTTTTGCGTGCTTATAAAAATCATATTTAAATTTAAACACATCAAGCAAACACCTTCTTGACGGCGGCCAAGGCAATGGCCGCGCCCAGCGCAGCGCCGCCGACCCAGGGCACGGCAGACTGGGCGGCAATAATGAACCTGCGCTTGAACACAGCGACGCGAGTGGCATCGGCTGTGCCGTTCAGAAGGCTCGGAATGCCATCAATGCTGCGCGAATTAATGAGCGGCAACCTCTTGCCAACAACCTCGCCGGGCTTTGTCTTGAAGCAGTCTGTCAGAGTCCTGCGCTCGTCCTTGAACCCATCAGCGGTACACCATATCCGCATGACTGCGCGACCATATGCACCTTGACATCAATGATGGAGCGCACGAAGTTGATCCTGTCTGGGTTGTCCCAGTCGGCCGCGTAGTGCTCGGCGAAAAGAGAAGAAAACTCGGTCGATCCGGGCTCATGAACGGTACCGGTGCTGAAGAGGCGCACAATGCGGGGGCTGCCCTCAAAGGCGCACAGCATGACGGTGATACGGCCGTTTTCACGCACATGAGCGATGGTCTCGCAGCCGCTGCCGCGGCCGTCGAGCAGTAACACGCGGTTGCTATCGAGGATGCGCAGCCCGTCGTAACCCTTGGGCGACAGGTTGACGTGGCCACTCTTGGCCAGTGGCGCGGTGCTGACAAAGTATATATTTTGCTTCTTGATCCACTTCTGGTCCGAGTCAGACATGGCTTCACGGAATGTGACCATTGCTTGGGGGGGGGCTGATATTGGTGTTGGTTGGTACTAAGATACTGGCGATGATGTTCAAATGTTCAAATGATGGTTAACTTGCAAGCGTGTAGAAATGACAGTCGGTAAGACAGGATTAGTTGCGCGCTTTGACTCGATTCCATCATCTCTCCCCGCGTCACTCGCGTTTTGCCATTTTCAACACCCCCTCTCAAACATATACTGCCGCATACAACTCACGCACTTGCTCGTGTCTTCAGAAGGGCAAGTGGTGGCTGCAACTTGATTGTGCAGTGACAGCGGCAGTTGCAGTATGTGAAAAATGGAGACGCGCATGACCACCAGACATGCAGCTGCAGCAATCAGATAATGTATCGACATAGCGCTGATTTCTCGCAACATTGGAAAGCGAATGTTCGGTTCATCCGGCGAAAAAATGGTTTATCCGAAGCAAAGACCGCAAGGCGCCGACACTTGACTGAACCACTCAGCTCAACCAAGCTTCAGCTACGCACGAGCACATCCAGCAGATGGTCAATCTCGCGCGTGTAGCCGCTAAGGCTGTCGACGAGCACCAGGGCGCCGACACGCTGCACCCGGGCGCCAGTGCCAAAAACTCCAGGTTCAGCTCCACAACCTCGCCGACACCGAGGCTGCCCAGGTCGTGCTGCACCGGACCACAGGCAATGACCATCGGGTGCTTGTGCGCGGTGACAACAGCGAAACAGCCATGCGGCGCTCCGACACATTGCGCACACGCACGCAGGCGACGAATGGCTCCTCGATGGCGGCCTCATTAGAGTCTGAGCCCAGGACACGCGCGCTGTCGGTCTCGAGCAGGAACATTCCGGGCGACTTGCGCAGCAGCTGTGACGTCTGCAGGCGCCCAACGCTGCCAAAGGCGCCGCGCCACAGGATGTCCAGCTTGCCCATCGCCGTCGCGTACCTTATGGCTCGCTCCTGCTCGACCGACAGCGGGCCCTTGGCCGGCACGTGCAGCCGGTATAGGTATTGGCGCACATCTCCAGGATTCACAAAGCCGGCGCGCGAGCCAAAGACCCCGGCGCTCAGGTCCTCAGCGGAAAATGGCGCGGCTGGCTCGAACCGCAGACGCTCCAGCGCCATGGCACCCTGCGTCGCGTTATGCACCTGCACCTCAAGCAGCACGTCGCGCTCCAGGTGGTTAACCTTGGTCTTGACGACCAACGGGTTGGCCACCTGAAACTTGAACGACTTTTGCAGCGTGCGCCGCTCGCCCTGCGCTGACAAGTAGGCAATCGAGCAGCCCAGCACATGCGCACCTAGCTCCTTGATCTCGTGCGTCACTTGCAAATTGAGCGGCTGCCTGGTCGCCAGCTGCTGCTTGGCCGCGTCACCAGTGCTGCTGCCAAGCAGCGCCAGCTGCTGTGTCGCCGTCTGCATCGCGACCTGCACGCTGACGTCGCGCACAACAAACGAGCTCTCATTGCAGATGCACAGGTGCGCCAAAAATGTCTCGCCCAGGTACATTGTGCCGAACGCGCGCGGCAGAACCAGCGTCTCGGTTAAAGGCAGCGCGTCCAATGGTAGCGCTGTGTCCCCGGCTATATGCATGTCGCTGAGAACCAGTCCGCTTTGTGTCGGGTAGTTCTGCTCGATATCGCGCAGCGGCGGCGCCAGCACCGACTCTGTGCTGTCGGCCGCCAGCTGCTGCCGCGTATCGGCAAGCGTCGGCCGCGACAGGCGCATGACTTTGAGCGTGAGCGGGTGTGTATCGCGAATGAGCGAGGCCATTTGAAGCGGATTGTGAGTCGAAATTAATGCAGGCGAGTGATTAGAATGCCAGAAAGTAAAATAAAAATACAGCAGAAATACAAGTGAAATAGTGATGGCAATTCTAAACAAACAGAACATTCAATGATGTGATTGGCATGACAAAAGACAGGTGAGGTGGTTGGCTGGTATTTAAAAAACCAATCAAAAAATCAAGATACTTGAGAATTAACAGATTACTACAGCGTCTCCTCGACAGCGTTGATGCCCTCCGACGGCAGCAGGTCCAGGATAGGCTGGTAGATGTCGGGCGTCATGGGCGCAATGACACCGGTATTCGTGATCTTGCCGTCCAGAATGAGCTGCGTGGCAATGCCACAGGGCACGCCGACGGTCTTGGCCATGGCCGTGAAGCCGTTGGGCTCACCGTACATCAGTGTCACGGACGTGCGTGTGTTAGTCGAGCCGTCCTTGTTCTCAACCTCAAACTTGTGTTGCAGAAGAATCATGTCGCGCTCGCCCTCGCCGTACATCATCAGGTCCTCGAGGCGGGCGCACAGAACATCGAGATAAGTGCCACGCTTGGACGCAAGCACCTCGGTCGACGTGATCCCGAGCCACTTGACGCCGTGCAGCACGCGCTTGCGAGCCTCGGGGTCCTGGGTCTCGATCTTGGACTCTATCACGCGCAACAGATCCTCGGGCGCATCGGAGCTGGATCCGAGCAGCTGCTGGGTGACCTTGTTCCACGACAGATCCTGCGTGTTAGAAGTTGACAGGAACGCATGCTGCGCGTCGTCAGGAAGCCCATGTTGACCAGAGTCTTGGCAAACTCGGGGAAGCCCTGGTAGCGCATGGTACCACGCACGCAGGTCTGTGCGTGGGGGATGTTGTAGCGCTCGCGATAGTGGCTCGAGTCGCGGTTGCCATAGCCAACGGTGGCGAAGGCCGGGTAAACGTAGATGGGCCGTGCCGAGTCCATCAGGTCCTTGCCCTGGATCTCGACCAACTTGCCGTTCTCCCAGTACCGCGCGTTGTTGCGCAGCGCCAGCAGCACGCCGCGTGCCGACCAGCTGAACTTGTACCCAAGCGGGTTGTTGCTATCCTCGGGCGCTGGGAGTCCACCGCAGAACGACTCAAACGACGTGATCTTGCCGCCCTCGGCGTGCACCTCATTGATGATCTTGAGCGCATACAGGTGGTCAATTCCCGGGTCCAGTCCGATCTCGTTCATGCAGATAATACCAGCATCCTTGGCCTCCTGGTCGAGCTCCTCCATGGCCGGCGAGATGTAGCTGGTCGTGACGACGTGCTTCTTGGCGCGGATGGCCGACTTTATGACACGTGCATGCTGTGTGTAGGGGATCAGGCTGATCGTCAGATCGTGCGCCGCGACTGCAGCATCGAGGGCTGCGTCGTCCTCAACATCAAGGCTGATTGGTGTCGTGCCCTCGTACTTGGAAGTCAGTTCGCGCGCCTTCTCGATGCGGCGGCAGGCGACCGTGACACGGTTGGACCCGGAGCGCAGCAGGTACTCGAGGCAGGGCTCGGCAACAAAGCCGGAGCCAAGGAGCAGGATGGATCTAAATGCAAGATATTGCAGCTGGTATTGGTTAGCAAAATAATAATAGATGATGACTGTTTTTTTGTGTGTGCATTCGTGCAGAATGCAAGCAGTGGTGGTGGTGGTGTTGAGGCTTACTTTTGGGCAGACATAGGCTGTAGACTAGATAATTATTTCACACAATCTTTAGAAAGCACAAGTATGAGAGAAAAAAGTATAAAGAAAAAAGATAGGCAAGAAAAGGGGCAAAGCGATGGAAAAGTCTGCGGCTTTTATACACTGGCCTGGCAAAGCCCAGGCCATATTCCAGGCCAGAACTGCAGTTCACAATCCGCAATCCGCAATCCGAGACAAAGTGAGAATATGTGCCAGACAAGGCGCAAATAAATTCGCGTCCAGAGCGAGGGTTCTTTGCGAATAATAAGGGGCAGCAGTTTTTGGTGAGTCAACTGCCATTTTGTCGGGTCAATTCCAATTTAGAATACTGTGACCACGGACTTCGCAATGGATGGTCACAGTGACGTAAACTATAGAATGAGTTTTAGTATGTAAAATCGAGAGAGAAAAGGAAGAAAATTTAAACGCAAAAAACAAGGGTACAAGTATGAAATATATAAAGAAAAACGTTAGTGGTCCGAAACTAGATTATGCGAGCGAGCTAGCGGTGGTGGTGGCAGCGATTTGAACGAGGCAGCAGCAGCCTAGCGCGCTGATTGCGGCGACGCGGTGGCAGTCGTGGCTGTTTCAGAGGTCTGCAGGTACACAGAGTTGCTGCGCCAAACCGACGACTGCACTGCCGTGCTGGCGGCGCTAGACCGTGTGCCACGCTGGTTGCGCTTCGTTAAAAAATCACCAAGATACGGGTTTGTCAGGTCCAGCACACCGGCAGACGGGTCCTCCAGCATCGACCGCGGGCGGGGCCGCGACTTAGCGGCAGCATCCGCAACGCGCAGCACGTCGGAATGCCAAATGTCGGCGCTGAATTCGTCGCCCCGCGGCCCTAGCCGCATCGCATGGCTGGCAATGGACGACGGCCCGGGCAGAGAGGCGATTGGCCCAGTCTCCGAGTCTTTGGATCCCGAGCTGCCAAACCGCGAGCCCGACAGATTCGACGAGCCGGACGACAAGCTCTGCGAGCCGGGCGCCGGGCTGTCTGTCGAGAACCCCGGCGAGTACTCGTCAAAGCTGGGCGAGTCGGCGGTCGGCGACAGCGGTGCCAGCGGCTTCGGCGCAGACTCGAGTGGGCGCAGATACATGTTTGATGATGTCGTACCGTGGAAGATGTGTGTCGACTGCTGGCCCAGCATCGACACGTCGACGGAGAACGGCCGCCCGCGCCGAGTCGGCGTGTGCACAGACACGTCGATCCAGCCCTGCGTCCTGTCTGCCTGCGGCTTGCTGGCCACCGTGGTCCACTGCGTGCTGCCGCGCACGTGGACCGGCGACACATTGGGCGACGACTCGGCGCTGGACGACGCCGGGGTGGCCAAGCCGGGCGCCTCGGAGTGCATTGTGCTCTCCATCAGCAGGCGCCAGTTGTCCAGGCTGGGCTGTGCGTCCTGAATGACGATGCGGCCGCGACTGAACCGCGACCCAGCGACTATCTGCAGCAGCCCGCGCCGCGCCTCGATGCGCGCTCGCGGCAAGAACACGGACGTCTCAGGCGCGCCGCGCACCACGTCGCCCTGCGAGCGAAAGACATGGAAGAAGCCACGTGTCGTCAGCACCCCGTACTTGGACTGCCACGTGCTGCGGAACAGCGGGCCGGTCTCGCGCATGGCCACAACGCCTTGCCGCAGCACGCGCACCCACTCGGAGTCGCGCCCAGCGTACTCATGGTCGACGCACTCCCGATTGGCGCACTCCTGGTCCGAGCACGCAGGGTCGTACAGCGCTGCCCTGTGCGCCTTCTCGAACGCCGCCCACTCGCACCGCCCATCGACGCGCCTGAGCGCCCGCGTGTCACGCTTAGCCGCCACGCGCAGCCGCCGGTGCCGCTCGCTGACCACGTCGACATATACCAAGACGACCGCCGCCAGCCGCTCAGTCAGCTGTGGCTCCGCGCCACCGAGCACCTGCAGCTGCGCATCGCGCTGCGCGCTCAAATGCCGCTCAAGCTCTGCGCGCTTGCGCAGCAGTGCCTCGACTTCCAGGCTGATGATGAACGGGTCCTTTGCAGAGTCGGCCTCAGCAATTGCCGCTGCCAGCACCTCCGCGCGCTTCCGCACGCTGGCGCGGCACTGCTCCAGCTCGCGAAACGCCGGCTGTACGGCCTCCGTGTACGAGGCCATCAATGCACGCACCTCGCTGTGGAGCTCTTTCAATTCGGCCAGCGCGCCGTCCTTTGCCGCGCTGCTGATTGCGCAGTGGTTCTCGACCATCAGCTGCTGAAAGTCCTTGAGCTGCCGCGTCACCGACTGCACGCCGTCGCCTGCGGCGGCCGGCAAAAACAGCGCGCCCTCGCGCATCGGCACCTTGAGGATGTCACCGATGCGTGCGTAGACTGTCGCTAGGTCCAGCTCGGCTGCCGCCATGCTGCGAAAGAACTCTTGGTAGTTCTCGACTGCGTGCAGCCACCCAGTCAGCCTTTGGAAGCACACGTCGTTATTGTCGCCGCTGCCCACGCTTTGCGCCGCCTGGAACTCATCAAAGTCGCAGCTGCTGCGGTCCACTACGCGGATGTCGCTTTTGCGCACCAACGCGGTCTGCCCCATCTGCGACCGTCTTTTGAGTCCCAGTCCGCTCATGGCAAGGCTGTATATATATGTGTATGTAGAAATAGGTTATATTAATAAATAAGAGGTGTGCAGGCTGAATATTAGAGTGTCGTGTTAAAATAGTATCAAGGCAATATAATAATAAAATATTTGTAAGAGTGCTTTCCTAAGGAGGTAACACTGAGCGATGCGATGCGCGCCCATGTCGCCATCAAACCCTTTTATATCCGGGCGGTCTCCAATGCTGCAGCCTGCATCAGAAAAAAAAACCGCGATCGACATCACACAAAGTAGTCAATGCCGTTTTTTCTCGTCTTAATTTTTTGTCGTTGTTTTGTGGATGGGATGTGTGTGGCTCTTTTGCCTAAATTGTGCGGATTGAAGCGCATACCCAGTTGTTTCAAATCCTGCTACCATTTTTGGAAGCGAATGGACGAACATTCATTATTTTGTTCCCTCCCTTTCCGTATACCTATACCAAGCCGGCCCTGTTTCGAGTAAAACCCCGCTGCCCCCCGGTATCTGTGTTGAACGCAATTGACATTCCAATATGCAATCCAAATGGAACCGCCACCTCCTCTATCCCCCCTCTTTCCTCCTGGCGCATGTTATCTTTGGCTTGGTGAACGTCAAAAAACTTGGACACTTGCACTACTTCTGAACGCGCTTTCTGTTACTGGCGAGTTTCTGCCATCCCCTCTATCTGAATACAAATACTATCCATAGTGCGACGCCCACAATTCATATATGCATAACCAACCAACAGACCATGCATTTTTATTTATTTGCTGACTTGCCATTGTCATTATCATTGTTTTTCTGTTTCAAGCACTTGAGCGCTTGTGGCTAGAAAGCCTCATTTTTGGCAATACGATGCATTTGTTTTCCATATCGGCTGTTTTGCATACGCAGGTACAATGGATATAATGGTTTTGTCTTATTTGTCAAGCCGGTGTACAATCACACTGGCTTAAAACAGCACATATAACATTTGTATATATCTGCTATTGTGTTTTTTTTCAAAGTAAGCAATCATCCGTTGCTTAACTGATTTTTGCCGCCAAACAAAACAACAAAAATAAGGGAACGTCTTGCGTGGTATTGTTAATCACCAACTCGTTTATTTTCCATACACAAACCGGCTGATAATGCAATATTTTACAAACAATGCTAATAAAAATCGAGTATTATTCTGTTATTCTTTGGTGTGGGCATTGGCATTGATCTTGATACACCAAAGAAAAGAATGGGACTACAAACGTATAAAAGTTCAAATATCCTGCAAATCAACAGCTTTCCCATTCTGATTTCATAGCAACCCGGCACGTGCTTAGAAACCAGAGGCAATAAATAGACCACTGTGGTTGGCAGTATTAAGCATTGCGCTGCTTCTTGCGAAGAGAAGCTTGGGCTTGGATTTTGGCTTGAGCAAAGTGTCGGGCATCACTATAGACTAGAGTTCACCCGACTCTGATGATGCCTTTTTGTGTGAAAAGTGGGGAGACTGATTGCCTGTAAGCAGGGCATTAATAATGATGCGAAGGTTTAGCACCACAGCCATGTTATGATTCCACCTTCCGTCTGCCTGATGGCACTTTTTTTAGCATCCTTGATCTGCGATGACAAAAAAATACTAGAAAACAACAGCAGCGCAGAAAGGAATATTTGTTTGGTTACAGAGTAATCCACTGCTAGGTGCTTACAAATATCTAACGTTTTTTTGGCACAGTGACTTGGTGCGACTCTTATTACAAAGAACCCTATATAAAATCAAACCCTACATGTATCAAGTTGTTCGCAATAATTTCCTTGCATTGGGTGGCGGACTACAAGTATATAACGTGTGTACTGCTCTTTTCCCACCTCTGGCGATGCAAAATATTGCCGTCCGCAAATATCGACATTGTATATTATTTGGTGAGCTAAGAGTATATGAGCGATAATAACAAACATATTTTATTACCTTGCACATTCTGCTTGAGAATGTTTGACAAAGGGGGGGGGTACTATTTATTATGATTTATATGAGGTGTTGCATAATTTGGGTTGATTTTGCCTTAAATCTAATTGCGTATTTCTATTGATCCGCCGCAGCAATCATAATTTGCTAATTAATATTTTTTCGTTATTTTTTTTTGCGCGTGTTGATCCATGGCCACCATTACTAATTGAATGGCAACCGCAGGACTTCGCACCCACACCCGCATAGACAGATTCTTAGCAGGCCAATTTGTCTGTTCCCGAGCCTCTTTGCACCTACTCTCCATTAATATTAACCTTTTTCCATTTACCTTTTAAAAAACATTTCACAAAAATGGAGTACGTTCCCGATTCCCGGCAACAGCTCATTCTGTGCTGCGAGTGCGGTACCGCCATCCCGCCCAACCCGGCGAACATGTGCGTGAACTGTGTGCGGTCCATAGTTGATATCACCGAGGGCATCCCGAAGCAGGCCACTGTCCACTGGTGCAAGAACTGCGAGCGCTACCTCCAGCCGCCGGCCTCCTGGCTGACGTGCGGGCTCGAGAGTCGCGAGCTGCTGGCTCTGTGCCTCAAGAAGCTTCGCGGCTTGACCAAGGTGCGACTGATCGACGCCGGCTTTATCTGGACGGAGCCCCACTCGCGCCGTATCAAGGTCAAGCTGACCATCCAGAAGGAGGTCTTTGCCGCGACCATTCTGCAGCAGGCCTTCGAGGTTGAGTACGTTGTTGCGTCAATGATGTGCCCCGACTGTACCAAGGTCATGGCCCAGAACACATGGAAAGCACTGGTGCAGGTCCGCCAAAAGGTTGACCACCAGCGTACCTTCTTCTATCTCGAGCAGCTGATCCTCAAGCACAACGCGCACCAGGACACCATCAACATTAGAGAGGTCAAGGGTGGTCTGGATTTCCACTACGCCCAGCGCTCCCACGCCATCAAGATGTGCGACTTTTTGGCCAGCATGGTCCCCACGCGCTACAAGACCTCTGAGCAGCTCATTTCCAGCGATATTCACTGCGGTACCTCCAACTACAAGTTTACATACGCCGTCGAGATTATCCCCATCTGCAAGGACGACCTGGTCGCTATGCCCAAGAAGACTGCCAACTCGCTTGGCCACATTGCGCCGCTCGCGCTGTGCACGCGCGTCGGTAACGCCGTGCACATCATTGACTTTAAAACCCTACAGACTGCCTGCGTTACTGGTCTGGTCTTCTGGCGCCACGAGGATGTTACCCCCGTATGCTCGATGCGCGACCTCAAGGAGTTCTACGTCCTCGATGTCGAGCTGCTCGGCCAGCGCCACGGCCGCTACGCCCTGGCAGACATCACCATCCAGCGCATGGCCGATGTCGGCAAGAACGACAACGAGATCATTGTCCGCTCGCATCTCGGCAACCTGCTGAACTACGGCGACACCGTCCTGGGCTATGACCTGGCCACAGCCAATGTCAACAACAAGAACTTTGAAAGCCTCAACTCCGACGACGTGCCCGCGGTCGTTCTTGTCAAAAAGTCGTACCCCGAGCGTCGTCGCAAGCGCAAGCAGCGTAACTGGAAGCTCAAGTCCCTTACCAAGGACGATGGTGACTTGGCTCCCAAGAAGCAGGATCAGGACAAGCTCGAGGCTGACTTTGAGACCTTCTTGCGCGACCTTGAGGAGGACCCTGAGCTGCGCCAGAACATCAACCTGTACAAGGACCCTAACACCATCGCCGCTCGCCCCCAGAACGCGATGGAGGAGAGCGACATGGAGGACGACGGTGAGGAGCTTCCCGAGGTGCCCCTGGATGAGCTCCTCGAGGACCTCAAGATCAGCAGCGGCAGCGACGATGACGAGGAGATGGACGTGTAAACTGGCCGACCGACTATAGAATTCTTCCCCATTTGTATCTCGCCTTATATTTTGTAAAGATCAGACATATTGCCTCAGACAAAGACAAGAGTCAATTTAGCGGGCGAAATACTCTATTTATTGTCCAGCCCTAAATTTTGGCGATATGTTTATTTTTTAGCTGATAGTATATCAGGTTTATGCAACCAAAAACGCGCCAAAAAATAAAAATAAAAATATTTTCATTGCATCTGCCTGCAAGGCGCAAAGGAATTGGGGTTTCCCTTTGTTTTCCTTATGCCACTGTTTGCTGTTGTTTATTTTTTTTAGCTGGGCTGGACTGGACTGGCAGTGCGAAAGAGGATGAGAGAGAAAGAGGTCATTTTTAGTCAATACTAATTGTCAGGGTCATCCGACGCGCTCCTTTTTCTCCTTTCATCTCTCTTTCATTTTTCACCCACTCTCTTTTATTTCTCGCTTTAAACCCGACCTTTTTTCTTAGTTTTCACCCCCCCCCCCCACACCAAGCATCAACTAGGCAACTCGAAGCAAGTAAAGAAAACTAACACATAATAAAATGGTGACCAGGGCCACACAGAGCAGCAGCGGGTAAGTGTCAATAAGGAACGAGTCAAAAATAAAAAATACACGCTTATGTTTTCATCACAAAATAAAAACAAGTGTTCGCCCACACCCATGTGCACTATAAGAAAAGAATGAGGCTACAGGTATTCTGCAAAACGACATCCTTCCCCCAGATAAAGTGTTTAGAAACTAGTGGCAATAGACCACTATGGCTGACGATATTAATTAGTTTGCTGCTTCTTTTAAAGAGAAAAAGCAGGGGAAGGTGGATTCTTGCGCACACGCTTGGGCTTGGCTTTGGCTTAAGCGTCACTGTAGACTCGGCTTCAGCCGACTCTGACGATACCTTTTTGCGTGGAAAAAACAGGTTTTGAAAATCCCCCGCTTAAAATCCGGGCTTTCGCTATAAATGTCTGGAAATTCTAAAAAAAATACATTTTCAATAGTGTAGTGTTTCGCCAAGACATCCAGCAAGGGTACATCCAAGGGCAAATTCCCGGAGCTGGCCGCACCATTTCAGGCAAAACCACGGACGCGCCCAGTGACAATGACGACGACGACGACGATGATGACGATGATGACTCTGCCGTTGATCTCGGATTTGGCAATAATGCTTCGGACGGATCCGACATTGATGAGTACGCGTCCGAGTCCGAGGATTACGACGAGGATGAAAACGAAGATATGCAGCGACGAAGAGGAGAAGGCTCCCCGCGGTGGCTCGGCCAAATATAATCTGCGCACAGCCAATACGAAGCGCAAGTTGAGCTCGAATGATGATGACGAGGACAGCGATGAGGACGCTGGTCCCTCACTTAGGACTCGCCGGAGAACCGCCCCGAAATACGTTGCTAGCGACAATGACGATGTCGATGACGAAGATGAGGAGGAAGTCGCTGCACGGAAGGAGGAAGACGTGGAGAGCGAAGACGACGACAACAGCGACGAGCAGGAAGACTATGAGTGAAAGTTGGTGCCTTGACACAAACGCTTGTTTGTTAGAGCAAGTGTGTTACGGATATTTGTAGTTTTTGGTTCACGATAATATATTTAAATGCCTTGAACGAAAATGTGACAACACTGGGTCACTTCGTTTGGTCTACCCTCAATGTATTATGTCTATTTGTATCACTGCAGCCTCTTCTCTGGAGCCACTTTGTTGATTTTGTTGCCGCTGTCGCTGATGCTGCTTTTTGACCATACGTCTTGCGCGCAAACTGGGTGAACAGCGCAATGAGCATGATGATGTACCCGATGAAAACATATGTAAACAGCTTCTGCTCGTTGCTTTGGCACCCCGGCAGCACGGAATAGACGGCACCTGCGCTGAGGGCGATGTAAAACTGCGAGATCTGAAGGCGAGTCAGCATCTGCTTCCCCGGAGGCTTGTACCCCATCGCCGTCAGCGAGTAGTAGATGTACATCAGCGTGTGGATAATGCTGTTTTCAAACACAAAGAACGCCAGGTACGGCGAATGCACAAAGTTCCCCATCCACATTATGACGACGGCGCCAGAATGGTGGAAGGTCTGCAGGCTTGTGGCCTGTCGGCCCTTGGCCAGGATGATCATGGTGTCGATGAACTCGTAGTATTTGGACAGGTAGAATAGGAAGCCGTGCATCAGGAGCTTGTCACCACGCAGTGTCCACTCGACGTCGCAGAACCCATTTTTGAACCCAGCCTGTTGGATGTTTCGCAGCACTGCAGGGAAAAAGTCGATGAATGTCCATAGCGAGTATACTGCCAGGATGAGGTTATGCGCAATGATGAGTTTTTGGAGACCCTTGCTGTTGCTGCCGGCTGGTTTACCAGATGCCTTTTCGGCTGCCATTTTGGCTGCGCGCTGGGCGTTTCTCAGCTCCCATTTATTCACTAACGTTAGATAAAAAATGACGCCCAACAGCGGCGCAATGGGCTTCATCATGACGGCGTACAGGCTGCTCACCGGGAGCTCCTTTACTTGTGACTCGAGATGAGGCAGATCCTCGTCTCCAAGAGAAATGACACGAGTCGCTGTATCAATGTCATTATAAATTAATATGAGACAGCTAATGCGAGGGAAGATGTGCGCTGGTTATCAGTAATAGTAAATAGCTATCTAAAAAAAGTGAGCGACGAAAAGGTAAAACCAAAGATGGCAATAATGTTGCCAATGTGTAAACACAACGTCAGTATTTATATGCTGCGCGTAGTGCTTTTAGTTTCATTTTTCGATAGAACGAATGTTTATTATTTTGGTTTAACCACATTATTCAAAGCAAATACTGATTTGGATATTCTCAATTATTCCCTCTTGCAACTTGCTGAAATGGCGCAAGCCACAAATTGAACCTAAACAATCCACATTTTAATTATTACTAGTTTTTAGTTTCGCGGCGTTCAAAGCGGGGATAATTACTGACATTTACAAACGCGCTTGCCACAAAAAACGCGCTTGCCACAAAGCTACACATACATATATCATACATACAAGCATGAATACATGGTAAATTCGTGCCTTTTTTGGAGGGGGGGGAGAGAGCTTCATCACTTGGAATTCGATTGTTGAAAATTTTCACTCATACACACACAGACGCATCACGCGTCCCTAATCTCGCCGTCCTCGTCATCGTAGTCGTCTTCTGTGGCCTCGCCGTCCTCCCGCTCCATTGCCTGCACATCAAGTAGCGACTTCATGACTGGTGCCGAGAGCGGCATGCTGGATGAAGCGACACGCGTGGCAAAAGGGGCAAATGAAGAGGCAGTGGCCGGAGCCGAGACCGGACGGGAAGAGCGGGCGACGATATGAGGGCTGGGCTGGGCACTGGGGACGCAACCTTTGCCCCCACCGGCAGCGACGGTTTGGCTGAGACACCGGCAGTTGTCGGGTTCCTCGTTTCAGTCTCACCAGCCGGGTTGTCCACGCCGGTGCTGGGCTCTGCAGTGCTGATCTCTGCCTTGGTGGCTGGCTCGACTTTAGCACCTGTGCTTGATGGCTCGCAGGGTTGCTACTGGTATCGATAGCCACAGGCGTAGCTTCTGGCACGCTGGTCACGCTGCACGCTGACTGGAGCGGCGGCCTCCGCGACCGGAATATCAAATGCCGCCACGTCGGAAGCGGCAGCAGCAGCACCAACAGGGGTAACACCTGCAACTTCAGCATCAGGGCTGTCTGACAGAAGCAACAACAGCAACATCAGTAGTGGCATCAACAACAAGCTCAGGTTCGTTTGTATCAACGACGTCCATAGCATCTGCAGTAGTTTCAGCTTCAGCAACTCCAGAAACCTTAGCGGCGTGCTTGCGGGGCGCAGCAGCCAGAGTGGTTGTCGCCAGTTCTTCGACAATGACAGAATCGATTGGCTTGTCTGCATCCAATGCAGTTGTGTCGGCATTAGCAAGATTTGTCGTGGGGCTGGCCGGGACTTCTTCGACAACAGGCACACTGAGGGCTCAACTACCTCTGTTGTTCCAGGGCAACGGGCTCTGAGACAGTCTCAGGCTTGATGTCATCCGTGTCGATGTCCATGGGCTCAGCTGCGGGAACCGGGCCGTATCGTCGGCTTGCTCTGATTCTGTCTTTGCCTTGACTTTGGCTGCGCATCCTCCATCTCAACATCTGCATCCGCATCATGGACAGCGCTGGGCTCATCATTATCAACAGACATCGTGTTGTTTGTCTCCTCGTTAATAACCTTTGTGTTGTCCCTAGTGTTGTCGCGCATGCCCATCGAATCGGCCTCGTACATCTCAGTGTCCGGCACCACGAGCTGGTCGCGGGCAGTTTCCGGCATGCGCTCGTCGGGATCCAACGCGTCCTCATCAACAGTGTCGCGGTCCACGTCCCGGGGCACGTCCTGCATCTGTACACTGGGGGCGAAGCGGGTGCGCTCATGTTCTGCAGCACCTGGCTGCGCATGCGGTCCAGATACTCGGGGCTGTTGGCGTTGTCCACGTTGTATGCCGGCACGTTGAGCGTGTACTCGGGCGCGTAGTAGTCCATGTAGTCATTCATCGGCAGCTTGCGGTCCATCTCCGTGCCGACCAGAACGCCAGTCTCATATGCCCACACGCGGCTGACGTTGCGGATGGTGTAGCCGCCGCCGCCGAGCACCAGCGTAGGCAGATTGAAGCCGCGCACAAAGCGCACGCACTCGGCGTGGCCGTCGATGCTAAGGTTGAAGCAGCCCAGCTTGTCGCCGGCCAGCGAGTCCGTGCCGCACTGGAGCACCACAGCGTCAGGCTGGTACCACTCCATGATGTGCTTGACGACGGGCTTGAACACCGAGTGGTAGCTGACGTCGTCGATGCCATCGCGCAGCGGGAAGTTGACGGCGTAGTACTTACCCTTTGCCTCACCGATATCGCGCAGGTCGCCAGTGCCAGGGAAGAACTCGCCATACTTGTGGAAAGAGCACGTCATGACGCGGTCGGTCGTGTAAAAGGCCTCTTCGACGCCATCCCGTGGTGCACATCAATGTCGATGTACAGCACGCGCTTGTGGTGGCGAAGGAGCTCGAGGATGGCCAGTACAATGTCGTTGATATAGCAGAAGCCCGAGGCCTCGCACTTCTTCGCGTGGTGCAGACCGCCAGACCAGTTGATGCATATATCAGATAGGCCGCGGTTCAACCGGGCGGCGCCTTCCATCGAGCTGCCGGCCGACAGCGAGAAGAGGTCGAACATGCCGTCAAACACTGGGCAGTCCTCCTCAAAGTTGTACTTGCCGAGCTCGCGCTGGAACTGCGAGGCGTTCTCGGGCGTTACCCGGTTCAAAAACTCCACGTAGTCGTCCGAGTGAAACTGCGTCATCTCCTGGCACGTAGCGGGTGCGGCGCGGTATATCGACATCTTTTTGTACAGCTCATAGCTCATCACCAGGTTATGCGTCATGCGAATGCGGTGAGGCTTCATTGGGTGGCCAGGCCCATAGTGAAAGTTTCCCACATCGGCTACAGCAAGAAACAAGCAGGAGACAAGCAGGAAATAAAGCATTACTTTTTTGTGCTGCGAGTGTGCAGTTTTCTATACATATTTTAAAACCCGATTCGACTTTGTGTGTGGTGGAAATTGCACTTACGATCGTAAAAGTACGCGACATTCTTCTTTGAAATTGACATTGGCACTCGTCTGTGCAGATTTCGCCTCTGCGCGCTACTCTATATGTCTGGATTTTTATTCCGCTGTTTTCCGCCCGCCGCTGCCAAAAAAGATAATAGAAAAGGTAATAAAGAAGTCAGTGACGCGCTCTGCTCTTTATAATTTGCAAAGCGTATATGTAAAAAATATATGTTCGAAATCAAGAGCAAATCGGAAAAAGGAGGAGGATAAATAAAAGCTTTAAAAAATCGACGAATTGGGAAGAAAAAAGAAAAGAGAGGAGAAACGCGAGACAAAAACGATCGCTTTCTTTTCGCGCGTGAGCAACAAAAGTAGCATAGCAGTTAAATTAAAGTTGGAGGCAAATTTTCGATCTTTTTTTTCCTTTTTTTCCCTTGCGGATTGCGCTGCAAAAAGCCCACTCTTTCTCCCCCAATCACTGTTTGAACTGCCCAGTTTTGGTTGCATCACAGGTCACAGTCACAGTCACAGCCACAGTCACATCATAAGCAGCGCGCGTTGACGTTGACAGCGCAGTCAGTCGGGTTTCTGTGGTTTTATTGGTAAGCACGTGGGGGCACACACAACTCCGCTTTAAGGTCAACCTCTTTTCCTTTTACTTTTATTTCCATTCCCCCCTCCCTTTTTTTTACTCCAATTCAAATTCGGCTTTCATTGTCTCATTTTTAATTTCTTTTTACACTCTTTTACTCACACACACATTTGCTTGACGAAATGCGACGGCTCAAGACGCGCGAGCCATCGGTGGCGCTGCTGCTGCTGCTGCTTCTGCTGGTATCGGCCCTAGTCCGGGGCTGGTCCAGCAAGCCTCGGCCCAAAGCGCTGGCAGTGGCAGTAGCAGTAGCGGCATCACAACGTTCATCGACCTCCTGTCGTCCGACGAGCGGTTCTCCGAGTTTCTGCACACGGTGCAGCGGCTGCGCATGGTGCTTCCGCTCAACCGCATTCGAAACGCCACGCTGCTTGTGCCGACCAACGCGGCCATGCAGAGGCACAGGAAGGAGCACAGCGAGGACACCGCTACGCACGTGGGTGGCGCCGTGTACAGGGGCATGTCGGACTACCAGGCGTGGTACCACCTGATTGGCGACGGCGCCATTGGATCCAAGGAGCTCACACGCGGCACTATGGTCTGGGAGACGCTCAGCCGACTTGAGAACATTGGCGACGGCGGCGCGGCTATGGCGGCGCAGCTGTCTGCTGTGGGCAACGGCACAGACGACGACGGCGGCGGCGGGGATAGTGGCGGGGATAGGGCGGGACAAGGACAGGGACAGGGACAGGGACAAAGAACACGTGTTTGGCATCATGCTCAAGACCTGGATCAGCAACGGCGAGCGCGTGCTGGCCAACGGGGTGGCGGTATACGGGCAGAACTACTCGTGCACGGCCGGAGTGTGTACCTGATGGACGGGGTCCTGGATATCCCGCCAACCATGCAGGAGCTGCTGCGCCAGGCCGTAGCAGAGGATCGGAGCGCACGGAAGCAGGGCGCACGGAAGCAGAGCACAGAGCCGGCTGCCGCCATCTTTGAAGCGGCGGATCCGGCCGACACCGGCGAGTTCAGCTCCATCGAGCGCCTGCTGGATGCGGCCGGCTGGGCGCACGTCCTGGACATGTCCGGCGGTGGCGAGGACGCGCTGGCGATGCATACGGTGTGGGCGTTCAGCAACCACGCGTTCGGCGAAGGGCTCAACTACGCCGAGCGCTACTACCTGCTGTACGGCCCTGCGTTTGCCAAGGATGATGACGAGCTGTACGCGGATGCCATTGCGGACACGCGCCGTTTTGCCGCCGGGTGCGTTTCGCCTGGGCCGGTCAGCATTGCGCGCCTGGGAGCGGGCACGCACAAGAGTAAGTGCAGCGACTGGTGGCCACAGAAAACACTATGCTGCGACGATCGTTAAACTTGGCAGCTAATTATGTTGTGTTGCGCTTGTATCTCGCAATTGTAGTTCAGGCTTCCAGGGCTACGGCGAGACCACGCTGATCGTTGAGGGGGCCCCGAGGGCGCCAGCGTGGGCCGCGTCAACGACCAGCCGATCGGCAGGGCTGACGTCATTGCCAGAAACGGTAAGTGCGCCACATCACACATTCTTGTTTTTGTGAGCGATTTGCACTGGGTGCCAGTAAAGGAATCGCAGAGAATGCATCACATGCGCATCGGCCTTGGCTTGCGAGCTTTTTTGCGCAGTGCATAAAAAGACACCTTTCATTATTGTGGTGCTACTGCTGCGGGCATCTTAGGCGCCCCTCAAAGGGGGACACCAAAACCCGCTTTGCTCTCTTTTTAGGCCAAACCCCGATGTGATCCTCCTTTCGCCCTCTGCATCTTTCTCTTCTTGCTTGCTTTGCTGTCTACTGTATTTTTTATTATTGCCTTGCCCTTTTTACGCTCTAGAACTAAACGCACTTCCCCTACACCCCCCCCCGCATCAACTGGCCCGACTACTGTGCAATGCGCACTGCTACCGCTGTCGGTCTGCTCTGGGCCTATCTTTTGCTTGGACTGAGCGCAGGCATTGTTCACACTGTTGATAAGGTGGCTCTGCCAGCCGCGCTGGCGTTCACGCCGCAAAAGATGCTGGTTGGGCTGAATGCGACGATGTTTGTGCGGCTGCTCAAGGACACCGGCCTGGGTGACTACATCGACGGCACGCAGCCAGCGCGCAAGCTGACGCTCCTCGTTCCCAACAACCGCGCGATGGAGGACGCCTTTGGCTACGACCTCGGCGACGAAGACGACGGCCTTGCAAAGTCGCCGCGCGACCGGCAGCGCGAATGGGCGCTGTACCACGTTGCCGACGGACAGAGCGGCGTTGCCGAGCTGCGTCGCTCGCCTCTGCTGCGCACGAAGCTGGCTGCGGACTGGACGGCTGGCAACCCGCAGGTTGTCAAGGCTCTGGTCGACCGCGCGCAGGTATCGTTCAACGGCGCTGACAACATATTACCCGAGCCGCTCGTTGTCGGCAACACCACCATCTACCTGCTGTCATCGCCCATGCCAACGCCTCCCGGCCTTATAAACGCGCTGATACAGGACCTGGACCTGTCTTGTTTGTGGCCGCCATGGGCGCATCGCACGTTGTCGACGAGATCCAGCGCGAGCACGGCATCACAGTTCTGGCGCCGGTCACCGGCTCGTTTACGTCGCTGGGCTTGGTATGGGCCTACCTGAGCCTGCCCGGCGATTCGGATGCGCGCACCGATCTGAGCCGCCTGGTCAAGTCGCACATTTTGAACAGACCCGTGTACAGCGACGAGGTGCCGCTGCACACCGATAGCTCGGCAAAGACACTCATGGTCCAGACACTTAACGGAATAATGTCGGCCTGTACCGCACGGCGCACGGCATGTTTGCTGTCCCCGACCAGCAGTCCGGCGCCGTGCCGGGTGCGTTGGCGTTGGCGTTGGCGTTGGACCAGGCGCGCACGCAGGGCGGCAAGTACCGCAGCCTGCTGAGCGTGGCGGATGCGAACACGCTAAAGATCTCGGAGACTGACCTTTTGCTGCGCACTGGAGTGGCGCACGTGCTGGGCCAAGGACTGATTCTCCCAGCCAATGTCGAGATCACGTCGTCCAAGCTGCTGCGCGGAATGAGGGCCCACATTTTGCCGACTTGCTCGAGCGCTTTAACCTGACGTACGTGCTCGAGGATCCACGCATTCCTGCTGATGCTGCTGCTGCTGCTGCTACATCGATCGTGGAGAATGCGACTACTGGGCACAGTAGCAGGAGCCGTGAGATTCCTGATAGCGATGACGGGGGCAGCGATGGTAATGGCATCGTTGGATACTCGCTTTTAGTCCCGTCGGACAAGTCGTGGCGGGAGAACGCAGCCTACCGCGAGCTTGTTCGCCGCGACCATGACGAGCTGACTGTGGGCGACGACGAGAACCCCTGGCGCAACTCGACCACCGGAGACATTGTTCACTACTTGGATATGCTCGTGCGCCTGCACATCATGCCCATCATTGACACATCTGCGTCACGCCCGACTCATGGTGTTCCTGAGAGCAAGCTGATGCTGGCCGACCGCAAGACGTACCCGACCTTGCTGGGAAATGTCAAGCTGCGCGTGTATGAGTTTGCTAATGATCGGTTTTCGATCCAGCTTGACAACCTGCCTTTTTACCAGTCGCCCGGCGGTACGCCCTTTGTGTCTTTCGCTACTGTAGTTAGGTCTGGGTATGCGCGCTCGGGCGCTGTGTTTGAGCTAGATACGCATTGAGATTGCCGCCTGATGATGAGTCTGGCGGTCCTGGTGGCTGGAAGAGGTTTGCGTGGAACTCCTTGGTGTGGATTACGGGGATTGGTATGGGCTCGGGGCTGCTCGGCGTGTCTGGGTATTGGGTACGCCAGTGGTGGACACGGTCAGACTACCAGTCTTTGTAAATAACACGTCCCTCGTCTTTTTCGTTGTGCAGAAACAGTGGAAACAACAAATCGCCCTATATTTTTTTTACTATATTACACATACATTTCTATTTTCTCTCCGTTTTAAACATCAATTGTCGGCAACGCAAAAAAAAGGGAAATAAAAATTATAATTTGAATAGGAAATTAATGTTAAATAAAGAAAACGTTAAGAAATGTGACTTATTTATGGACGTGGTGATGGTAGTGGGGAGGGCCCGTTCCAGTGGGCATTCTGATATTGTTGCCAGTCCTTGATCCCGACGATGGAGATGGCGAAGATGAAGCTGATGATGATGGCTCCAATTCGGACTCCGACCCGGTCTCAGTCTTGGACGACTTTGAAGCCGGCTTGGGTGCTAACTTGGTGGTGGCGGATGAAGCAGGGTCGGACTTTGCGTTTTTGGGCGCGCTCGCCCCTTTGGGTGTGGGCTTTGGCTTAGAGCTTGACTTTGAGCTTTTTGATGATGCGCTCGCGCTGCTATATTTGCTAGAATCAACACCACTGCCGCTGTTAGTGGGCTCGAGGAGCACCCCGGGCAAATGCGAAATGCCCAACACCTGCGCCAACCGCTTAATCTGACTATTGACCATTTCGGACGCCGATGCCGACGCAACACTCTGGCTGTACTTCTCTTCGGCCGCTGGATCCTCAATCTGCACAGCCTGGGCCAGCCTGATCTCAAGCCGATCCAGGTCAAACGTTGTGTGCCACGCACGCAAAAACGAGTTGCCAATGACCCACCGATTGAGATCGGGGCTCATGCTTGCGGCAAACGCAGTGACGCACCGGTCCTTCCCTACACGCAGAATATAGTGATTGGCTTTATGGCAAATGTCTCGCCGCCAAAGCCAAACTTTACCGTGGGCTTGTCATTCTTGTAACAATCAATGGCGTACAGTCCGTATTCGTCGTATAGGGGCACTGCGCCAAGGAACTGGTTGACCATATCGGCATCAAACGCGGGCAAAACTATAAGTGACGTGCCAGTATCGATGATGGCAGTCTGACTGGTGAGATTAGGCACGGGTTGTCGTTTATGAACAGGCCGTTGAGCTCGACCTCCCAGTACATCTTACGCACCAACGGGAGGGTGCGTACCTTGCCCTCAAAGCGACTAGGGTTGACGCCGCCCAGGACCACCTCGCCACCGGCGTGCTGCCCATTCCGACCCTCCTTGACCCAAAACGAGAAAACGGGCTTTTCTAAAAGCCCCTCGCGCGCCATAACAAAGATCGGCGGCTTTGACTGCGTACGCGACAATTGGGAAATCCGAGGCCAAAGACACCATCAAAATGTGTTGAGCGGAAAAACTTGCCCATATGCGTGGCTAGTCCGACGTGCACGCCGGGAACAGACACGTCGCCGATGTGCAGAGTGTCCGAACCAACCTGGCCCATCAGCCCACCGGTGCCGTAGTTGAGCGAAAACGGCAAATGCGACGTGATGAATGTGTGGACGTCGACGAGTTAAACCGCGAGTGGGCCAGGCAGGCGGTGGATCGCAGTTGATGGAGGGGATCCAAAAGTCGGAGCTTCCGTATCAAAAACCACGCTGAATTTTTGCGGTGGCGTGCCCAGCTCAATGCTGCCAAAGTAGCTCTGAAACCCGCGGTTGCCTGGCGGCACGCAGCGTCTGTCTTGTTGGTGTTGGCCTGGAATGAGCTCAGCCGGATGGTTATTATTTTTGCGTCCTTCTTGAGCCACCGCTGCCCAAGTCATCATCTGCTGTATCTGCGTTGGATGATAAAGACGAATCACCTGTATCGCTGTCTTCGTCACCGTTGCTCGCCGTGCCGCTGCTGGCTTTGACTGGAGAAGCCGCCGGTAATTTGGTTGGTTTGGATGCTGCTGCCTTTTGGGGCTTGCTCGCGGATGCGGATACGGGTTGACCTTGGCCACTGTCGCGCCGCCTTCTTTGCCTTCTTGGATCCGCGCTCCGCCGCACTCTCTCATCCTCGTTGCCACCCTTGGCCTCCGTATTTGCATCCGAATCATCCGCCAACGCTAACCTTTCGGGGTTTTGTCGCTATCTGTCTCGTCGTCAGCTTGTTCTGCATTTGAGGAGGTTTCAAGGCTGTAGTTCGGCGTCTTCTCGCAGTGTGGCGCGGAGCCGCTTGGAGTTTTGGACTATTCCCATGGGGCATGCGATGTGGATGGCTTGGGAGCAAGCGCTCTTGATATATTGTGCGATGGTCGGCTGGTCGTGGAGGCATGGCGTTTGGCGCTTGCTTCTGTTGTTGTAGCAGCGGCATTTACTTGGAGGGATAGCTCGGTGGCGCAAAAGTAGGCTGCGCAGAGTGCCGCCAGTAATGTGGCGCTCTCATTGTAAAAATGCGATAATTTAATGTAACTATAAAATAAAAATAAAGAGTGTGTAGATAGTTTTCGGTGTATGTACTGAGCTGCTTGGAATTTCTAAAGGGCGGATACAAAGTTGGAGCTCCCATGGAATGTTCAAATGCTTGTCAAAATTTCTTGCAGAATTATTTCACGAGTGCTTATTTGGCAAATATGCGGGGGGGAAGAGAGTGGTCTGTTTTCGACCATCTATTTGTCCCCCATCCTCCCGAGAATGTTTATGTATGTTGATACCAGGCTGCTTTTAATAATAGAAATTTTTTTGCTAAGGGTCACAAGTATATGCTACATAGCAATGACAGTAACCAAAGTATTTTTCCTTCAGAGATATTGTGCGCTTTTTCATTTATAATTAATGCAGAGAGCAAACAAATTCATCATTTTGACTGCAAACCAAGCTAACAATTGATTAAATATTTTTTAAATGTTCATTAAGACTACCTTTCAAAATGGCATGCTAATCGCAATATTATGCGCGCACCTGGTTACTGTGGATGTTTGACAATTTATGATTAACATTGCATCAATGATATATAAAATTAATAACCTTTTTGATTTTCTTAAAATGGATTACAAACACAAAAATTTCTCAATCGATAAGAATGAATACCGCCTAACCAATGAATGCTGGCTGGAATAACCAGATAATTTCACAATAACTTTCAAATGCTTATTCTAACTGCATTTTGTTTCTCGGCTTTTTTACAATAACACAATAGCACCAAATGTAAACAAACATTGGAAAAGCGGGGACAGCAAAATGAAGACATAGGGATTTGCACTATATAAAATAATTAGAAACACATGTTTCCAGTAACGCCACCCGCACAACAGCAGCGTCAACATGCCGCAGCTAGGCTGAATCACAGTCCTCGCGGATGCAACGGAGTGTGCGTTTGCCGGCGGCAATATGAAGAAAACAAAGCTGAAAGCCACCATAGAGTGCGTCGGCCAATAGCAACACTGGCTCTCGCACGTGTGGGATCAGCATTTAAAACGAGGAATTGTCAATTGCATCAGCCCAATATTTTTACAATACCGCCATCCAAAATTTGTCACATATATGTTTTACACGCCATTGGTTTCCACCACGGTTCGTCTCCAACTCGTGGCGCTGATCATAGCCATGAAGGCACATGGCAGCCGAAAACCAGTTTAAAACAATGATCTTGTATAATTTGACGTGTCGTATTGCATTGTCCTTGTAAATAGAAAGCCATATTTTGCCTTGTAAGAAAAATTTATTCCGAGCTCTCACTCGGTCATGTCTTTTCTTTTTGCCGCATGCTATAGTTCGCATGCTTCAGCGAGAAACAAACTGTCGCAAATTGGCTTGCTCGCCATGCCATTTCCCTTCCGAAGTAATTTTTCAAACATTTACAAAGAGCTCGCTCGCCACGCCCTCCTCTCCAACACCTTATCCCACTTTTTCTTTTCTACCAGCACAGCACAGCACAGCACAACACAACACAACACAACAGCTATACTTTGCTCTCACACTTCCCACGTAGTCTCTCTACTTTAGCTACTCCATCTTCAAATTCAGCTCCAACTCCAACTTCAACTCCAACTACCCAACGTTTTATTTTATACTTCCACTTCAACTTCAACCTCAACTTCATCTTCAGCTACCCAACGTCTTATTTATACCTCCACTTCCACTCCTACGCCCATTTGGCTTTATTTAAAATTATTTCATTTATATTATTCTGTTTATATTTTTTATTCGACATGCTCGCCAAAAGACCGCACGAGGACAGCTCCCCTGGCTCGTCTCACAAGAAGCAGCGTCTTGAATGCGCAATCTATCCAGCCGACGACAACGACATCAGCAGCATCGTTGGCCGCAAAAGGCCTATTGAGGATACCGATAACGATCCCCCTTATAAGAAGGGAAAGTCACACGAAACACCGATGGACGAAGAAGCTTCTGACCAGCCCACCAACAACAATGCCATTCCTCAGCCTGCTGGCGAGCCTATTGAGGCTGTGACAACGATGATGCTAAGATGGACTCTGTCAATCATCTACCCAACTTTGTGACACGCAAAGGCCTAGCACCCCGGTCCAAGGTAAACATCAAGTCACTTATATTTGTACTGTCACTTTCTTTGCTTTTTTCGGATATAGATAGACATATCCGCAGCTGCAAAAAAGCATGAAGTTTAAATGCGTTTGCTAATATTTTTTATATTTTTATGTATTGTAGAGAACGATCTCAAGAGCCCGAAACAGCGTAGGTGCCGACGAGTGGACTGGGCCCGGCCCGCGCATTTGCCACTGACATTGCCTCTGAGATTGCCGTCTTCTGAACGCTTTTCATCTGCTCCAGTACCGAGCCGCTGCCGCCGCCGGGCCTTGCTTTGAACCAGACAGGCCACCTCCGTCGCCTATTTCTTCCTTCATCCGTTCCAGCACGCACCACTGCCATCACCCGGCTCTACCTTTGGACGCCCTAGTGCCGAGGAGTCACCATTTCTGGGTCCTGCTTTAGCTCAGGCATTTTCACCTCCATCTCCTGGTCCGTTCTATGAACGCTGCAACACCGAACCGCCACCGTCGCCGGGTCATGCTTTGGGCCACACATACTCACCACTGTCCCCTGGACTCTCTTTTGACCTCTCCAGCTCCGAGCCTTTGTCGCCGTTTGCTACTGCTTACGGACATGCCAGCAATGTGCGGTCACCATCGCCGGAGAATGCTGACAACTTGAACAGGCGAACAACGCCATAGTAGAGGTCAATGTCCGCCATGGCTGCCCGCCGAGGAACTGAACCCCGCGTACAGGGATGAGATGCTGCGCAAAGAGTTGAAGGACTTTACAGATTTTGAGCCTAAAGTCGTTAACCTGGCTGAGCCCGAAGTTGCAGCCTATCGAGAGAGGGCAGCAGATGTTGCCGGCAACGTCTGCAAGGCAATGCAATATTTCAGATCAGCAGCATTTTGCAAGAATCTGTACCCATGCTCGCGAGCCTCATCCGCAGCGACTCTACTCGGCAATTGAGTTCACCCACTCGGCCTATAATGATGTCCTTGGCCTGGCATTTCGGCTCGAGAAGGACTGCAACTTGTTCTCGGATTGGGCAGGCACAGAAGCATTTGGCAACGTCGCTGGCGCTGGCGCTGACTGGTTTTTCGAGGAGTCCATAATATCGGGCGCCAAGGCAATCACCATGTTTGTTGCTCGCCTCCTCAAGGGCTTCAACCACCACGCTAAGGGAAACATGGTCGCTCCGAGCCACGCAGGTTGCTTTTCCCATCCCTTGCAATTGATTTTGAGGAATTGGATGATCAGGGCAATGGCCGTCTTGTCATGGGTCTTGAGGCCAAGTCAATCGCCGATGTTCTGGCAAATGGCTCGAAGGCAGCGTTTAGTTTAGACTCGGAGTATGCTGAAGTTAGCGATGAGTGGTACGCCGGTCTGTTTGCCGCCATCGAAGTTAGACCGGGCATGTCGGACAGTGACGAGGAAGACGCCAAGCTCCATCTGGCCAGGCGCTCTCGTAATATCTATCGCACGCAGCCCAACCGCCGCTTCCTGTGGGGTCTAACAATCTGCGGCAAGTCTGTTCGGGCGTACTTGTTTGGGCCAAACTTTGTCCTAGACTCCGAAGCTTGAATATGGACATCAGTACCGAGGCCGGTTGCAACGAGGTCGTCAAGCTGTTTGTTAACCTGTCCTTTGCCGAGGACTATCGGCTGGGTTATGACCCAACCATTAAGCGCTTGCATGACCTCGATTGCTGGGAGATCACCGTTCCTTGCAATGCCGATGACGGCAGCAGCACCGGCAGCTGCACATACTACAGCAACAAGGTACTGGAAGCTGATGATCACATCATTGGTCGCACAAGCGGCGCTTTTTGGCGACCAAGAAAATGCCCACCGCCAACGAGCCCATCCGCGACAAGGACTGCGCGGTGGTTGTCCATGATATGTGGTCTGAGCTGCTAAGACCTGTCCGCGAAAACTTTTGCGATGAAGACATCAGCGATGAACTCTACATACTCAGGTATATCAACGACGATTTTTGGGGGAGAATCGATCTCAATGGCACCTACCCGGTTCTTGCTGAATGCGGCATTGCGCGTTTTGAGTGCGGGTCTCAACAGAAGCCTACCGACGATACGAACTATGGAATCCTTGGCACTATTTATGACGAGCCCTCTATTCCCCTCGGCGCCCCTATTCCTGGCTGCGTACATAGGCGGTACGTGACTGGACTGATTGGCTCCCCTCTTACGGAGATCACCTCTGCTGAGGATATGGTAGCCGTTGTCATGGATATCATGGAGACATGTCGCCAAATGTATGCGACCTCCAAGCACGTACACCTGAATATGTCTCCAGATACGATCCGCTTCCGCCGTTTGAATAATGGCCGTATCAAGGGAATGATTTGGGGATTCAACGGTCTTGCCAACAGGGGGAAAACAAGTGCCGAAAGTGCTAATGAACGCGTTGGCCCACCTCACTTTATGAGCGTGAACGCTGTTGAGCTCAATTCAAACCCATTGACTGAGCTCGACGAATGGGAGTCTTTGATCTACATTATGCACTCTGTGGTGCTGCACAGTTGGAAGCGCTTTGCCAAGACCGGGACCGAGACCGATGCCAGGATCGACACCGAGTTGGACGATAATCTGGTGTATCTCAAGCGATGGGACGAGAAGGTCAGATTGTTGACTCCAGTGCTAAGCGCGAGTGTTTAGACAACAGTGCCAACTTTGCCCGCTATTTAAATATTCTGGACGACACCATTCCCGGCTGCAAGATAATCAAGGACCTGCTGAATGATTTGCGCGGAGCTCTTATCGAGAGCAGCTGCTATCACAAGGACGCTGTCGGTGCGTTGATTCGGGAAGGGGAATATATGGAGCCGGACCCGTTTAGCGAAGACCCTGTGGATTTATCCCCAATGGTTGATCCATTCCGAATTCGCGCTGACTGGGCTCCGTATATTGCCGCCCGACTGAGAGCTATACTCGATCATTACGCGGCCAACTTAACCCAATGGTCGCACCCTAAGAACTAGATACTAATTTAGTTTTTGTTTCAATTTGTTTCTTTATTTTTCATATTATCTTATCCAATATCAAATTATTCTTAGCACTTCATATCGACCAGTGGCAGCTAACATATGATGCTTGGCCAATTGCATATCGAAATCGGTGGATGTGGTGATCACATGCACCTTATAGGCGTGCAACCCACTATTATCCGCGATCCAACTTTTTTTGCTGCGCACGGGGAGCTTGCGACAAAACAAATTCATGCGTTTCGACCTTTTCTTGTGTTGTCTTTGAATTTGTATCATTCTTTGTTTTCACCGCTTGGTTGCTTGATTACTTGCTACTAATTCACTCGTCGCTTATTGCTAGACAAAGACGGTGCTCGCGGCTGCGCATTTTTGCATTCTCATTCACAATTCACCTCAGTAAATGCAGCCATAGACATACAGCCCCGGCGGACACGCGTAGCTGCTTGCGCTACTGCCGGTTGCCAGTGCAGTCACACTAGACACGACGGCACAGACACAGTACCGGGGAGTGATCAACAGCGAACTGGCTCAGGAGTCCGATTTTCAGCGCCTCAGCATGCTCGAAAACGACACTGCTGTGCAGGCCATGGTCTATAGCATTGTGCAAGAGGCCTTTCTGAGCGACGAGGTTCAAGAAATGTGAGTTACCGCGGCCACTTCAGCTGCCAAGGAAGCAGCAGCAGCATCGCATTATGCAATGCAGTGGATTGGAAAGAAATTTGTACATCATGGCTGAATATATGACTTCTATGTCACTCACTGTAGGCAGCTAAAAACACATCCGCCAGAGCCGTTGTTTGCAGACGCACGCAGTGCGCAGACAGAAATTGGCAACAAGATTGAGAGCTTGGCTCTCCAGCATCCGAGCCTATTGCCACAACACAGAGGTAAGATGATCCCAAACCCATCGATACAAATTACCGGATCAATTGTTACAGTGACTATATTGCTGGCATTTACTAAACCGGTGCGTTGCCATCTTGAACTTACACTTGTTGTTATTCAACATTTCTTTTTAATTAATACTGTATAGACACCGCACCAAACGCGCCTTCGTCAGCCGATAATGGCTACGCGCAGCTCTTCTCGTACATCCAAAAGTCCGCGCACAACGAGTCAACCAGGCAAAGTGTGGGCGCAAAAGGTAATTGCAGTTCTTTTGGAGCGCATATATTTTCAAGCATATTATGCGCATATACCCAACTGAACGCAATGACGAAGAGATCTATGCGTGTTCATATTGGTAACCCGCTCTTTTTATCTGCTTTTTTATAAGTTGTATTATCACCTCCAGCTAACATTGCCCTATCTTGCTTGTGGTTTTTATACTGCCATCAAATTTCTTGCTGCAAACCTTAGTAAAACTGAATCCAGAAGCGGCTTCAACCATGCCAACATCCAGAGTGAGGCGTCAAAACCATGGTCTTAGACCAGTTGAACTCGCGACTAGCGGAAACAATAAGGCTGATAGCAAATTGTTGATAAAGAATGCGGAAAACAGCCACATCGACGTGCCAAAATTGAAGAGAGCGCTGGTCCAGACAGTGGATGGCGTGGACAGTGATGCTAAGCGGCAGCGCTTAATGCCGACATTACTGCTAAGAGCGAGCCGACAACCGCGGCTGTCGCGGACTCTACGCGGTCTGCGCCAAACCAGATAAACAATTGCACTTCGCAGAGGCGCTCAACGATTACCTCGCTGTGATATTCCAAGAGGAGGACCAGATATCTGAAAACAGCGGCGAAAAGGGTGTGTACTTCCGTCGGATTCCGCAGATGCACGGTGAGACTGTCGTTATGAACAAGCGGGCGATACGCCAAGTCCGCACGTTGCTTGCGCCATGCACTGAAGGTTCGCTGGCACAGCTTGTTCCCGATGCAAATTTCTCTCGAACAATCAATCTTCTTACCTCGGCAGTCGAGGCTGCCGACAGCATGGGGCTGGCAGACATGATAAAGTGCGGAGCAGCACTCGACAGCGAGACGGAGTTGTCGGCAGAGTTTTGTCACAGACTCGAATTGGCGTTGTCCATCACCTGCCTTGGGCTCGAGGCCGCCGCGCTGGTAATCGACATGGCGGCATCAGGCAAGGCGTCAAACACCGCGTGCACTGGTGACTCTCTGCACACTGCAGTCTTGTTTTTCAAGGAATCCCTTATGAGCTGCGTTGTCCCCTTGCTTGATCTGACCCCAAAGTGTGGCTTGGCCGAGGTCTTCAAGAACACTAGCTCTTCGTTGAACGGCCGGCTGCAAGCTTTTCTCGGCACAATTCTGGCAGCGCACGAGCCCGTGATTTCCCTGGTCCGCCGGCCGCTGCTCGCCGAGCAGGACATCATCTCGCTTGTATTTGCATCCATCGGTATCACATTCTCCTCTAGCGAGCTGTTGGCCCACAGCATAAACACCAACACACTCGAGTCCATCCGCCGGTGCTCACAATCGCTGCTGCGTCAAGTGTTTGAGTACCATGTCGACCAGCGCACGTGGATGCTAGAGGAGATATTGGCGTCACTAATCCGGCTGCCTACCAAGAAGCGAGCGCAGAGTTCCAGCCGCATAGCCGGCGGCAAGTCAGTGCAGTCCATCACCATCCTTTTGCTTAAGCTGCTGCAGGGCACTGCGCATTTGCCTGAGGATCTGACCGCTGGCTTTGAAGGGGGCGCACTGCCAGCCAAGGAGTACCGCATGATGCACCAGAAGCACGGGCGGGCCGTTGAGACTGCAACTTCCAGCTCCGATTTTACCGTGCGCTATCTGATTGGCCGCTGCATCAAGCGCGACAACAAGGCATCGGCGAACGAGGCCGAATACCGCACGCTTTTGGAAGCATTTATTGACGACTGCATTGTGCTGCTTGGGCACCCGCAATGGCCGGCCGCCGAGCTAGTGGTGCGCATATACTCACTGCACATGCTCGAGCTTCTTGACGACGAGAAGACGGACATTGGCCTGAAGACGCTGGCGCTCGACAGTGCTGCCCAGGTGGCATCGCATATAGCATACGAGCAACAGGCTCTTGAGGATGCAGCGAAGGCCGGTGACAGGGCTGGACTGGAAATGGTGTCGCCGGCGTCGTCGCTAGAGTCTATCAACAGGTTTAGAGACGCGTCGACATCTCTTTTGGAGTACTTGCAATCCAAGGTTGTTGGCGGCGAGGCGACCAATGCTATTCCGTTGTACATTGGCAACTGGGCGACAATGCTGATTGCCGCTCTCCTCAAGGGAAAACTGCGCACTGGCAAACCGGATGGCTCCGACAACCAGTGTGATGACGACGTCGATATGGGTGAGGATCTGGACCTGCACTTAAACTCGGAAAGCGACTTTGGCTCTGATTCCGACTCTGGAGCTGCGCACAAGGGACAGGAATCAACACCGACGCTGCACAAGGGTAACGCTGAAAGCGGGAGCAATGAGTATGGCAAATCTGGACAATCGGCCGCAGATGGTTTGGTCGCAAACTTTAACGATGCGAAGCACAGGGCCATCCAGGGATGCCTCAAGGACTATATGGATATCACACATCGGTCCAACAGCGTGATGCCTAACAATGTGACCTTTACCAGCGCCGCCAAGGCCGCGCGGTCGATCTTTTTGCTGCTGCCACTGTATCGCAGCTTTGACATGCTGTTGACGCGAGTGATCTTGGCGCTCAGCGCAACCCAGGTGACGCTCAGGTCAAAGGCATTGCGTGCGCTCAACCAAATCGCGTCGCAGCGTGCGTCTGTGCTGTACCAGGTCAACGTCAAGTACGCCATCAATCACCGACTGCAGGACAGCTCGCCGCAGGTCCGCGAGGCAGCCATTGACTTGATTGGCAAGCATATCGCCCAGAACCCCGAGCTCACCGACCAGTACTACGAGTTTGTCAGCGTGCGCGTGCTCGACAAGGGACCCAGCGTGCGCAAGCGTGTCATGAAGATACTGCGCGACATTTATGTGTCGTCGACGGACACTGTGCAGCTGGTCGACATTGGCGTGCGGATTCTGCAGCGCACCGGCGACGACGAGCGGTCGATTCGCGAGCTGGCGACCAAGACGCTGCACGAGCTGTGGTTCACCTCGGTAGTGCACGTTTTTGTCGAGGACGAGGACAGCATTTGCAGCGGCGAGGTGGCAGGCAACGTCTTTAATCTTCTCTCGCCAGACTCGCAGCGTGAAATGCTCAATCGCGTGCGTGTGATGACTGGGGTGATGGAGGCTTCTCGATCGCGCGAGCTGTCAGAGCTCATGGCCGGCCTGTTTGAGCATGTCACGACAAAAGTCTCAACTGCAGAAGCCGACGAGTCACTGCTGGTGATCCGGTGCATAATTGAGGCGCTGTTTGAGCAGCTGCTCAAGTCTGAGGAGGCCAGCCTTGGCTCGGTTGTGGGCCCCTCCTTTCACATCAGTCCAAGAGATGGTACTTTTGACGCGACAACATCGGCCATGTTTTCGACTCCGGCTTGCTTGCGGTTCATCTCTGCGCTCAGCGGCATTGCCCCAGATGTGGTCGGCCAACACGCCGAGATGCTCAGCGCCTATCTGAAAATGACCAATGCCGCGGAGGAGGACGTGTTGTACAGCGTATTGACCATCTTTAGCAACGTGCTGCTCAAGATTCCGCACCCGAGCAAGCAGTTCCTAGACAGCTTGGAGGCCGATCTGATATCGCTGCTGTCGTCCAGCCCCCAGGGAATCCTTGTCATCGTCGTCCCCTGCCTGTGCACTCTGATCGACAAAATCACCTGGAACTATGGCAAGCTGATCAGGCTGTTCCGGTCCTGCGCGCTGCAGCTCTACCGCGAGAAACAGCGCATTGTCGGCTGCACGACTGGCAACAGCGGGCTGTCTGCGAAAAACTTGATGCGGTTCATCGTGCTTGCTGGCCTGACGTGCCGTCACTTTGATTTTGACCAGCATCGGCAGAAACAAAAGGTACACTTCAAGGACCTGGACCAGATAATTGGGGAGACTGTGCCCGAATTTTTGAATGAGATGCTGCTGTTCTTTGCGTCGCCGTCGCTGCCACCGCCCGTGCAGCTGGCTGCGATACAGATGATTGGCCAGATGTACATCAATCGGCCGCCGCTGGCGCTCGAGCCGCGAGCGCGGGCACTAATGGACCAGGTGTTTGCAGACGGTAGCAGTAGCCACAAGCTGCAGGTCATGCGCAACTTTCTCGAGTATCTGCGCGCTGACGCCAGGCTGTATGCTGCTCGGCTGAAGGAGGACAAAAGTAAGCCGCGTAAAGTTGACGTCGAGGCCCTGGTCGGCAACTCTGGCGAAATGAGCGCGGAGGGTGTGGGGGCGTCGCTGATGCAGACGTATTTGGACCGCATCATTGACGCGACATTCTTTCCCGGAGCAGCGCTGCTTCGCACTGCGGATTCGAGGTTATCTCGCTGGTTTTGGAGCAGGGTCTGGCGCATCCGCTTAAATGCATGCCGGCGCTGATCGCGCTTGGGACGAGCAGCGACGCTCACATTCGCAACAAGTCCCTGAAGCTGCACCAGGACATGTGCTTCAAGTATGCGTCGTTTATCCACTCGCGCGATATTGAGGGTGTGCGCTTGGCATACGAGTACCAAGTACAAATTCACGGCAGCCCAGAACGAGTCATTGGGTACAGCGACGCTTCCGATGTGCGTGACGCGCCCGACCGCCCGGTCGCGTACTTGCAGCCGCTATACTCGCTTTTGCGCTCGAAGCGCGCGCAGCGCAATGATTTCCTAACGCTGCTGGTGAAGACTGGCGACTATGACTCGGGCATCAGCTACAGCACTGGCGGGGGCAGTAGTAACGGCGGCGCCGACGTCTCGTTTGTGCGGTTTGTCGCCGAGAACTTGGCAGCCCTGGACTACAAATATCTCGATGAGGTATTGCATGTGATCTACCAGATTAGCGCGGTGATTGCCAGCACAGGGCTCAACTTGTATCACCAGTTTGAGGCTGAAGCAGATATCGATGTCGATGCCAATGTCAATCTCAATGAGGCCGGGACCAAGCCAGCGACAACGCGGACAGGTTATTCTGCGCAAGGCAACGCCTTCAAGTGGAGGCAGACGACCGAGGCCAGTGCGTGCGTTGGGGTCATGTTTACACTGCGCGAGTTCCTCATGCTGCACTACAACATTTCCGAATTGCGGTGCTCGGCATACAACCCTGGAGACTCGTCGGGTGTGCGAGACAAGCCGGTGTCGTGGCATGCACAGGGCGGTGGCGGGCAGGGGCGCATTGTCTGGGGCGCCTCCAATCCCTACGCGGTGCAGCGCATGGTGTCGGCGGCCGACTACAGTGAGCAGCGTGCTCAGTACAGACAGCTCATTACGGGCTCGCTCGAGACGACCGAGGGCAGCCTGAGTGGGGGCACCAGTAACCGCTCGTTTGAGAGCCACAACGGCGGCGGCAACGATAATAATGATGCGAGGAAGACGCTTTGCTGAATGCTGAGGACATAGAGTTCCTGAGCATGCATGACTTTGAAAGCTGACTGCTTTTTTGACAATAAATCACAACACTGAAGGAAATAATGATATTACAAACATCTAAAAAACTCAAATATCCTACAAATGACATATTTCCTTACTATCATAATTGCATAGCAGCTCGGCACGTGCTTGGAAACTGAAGGCATAAACACAATCACCAAGGTTACCGCTTACCCCACATGTTGGGTATTTGTTACAGTGAAGTTTTGTTCTGTGCAAATGATGATAATCCGGCGGCCAGTGCCAGTGGCGCCCAGTGGGTCCAGTGTCAGTGTCAGTGACAATGACAGGGACGGAGGCGGACATGCACTACCAGTGAAACAAACACCACTGTGCGCAGCTCAACTTTTTAAAATAAATTTAGTATTAAATTCACTAGTGTGGTCGCGCCGCATTTGAACTTTAGTTTTGGCTGGTTGAAAACTCCCAATAGAATGCGCCCATTTTTAGCCTCATCGGCCAGAGACCGGTGTTGCTAAAAGTAGCACCTGAAAATAGCCCCACCTGTCGTGGGCCTTTGCGCCAATAATATGCATGGAAAAAGCACCCTATTTTTGGCCTGATCTTGATTTTTCAAAGTGGGAAGCTTTCAAAAATAAGAGGGCAGAAAGCAGCCAATGGTCGCAGTACACGATGTCTCCCTTTTTCGCTCAAGCAAGGATCAAAGAGCAAAGAGCGCGCCATCGTGCGATTGCGATTGCCCAAAAGGAAAACAAACAAATAATACAACGCGGTAGATGTGCCAAAATCAAGGCTGCAAACACTGCACGCTGTCCTCAAGGTGTGCTTGGGTGCTTGGGTAAATGATAACATGCATGAACTCAAAGACTAACAAAAACAACAAAAAGAACCACGCGGAGGGGGGCTACAAAGGAGAGAAAGCGGGAGAGGAAGAGTGACAGTGCTCATAAATAGCATCAACCCCGCTCGTCCTTTCTTCGCGAGTTCGAATTGTTTTCCCTCTCTCTCACACACAACCGACACGTACTCGTCCTTTCTCTCTTTTTCCTTTAGCTTTATTATCTCTACCATTGCTTTTTTGTTCCTCTTTATAAACATTCTGCAGCACCAGACTTTTTTAGCTTGCTCCCACACCAACAACGACATAATACGCAACGCATACTCTCTCTTGCACTCTATACACATCTAATACACGACTATATCACATCCATAAAACATGAAGGCTCTCATTCTCGTCGGTGGTTTCGGAACTCGTCTGCGTCCTCTCACACTCACTGTGCCCAAGCCGTTGGTAGACTTTGCCAACAAGCCCATGATCCTGCACCAGATTGAGGCTCTTGTCCAGGTAAGCATCCAGATAATGTGATAGAATAGAACTACTTAGCGTAGTGCAGTGGAATGCAGTGGATCCGTGCCAGTTGTTTTCTTTGCTTTGCATCATGTGCTGTTTAATTTTGGACTACAAAATTAAACAAATAAGCGCAAACGGGCGCAGATCCCACTCCAGCCCCATGCGGCCTCCTCTTTGATTTGCTTTTGTTTTGTTTTGTTTTCCTTACTGCTTGCCAGTTGGTCTGCTGTCTGTGCATTGAGTGTCGAGTGTCGATCTGCTTATAATAAATAGCTTACATGCACAGACAGCAACAAAAACAATAACAATAGGATGGATAGACAGATGGAAGCGTCTGAGCGCCAAAAAAATACTGCCCGGCTCAAAATGAGATCTTGTATTGCTAAATTGCAAAGTAAACCTGCTTTTTCGCTTACTTTTTTGTCAATGATAGGCTGGCGTCACTGACATTGTTCTGGCCGTCAACTACAAACCCGAGGTCATGGTTGCAGTGCTCAAGAAGTACGAGGAGAAGTTTGGCATTACGATTACCTTTTCGGTCGAAGAGGTCCCCCTTGGAACTGGTAAGTAACATAGTGTTATCAATTTGCTTATATTTGACGAGCTCTGTTTTGCTTTTTATTTGTATTTAGAAGCACCCACACTAAACACGGATGATTTCTTAACTCCTCATATTTTTTGTAGCTGGTCCTCTTGCGCTCGCCCGCGATATCTTGGGTAAGGACGACTCGCCATTCTTTGTTTTGAACGCGGACGTCACATGCGATTACCCCTTCGAGAAGATGCGTGACTTCCATATGTCGCACGGCGGCGAGGGCACAATTCTGGCAACGACCGTCGACGAGCCCTCAAACTACGGTGTCGTCGTCGTACACCCCAACACCACAATGATCGACCGCTTTGTCGAGAAGCCCGTGGAGTACGTCGGCAACCGGATTAACGCCGGCATCTACATTTTCAGCCCGTCGATTCTCAAACGCATTGAGCTGCGGCCGACGTCCATCGAAAAGGAGATTTTCCCGCGCATTGCCAAGGACAGGCTGCTTCACACCTTTGACCTCGAGGGATACTGGATGGATGTTGGACAGCCCAAGGACTTTTTGACTGGCACCAGCCTGTACCTGTCCTCGTTGGCCAAGCGCAAGCCTGAGATGCTTGTTCCGGCGTCTGTGGACTTTGTCAACGGCGGTAACGTGCTTGTGCACCCGACGGCCAAGATCGGCAAGGGCTGCAAGATTGGCCCCAATGTCACTATTGGTGCTAACGCCATTGTCGGCGATGGTGTCTGCCTCCAGCGCTGCGTGCTGATGGACGGCACGCATATTAAGGATCATGCCTGGGTTAAGAATAGCATTGTCGGCTGGCACTCGAGCGTCGGCCGCTGGGCTCGTCTTGATGGCATCACGGTTCTGGGCGATGACGTGCACATTGCTGATGAGATCTACGTCAATGGTGCTTCGGTTCTCCCGCACAAGTCCATTAGCGCCAACGTGTGCGAGCCTGGGATTGTCATGTAAAGAAAAAGGAGTGGTTTTTTCTTTATTTTCATCACGTTGTAGTACCAATTTCTTTACTGTTGTTTTGTGTGGTCTTCTTTTTTTGAGAGGGGGCCCATTCTGATTTAATAATTTAGCTGTTAATCATAAACATATTTTTGGCAAAATGCACATATAAATAGTAGTGCTGATATTAAAAGTGAGCAGTTTGATTTGTATCTGCAATGTGCGTTTTATATTATTGATAAGCTCGTGGCAGTACAACGGTAACCTTGCTGTTCAGGTAATGGGGTAGTGGGGTAATGGTGTGATGACGATGCGCCCACGCGTCCCAACCCAAGCAACTAACCAACCTTCTCAAATGCATGCATAAACTCCCCATCAGATTCTAGCAATCCCAAAATTTTAAATTTCCAGGGAAGAGATGGGAGCTTTGAGACTTGCGAGTCTGAGTCACAAACTAGCAACCAAGCAGCCGATCCGGTTGGCATTTGTAGTGATGGAAAAACATATACGCGCAAGGTGTTGTGCGCTGCTTTCATCACCATTGGTGCACAGAATGCAGCATAAACTTTTTTTTCACCCCACCCAAAATATTTTTTGTCTATTTCTTTCACAATCGTCACAGGAGAAAAAAGTTTCGAATTTTTTATTTGTTGACAAACGCGTTTCTTTCTTTCTTTCTTTTTTCGATTCAACTTTTTTTCTCATTATTATTTATCTTGAGTTCGAGTTTTATTGTTTGATTCTCAGTCAAATTATTTTTGTCGCTTATTACACGCATTTTTCACACTTGGCCCACATCACGAGTGTATATCGTCACCTGTTTTTTTTACATAAGCAGTACAAGGTTTTTTTGTTGCGGAAGATGTTTGGACAGCGTACTATCAAGGGACTTCGCACAATTGGCGCACATACATTTGCAAGTTCATCGACTTTGCACACAATAGCAGCAAAGCCAGTCAGAGCCAGCAAATTGCTGGAAAGAGTAAGTCATTCTTTTTTGGTGAGAGGGAGGAGGATCATCCTCTTGTTTGTCCTTTGCTATGCCAAAAAAATTCAGGAGTAAAATTTTTAAATTGATGTTTCAATGTGTGTTTGTGTGAGGTATTATCGGAACTGACCGGAACCATGTATGCTCATTGGTGTGATTTGCGACCTCACTATAAAATAATGACCACGCCTGGATCACAAGGAAAATGGATGGCTTTGCGAATATTATTTACCCCCTTCTCTTGAATGCGCATAGCGTTTTTCACGTTCAAGCTGACCAATGATAACCGTGTCGGAGCATGCGGTGACCAGCCAGGCCACTCGCCATTCAGCCCAGATACCAAAATTTTTGCTCGTGTTAATTTGCTTGTTTTTAGCCGCGAAATGTCTGCTGCCCAAAGCGCTGATGATCCCAAAAATGCTCAAAATTTTCACATATGCGAAATGCCTTTTTTACATTTCTGCTGTTGATCATGCCTGCTAGTCAACATTGGCCTATTATTTATCAGTTCTCGAGTAAAAGGAGGGCAGAGGAAGCACACGGCAATACGACACATACACAAAAAGCATTTGTAATCACCCTTCCATTGTTGTTGTGAGCATATGCCAAAAAGAATTCTCCGTAGTGCGTCCAATGTTCAGGCCAGCCTTCTGGAGCGCTTTGGAATCACTCTTTCCGCTCCCCGTTTTTAATGCGTCATTGAAAAATGGGAGAGATGCGAGTCTTGGCTGGCATCGCCAATTGGTGTTGTTTACCATTCTTTTCCCCGCCTTTTTGACTTTGCCTTTGCCCTTATTGTCTTCTGACAATTGTCCCCCCCTCCTTGCCTTTTGACTGTGATATGATGCTTGCTCATGTGTCTCTTCCTTTTTTGTTTATGGGCTTTTTGGACTTGGTTTGCTTTGCGAACCCGGGGTAAAAATAAATAAATAAAACAGCATTGCAATTGCATGGCAGCGAGCAGCCGAGCAGTGTCGGCGCCATTAAAATCTCCATCGCATCAATATTTTGGCAGATGGGACTGGGCTGGACTAGACGGGACGGAATGAGATGGATAATATAAAATACTCCCCTGTGCCAGCGAAACCCAGAAATGCATTTTGAAACATCCCCTATATTTTTTTCTCAGAAAACATCTTTTTTTAGCAGCTCCAATTTTTGTTGCCTTGGTTCCGAAAACACTTTCGTATTTACAAATTTTGTACTTTAAAAAGGACGTACATTTTTCTCCAACTATCTGTTCCTCAATTCATCTCTTCCCTTCTTTCATCTTCATTAATACCATTTTGCCCCTTTTCTTTCTTTTTTAATTTTCTCTAGTCATATTCAGCAATGGCCCCTATCAAGACCTCTTCATCCAATGCCACGCTGGCACCATCGCCCCCCCTGAAGCCCCTGAGCATGGGTACCGCGCTCCCCGAGGCCACGCGCAATGCGATGAACCTCAAGGGCCTGGTCCCATCGGCCGTCGAGACTTTTTGGTGCAGGACTCGCGCGCCTACAAGCAGTTCATAAGCAAGGGCAGCGACCTGGAGAAGTACATATTCCTCTCATGGCTGCGCAACACCAACCTCAATATGTTCTACCGCCTCGTCCTGCGGCATCTCAAGGAGGTTGCGCCTATCATCTACACGCCGACCGTGGCCAGGCGTGCCAAGAGTACTCGCATATCTACCCGTTCCTTGCACCGCCAACACCATGATGGGCTGTACATTTCGCTGAACGAGGTTGACAGCATTGACGAGATCATTGCCAACTACAAGGCATCGATGCCCGAGGGCTGCTGCCCCGAGACCACCGTCATTACTGACGGCTCGCGGATCCTGGGTCTGGGCGACCTTGGCATAAACGGCATGGGTATCCCCGTCGGCAAGCTGCAGCTGTACGTGGCGGCCGCTGGCCTCGATCCCACACGCTGCCTGCCGATTGTGCTGGACTTTGGTACGACAACCACAAGTATCTCGAGGACCCGTTGTATCTGGGCATCCGCCAGAAGCGCCCCGCTGACAAAGAGGTAAGAATCATTGAAGTGAAGAGCAAGGGGATAGATGGTCCCTGCGCATTGCCATATTTCTATGTGATTGGCTGAAACGATGGGAGGTGTGGGGGGGAAGACGAAAAGCGGGAAATTTCCGATTCTTGAATCGCCATTCGGAGCAAAAAAAAGAAGTGCGATGTGGCACTTTCGGATTTTTGTTCCTATTTTGTGGCATTGTTGTCATCATTTTGATTGTGCTCCGTTTAATTGTGCGTGTGAGCATCCCCTGAATTTCCTTTTTTGCGGTCTGTGCAGATCGGTGCATTCTGTGCTTGTTTGTGCCTTTGTTGACTGTGGTTGGCTGGCCGGAAGACGAGCAGAGTGGGCTTCATCAGGCCTTGTTGGCTACGGATTCACCCGGCCCTCGGTTGTTTTTCTTTTATTGGCTGCCCCCACACAGTCTCCTCCGATTTGTCACATATGTTTTTTTCTCGACCCGGGGAAACTGTGACGACTTGTATTTTTTTGTGGCCAAGAAAAACTTGCTGCACGTGCATCAAATCCTTCTCTTTTTGAAACGCTTTTAATTGCTCATTGGCTAATATCTCGGCTCCTTCCGACTTTTCTACTTTAATAGTTCTACGAGGCCACGGAAAAGGTGCTTAACGGCCTGACTCGCGCGTTCCCGGGCATCTTTATCCAGTTTGAGGACTTTAATACGCCCCATGCATTCGGCCTGTTGGAGCAGTGGCGCGACCGCATCCTGTGCTTCAACGATGACATCCAGGGCACTGGATCGGTCATCCTGGCTGGTTTCATCTCAGCCATCGAGCACGCCGGCATCCCGGCCAAGGACCAGCGCATCCTCTTCTTTGGTGCGGGCTCGGCCGGTGTCGGTGTTGCCAAGCAGCTGGTTGACTACCTTGTCATCGAGCACCATATCCCTGAGAGCGAAGCCAAGGCCATGTTCTGGTTTGTCGACTCGCGCGGCATCATCACAGCTAACCGCGGCGACAAGCTGGCCGACCACAAGGTGTACTTTGCGCGCACAGACAACGGCGACGTGCAGTGCAAGGGCTGGAGGCTGCGCTCGAGTACGTCAAGCCGACGGCCATGATCGGTCTGTCAACCATCCACAAGGCCTTCAGCGAGAAGATCCTGCGGCGCATGAACGAGATGAACACGCAAGCACGGCCGATCATCTTCCCTCTGTCCAACCCCAAGACCAAGGCTGAGTGCACCTTTGAAGAAGCCATGCGCTGCACCGACAACCGCGTACTGTTTGCGTCGGGCACGGCGTTCCCCGAGTACACCATCCCGGGCACCAACGACACGCGCGTGCCGGCCAGGGAAACAACATGTACGTGTTCCCGCCCATTGGTCTCGGCGCTAAGCTGGCGCGCCCAACGAGCATCACCGACACGATGGTCTTTGCTGTGTCCAAGGCTCTGTCCAACACCCTGTCGGATGACGAGATTGCGCGCGGTGAGCTGTACCCACGCATCGAGCGCATCCGCGAGACATCTGCTCAGGTTGCCGCTGCGTTCATCCACCAGGCTGTGCGCGAGGGCCTGGCCCAGGATGCATACTGGATTGACCTGGTCAAGAGCAACCCCGCCGAAGGTCATTTGTCGGATATCCCCGATGGCACGTACTCGCAGGTCGTGCTCGAGGAGGTCACTAAGGCTATGTGGGCGCCAGCTGACACTGTCAACAGCTTTATCTCATCGACCAAGCTGTAATTTTTTTCTAGATTTAATTATTAATTCCTGCACTATTTACCTATCATTTTTTCTTCTAAAAGCTCGAATGAGAGAATGAGCCCTTTGATGAATAACGGAAAGGTGATACTGACTGTTGTTGTCATCGCTTGTGCTTTCTTGTTTTTTTTATTATCTCGGTAATTAAGTTCAAAAGTGTATAAAAAGATTCGATCAATTAATAAATATGGCCGTTTCCTGGGACTTTCTCTCGCTCAAACTTGAAAATAAGGGCAGTGTCGCGCGGGACCACCTGGCCAACGAGCGCACATACCTGGCGTGGATCCGCACCTCACTCTCCCTAGTAACCGTCGGCGTAGCCATCCGGCAACTCTACAATGTAAACCTCAACACACCCGACACTATAACCGAATCTTTATCATCGCAGACACCACACTTAACATCGGGCAAGGCTTAGGAGTCAGTTTTGTATTTCTCGGCATTTTATTTGTGTTTGTCGGATTGTACCGCTATTTCCGCTCGCAGTTCCTCATGACGAAGGGCAGGTTCCCGGTTTCTCGAAATACCGTCGGCGCCTGTGCTGTGGCTACATTGGCTTTGCTCGTTGCGCTTTTGGTTTCTATGTTTGGCGCTGAATAAAATTTGAATTAATATACACGTGACAGTAAGCCTTAATGAAAAAGAACAAGGAAGAATGAACAATTATGCACAGGAAAAAGAAGCACAGGTGTCCTCTTATTTGTAAAAATAAAATAAAAGTTTTATTCATTTTATTCTAATTTTTCAGTTATGCGTCCAGATGCACACAAGCAAAAGGCTAGTCGCCTGTACAAGGCAAAGCACAAGGATTTATTTCCCACACAAAATAAACTCAAAGCCACAGCCGCACCTGCCAACGAACTAACCCAGCCCGAGCAATCTGAGAAACTCGAGCAACCCGCCTCCGCAGACAGTAGCAATGACAGCACCGAGCCTAAACCCGCACCTGCGCCCTTCTCTCGTCGCAAACTACAAGACAACTCATACCGGTACGAGGAATTCCAAGACGAAGAAGCCCTTATCAATGCGCGCATCGAAGAAAGCCGGGACCAAGAAGACATGCAAGAATTCATCAAGCACTTTAAAACCAAGGTTGTAACCAACAGCGATGAAAATGTCAATTTGGTGGATCCGAGCGAATTAGCGCCTGCAGAGAGAGAGGAGAGGGAGAGGATGTTAAGGGAAATGCGCAGACAGATTCTGTATGATGAATTTACGCCTGGACCTGATAGTGCCCAGGTAGGTGTGAGTGCGGGTAAGCGGGTTGTTAGGGTTGAGGGAAGGTTAGATGTGGGTGAGTTGGCCCCGAATGTGTATGCAAAACAACCTCTCGTAGCAATATCACCAATGCCATTTTCTCATGCAAAGGCCGTGTCTGATGACGACGATGATGAGCTGGATGCTATTTTAGGCTGAACAAAATAAATGTCCAGAGTATTTATCTGTAATATTTTTATTTCACTTGAGAAATATATAAAATGGTTTAAATAAAATACACGCGGCCCCGCTTTCAATGTTTCATTTTTAAATAATGTAAGATACAGAAAGTATTCGAACTAGATAAAAATTCAGTAGTATAATATAAATAAAAAACAGTCGGGACAGCGTTCACCATTAGTGCCAATTTTTAAGTGGGCAAGCTGTCTCCGACACGCACTGCTTCAGTTGGCTATGAAAAATGATATTTTGATTATGAAAAACACTTGTATTTAGCAAATAAATATTGTCTAGTCGTGTATTTTTATTTAATGTTTTTATTCAATGTGATATTCAAAGTTTCCCAATGTTTTTTGCCGTCCTCAACCACCACTAGTCTCTGTGCTTTTTGTCTCCCAAATTGGATCTCAAAATTATCAATACATTTAACAGAAAAAGTGAGCGATTGGCTCACTAAATAGGCTTATAAATGGCCTTAGCCGGGTTAGCTCAATCGGTAGAGCGTAAGACTCTTAATCTTAAGGCTGCGGGTTCGACCCCCGCATTCGGCTTTTGACATATTTTTATAAAACAATTTTTTTAGCTAGTGCGGCTGCAAATGCTGAATCACTAAAAAAATGATGGTCCTGGCACGTATCAAGACATTTTTTATTTTTCTTCTCTGTTCAGTCATTTTGTTACAATTAATTATTCTATATTCTTTATGAGTGTTCGTAAGTACTCGCTGTGGGTGTGTCCGCCCAGCCATTCGCCGGCGCACGCGCTGCTCGACGGTGTAATCAGCAAGTTTTCGTCATCACTCAGCACGCCCCGCTTCCCACCGCACGCAACACTGGTGTCGCCAGTATATGCAGCAAGCGATTCTTCAGCGATAGCGCAAGTGACAAACTATGTCAAGAAACTACACGAGCAGCTCGGCACTGACATAGTAGGCAACGGCATTCCGGTCTGCGTGCAAAGGGTGGCCACAGGGATCAAATTCTACCAATGTGTGCTTTTGGAGGCACCGGGGAGTGACGTTCTTGTTGCGGCTAATGGTGTTGCCCGTGGACATTGGGGGATCAATAGGGATGTGCCAGTGTTTTATGCTCATGTTAGTTTGGTGTATGGCGAGTTTGAGGGCGAAGAGCTGGCGCGGGTGGCAGAGCGAGTGGGTGCTGGGCTTCCAGGTGACTTTGAAGAGAGTTTATCGTTTGTTGCGACGGAAATCAGAGTCATCGAGACTGTTGGTTCGTGTGACCAGTGGCGCGATATTGGTGGTGTTTCGATTATATTAGACAAGTGATTATATATTTATTCAGCTAAATAAAACATGAACTTTTTTATTGATTTACGCTTGGATGGCTGGGCCCCTACACAAAAAATACAAATTAAAGATAATAAAAAATTTTATTTATCGCAACACGTATCAAATCGTGTAATTAACACTTTAAAAGTTCACATTTTTATACTTACTCTCCTCCCGGGACCAGCATGCAAATATTGTTGCCGTTGAGCAGAATCTGCTGGAGATAGTTGACCTTTTTTGACTCGCCAACAGTCTCGCTACAAAAAAATATCAAACGGAAATAATGGAAATGAGGCCTTTTAGTATTCATGTTATACCACAAATCAATATATAACTTTTTCATGGCATACTACTTTACGTACTATTCGGTGACGTCCTCAAGAACCATGTCTACAATGTAATATAAGTACAGTTGAATTTTGTTGTTAGCATAATGTCAACTATTTTGAAAATGACCTTGTTATCCCTCGACTCCCCGCATCCTTTCTTTTTTTTATAAAAAAAACTTACTAACATAGTCGTCGAATCCGAGCAGTGTTCCGACAAACTCCTTCTCCGACTTCATCATAACCCAGATGCGCGATCCGATGCATTTGTCGATAAGCTCTACAGATAAATGAATTAAGCGGCATGATGTGTTAGACACCCAGCGTGGAATTACATACATACACAAAAACATATTTGCAGCGCGGTGGCCAGCGGTTCGCCTCATACTGTACCTAGCGGGAGTAGTTGCAAAGTGGCCATTATAAAAATAAAGTGTCAAGTAAATGTGTCGTGTTGTGTTGATATTTTTTAAAACAAGAAAATTGCCCTGATAAATAATTCAGGCAAAAATCGCACAGTGATTTATTTTTATACGCTAAAGCGCGGTTCTATGGGTAGCAGTCACAGACTAAAAAAATGATGTTAACAGAGCTGTTTGCAATCATACTAAGGCCAACACCGGCTCATCGCCGTCAGACACTGCTGCGGGCTGCAATTGAGGCTGGGCGCTGGCCGATCTCTTGGCTAGATTGCGCAGGTTGGACAGCGACGACAGAATGCTCGGCGTGGCCGAATAGTTCGAAGAAATGTGCGATCCGTCGATTCGCTCGTATATCAGCAGGTAAGGGTTGGCGGTGAGCACCTCGGAAAGAGTGACCGGCTGGACATCCTCGTCGGAGATAAGGTACCATTCGGCCGTCATGACGTCCGTAACCTTCCATGACCGCTTTGGCCGTGAGGTCGCAGAGGCATAGGTGGACGACGAAAAGTAGTCGGTGCCGGAAAAGTCGTTCGAGTCGCTGAGCGCACTAGCACTACCGCCAACTATCCGGCGCCTGCGGATGCTCTCGGCGGCGGCATACGCCGAGGTGCTGGCAGCAATGGATGGCTCGGCAGAGTCGTTGCGCCTTTCGAGTGCCGGGGTGGTCACTGAGTTGCCGTGCACTGGCAGCGACACGACTGAGCTACTGCGGTACCGCGGGGTGTTGATGCCCGAGCGGATCGACGGCGGCCGCGGCTTACGCCTGTAGGTGATAAAGTGACCATACGAGTGCGACCCAATATGCACGACTACGGCCTGCAGCCGGTAGCCTGTCTGGAGGTTGACACCTTGGCCCATCGCCTCAACTGCATCCCGCGAGCGCCGTTGCATCTGTGCATTCGGTGCAGGCTCCTGAGCCTGATGCACCAGCGCCTCGTCAATCATCGACATCTTGGGATCCACCTTGAGGTTCCCGTTGGTTGTGTACGGTGAAAAGTCCAGATACTCAGGGAAGCGCACATGGCACGGATTTTTCACAATGTATCCGTCAGGCGTGATTGCGGACCGTGACAGGTGCAGACACAGGCAGGGCGGCAGCTTGGCAAAAGCGACCTGCTTGGTGCTCAGCGGGCTGTACGCCTTGCGCAGAGTCACACCGGGCAGCGGACTTTGGATATCGGTGCGCAGTGCCTTTGCGACCTCGCTGGCATCCAGCCGGAGTTGCCCTATTATTGCGGGCACGTCGATCAGCGAGGGCGAAGGCAGATTGTGGGTGCGGTCGATTAGCTGCTTGGCAGGATTGATCGGGTACTCCTCCCTTGCCGGCGTTACACTGTCAATGCCGTCATAGTCGTCGCCGTCAGTGTCTCCAAACGTCTTTTGGTCGCTGCTATCAGGGTCCGAGTCTGAGTCGGAAAAATTTGACGCGTCACCCTGGTTGAGCACCGCCCTCCGCCAAACAATCTCTGCGCGCGCTGCCTGTCGCACACTGCGTGGGCTGCGCGCAGCAGCCGGTGATTCGCAGCCGCTGCCTGCTTTCTCAGCGTCGTAGCGTGGGTTGCTGGTAAGCCAGCTGGTGGCGACCTTGATTTCGGCGACCAGATCGCGCAGCGTCTGGTTCAGGGTGCACTTGCGGCACTGCACACCGGAAAGTTCCTCGAGCGAGATGTATTCGCGCAGGGCCTGGTCCAGCGTGCATGTGTTGGTCAGGGGAAGCGATAGTGATATGTTGTCAAAGGCAAAATGGCGGACGGCCTCAGTGTATCCGCACTGGGCGCACGATAGGCGGCTGGCTGTCAGCCCTGTGAACGGGTTCTGCAGAACCTCGCGGCGGCCAAACGTCAAGCTCTGGCTCTCAGCTGGCAGACCAGCAAAGTTGGCCAGCTTGACCAGTGCCCTTACACGCGCAAGTCCCTTTGTGCCGACACTCTCTAAGCCGCGCGGCACTGCCAAGACGCATGGCCGCTGCGGGTCCACGTGCGCCAGCATGCCGGCCAGGTCGGAATTAAACAGTGACGGTGTCTGCAGATCTGACAGTACGTGCCTCTCCTCAGAGAGGGCTGTGGATATCAGCTGGAATGCTTCCTGTGCGTCCTGCTGTTCGCGGTCGCTCATCCGGCTCGATCCGAGCGCTGCCATCACGGCGAACGGCTGGAACGCAGAATCGCGGTCAACGACAGAGTTCAGATCGGTCAGCGTCTCCCAGAGCGCCTCGGTCAGCGGCATCGACACCATGTTCCTGCCACACGCGTCGTTGAGCTCGTCCATGCACTCTAGCACACTCGTCAAGTAGTTCTGCAGGTACTCTGCCGACGCCAGCGCCTGGAGCACCGAGTTGAAAAAGCACGAGTTTCCCGTATTCACCAGCCCATATATGACCTGCCGCTCGTCCGAGCCCGAGCCAGTGCCCTCCGCACCCGAGCCGTCGCTAATTTCATCGCCCGAGACCTGCTCATCGCCTACCATATACTCGTCCTCATCATCGTAGTCGTCCAAATCAACATCCAGCAGATCCTCGCCGAGCTCGACTATCCGTTCAACCCATTCAAGCAGCCACTCTTCGGCCTCCTCACGCAATTGTTTGCGCAGTGCTCGCCGCTCCTCGCGCCGATCTGCCACCGGTTTTGCCCTCTTCTTGCGCCGCCTGCCGCAGCGTGCGACTCCGCGGAGCCACCGCCACACCTGCACCCACAGCGAGTTCCGTCCCTCCTGTCGCCTTCGGTTCGCCGATGTGCTCGAAAGGTGCCTGGCCTGGACCACGACCAGTATAATTACCCCGAAAACGATTGACAAGTAAATTCCCAGAATGTGGTACCACATCTTGTGCTCTAGCGCATGCAAGCTGAATCGTGTTTGTGGTATGCAATAGTGTTAAACAGCGCACCGGGCACACTCGGGCAGTGCACACACGTACGTTTCGGAAAGCGGCGTAACAAACAGTAGGAATTCGGCCACGACGGACAAGCTCGAAAGAAATGCTTAAAATTCCTAAACGAAGAAAAAAATCAAAATTTTGTTTAATAAAATATTGTCAGAAAGTCAAAGGGCGAGCGAGAAGAAAAAGACCAAACTACACCCTAAACTTATGTTTGACAATGACACTCGCATTCACACAGCGTTCTGATATAGCGGCGGCGATCACGAGCGTCAAAGCCTGTTTTTGGGCAACAATTGTGCAAAATCAACTAATTTAATGAAAGATGGAAAAGCTGAAGCACGTGCAATGTTTTCAAGTTTGCCATACTCCTCATTTCTACTCGCCTTCAAGCGCAAAAATACAAATAACAGAATTTACCTGTTGGTACAAGCTACTTTGCGCACTTTACGTTTCCTTTGCATACTTTATATCATACAATTCCACTCACTATCTATGAGCAGCTCCTTCCGAAAGCGCGTGCCGGCTGGTCAGCAGGCCAAGCCGCCGCCAGCCACACGACTGAATCCACACAGCGCTCAGCTGCTCGTGTCTACTGGAGTGCCCTCGCTCGACGATGTTCTCGGAGGCGGACTCCCCGTGGGTGGCGTGCTGTTGATTGAACAGGATCGCCAGACTGGGTATAGCAACACCCTGCTATCGTACTTTGCCAGCCAGGCCATCGCCGCGGGTCACAAGCTGTGCATCGTCAATGCTGACCAAAATGTTGACTTGAAGACCCAGCTGCCAGGGTGGGCTAGCGCCGTGCGCGACCCGCTGCTCAGTTATCCGGGGCTGCAGAAGCAAATAAGGAAATATCAAAGGGCGCTGACGATACCGATGCTATGAAGATCGCCTGGCGCTACAAAAATTTGCCCAAGATAAGCAGTGGCGACAACGACACAGATAAAAAACCAACAATAACAGCAGCAGTTTGCCAGGCATGGCAGCAGAAGTTCAGTTCTGCGAGCGATTTGACCTGTCTTTGCGCATACCTGGAGATGTTGTGGATAAGGCTCAGCCTGTGATCATCGACGGCGACGCAATCTCAATCATGGCCAACAAGAGCGCTATGACGGTGACATGTACCGGTGCGTCCTTGACCGTATATCGGAGCTGGTCCAAGATGGATTCAGCTCTCTGACGCCCCTCAAGCCAAACACGGAGCGCACAATCCTGCGAATTGAGCTGCGGTCGCTGGGATCAGGTTTCTGGCAGGGTCCAAAAACACTTCGATTCTGCAGTTCCTTCATGAGCTGCGCGGGTTGCTGCGCTACTCCTACGCCGCCTGCGTTATCTCGTTCCCCGTGCATCTATACGAAGAGGCTGGTGTGCGGCTGCCCATTGTTCGCCGCATCGAGCATCTCTGCGACGCAGTCATCGAGCTCGAGTCCTTCGAGGGCACGTATGCTTCGCCTGCAGACATTGTCGCGCGGCAGACCAGGACTGATGCAGCTTCCAGCCAGGACTACCACGGTTTTTTGCACATTCACAAGCTGCCGAGGCTCAACTCGCTGACAGCGTCGATGGGCCGGCTGTCGTTGCTGCACACCGGCGGCGGGTCTGCGAATAACTTGGCCTTCCGTTTGCGTCGCAAAAAGTTTTCGATAGAGACATACCACCTACCCATTGAGGGTGGCACTGTCGAGAGACGTGTGCCCGGCAAAGAGGAGGACAAGAAATCACAGGGTCGCCAGTCTGTTGGCAAGGGCGGGGTCGGATGTGGGTCTACGCCTGGGCGCAAAGACCCGCTCGAGTTCTGATCCATTGTTTTCATTTATTGATGCTTATTTGCGAGCTGCTGCCGCCTATGGTATGGCACTGTGAGAATTTTGGAAATTAAAATTTATGCAAAACATTCAGCTGACGCCATTCACTCTGGGAATATAATGTTCTCAAGCTCATGGAAACATCTGAATCTTGATTTGGAACCCATGCAGTTTGAATTCAAAGGGGTGAAAAAACATTGTTGCAAATCGCTTTCTGCTTTTGGAAATGGCAACCCGCATTGGAGTGTTTGTACACATTGAGGTGTTCGAATGCATTGGTTGTCAGTGACACGTGTGATGGCGAAATTCCTGTCCTCGATTTCGTATCACAGGCAGCTGAAACAATACTGGCAACATATCGCACCATTTGCTTTGGAAATGTCATAATTATATGTTATTTGTTATTCGTTATATTTACGAGGGAGATCGGTGAGGAGTAGCTGTACACTGTTACCATTGTATTTGCGTTGCGCCTTGGGTCTCGTAAAGTCAATGGTACTTACCCAGTATAAAAGAAGCTCCAGATCCTCATATCGATTTTGAAAACGTCATTACAACATTGCCAAAGTTTGAAAAACTACAAATCATTTTACTTCGCTTCAGTGACCTTTAAAATATTTTATCCAGCCCGTTCACATTTACCAAAAAAACAATGGCCGTTGCACAAATCGAGCTCAAGCCAGACTGGGCGCGCATCTCTTTTGACTCCACTCCTGCCACTTACGCCGACTTCCACTACTTCTGGCTGCGACACAACTGCCCCTGCCTCAACGGCTGCCGCCACACAACAACCAAGGAACGTACGATTGATGCTTCAGTGATCCCGCTTGACATCCGCCCACTTCGCGCGGTTGTCACCACCGCTGTCAGCGAAGACGATGAGGGCGACAAGCAACCTGCAGTTGCGTTCTTCTGGGCGCCCATTGAAACCAAGGACGATTCTGGAAATTTGGCTGTACTCGACGATAAGGAGCACGTCTCCATATTTCCTATCCAATGGCTCCGCGAGAACGCATACGCTGTCAACCGCAAACAATCGCACGAGCTGCCGCCCCACGACACCAACCTGGTCACTATCAACTATCTGGACTTTGTCACAAAGTATCCGGCAAACGCCAACAAAAACCCGGCCAGCGAGAATGTTAAGCTCGATAAACAGGGTTTGGTTTTGTACAAGCTGCCGTGTTTGACAATCTGAAAAAGTACGGCGTTGCTGTCATTCGCAACCGCGGCAGTGACACTGAGGACATCATCTATGACTTTATCGACTCAACAGCTGACGTCATTTCCACGCATTTTGGCCGCATCGAACATCTCCGCACAGGCAACGTTGAGAACGCCAACAACGACCAGCTGGGATACACCAACTCGGCAATCCGCCTGCATACCGACCTGTGCTATGCAGAGTCGGCTCCCGGATTCCAGTTTCTCCACTGCATCCGCCCGGCAGACCAAGGCGGGGACAACTATTTTGTGCATGTAGAGTCAGCCGCCAACTATCTCAAGACCGAGGTCAGCCTCCGTGCCTACGAGCTACTAACTACCGTGCCGGTAAAGTTTGATCGCAAGCAGAAACATTTAAGGCTCAGCTCGTGAGCCCCATTTTGCGTCTGGCTGACGAAATCAACACCGATACTGGCGAGCGCAAGCTGGCACAAGTGCGCTACAGCTACTTTACACAGGCTGCGCAGAGCAATGTGCCCTTTGCACAGCTGAGGGAGTGGTACGAGGCGCAACAGTCTGGGATAAGCTGTTGTATCGCGACGACTTTCAGATCAAGGCTGATCTGCAGGCCGGCGATATTGTTATTTACGACAACTTCAAGATTCTTCATGCTCGCAATGGATTTACTGGGCCCCGCCACATGGCCGGCGTCTACTTTGAGGCCAGCGACCTGTGGCACCACCTGGGCCAGGCCAAGGAGCAGTCGCTGAAGATTCAATCCAATCAGCGCGACTAATTGTTAGCATCAGCACCAACATCAATGGCAACACCAATGGCATCATCTATCCACACTAATTTTATTATTATTTTTCTATTCATCAAACTATCACGATAAAAAATATCCCCTAAACCCTGCAAAATGGTGGAAAACTCCATTTATCCATCGAAAATGGCTGATTTTTTGCCCCCCTCCATGTGGTTATGAGTGTTTTTATTAGCTATATAAATATTGGCCCGATAATATCGGCCCCTGCTTTTTGTAAGTCGAATGCAATGTTTTATATAAACAATGTTGTGTGCCCTGGAAGCTGCATTGATCGCTCGTGTCAGGTACTAGTGCGCTAGTAGTACAAGGTTCGCCATTGCCATTGGTGCCGCCGTTGTCCAAATATTCGTCCTCTTCAATAAAAGTATCCAAAACATACTAGTTATCCGGCTGGGAATTGGAAATGTCAGCAGTGTCTGTGGTGTCGGTGGTATTGGCAGTATCAGCAATGTCGGCGGTGCTGCCAAACACATTGTCAAATGTCCTGGCTGGGATCTGCATCCTACGTCTTGACGCTGATTTGCTGAAACTCAAAGAAACCTTCCTTTGGATGGGAGCTTGGGCGCAATGCACTTTGGTAAGGATTCGCGAAATAACTTATTTGCATTGCGCTCAAAAGAAGCATGAAAGTCTGGCCTAATCATAAGGTCAGTCATGTCTGGTTGAGGTGTGGACTGGGAACCACTCTGATAAATTTTTGGGCATGACTGACTGACAAACATAAAATAAAGTATTGAAGTTGAATATAGGAATTTTGCAAATGTAATCAGAAATATATGCAAATAAATAAATAATTGAAATTGAAACGTATATAATAGATGTTTTATGCTGCATGACATGTTCAACTTTGTGCTTTTTTGCCAGAACAAGTGTATATTGTGACTGGCAAAAAAATCACATCTGCAGCCACTAAGAGCTATTTTTATTGGCATACATAATAGTGAAGATAATGTATTGGATATTTCTCGATATACCATGTACCTGAAAATGGTTTACAACTTCGGATCGGTTGGACGCGCATTATTTACTATTAAGATAAAAAACAAACATAAATAATAAATAATGTGGTTGCTTACTCGATCAAGTGTTAATGTGTTCACAACACTTTTTATTTGCTAATTATTTATTTACCTTTGTCTCAACCTTTTCAATTGCAATGGCGAATGCAAAATTTGCTTTACTGAGCTCGAGAATTACGTGCTGAGGACACTTTGTATTGCTCAATTGAATGAAAAGACCCTTGATAAACTAGTTTCTACTATCAACGCTATGGCAAAAGACATGTAAGAGGCTAAAACTGGGCGGCTACAGCTTATTGCCAAAGTGGGAGAGGTTACCAATAAGCTTGACGGTGCAGCTAGTAGACACAGGAACATGGTTAGAAAATGCTTAACGGCATCTCAAGTTGCTAATTCAGGGCGTAAGGATGTTCTCAAATCTACGCAATTCACAACCAAATAGGCGTTTACGCAGATGTACGAGGACTGCGACATGGGCAGACTCCGCAAACTGCTGCTCGAATCGGCCCAGGAGGTGGTGGACGGGTGTTCTTGTAAAGATAATTAAAAATCAATGAGTTCAATAATTATTGATTTAAACTAAACTAGGGAACCTTCTATTAAGCGTTCCATTATCGCCTTTTTATAAGCAGCTAAAATTGACTAAATGTCAGCTCGGCATTAATTCCATCCAACTTCCAAGCAATCAACTTGACTGAACTTATGCGGTGTTTTCCACACAGTTCTCTTTACCGCAGAATGTCGATTGTATTAGATTCGCTACGCACTTATTTCTGGTTCAAGAAACGCGGAAAGGACAAGGCAGCAACAAGCAAATAAATAAGATAGCAAAACTAGTGGCACAGTTTGACACGCTCGATATTCCATTTCAAACAATGGAGATCTGTGGATGGTGTGGTGAATTTTGTTATACATTGTGAAGTAAAAGCGGACCGCAGATAGGAATTCTTAGTGGTCCATATGATTATGTTCATGATAATTGTAAAACTTATATTTCAAAAATGCCTCACTAACCATTATTTTCGTGATAAATTGCAATCGTTTTTATATTTTACTAGAATGCCACAAAGGAGGAGCTTCCTACACCTGGTAAGGAAAGCGCTTGTAGCATCCGGATCATTAAAAAATAATGCGCTGAGACAGTTTGAAATCTCGGTTGGAAAGGCATTCAGTGGTGATGAGAGTTCATTACTGAAGTCATATGTAAAGTACAGCTGTTATTATCACAATGTCCCTCATTCCAAAAGGTCGACCAGCCGGCCAGTGGCATGGTTTGCGTGGAGCAAATCAATGTCGAACAGGCTGACACCAGACTTGTTGAGAATTTTTCAAGCCCATTAATGATGGGTCCGATAGCAACAATTATAATAGCAACAATTCCGATAGCGATGGGTCTGAATTGCTGATGTGCAGGCTGTTGGCGGACGCGCTTCTGATATTTGCATTATACCAACAACAGCATTGTCTGCCTTTTGTCATATTGCCATTTACTCCATGGTAGACAAAGTCGAGCAGCTTTATCAGAAACTGCTTTCTAAACACAAAAACCGCCAACGCAGATCACCTTCAGCAAGTGCATAAGTCAATATTAGGAATGCAGTCATTGCATCTATGAGGACAGCTCTTCTGGAAGCACTACTATGGCCAAGGTTGTGGTAGAAGCTCACTGTCAAGTTAATCATATGGTAATGTGGTTTGTTGATAATCCTGGGTTTAATATCTCCACCAGTAAGGTGGTCACTGATCTTTGCGAACAATTTATGAGTCACGTCAATAAGCGCTACGCGGCTATTGATTCACCGTCCGGTGACCTGCCTGTTGGTGGGACCAATGTGCCATTGCTGACGCCCACATGCCCTGGTAATTGCAATGTCATCGGTGCTCACTCTATTCAGTCTCTTCCTGCACTCACAGATGCATTAGCACCTTTGAGCACTCTTTCTCTCTCTCGCCCGACAGAGTTAGCTTTTCCTGTTGCACACAAGTGTGGCAGGCCTAGCAATAGCGTCGCTGCCACTCGTGTGGTTTCTCCTCCTCCCACACGCAAGCGCAGTTGGCCTAGAAATAACAATATTGATCGTGCAATTCCGTCTGAACATGTGGCTAAACGCAGCCGCATCAGACTCAGAGGTAGAAGTGACCGCACTGGTAGATGCGGCTTCCTTTCTATCTCTTTATTTACTTCTGAGACTAGTCATAGGCCAGGTGGACCCAAAAATTGCTGCCTCCAAGTAACCTGCTAACTCTGCCACAACGCTCCCATAGGACAGAAAACAGCTACAGTTTTTTTCCAAGCAACGAGCATGCTTGGTATTTTTATTTGTAATGTGATACTCTTACTCTTAATATTAAATTATACTTTATATACATGTATATGCCTATATTATAAAAATCACTCAACAGTAGTATAAGTGTTGCGAGTAATTAGTCAAATTAAATGGAGCTGCCGGGTGTTTGCTAATAAATTTTATCTTATTGATGCCAAGCCTAAATGTCTACACAATCAATATGCACTAAACACAAAAAATTAAAAATTAAAATCGCTACTAGTCTGCATTTTACACAGTACTTGATATGAAGAAGCCCATTATTAATACTAGTGCTCACACATTGCCAATTGGCAAGAAATTAACTGCTTAAGCAGCCATGCGGTACAATTTTGGCTAGTGTAATATTGTGCGCTCGAAACAAAAAGCAAAAAGCAAATGGCAATGTGTTTGTTTTACAACCAGATAAAATAAGTGATACATTGGCATTTACATTAAAGAGAACTAAATATCCGCCTTGTGTGCCATAGTCGGCATGTCTGGCAACGGGCACTTTTCGGCGTAAAATGGAACCAGTAGTAGCTGCCCGGAAGCGTCGCTCGTCGATTTGGTCATCCGAGGCCGAGCGGGTGCCTGTTCCCGCGAGTGCCGGCAAGATGTACGAGCATGCGTGTGCTTGCCATTATCGCTGCCGCTGCCGCTGCCATTCACCCGCGTGCTGGCGTCAAATGACGAGCAGCTGCAGCAGCTATCAATCTTGTTGGGAGTCATGGCTGGTGAGATCTTTGTGGCATTCACAGACTTGCGGCGCGAAATCGACAGCGAGTCGATAAAGCCCATCAACCGGCCGGCCAGCGAGTTTGAGGGCAAGGGCAATGTGGTAGCTGCGCCAGCCATGGGAGTGGTGGCTGTGGAAGTGCTGGGTTGTGTACGGGATGCGCCTGCTTGAACAGTATTCTGTCCGGTAGAGCCAGTAGTAGCAACCAGCGCTTCGTCCCTGTTTGACCGCGCACTGTTGCTGCTCCAAAGCAACTGCTGTTGCGAATGACGTGAGCGCCGTGACCAGGCAGTTGATTCGTGGCACGTCGACCCGGCAGTAGATACCGCCGACAGCACTTCTTCGCCGCAGTCACTGCCCGTCTCTGAAAACCAGTCTGGCTCTACAGCGGCAGAGTTAGACGGCTGTCTGCTGTTGGACAGCCGTTTGGTCAAGGAAAAAATTACGGCGGGCTGCGCGCTGGCCGGCGGCTGGGGGCTTGTCGGTTGAAGTATCTGGGGCAGGGGTGGCGCTGACAAAAACACGTGTCCCCTCTTTTGAGAGTGCTTTGGCGACAACGAGGTTGTCTGCTTCAGCCCAGCTAGAGCCTGAAGGCGGAGGATTTCTGGAGATGTCAACACCTCAAAGTGTTTTGGAATGAGATCGGTCTTGGCAGTAGTAAAGGTTGTAGTCGATGAGAGTGGCAAAGTGGCAAAAGCAGGAGTAGGAGTGTTATTTTGGGGACCACTAGTAAAAGCAATCGGGCCAGGCTGGGGACATGCAACCCCGCTGTAGGTCGTATTGCAGCATTGCGACAGCGGAGAACCCAAGTTGTTGAGATCTCCATCTTTCTTGGCCTGGCGGCGTGCACCGACTCTTGCCACAGAGCTGGCAATAACCTCGTCGAGCCGCTCCACCCACAGCCTCTTTTCCTGCGCCGATTGAGCATCAAAGACCATCTGCTGTCCACTCTTGGCGTGCTGCAATTGCCACACATGCTCGACACCTTCGTCAACCAGCTGCATAGTGTGCAGCGGAAACCAGAACTGCGGCACAAGCGTCGCTGACTTGCGCAGCTTAAATATAATAAGAAAGCGCTTGTACAGGACGCACCCAAAGGTTCGCTGTGGTTCGGGTCCCTTGGCACCATGCCCAGTGACGCGCAGCGGTCCGGACAAAATAATGACGCCAAGCTTGGCAACCAGAGCAAGTGGCAGCTGTGAGTTGTCGCAGTACCGGGACAGAATGGCGTGGCGCAGCCTTAGCGAGTCGTTTCGATGCTGCTCCCGGTCGATGCCCTGGCAAACGCCGCGGATAAGCTCGAGCGCAAGGTTGAGCTGTGTGTATGTGTCGGGCTCGAGGCGCTGATCCGTGTGCTTGATCAGATCCTTGATAAACAGCGGGTACTTGCATATGCGCTGCACAGGTTTGATTAGGAAATCGCGCAGTCCAAGGCGCCGGTGCTTGGAATGCAGGGCGATCTGTGCCTGCACATCCTTGAGGAACGCAGACCATGCAGAGTCGTTCTCAATGTGGTCCAGCGTGGTACACAGCCAGTAGTACTTGCTGCAGTAGGCAATGTAGGCGTCGAATCCTCTGGCTTCGGACAAGAACAGCCGGGCCACAGACAGCGCGTGCGTGGTCACTTTCAGGGAGCGCAGAAAGTTGTGTTGGAACGAGAACAATACCTGCAGTGGGTGTAGAATAATCTCCATATGCAGATCCTGCGCTCCAGCGTACTCGCATAATGGTACGGCAAAAACGGCGACTAGAATCTCGAGATCCGTCACGTATGTCTCTTCGGTGGCTAGCATTTCATGGAGCACGTAGCTTCGCCGGTCGCTTGTTTTCTGCAACGGCGCCTCTAAATGCTGTTCAATCGGGATCGATTGCGTCAAGGGAGGGTTTGACAGCGGCGGTGGGGGTATCGTGGTTGTGTACAATGCAGCGTTATCGCTTTCGAGCTCTTGGTTGCATTGGTACGACGAGGCCCTCTGGCACATTATGCTCTCTTTCCTCAGGGGAATTTCAACAACCTCCGTCGCAACTGTGGCCACGGGTAACGCTGCAGCTGTTGAAAGGGGCGTCTCAGCTAACCGCAGGAGGCAGCGATCCGTGACCACGCGCAGTGTCTGTGTCAGATGTCGCAGTTGGGTGGGCCGCCGGTGAACTGATTGAACGGTGCTATTGGTTTCATCTTTGCTCAAGTGGCCATTGTCTTGTGTAGCACCGTCGGTGTTGCGTCTTCAAGGCGCTTGGCCAACATCCTTTCAAGGCCTGGCTTGTCCAAATCTTGAATGGAGATGTGCGGACGAGTTTCGGACAGCATCCTTGTGTACAAATAAAAACAATAATGAATATGCAATGCGAGTAGTAGAAACTATCTTGACAATAAACCAATAAAAATAAAATAAAAATGTCAATAACAATAACAATAACAATAGAGCAGAGAAAGAAAATGTGAGGCTCTCAACAAACTTGCTTGTTTTTCCTCTCTGGGGTCCTTTGGCGGATAGCAGGAATAAAAAACGTCATGCAAAAAAGAGTGTTTTAATTGCTGCGCTCTTCGTTACAAAATGATGACCGCGATACAAATTCATCCCTTCATTGACGCAGATGCCAGTAAAGCAACAAAAGGATGTAACAAAAGCAGTAGGAACAATCTCATTTTTCATTCTTATTTGGGCTCGATTGATAGTTTCATCTGCGGCAAACGCACAGCATGAGCAAGCAAACATAGTGGTAAAAACAACAGCATAAAAAACAGAGTGTTTTCGCCTCCACAATGTTAAAATCAAATATACATTTATAATAAAAAAGTGTATTACTAGAGTAGATTAAATACAATCAATATTAAAAATTTTCAATCTGGTGAGAACCAATGCTTTTTTTCATACATTTGACTATTATAAAGCAGGCCGTGTGAACATAATTTTTTTTGCTGGTTTCGTGTGGGGAAATTTTTTGAAAATGAAACAAATGGCAACACGCTGGTGGTATTTCCGATTGTGTGGTTGCCACCTCCGCCATTTCATACTGATATTGCACTATGTGTAATTTAATACCCGATTTCGAGCCAATAAATTGAATATACATAAAATATGCCAGATATTTGAACCGAACCAAAAAAAAACATGTTACTGCCCATGGTTACTGCCGACATGACGTGGTTACTGTATGGCCAAAACAGCATGAGCTCGTGGCGCAGCTGCTGTACAAGTATAAACTACCCTGCGTTTTTCATGTTTTGTGAAAAATAAATATTTACTTGGCAATGTTTTTTTTAGATTTATGCAGCCAACTCATGTTTGAAACACAATTAAATGGCTTGATTAGTAGATTTTCCCATTAATCCTGAAACTATCGTAAAGAAGTTTGAATTGAATGGGCAAAGAAAAGCAGGCTGTGGGGAGAGAGCCAGGTATGTGATGGCGGCAGCACAGCCAATATATATTTTTCCGCCTCTTTGTTTAACAATTTGTCGGCCATTTTTTATTTCTCAATTTCAGTTCTTTTATTTCTGTATTAACATCTAATTAACTTTTACTGCACATTTCACCAAGCAATGTCGCTGTTCAATGCGCTGCCTTTTCCGGCGATCAACACCGAATTGCCGAAGCGGTCGAGCGGGCGCTGCAACAGCTCAACGGCCCGCTGCAGGACAGCAACAACACGCAATACACGCTGGCAAAGCCCCTAGAGCGCGCGCGCTACCCTGCGTGCCCATCATGCGGAATAACATTCAACCTCTTCCGGCGCAAAAACAACTGCGTCAACTGCGGGCAGGTCGTTTGCGCCGACTGCATTGACAAAAAATGGTATCTTCCAAAGTACGGGCTAAAGTCACCTGTCTCTTGCTGCACGATGTGCGATCGCAATCTGCGCATGTCAATAAAGGGCAGACAAGAGCTCGAGAGTTGCTCGATTCGTGAGCTCCGCGCGTACTTGCAGCTCTACGGATTGTACAATGCGACAGCTATGATTGAGAAGGGTGACCTGGTGGCGGCTATTTACAACAACTCGCCGATGCCGCAGGTTAACGAGGACAAGTATCGCGCGTTGCTGCCGCAGCCTTCAGCGGAGGAAGCCAGGCCTCGCAGCAACGGCAGCAGCAGCATAACAGGAGCAGGTCTACAGATGCAGACGGCGCCGCTGGGAGCTGGGACCGCATGTTTACTAGTATTGGCGATGATATTGGTCGCGGGATAGGCAGTCTGAGAGATGGGTTGGCCGAGGCCTTTGAAAGCATGCCCTCGTCTTCGCACACGGGCGGTACCAGCATGTGCCGCAGTACCAGGACATGCCACAGCCGCCACCGCCGCCACCGCCGCCTAGGCAGAATAATGGCCAGGGCGGCTTTAACGGCTACTCTGGAGGGCCCCGCAGTATGCATCAAACACATACTCGCACTCGAGCTCGCGCAACCAGCAGCGCCCGCAGCAGCAGTTCCAGCAGAGCAGCCCTCGCCCACAGTCGCCCAGAGTGTACCGAGGGCCACTGCTACAAGCACTTCTCAGAGTGGCAGCCGCAGCAGGACTCCGGCAGCAGGGCAGGCTGCGCCAGATGTGCCAGATCTCAAGGAGCTGGTCCAGAGCGGTGCTAGTGCTGGGTCATTGGGAATAAAGGCGCTCAAGGGGCTTTTGGCCAAGAACCACGTCGATTACAGCAACATTGTAGAGAAGCAGGAGCTTGTGCAGCGTGTCGAGAGGCTGATTGCCAACGCCAAGCTGGAGATGGACCAGGAGCTGGCGGCAGAGACAGCAACCGCCGAAAGAAACACGACGCCGAGCAGCAGTGCAGGGCAGTGGCGGCGGTGGCGGCAGTAACGGAGTCGATGATAATCTGTGCAAAATATGCTGGGATGCATCGACCAACATTGTGTTCACACCCTGTGGACACCTGTGCACCTGCCTGGAGTGCGCCGAAAAGATAATGAAGCTGGATAGGCGCGAGTGCCCGATTTGCAGAGACTACATTAAAGCCTATATTCGCGTGTTCCGCGCCTAATAGGCCGCGTAGCCATTTTGTCATTGGGAGTTTTGGAGCGTAAAATTCACTTTGTATTTGTTTGGCCAAACGCTGGTATGGTTTGGCTAGAACTAATAAATAGGCTCAGAGAAAGTTAACATTTCGATTATGTTCTTATTATTCTTGTGCAAGCATTTTTGCCAAATTTTGCAATCGATAAAGTCAATAATGAAAAATAAGGCTAAGGCGTACAGCGAGGATTATCGCGTATCCTTTTCAGTCCAAAATGTCAGACCAAAAGTGGCAATCACGTGCGGCAGTAGCGCTTTTGCAATTCAGAAAGTCGCGTTTCCCTCCCTTTTCTGGTTTGACGCTGTCTCTTCCCTCAAAAAAATTAGGGACAAGTTTATTTTTCTTCCTTTTCAAGCGAAACTCAAAACCTTTTTTTATTTATTCCTTGTTTTTCACGAATTCCTTTGCATTTATTGTTTTTATTCAATTCCCACTTTAGCGACAGCTCGAGCTAAATCACCAAAGCGTTATTTTTTGTTTTTTATTGCTTGCTTGCGCACAGACACACACCAAAAACGACACGACGCGATACCAGTGGCGCACGGAGGAAGCTTCCTTTCTTAATTTTCTCAAGTGGCGTTTTGAAGAGGAGTGCCTTTGGTATATTTGTAGACGCCAATGTCGGTCAACAAGCCACTGCCTGCGACACCAGGCAGAACAGGACTAGATGAAGAACTTGGAGTCATATACGGCGAGCGGCCATCAACTGCACAGCACAAATCAAGCCAGCGTGAGACACCTAAAGCTTCAAAGCGACTTTCGGTATGTTTGTTTTCTGATTTGTTTTTTTTGTCGTTTTCCTTTTGTGGACCTTATTTTTTCTTCTTTTTCTTCAGCTGTTTGTCAGAGTTGCTTCCCAGTCGTGGGCGGATTGACATTGAACAGGATTTTTTGAAGTGACCTTTTGCCTTCTCCATCCCCTTCCTTGTTCCTTTGTGTGCCCAAAGTTGGTTCCTTACCCGGTTCTGCTGTGGTCAAGCAGGCCATACCGGTCGGTGTATGTTATTTTTTGTTGGTCTTCCTGCCTCCTTGTGTCCGAACCGGTGCTATGTACTATTGTTTTTGTGCCGATAATATAGAAGAAAATGGTCAAATGAAGTCAGGCGAGAGCTTTGGCTTGCAAAAATTCTTTATTATGCTTCACTTGGATCACTTTTTGAGTCTTTTTCTCTCTTTTTCTCTCTTTCTCTCTCTATATCCCTCCCTCCTCTCTCTCTGTCTCTCTCGAAGAATGCCGCATGGCATGGGGTGTGGTGTAGCTTCCTTAGAATTTTGGACTAGAGAATGCAAAAACAACAAACAAACATGCAAAAAACATAATTCAGCTCGGGCCATTTATAATAATGATATTAATGAAAGCTACAATGTTGTTTTTTTCTATCCAATCGACCGTTTTTCAATTATATTGCTATCTTTTTACTTTCATTGTTCTTCTATTGCTTATAGATGTCGCTAACAATGAGCGAGCCGACATTGCTGGGTGCATCATCACCCGAACTGAAGGTTCGGAAGCAGCTGATACAGCGGCAGCAACAACAGATCCTAGAACAGATCCAGCAGCAGCGACCGGCTCCGCAAAAATCTCCGCAGACACCAGAGCTGGAACCCTCACCAAAAAGTCTCGACACCCGCCTGTGCAACCGTCGTACTATAATTCTCGATTGGCACCGGCACGCATCCCACTGTCGCCACTGGCGTACCACGGAGAGTTCCAGGGCGTGCCCATCATGGAGAAGATAAGCGTCCGGGGCTGGTCAAACGATCCACGCAGCCGGTGGAGAGCACCGCGCTTCCGAAAGGGCAGATCTGCCAAAGAGGTTGTCATCCAGCCAATCAAAAACCAGGTCAAAGAACCGTGGGTCCAAGCGCAACAGTATGCGGATAGAGGCGCAGGTGTGCATAGCTAGTCCTCAAATTTCAGAGACATCGCCAATCACAGAGCCCGCGATGAATCCACCAAGGAATCTGTTAAAGAGTCGCTGGACGAGCCGGCGGCAGAGGCAGAGGCAGGCAGAGGCAGATGGTGCAGCGGAACCCGCCCAGGAGTCTAAGAGAGAGTCTGTGAAGGCGCCGAAGGTATCAAAGAGGGATTGTGCCAGGACGTCCAGAAGAGAGTCGCGGAGGGAGCTTGTCAAGGCGTCGAGGAGGGAGTCTGCAGTACACCTGGCTGCAACACTATCGGCAGAGGCATCTGCAGAGTCGGAGGCCGTGGAGCAGGACCCGTGGAGTCACCACAGTCATTGGAGCCAGATACACCAATTCCAGAGGTGGTATCAGACACGGTAGAGGGGCCAATGGCAACAGCAGTTTCGGGGATACCAGCGGTCTTGGTCTCGGAGGCAACAGTGGTGGCAGACGCTGATGTGGGGTCACTGACACGGCCGGTGACAACTGGGCAGCTACCAGAGTCAGCAGCGAGGAGAAGAGGCCAGAGGGGGGCCAGCAAGTTGCGACCAAACACCTCGCAAGTATCGCCACGGCCGCGCACGGAAATGCAAAAAATGCATAAGCAGCAGTACAGCGAGTGGCGCGACATCCATGTACAGTCTCTGACGCGCGTCGACTCGATTCTGCGCGAGGCCGTAGGGCTGAACACCAAGAGCGGGCGGTGGTCAACGTACATTCCCGAGATGCCACCAGCAGCCAGCGGCCTGGGCATCAGCGTGACACCCAGCTCGCCGCTGCGGCCCGACACACTGTACTCACAGTCACCGACATCAATGCAACGCGGTAGTGCCAGCTTGCCGGGACTCGACTATCAGGCCAGCGCGGACTCGTCAGCATTGCCCCTGCCGCGGATAAAAGCATTGAGCTCGCTGCCGGGCTCAAACTCGGTGGCCCCCAAGCGCATGTCCAAGAAGGGCGACAAGCGGGCACGTCCGTGTATAACCCGGCGATGCGGCAGCTCCAGCTTTCGCGCGACGAGTCGCGGAGATCGCGGCTTTTTGCCGAGTACGAGAAGCTGGTGGGCAATACGGATGAGGTCGAGTCAGATGACTCGCCCAAAACCAGTCTGGACCAGGGCAGCAGCGGGGACACAAAGACAGCTTTGACTACCCAGGCGGTCTGGGCCATATTGTCGAGGAAGAGGAGCCACCGACACCATCGCTCAACAGCTGGTCGCCGACAGAGCACGAGGCTAGACAGCGGCCAGCGACGGTTTACGCCAAGACAACTGCGCCGCCGCCACCGACCAACCGGCACAAGAGAAATGCGCTTTCGGCATCATTGTGCGCAGAGCACACGGACGTTTTTTCCAAGAAGCAGAGCGAGAAGCGGTGGACGCGCATGATCAGCGAGAACCAGCACTTGTTTGGTCGGCAGGCCGTGGAGATTACCGTGGACATCTTTCCAGACATGTGTATGATATTTCTGCCTATGCTACTGCATGCCCCGATGCTATCGGCATGCGGCACACGCTGACTGAGGCCGAGGTCCAGGCCATCGACGATGTTATTAGCCTGGCATCTGACGACGACGTCCACATGTACGTAGAGGAGGTCAAAAGGGTTAAGCCCGTGGTGGCGCTCAAGCTTGATTTGCCGCTGACTGTTGATCTGTTCCACGACGTTGAGCTGGCGCTGGCCGAGCGGCTGCCGCCCTTGTCTGCCAGGTCCACTGCTTCGGTCACATCCACTGTGGGCCCGCGGACGCCGCTGGCCAAGCCACTGCAGGCTATGCCGCTGTACTCGCCAAAGGCGTTTTCGGCCTTTGGCGTCAACATTTTTGGCGACAAGAAGCAGTGTGACAGCCCACTCGCCGAGTCGACGATGTTCGAGCCCCAAACGGCGACATTGCCGGCAGCAACAAAATCGCAGCAAGAATACCGGCAACAACAGCAGCAGGCGCAGCGAAGCGCCAGAGCATATACATAAACCAGAGGACGTATATGCCGGGGCTATTTTTGCGAGCGAGGAGTTGCCGTACCAGCAGCAGGAGCGGGCGTCGATGGCTGTCGAGGAGCCGGTGAAGCAGGCTGAACTGTTCGAACTTATGATCGAGAGCGACTCTGTTCCAGATTACGTGCATGAGAAGCAATACGAGCCGTCATCGGACTATGAGGAGGAGGGGCACGCGGAGCCAGCTGCCGTCTACACACCAACAATCACAGCCATCAGCCTGCCCGAGGGCGATGATGACGAGGAGGGAAATCGCAGTTCTGCGCCAAATAGCCTGCCCGAGAGGGAGGACGCCACTCTTAAACTCGCACCATCCAGCTTTAGCAAGACAAGGGACGTTTCTCTCAGACCGCCAGCAATCGACTTGCTCAAGAAGGAGGACGCCATGTTCAGACCCGCAACCAGACACAGCGAGTACGTGCGCAGCAGCTGCAGCTGGTCGAGTGCACGACGCCGGCGGCATCGCTGGCCAGGCCCTGAGCAAAGGAACGGATGCGCACCGCGAGCTTCTTCAGGAATACATGAAGCGGTTTGATTTCCACGACCAGCCACTGGATTTTGCGTTGCGGCAGCTTTTCCAGGAGCTACACCTGCCGGCCGAGTCGCAGCAGATCGACCGCGTCATCACGGGCTTTGCAGAGCACTATAACGCGTGTAATTCTGGCATGTTCTTCTCGGCCGATACCGTCTACGCCTATGCGTTTGCCATCCTGCTGCTGCACACTGACGCGCACAACCCGCGTGTGCGGCAGAAGATGACCAAGCTGCAGTTCATTGCGCGCGCTAAGCTGTTGGACGACGGCGACGAGATGTTCGATGAGATCCTGGACATACTGTACGATAATGTGACAATGGTGCGCTTTGAGTACGCGCCTGGCTCTGTCATGGGCCGCGCCGCTATGGCTGACACCCAGCCACGGGAGCAGGGCATCAGCGGCTGGCTGCGTCGCATGTTTGCGCCTGCCGCTCATACTGCCGCCCCCGTGCAGTCGCCGGTGCCGCTGAGCCCGAGCGACATGCCCAGCAAGCAGCAGTACTCGTACTCCACAACGCCGCGACGCATGGTGCCGCCGGGTGCAGTGCCGATCCCGATGAGCCCGCATAGCGAAATGCCTGCCAAACACCATCAGCCACGGCAGTCGTTTGGAATGGCGTCGCCGAGCTCCCCGCTAACCACAATGTCTCCGTTGAGCACCTCTGCCAACAGCCCCCCGCTGCTATCGAGCTTCACCACAGCTGACATTGCCGTGCCAGCGCAGCCGATGGCGCTCGAGACTATCCGTGTGAGCAGCCTGAAGAGCCACGTCAAGCGCCGCCCGTCGCTGCGCGAGGGCCGTCCGCTCTCGGGCATTGTTTGGCCGCAGCCCACGGCCAGCACTCCCACCGAGTCGCTGACCCAGCTGCGCGTGGACATGGCTGGCCTGGTGTCGCGCAAGATGAGCGGCAGGACAATGGCCGGCGCGCGCTAATGCGACGCTGGAAGGACACATACCTGGTGCTCAGCGGCAGTCGACTGTACTTTTTCCGCCCAGAGTCTGCGGCCAACCACAGCGCCCATGCCGCGCAGGCCATTCAGGCGATCGTGCCGCTGCGCCACGGCGTGGCTATTGTCGACTCAAATACAAAAAATATCCGCATGTGTTCCGCGTCATGGCTGATGACGGCAGCCTTATCTTATCAAGGCCGCCAACGACGATGCTGTTGCCGAGTGGATGGCCCGGATTAACTGTGCTGCGGCGTTCAAGACGATGGATCTGGCTCGCCGCGGGAAGCCGATTATGCCCGATCCCGCGCGCGCCCGCTTGCTGGAGGAGCATCTGACTGCGCTGGACGCACAGCTGTCCAAGATTGACGACGGACTGGAACGCAGTCTGAGGCTGTTCAAGCAGCTCGCTGCCATGGTGCCATTGACCAAGGCTGGCCGCACCAAGATTGTCGTGTTTGCCGACCAGGTGCGCAACAAGCTTGCCGAAATTTATCTGTCGGAGCAGCGGCTGACATGTTACAAGGACGTACTGCACCTGGATTTGACCATCGAGTATGAGCTGAGTGCGGGCCCCGACAACGGCTGGGACAGCGAGGACGATAGCCAGAGTGACTGGAACCACGATGAGGCCAACTTGGAGGATATTGAGGAAATTGATGAGGAGGATGAGGAGGGCGCGTATTCTGCTCTTGCGCAGGACCAGCGCAACATATCGACTTGGGACATTGACTCGCCAAACACATCTTCATAGGGGTCCTCCCCCTCCCCCCCCCTGTTTTCACATTTTTCTTTTATATTTTTTTGTATTTGCCAACCCAAAGAAAATAATTAAAATTAAACTTGGAACCAGTGTTAGCTATTATCAAATATACGTTGAAACTATTAATGCTATAACTTGCATTTTGTTGTACTTTTGCTGGCATGATGTGGACCCAAAGTCGGACAATCTGTAGATGTGCCATCTTGACGCTTGCTTGTCACTATGAAAAAATCAACTTTGTACACTATTAACTTTTTTCTTTTTTTTATAATGTCTGATATTATTAGCAACAGCAGCCATCCATACTATCCGCAGTCACTCGTGCTTGACGGCTTTGTTGCGCCAATCCAGTCGCCTGCCACCTTGCTAGCTACCATATCTACGCTCATCGCCCTCCTCCTCCTATCCACCTATCTCCTGCTCATCACCAAAAGGCCTAACCTGTCCTTGGCAGACCGACTGACCACTCTCTGGTTTGTACTCTGTGCCTCCCTGCACTGCTTATTCGAACTCTACTACCTCGCGCACTTCTCCAGTCTTGCTTCCACGCCCGACTTTGTTGCCAGCTTGTGGAAGGAGTACGCCAAGAGTGACAGCAGGTATTTGGCACAGACTCCACTTGTTTTCGCCCTGGAGTTTATCACAGTGTCAGTGACTGGTCCCTTGTGCCTTCTGACCACTTGGCTTGTGTGGTGTGGCGGCTGTGCCCGGCATATTTGTCAGTTAGCCGCTTGCTTGCTGCACTTGTACTCGGTTGTTTTGTACTTTGGCACGGAGTTTATGGCTAAGGAGTCGAATTGCCGCCCGGAACCTGTATACTACTACGTGTATCTGATTGCGATGAATCTGCCATGGGTGCTGGTGCCGCTGGGACTCGCTGTCCAGAGCACCACGGAGATATACACCGGTATGTTGGCCGCCAAGCGAGCCACCGCTAGTCTCAATGTTAAAGCCTAACCATGGGCATATAAATATGAAAAAGTGGAAAAGTGAAAAAGTGAAATTGAAGACAAGAATAATGAAGTGAATGTTTAAAGAAAAAAAGGAAAGCTATTATTAGTTATTTAAGCGTTGTTCTCGGCATCGCCGGCGGCGGCTTCGGACTCCTTGGGAGCAGCCTCCTCCTTGGCGGCAGCGGCATCGGCAGACTCCTGAATGTCGGATGTCCAAAGGGTCAGGTTGTCGCGCAGGAGCTGCATGATCAGCGTCGAGTCCTTGTACGAGTCCTCCGACAGCGAGTCGAGCTCAGCAATGGCGTCGTCAAACGCCTGCTTGGCCAGGTGGCAGGCCTTCTCGGGCGAGTTGAGGATCTCGTAGTAGAACACAGAGAAGTTGAGAGCCAGGCCCAGGCGAATAGGGTGTGTGGGGGCGAGCTCGGTGTTGGCGGTCTCGGTGGCGGCCTTGTAGGCGTTGAGGGACTCGTCAGCGGCGGTCTTGCGCTTCTCGCTGGTCTCAAACTCGGCAATGTAACGCAGGTAGTCGCCCTTCATCTTGAGATAGAACACCTTGGACTCGCCGTTGGTAGCCCGCTTGAGCAGGTGCGTGTCGAGAACGTTCAGGATGTCACCGCAAATGTCCGACAACTCCTTCTCGACAACCTGGCGCTGAGAGCTGACAATTTCAACGTGGTGCTTGTTGTCCTTTGCGGTCTCCTTCTGCTCGATGGAGGAGATAATACGCCATGATGCACGGCGGGCTCCAATGACGTTCTTATAGGCGACCGAAAGAAGGTTGCGCTCCTCGACGGTCAGCTCCTGATCCTCTGCGGCGACGCTCTTCATGTTCTCAACCATCTCTACAAAATGTTTAATACAAAGAAGAATTTGACTTGTCAGTTATATTGAAATGTTTACAATGAGGTTTGGCTGGGTGGAAGATGTAAAAAAATGGTGCGTGGTCACAGCGTGATGATGATGGTGATGATATGTGAACAACTGAGACAAAATAGGCGGAATTGTCACTAAAAGTTTCCATGGGTCTATGCGCTTTCTCTTTTACAAACATGATCTTGCAAAAGTCTAAAGTAAAGCAGGTAAACCAAAGGCAGTTTTTTTGTTGCAGGAACTACTAGCAGGCAATGGCATAAAAGCAAGATGCATTTAAAGGATATAAAAAACAAAAGCTACGTACCGTCATAGCGCTCAGCCTGCTCGGCAAGCTTGGCCTTGTAAACGAAATCCTCGCGAGACATGGTTATTTTGTGGTGTTTAAAATGTGGTGGTGGTTACAGACTGTGCTTGCAGAAAATAATAAAAAGTAAACTTTTTTATTATGTTTGCAAAAAAGAGAGAAAGAAATAGACAGAGGGGTGGGTAGTTGAGAGAAAAAAACGAGAGAGAAAATGTGTAAAGTTGAAAGTAAAAGAAAAGAAAGCGAAAGGAGTGAAGAGCCGTGAAGGAAACAGCTGTCAATTTATGTGATTTTTCCCAGAGACTAGAAAATTTTCTAAAAACCCCGAGTGAAAGGAAACGCGAGTGGCCGTCGCGGATTTTTTGTTAGCCCCTTTTTCGTTCTTTTTTGGACTTCTTTGTCAAGCTAAAAGGACACTTGCGAATGTGTCATTTTTTTGTTGTCTGCGTGTTTGCGTGTATGCGCCGCTCCTTTTTTTCCTTTATGGCCAGGGAATAAATGAATAAAATGGTTGTCTCAAGGCCTTGTCCGCCATATTGTTTTCTTCTCGTGCCCCCCTATCCCAAATACTCGGGTTTTGGATATACACCAGAAATTGAACGGAGCGAGGTCTAAAAGCAAAGAAAAATAGTGACAACACAAGCCATATTATATCTCTCCACCTCCTAATGCTTCTTCCAGTGCTCCAATTTTCTTGGTCTAGCAACACTACATCGTAGAAATGACTGTAAAAAAAAGTGATGTGCGCTGCGTTTTTCGTCTAAAATTTTCTGTTCGTGTTTTCAGGGTGAGAACAATGATTTACACTTTAAATTGTGTTTATTGTTGTATTTGCTTTGGCATATCAAAAAAATCAATCGGATGACTCGAGCAAAAGCTGGGCACCTTTTTTTGGCTGCAAGCGTCCTGAGAATCCGGCGAACACGCGACGAACACAGCCTCGACGCTCAGAATTTACTTTGGCGTGCACACCTGTGTGAGAGAAGAGCTTGAAATAAAGAGAAAAAATTACTTGACACATCACTTTTGGTATTCCCCTGGCCCTAATCCTTATACATGCGCAGACAGAAAATAACGCGGTGGAAATTCCCCTCATCCAGAAAACCAATAAAAAATATGCTGCTCGACTGTACTTTTATTCTCTCTCCCCTGACCCAGCTTTGATTTTTGTCGATGTTTTTGTTTTGCTGCAGGCTTGGCCGGGTGTTCTCCGGATAAGGGGAGAAAGTGTGCGAGTGGCAAAAACAAGGGCACACATGGCGTTATTGTGAGGCCCACGGTCCTTTTTTGGCAGTAAGAAAAAGGCACAATATCTTTTTTACTTGCGCTTGGTCTTTCTGCGCGTGGCTGCCGCAACATCTTTTGCCGAGCCCATGGGCAGCTTGCCTAATAGAAAACAAAAAATGGAACATAGGGGACATGGTATCTCTTCTGGCATTAGCAGTCAGACCAGACTCGCAAGATGTATGATCCAAAGATAAGAAGCGACATGTCTAAGCAAAAAAAATGACCCGGCTCCAAAAACAAAAATAAGGTACCCTCGTCCTGCAACAAAACAAATCAAAACAAAACAACAAAATGGGCATGGACAGGTCACACGCCTTTGTGGATATCGGAGAGAGCAGGACAAGGGGGGGGGCAGTTTAAAGAGAGCATACTACCAGCCACATCGAACAATGTGCATCAATCAGCCAAAACGGGTTATTCAAACTTTTTAAACCCCCGTTGTTCTAATTCTCACAATGCTTCTAAACTTACGTTTGCGATCTGTACTCTGCTCGCTCGACGAGTCATAATTTGCCAAAGGATAGTTGGGCGTTGACGCTGCACTATTGACCGCCGACCTAGTCGCAAATTTTGTGTTTTGTAGAAAAAACCGAGTTAATATATACATTGTTTTTCGCCGAAATCAATTAATTGATTAGCCATATTGCATATGGCTCAAGCCATCCGGACTACTTTGTTGGGGTTACCTTCGGGTAGCTGTGCGGCGACTCGAAAGCCCCATGCATTTGTCCATGTGAGAGGCAAACCTTGCTGCAGGGAATGAACGCTGGCAGTTAAGGCATTCACACATGTCCGAGCCACTGTCTGTGCCGTTGTTCGATGCTTGCGCTCCCTTGGCAACTAGATAACATAAACAAAACATGATTCAAAGGTTAGCCTCTTCATATATAAACGCCAGTCAAGACACACATATTTTAAAGCCAACACTTACTGTTGCACTGGCACCTACACGATAAGATATTGGGCTTGAGATAAGTCGAGTGTGTGCATAATTCTGTTAGCTACAACTCCCCCCACCTGTAAACAAAACACCATATCCAAAAGGGCATTATGTCTCGCGCTTACCTTGTGCTGCAATTAGCGCAGACTGATATGCCCTGCTTGGCCTCAAAGTGGGTATCAAACACCACGCCCATAGTCATATCGTCGATCAACTCAGTCAGGAGCTCTAACGCCAGCAATGCCCTGCACCTTTGATTCTCCTGCTGCTGCGAGCCTCCTCTGTCACTCCCGCTGGCTGGTGGCGTAGTTGGTGGCGTCATCGCCGGCTTTGCAGTCTCCAGGGCGTCCCTTGCATGCTTGAGCGCGGCTATTTTGCCCTCGTAGAAATGGAGCAGTTCGTCGTATGCCGGGTTCGGCATCTTTTTGTCGGCATTGCCTGGGCCGTTGCCGCCATTGCCTTCCGACTTAATCTTCATAGGCAAGGAAAATAACGGGTTGGCTAATGCGTTGATTGGAATAAATAGAGACGGACAGGCGCGTTTAAACGAGAAGAAAAATGAAGAGCCAAAAAAAAGATATTGAAAGTGAGAAAAATGGTTGGTAGCGTTTAGAAAAAAAGCGAATGCGTGAGCGCATGCTTTCTGCTGCATCGGCTCTATCAATCTTTAATTGTGGGAGGCTGTTGTCATGTGCTTGTATGGTTTTTTTTTGCGCTTAGCTTTTTTCTTTACTTTTTCTTTTAAATTTTCCACATTTTCCACATTTTCCACATTTTTCGATTTAAAATTCTAACCCCCACTCTATTAATCTCTCCAAGCTATGGACGGCTCCGAAGATGACCTATTTGGCGGCGGGTTCAGTCCGACCGACCGCTCGCGGCAAAGCCAGTCGGAATTTACATTCAACACCGACGAGATGAATCCCTTTGGCGATTCCAGCGTCGTCTGGGATTCCACGCCCACAACCAACCCAGCGACAACCACCAAATCCCTGGACAATTCAACAGACTCTAGCGAGGACGACTCCTCTCACCTGCAGCGCCGAACCGAAGCACTAGCCATCGACGACTCACAAGCATCCCTGGATGACGAAGCCGGTTCCTCTGCTGCTGCCCCTGCCTCTGCCTCTGCTGCTGTTGAGCGCGATCAGGGCATTGCTGCCCCAGTGTCCAATGGGACAGAGGCTGCCTTTGCTGCTGATAAGCCTGTGTCCTTGGGGTACGCTGCGCAGCCGGCCGTGCAGACTGCGCGCCGGGTGGGGATTATAAAGCGCGGGCTGCGGTCTCCCCGAGTCCTGGGCAAACAATCGCAAGCCTCATTTGAAGACCCGCTTTCAAGCGCAGCAGCAGCCAACAACGAGGGTAGCAACATGTCCATTCCCGCCGCCAGAGCAAGCGTTGATGTCGCGTACTCCACTCCGTACAACTCGGCCACTGTGAAAACGCGCCAGACACGCTCAATGTCCGAGGCGCGCCGCCGGGCAAGCTTTGACAGCCCGATGAAGCAACAGCAGCACAATGTGCATCCGTACGACCAGCAGCTGCCGCCGCCTCAGCAGCAGGAGCAAATCCAGCATGCGCACGAGCATACCGACCGCGTGGCCTCGTCGCCACCATCGTCGCAGACCAGCCGTCCAAGTGCTTCCGGATCCAACACCACATCTTCCCGTGTCTCCGCCTCGTCGCGCGCGTACTTGAACGCGCCGCAGCGCAGACGGTCTTTGGACCCGACGCCCGTCGACCAGATCCCCAAGTTCCTCATACACGTGACTGAGCCAGTCAAGGTCAGTGACTCGCTCAAATCATCCTACATCGCATACAAGGTGTGCACGCACAGCGACGCGCCGATGTTCCGCGAGTCCGAGATGGTTGTGCGCCGCCGGTACCGTGACTTTGACTGGCTGGCGCAGGAGCTCGTGGCGAGGCACCCTGGGATCATCGTACCAGCCATTCCTGAGAAGCAGTCCATGGGCCGGTTCGAGGACGAGTTTGTCGAGGCTCGGCGCGCTGGCTTAGAAAGCTGTTTGATGCGTATAAGCGAGCATCCGGTGTTGTGGTGCGACGATGTGTTTAGGCTTTTCATCGAGGCCGATGACTTCCCAACCAAGGCGCGCATGATCACGGAGAACCGCGTGGCTGCCGAGATTAACGGCACCGGCCCGCAACTCAGTGGCAGTAGCACTGCCGGTGGCAGCGGGTTGTTTGGCGACGCATGGGGCGGCACAAAGTACAAGGAGAAGGACGAGTGGTTTGCCAAGCGCATGCAGGAGCTGGACGCCATTGAGGAAGAGCTACGCGCACTGCTGCGTGCCCTGGAGTATTGCCAGCGGCAGCGGCGCGAGCTCAGCATTGCCCATGGTGAGTTGGGCGAGTCGTATCTCAAGATGGCTGGCCAGGAGCTCAGCAAGTCGCTTGCCAATGGACTCACAGATATGGGGTCTTTGCAATTAAAGCTCAAGGTGCTGCAGAACCGCCAAGGCGTTGCTGACCTTGCCGCCTTCCAGCTCACCACCGAGGAGTACATCCGCATGATTGGCGCCGTGCGCACCGCCTTTTCTGCCCGCGGCCGCGCCCACGGTCTGTGGCAAACAAGCCTGGGCGACCTAATTAAGCGCCGCAAGGTCCTGGAGGGTCTCGTGCAGCATCCCTCGAGGGCGTCCCCTGAGCGCATGTCACAATTGAAGGGGGAGATTGCACGCTCGGAAATACGCACTGAGTCTAGCCGGAATGCCTTTGATGATGTCTCGTTAATCTTGAGGAGGGAGATGGCCAGATTTGATGTGGGCAGAGTGAGGGACTTCCAGGCGGCCATTGAGTCTTACTTGGTGTCTCTGATTGAGACGCAGGAGGAGATTGTGTTGCTGTGGGAGGCGTACTTGACATCGCTGGCGAATACGGATCCATCGGCCGATGCCAGATCCAATGTGTAGATGAGCGTTTTTTGTTGAAGTTCAAACAAGAACATTGATATGAACTGGTTGTTGAAACTTGATTATGGCGTATATGTATATGTATATGTTTATTAGACAAGTTGAACTAATCTATAGTCAAAATTTAATTAAAAAAGCTAAGATGATCGCTCGAAACCACACATTTAAAAGACAATTTCTATCAGCCATCATAGTTATTTTACGAGAGTTTAGGCTCCATACCTTACAATATAAGCTTATAGGTAAGCAAGTTTTTTTTATGAGATCACAATTCTCGTGTTTTTCATTATAATGTACAAGGATGTTTTTCATTTTATCAGTGGACTTCTTGGCTAGTATAGAGAGATCTTTGCGCTCTCTTGCGTCAGATTGTGGCCTTGATACTTTGTCGCGATTTTCTTGAGAATATTCATGGTATTGTGTAATTATAATTTCATTTTTTGCGTGATCCTTACCAATTTTGAAAAAATCCATATAATGTCTTGTCATCGTTGCCATTGTCCATAAAAATTGGGGTTCATTACATTTTTTGTCTTTTATTATTCATTAAAATTTTAAGTTCAAATGAAATATTATTCTTAGGGTTGGCTACGTTCTTTATATACCCATCCAGGATGAGTGAAAAATGTTGGTTGAAAAGTTTTACAGTATGCAAAAGTATTTTTTTGGCCACATTGATACACTAAGAAAAAGCATCGATTTTCTCTCTTTGTCTGCGGTGCTTACTAGTGAAAAATAAAGTGTGCAACCTTTTAAATAAAAATTAGGTAAATAAAGCCTCCTGTGGAATTCTTAACAAAAACACGTGCACACATTTTTTAAACCGTCTTATTTTACATTATTTTGCCTTCTAAATTTGCTACAAATAACTGCAAGCAAATGTACAGCTAAAAGCTCACTCTACTTGTTTTATTGAATTATTTTCTACCTAAGCCAAACCAAATGAAAAACTTGAACCTATTACTGCGATCCGCCCGGGGGAGTTCCCGATGTCTCCCTGATGGGGGCCTGTGGTCACTACCCCTGGCTATGCACATGTGGTGTAAACATTGTATTGCAAATGCATATGTCAATTAAAACCTTATTACTACACGGGTTTACTATTGATATGCATTTGGTTTGCCTTGTGGAACTATTCATCTCATCATGTTTTCAACAATATCTGCATTCCTTTGTAGTCACGTTGATGTTCACCAAACCATTGCCTGTCGATATGAAAGTTGTTGAGGAGAATTCTCCCTTAGCCAAGTATTGTTTTCGTAGCTTTCTTATATATTCAGGACCAGCCGCCGACCCTGTGGTGGTTGGTTCCTTGTTCAATTTAACGCATGTTCAATTCCATATATATCTGCTCCCTTCGGGAGACCTTAACATTATGAATCAGCTGTTAGTATCTCAGTACTAGTTGTGTAACCTTATTTATTTATATATTGTCAACCACAAACAGTAAAGTAAAACATTAGAATAATTATTTTGCTGTTGTAATGCTGTTGGTTGATATTTGCGTGCGCTTTAACCACAAACATAGAGAGGTGTGTTACTTCGTCTCGATGTTTTGACAGCCAGGAAACAAAAAACAAAAACATGTACCCAGTTTGAATATGTGCTGAAAAGCTATGCCCAATATTCGCTCTGCAAAAAAAGTGTTAGAATACAATGGCAATGACCCGTTTGACCTATCATTTCTCTATAGCTTGAGTTTTCTCCAAAAGTGTGGGCTCTTTATTTATAAGTTTAATCCCGTACAAGGACGTATTAGTTCTTAAGCTATGTTTCATCATTTTTGCTCCACAAAATATAACCGTGTCGTACGTTATACTATCAAGAGTTTCCTTGTGCTTCACAAATTCTAGCGTTTCTCCGCGCATTTTAGCCAGATGTGTTGCAATCATTTTGTCTTCATCCCGTTCTCTTTCATTATCAAAAGGTAACCACAAAATAATTGTTTCTAGGGGGTTCAGAGTAGTCCTAAAAATCCCGTACACTGTTTTGTTCTCTTTTTTCTTTATGTTGTACACCCTTTTGTTGGCCATGAGTGAAAATAAAATAATTCTAAAATATATAGTATTAAAATGGAAAAAAAATAAGAAAAAGAGGGCCAGGGCTTTCGTAGGCATATTCCATCCTTTATAAGTCCAATCAAAAGCAGTGGTAAAATAATAAGCAAGCACGCCCATTACAACGAATTTTTAATGTATTGGATGGCTGCAATTGATAAAAAATTATTTGCTAAAAAGTGCGGCTGCATTGAAGAAGTGAAAAAAACAAATATTTTCTTGCTGTCCACAGTCACCCATATTAAAAAGAATAAGCTTGCTTTATGAGTTTCTTTTACATCTTCATCAAAACAAGTTGACAGTGCTAATCAATGGATTCAACTAAATTAAGTTGCTTATTAAATTTGTTTTCATACATTGGAACTCAATGAAGCCTAAAAAAACGTGTTTGCCCTTGAATTATTATATATTTTTCTCAGGCTCGGCTACAATATACTTAGTTTTTATTTAGTCTTGTAAACTATAACCGCATCGTAACTTGTTGAATTGACTTGCATTATGCCCTTAAAATAGGAATACTCAAACCCTGATATTTACCCATGTCAATCAACACCAATATTTTTGTCATGTTGCTTTTATCGCTACTAAAGTAAAAATATTTTCCAGTTTGAGCATTCCGTACTCCAAAGTGGTTGTGAAAAGTGCGAATTATATATTGGCTGGTGATTGAATAAAGTCTAATAAAAACAAGCTGCTGAATGAAAAATTTAATTCATTGGCAGTGAGCACACTTTATATAATATATACACAGCACAAAAAATTTATAGTTTTTTTGCTACCAAGCCTACATTCATTTTACAAAAAAAAAGAATATTTCAAAATGCTTTGTTATGGCGTGTTTAAAACAAAGTCAACCAATTATTATATTTTTATTTTGCAATAATTCAAACATCACATGATAGCTACTTGTAAAAGCATGTGTATTACTCATTGGTGTTTTAATTGACATCACTAAGCTTATTTTTAATAATGTGTGTTTTCTGATGCCAGATTTTGTGATTTTTGTAAACTAGTTTATTGAATAAAATGTTGAATTAAAAGATTTAACAGAATAACAACACTCAACAACACTGTGCTTTGAAGCCATTCAATAAAAGGTAAAAATGAGTGTTTAAAATAGCTACCTTGTACATTACTATATTATATTCGACATTTTTTTGGCATCTGAAAAAAACACAATTTTAGCCTGGTCAGTATTATTGTCATTATTAATGTCGTACACATGAGCTTTAAGCTTGTTTATAAATTCCTTGTTGAAATTCTCTTCAGAAAAAATAATTACTGCATGGTACATCTATTATCACCCTGAAGTTTACATTCCATGTTTGCGTTGTATATTTTTGACTTATTGTTTAATAAATTCAGGCTCTTAACCTCATTGTTGCGCTGGGTTTTATATTGGAAAACCATGTTGAAATAGATTTAAGCTTTTTGTCATTGACTGATACGTTAATAATGACAAATTCCATTGCGCTAAAAGTTAAAAATAAATGGTAATGTGTTCAAATTTATATTTAATAATAAAAAATAGTGTATGTGCTCGCAATGTGTTCTTTATATATCCGCATATTACGAGTAAAAAATGACAATAACAGCTGTTTTCTTTATAAAATGTTCTAATCGATATATTCAGTCTTATTTTTTTCTGAAAACAGCGTGTGGGAGCTGTAAAATCATGTTCTGATGTCAGCAATAACAAATGTGTATAGTGCATGATGCGATCTGATTTGAAAAAAGATAGTGCTTGATGTTGTTGGATCACTGTTTTTCTTTAGCTATAAATAAACGTTATGCGGAAAGCGCTATATTCCTATTTTTAATATAAATTTTTGACGAATTCAATAGAAAATTCCAATTTAATGTTTTTTGCACAATAAGAGCGTCTTTTTATTAGAATTTAACACATTTTTGCACGGTATACTCTCGTGTTTCAATATAATTAAACAAATTAACTTGATTAACATATGTTTAAATTATGTATTTTAATATGAGTACCTTATGATATATCAATCCATGTGTTTTTACAATGGTAGTAGTGATCAGTTTGAATGATTATGTCTGATATATGCTACAACAGGGTATAATTAAAGACATTTTATTTATTTCAAGGAGAGCAATTCCTGGCTGCCCGACAGCCGCTCTTTTTATATGCTCTCGTTATGACATAAATAAACTATAATAAAACATATAATCATTGCTCTGATTGCCACACGCGTAATCAATTAATCTCAGTAAGGCAACGTGTAACATCATGTGCCTCAACTGTGGCATATATCATAAAAATAGCACATATTGTGCATATATAAAAACTCAAGGCAATAAAAGCTATATTCAATAATCGTGGCATTCAGTTTTGTTTTGTTTTATTGAACTTTTTTAGTTGGTAGATTTTATTACACTTCAAAATGGGCATGTTTATTCCTAAAGACTGCACCTATTTTAACGAGCCACTCGTCATTTGTGACCATAACCCCAAGTGGCCCAGGCTGTTTCTTGAAGAAAAGCAGCGTATTCGGCAGATCATTGTCAACTTAATACTGGACATTGAGCATGTTGGTTCAACCGGGATTCCCAGCATGGCTGCCAAGCCAATCATCGATATACAGGCCGTCGTAAACAATTTTAATAACCCAAGAATCTGCGTTACGGGACTGCGCTCTCTCAGATATGCGTACAAGGGGGAGTGCAATATTGCGGGTCGCGAGTATTTCAAAAAGCCTGGATACCACATACACATGGTGCAAATCAACAACGCCGAGTATACCCGCAGGAAATTGTTCGTTCAGTACCTACGTGATAACGAGGATGCTCGCATCGAGTATGTGAATTTGAAGAGACAGCTAGACAACAAGTGAGCGGGGCACAGAGAGGGACAATACAAATACACCAACGACAAGACTGATTTTATCGTGGGCATCCTGCGAAAGGCCGGCTGGCAGCAATAATTTTTATGAATATTGGCATTGTTATAGTAAGAGGGGGGTGTGAGGAGCACTAGTTGTCTAGTGTTAAAAGTTAGGGGTGATTTTATAAATGGTTTTATTACTGATGTTTCTAAAGTACTTCTAGGCCGGCCTCATCTTATATATGTGCCCTGTCGCCTTTGTTGTGCACATTGTCAATTGTGCGCTCGTTGGTGAGAACTGGATCTTCTGCGAGCAGACCGGTATCTTGGAAGTCAATGTTGTGGTTTTCGTGGTGTGCACTCACGCGTGTGCATTGCAAAATGGGGAGCATGTTTGGGCATCAATGTAATGCCTCCCTAATTTACGCCTGCTTATCCAATTAGCGTCCTATCATCGCACACGGGTGGAAATCTGTTTCGCGATTCTCGACCTCAACATCCACTTCCATATCTTCAGTCTGCGCAACAGCATATTTAGCATAATCTTTTTTGAAAGTTTTTTGTTCCTGTTGGAAAGTTATAATAATAATTGACTCAGTTCGACTTCTTGATGGTGGTGGCGCGCTGGGCAATGAGCATGCCGCGATATATGTTCTTGCACGCGTCTACGATCAGGTAAGTGGGGATGACATCCAGAGGCGTTCAGCGTCACAAAATAGAAGTAGAAGTAGTACGGGTGGGGGTTGGTGTGCTTATAGTTTTCCATGTAATTGGTTGCCATGTACAGCACATCACCATACACCTGCGCCAGAGACGTAATGAGCTGAGCAGGGTATCTGATGGGCGAATCTGCCAGAATGCCGTACGCAGTGACAATGGCGAACGAGCCATCAAACACAGCCGTGATTCCCTCCATAATGACAGTAAACGGGTCGCTGGTCAGGTACCGCGAGTCAGAGTGAGCGTACTCGCGCCACAGGTCGGCCAACACGGACTGCTTACCCGCCAGAGTGGCGTGGTTGAAGGAGAAGTAGCCCTCAAGGATGATGTGGATTCCAGCGCACACAATCATCCAAATGACGATAAGCTTGTCCTTGCCTGTCAGGGAAGTCCGTGCGCGAGCAAGAAGAATAATGCTAATGACGGCCAGGAGACCGACGCCGGCGCTGAGGGTGGTGAGCGACTCGCTCATGTTAAACTTTGAGGCCACGTAGTGCGGCAGGGCGGCGTCTCTCGGGAAGTAAGGGTGAAGGACCTCAGGTATGACGTCCTGGGGCTGGAAGTCTGCCATTTTTTATTATATTTTTTAAAATAAAAATATCAAGACAAAAGTGTTGGTGTATATAAAAGCTAAAAGTAAAAGCAAGAGAAAAAGTAGAGAAGAGAAAAAGGGCTGTGCGCGGCGCGATGTTTCTGGCGTCGCATCGCATTGTTGTTTTGTCTCGTCTCGCTTTGTTCGCTCACTCGAGCTGTGGGCAACCGATTCGATACACTATTCCTTTTTGAGAATCTCTTTTCTCATTTTTAAAAAAATTAGTGGAATTTTCTACTCAGCTCAAATCGAGGAAATCGTAATGCTAAAAAAAACATTGCGAGCCGGTAGCTAAATGTTTGTTTACTATTTCGAGCCGCTAGCCAACTGGCTCGCCATTCAAAAATAAACATGTTCAAGGCGAAGCTCAACAATGAAAAAGGGAGCGTTCACATTTCTCTCCTTGCATTCCTAATTATTATTTTTTTTACAATTTAAAAGATTTATTAAAAGTATTTTTATTATCCACCGTCACAGCTCCAGAGAACATCAAATAAATAATATATGAACGCTCAGGACTTTGATTACGGGAACGAATATTCCAACGCGAAGCGGGTCAGCTACGCTGGATACCAATACGCAAGCGACCAGGACACAGAAAAAACCTACATGCGGCCCATCATCCGGAGAATCAAGCGCGACCACGACAACTCTGTGAGCTTTACGCCGCAGGCCAGATATGGCGAGCCCACACATTCGCCGGCCGAGTCCAACGAGGAGCACCATAACTTTAGCAACAAATACCAGATGTTTGAAAGCTCATTCCGCAACACACGCGTGCGCGAGCGGGCGCCCTTGGCACCGCGCATGTGGGACACGCACCCGGCGCAGAGACAGACAGCGGCGGCAGCGACCCACAGGACCCGCAGGATTTGTACGACAACGATGTTGCATTGCAGCCGCTGGCCGCCAACCTGCAGGAGCTGGCAATTATCGAGGATCTGCTGTCGCTGCTCATGGGGTTCAGTGGCCGGTACATTCCTTTCGGTACGGCATGCAGGCTAAGGTGTGGCAGAAGGACGTAACTGTCAACGAGGGACTTTTGGCGCCGGAGTGGATGAACCCGACGTTGCGGATGATGGCCGACAAGATCATGCCCCTGGTGCTGATGCACAAACGCATCAAATACTTTATTGTCACGTATGCGCAGCGCCAGGCTGGGTTGGTCAACCAGGCGCTGTGTGCGGCCATATCGACGGTGCTGCGGGACTTTTATACACAAGTCACAACCCTGGAGAACCTTGTGCGCACATCGACCGAGATCGAACCTTATACCTTGCAGAAGCTGTGGTGCCACATCTATCCCAGCATGCGGACGTTCGAGCGCCTTGTGCATCTGATCAACGCGATCCAGGAGAAAGACTTGCCGCTGCCCACACAGCCGGTCGTAGAGAAATCGCAGCTTGAGGACGATGGCTTTATATCCTCTGTCGGCGACGGCATGGCACCAGACGAGGAGGTTGCTGATTTTGTCGATGACGGGATGCCCAACTCTGAGCCAGAAAGCGTTGACTACGAAGACGAAGTTGTCGACGAAGTGCATGACTTGGAGATATTCCCCGAGGAGCGCTTTGTGGTGCGTGGCGGCTTTACGCTTAACGTCATCTCGGACATGATCCGCATGCGCGGCGGCGACCAGTCGACACGGCAGCTGTACGAGTTTTTGCTGACCAAAGCGTCGGTGCCCTTCATCAAGATGCTCGAGCACTGGCTGAGTACCGGTGAGCTGGAGAGCAACCGGCTGGATATGGCCGGGGAATTTATGGTCGTCAGGGACAGCGATGCCGTTGGCGTCCGCGTGTTCCTTGACACCGACGGCGCGGAGGATTTCGGTGGCAAGTCAATCTTGCCTATATCCAATGGCCTGAATTTTATGTCGGTTCCCGACCTTACGCCCGAGTACCTACGCCCGTTCTCGGAAAAGATTGTGCGCACGGGTGAGTACCTCAACACACTGCGCTCCTACGGCATTGACCTGCGCACGCTCGAGCACAAGTCATCTCCAGCTGGCGCCTTTGCTGCTGGGTTGGATTCGCCCGGTGGGCTGGACACGCTGGGGTGCTCGCTGGATGGACTGCTGAACCCGCAGACGCTCATGCGGGAAATTGACCAGGCATATCTGCGGGCGAACCAGGCGCTGCTAGACATTCTATTCAAGGATGGCAAGATGATGACTTACTTGGGAGCCGTCAAGCATTATCTTTTGTTTGAAAAGTCCGACTTTCTGACACACTTTTTGGACCTCGCAAAAGTTGAGATCAGCCGCGAGCCCAAGGACATGTCTGCTAACCGGTTGCAGTCATTCCTCGACCTGGCGCTGCTTAACCCGGCATCGGTGTCCCACGACGACCCGCTCAAGGACATTGTTAAGGTCACCCTAGAGTCCGTTGATCTCATTGATACGCTTAAGATGATCAGCTTAGCAGAACTCAAGAAACCAACTGAGATGCCGTCAACGACACATCGGCCGATCAGGGAGACGTACGCCGCGGGGGCGACTTTCCTGGGCACTAGCATCCTCAGTGACAACTTTTTATCCGGCGACGTGTCCCTGGGACTCCAGCTACAGATCCCGTTCCCCTTGGACATAGTGCTGGACAGGCCGACGATGAACAAGTATAGGGCCATGAGCAGACTGCTGCTGATGCTCAAGCAGACGGAGCAGAACCTTGTGGCATCGTGGATGACCAACCTCAAGCTCGACGACCCGCGCTTTATCCTGCCGGGAAGCTCTGCCGCTTCTTCCTCTGCGCGCGCGCAAAATATCAAGGATGTAAAAACTGAAGCGCAGCTTCGCGCCCTGTTCCTTAACATCCATACGATGCGCCACCGTATTCTAATTTGCATCCAGCAGATTCTCTACTATTGCTTCTGGGACGTCATTGAACCGCAGTGGGCGAAAATGACGGAGCTGATGAAAAAGGCCACGACTGTGGATGACCTGAGTGGAATCCACAAAAAATACCTAGACATCATGTTCCAGCAGTTTGGATTGACCGCTGGGAAGCTTCCCAAGACAATTGTGGAGCTGTTAAAGCGCAGTAATAAGTTTATCAGCTTGGTGAACAATATGGTCTCGACGAAATCAGTTTTGTTCCGGAGAAGTGCGAGGAGGGAGGCGGAGGGTGAGAGCGCAGACTTGGTGCGCAAGCGGCAGCAGGAGCAGCAGGATACGCTGGCAAGCTTTATGGTTAAACTGAAGGAAGCTAATGATGATTGGAGTCAGCAGCTGAGGACCATGGTCAGGGCGCTTAATCATTATGCACGCAAGTTCGATGAGTCCTATTTGACGTTGGCGGTGCGGCTGGACTGTAACCAGGGCGAGAACGTATTCAATGGTTCTTGAAAAGGAGTTATGAATTAATAAATTTGTTGATTTTAAGTATATTTTGTTGAGCTATTGAAAATATGTTTTAATGTTTTTTATGCCGGCGGGTCAATGTACGATCCAAATCGAGTGCGGATGATTTGAACGCCGGGAAGCACCTCGGCCAGTCTGGGTGACAGCTGCTCGACAGCTTTTTTCGACGCTGTGTAGATAAATCTCAGCGATCCCAGAAGCACCCCAGCACCACTGCTGCTACTGGTGCTGGTAATGCTGGCGATACCGCGCAAATGAGCGATCAACGTGTTGATTTCTTCAAAAACTAGCTCTGCGTTCTTCACTTCATACTGATCAACCACTCTAATAAACTCATTGAGATCGAAAAATTCAGCGACCAAGTATGTGGCATTGCAACAGAACAAGTCCATAATGGTCTTGTGCAGATGATACGCGAGGTGCAATCTGAACACGGTGTAAGTCGGTTTTACACCCAATACCACAGTGGACGGCGAGATATCCGAAGGGTGCGGCATAGACGATGAGTATCGGCGCTGGGTGTTTAAGTAAAAGTAGATAGTGTTTGCATGCGACATCCTGGTTACTTCAATAACTGGGGCCCGTGTTCTTCATTTGCGTGTGTAAAGTACAGTACAGCGGCGAGTTCCTGTGCCATGGTCTCGCATAACACCTCTCGACTGTAAGGGAGATCGGTGTTGGGCCTTGGTGTGTAGAGGTCCGGCAAATTGCAATTACCCCAAACCTCTCTTCCATCAATATCCACATCGGGAGTCATTCTAATGATATAAGGCATTTCCTCTGGATATATATAACTCAGTATGATCTCTTGGATAGCTTGGTGATACATTGCAGATGCAAAAAAAATTGAAGGCATATGATTCGCCCGCATCAACGCATTCAGCTCCGCGCAAAACCACCAATGGTATCCATATATATCGCTCTCACCAGGGTTTAATTCGGGCGTAAGTATGACTATGTTTGCGCAGAGGATCCACGCAGCTGCGGAAATGATTGGGATGTCGATACTTGAGCTGGAGAGAATGGCTATGGTATTTCCAGATGTTATGCCGTATCTAGAGTGCAGGGTGGTTGCTAGGATTGCGGAAATTTGCTTAAACTGGGTGTATGTGATGGTGCGGTCTGTGCGGGCGTCAATAAGCATAGGGCACTCAGCGGGGACAACTCCGGCAGATGGTGTTGATTCGTAGGCATGGTAGAGGTATTCAGGCAGGCTGTGGATGGGTGGTGACGCAGGTGTTTGCAAAGCTTGGTGTGGGCGGTCCATGTTTACTAGGAATAAAAACTTTAAGTTGATGTTATAGCTACACAAGAAGAAAAAAGAATACTACAAGCGGGTAAATAGTGGGGATGTCCAAAACAAAAATTTAGTATTTGTTTCGGTATATTCTCACAAGAATATTGACTGACACAAAGCAGTAACATCATTTTCAAACCCCGTATTTAAATGTCGGATGAATATTATGCGTTGGTATCAATATAATAAAACAAACAATAGGACACATACATGTTCTTCTTGCAAATGGTATTTACTTGTGAAGAACACTAATTATTTTGTGAAAAGTAAAAAAATTATAAACAAAAGAAGAAAATAGCGTAGCAAACATTGTCTGTTATTCATATTGTACCAGAAAAACATTGAGAGACAATGGTGCTCGATTTATATTAGTATATTTTCTGTTGATCTGCAAAACAAAAAGTTGACAGACAGTTCAAACTGCAACTCAAAAAACTTGTGCACAAGTATGTAATTATATGTAGAATAAGATAATCAATAAGGTGATTAACTAGTTTAGTCAGCAATGTGATTTCTTGGTGTAGTCGGTTATCACGTCTGCCTAACACGCAGACGGTCGCCAGTTCAATCCTGGCAGAAATCACTTTTTTTGCAGTTATTTTATTTGTTGAAGGCAGTTTGATCAGCATATTGGTGATTTGATTGCAAGGTTTTTTTTTTGCAGATTGTTTTTTCTTTGCTTGTGGTGGAGGCCAAGCAGATCAACCTTTTCCCCTCTTTTTTCTGTGCTTGCCCAGTTCAATTCAACTTTTTTCTTTTTGGCATAAATATATACACACTCAGTTCAAACACATTCACATAAATGGCGGGCGCGAGCAAAAAGACAAGCAAGAAGAGCAGCACCAATGGACTTGCGGTGATCGGCGGGTACAAGGTGCTCCCCGTCCGCTTCGACGACGACAGCGAGTCAGCCACGCACTACATCTACTTCAAGCAGCACACGACAACCAAGGAGGATATCCTGCTGCCCTCCAGCCGCACGCTCTTTTTGTACAACCTGCCGGCGGACACGACGGAGCGCGATATCCGGCGTCTTTTCCACGGCACAGCGCGCGTCGCACGCGTACTTTTCCATGATGTCGTCGGGCAGGACATTGTGAGGCAGACAGCGGTACGTGCGCAATTGATGGCTGAGCTGGCGAAATCCATGCAGGAGGAGGAGGCAAAGCAGAATAAGGCCAGTAAGCAGAAGGGCGCCAGTGAGGCAGCGGATGAGGGCGTCAAGGCGGTTGAGCGGCCAATTTTGCAGCGGTCAGGAGGCAGCGCACACGTCGTTTTGCTGGAGGACGCAGAGATGGCGGCGGTTCTGGGGATGGCGCGCGGGGTGCGTGCGTGGCCGCAGCGCGACACCACAAGCCCGTTGGAGTACCGCGGACTGTCCCGGTATCTCTACGAGTACCGTGCAGAGCGTCCGCCCACGGAGCTGCACCAGGAGGATGTCGACCAGTATATGGCCAAGTTCGAGGCTGCACAGTATGAGCGCGAGCGCATGCTGGAGCAGCAGCAGAATGTGCCGGATGCCGATGGCTTTGTGACGGTTGTTCGCCGTGGACGTAATACGCGGAACTCCGACGGGCAGGGCGCTGTGACAGCGGCGACGGCAGATGAGGCCAGGGAGGCTGGGAAGAAGAAGAAGGAGGTAGTGTTCGGCAACATGTACCGGTTCCAGGTGCGTGAGCACAAGAAGGATCAGCTGGATGACTTGCGGAAGAAGTTCGATGAGGATAAGGAGAAGATCGCAAGAATGCGCCAGACGCGCCAGTTCCGCCCATACTAGATTTTTTGCCCCCACTGATCTGATCAGTTCTTTTTTGTTTGTGCGCAGTTACTGAATGCTGAATGCCAAATGTGCTGAAAGCGGGCTCTGCCAAAGTAATCAACGCCTTCATTTTTCCTATTCCCCTCTCTTCTTTTTCATTTTTTTTTAAAAGTACCAATTCCAATTTGTTTTCTATTCGTTATTTTTCATATTTTGCAACAAAAATGGAGGCCCAGATTCCACCAGCTTCGCTCAAGCCACTCTACAGGGCACTCCAGTGTCTCTCGCGGATCGGAGGTGAGATCACACTCGAGGCGCACGCTGACCGGGTGCTGCTAACAAACACCAGCGCGTCGCACTCCGCCCACGCTACCATCACTCTGCATCAGCGCTTCTTCTCAGCTTACACGCCGCCAGCATCCACACTCTACTGCCGGCTGCAGGCCAAGCTCCTCATGGGTATATTCAAACCGCGCAAGCCCAACCCTGCCAGCAGCACCAGCGGCAGCAGCACCAGCGGCAGCAACTTTAGCGCTGGCGGCAGCGCAGGGTCGGTTACACCGCATACGGTTGTGCGGTGCTTGCTGCGCATCGAGCAGTCGGAGGCTGGCGGGCCAGCGTCCACGGGCGAATGCCGGCTGGTCGTGCGCATGGAGTTCCGCGAGGGAATCTGCCGCACCCACCGGTTGTTCTATGAGGCATGCAGCGGGTTGGTGATGGACTACAGCCATGACGACTGCAAGAATCGGTGGCGAGTGGGCGCTAAGGCTGCAGCCACGTGGATTGGCCACTTTGCCCGTGGCTTGGATGAAGTCTCAATGCGCATGACGCCGACGTCGGTTCTGGTGCGCAGTTGGGCCGAAGATCACTATGCGTCTGCGGCCATTGGCCCTGTGGCTGCCGGGGTTCCTGACTTTGCGCGCTCCTTGCATACCGAGCTGAGCATTGATCCGGATGATTTCGACCAGTACGTGGTGGGCGGCCCTGTGGAGCTCACCATGGGGATGCGCGAGTTTCGCGCTATTCTAATATACGCTGAGGCTGTGGCGCTACCGCTAGAGGCGTTTTTCAACCACGGCGGCAGCCCGATTTTCTTCAGGATCGGCGCACAGGGACAGCGGGCGGCGCCCGATATGGTTGCGGACTTTATCGTGGCCACTGTCGGCGATATCCTGACGACGGTTTCTAGCGCTTATGTCACGCCCCAGCGACAGCAGCAGCAGCAGCAGCGGGGGTGTCGCCGCAGTTTGGCACCTTTACCACACAACAACAACAGCAGCAGCAGCAGCAGAGGCATGTGGAGCAGCGCGTGAGCCAGCTGAGCGTCCATGATACAGCCACGCCATTGCGCGCCATCATGGCGCATCATACAGAGGAAACCCCGGCGTCGCATAAATCGAGCTTCCACCAGGATCGCATCAGCGACAGCGGCAGTGGCAGTCGGCTGTGGCCTCCTCCGAGCGCCGCTGACTCACTTCTGCGCACACCCACGGACGCCAATTGCGAGGAGCGGACCCCACGCGGTGTCGTAGCTACGACAGGGAGGGAGTATCGGCTGCTGGACATGCCGCGCCCTTTGGTTCCGCCTGGGGTGACGGATTCGCAGGAGATGAGCCAGTTGGAGAGTCTGGATGGAAGCATATTGGGCGCACCGCCTGGGATGGTCCAGACAAGGTTGCCGTTTGCTAATGCAGGGCAGCGGAATGATGAGGCTGAAAGCGACGATGACAATGACGGAGAGATCGATGCTACACCACCACCATCGTCTAAACGCATTCATATTATTTGACATTTTTTAAATAAAAATAAAACTAAAACATAAGAAAACAGAGAAGATTCGATATTACCATATGTCCTTTCTGTAAATAAATGTCCTTCGAATAAAGGCAATTCCAGTTGCACAAATAGAAACAATAAAAAACATGGAGAATAATATACATGCTAGAGACCACGTATATTCTTCATCGATGGTTCCTTTCTAGTTGCCGTTTTTGGTGCCACAGCTGTGTTGGTGGATGTGGCTCTCAGATGGCTGGATGTAGAGTTCGCAGCAGCTACTCTGGTAGACTGGTGCTTGCCGCCGGCCGAGTCGTGGGCAATGCCCTTGGTCAAGATACCTTTTGCTGTCTTTGTGGCCATGCGCTGGTCAGCTGCAGACTTGGTTGCTGTGGGTTTGGAAGCAACAATGCTGCGCGTAATAGTCTGCTTAACAGTACCAATGGCAGTACTGGCAGCGGAAGGGGCGGCGGAAGCATTGGTGGTCGGTAGCAATGTATCCGAAGAACTTGCACTGCCAGATTGCGTAGAGGAACTTGACGCAGTGGGTTTAATACTGCCGCTGTCAAACGCGTCCACATTAATGATGCGAGCACTCAGGGCTTCCACATTAATGCTGGTGTTCGGATCGCTGGCCATTGCTGCCTCCATTGACAACACGGACTTCTCTGCGCGCCTGACTCCAGATATGGATACTTTGTCTTTGTTCTTGGGCTCGTCATCATCGGTATCGTCAGTGTCGGCGTCCATTGGAATGCGATTGTGCGCCGGTGGGTTCATAGGGTTGGGCCCGGCCATGGCGTCAGCAGCGTAGAGTGCGGCGTGGGATGGGTGCCGGTTGGCGCGTGCTTTGTTGTAGGGGTTCTTGGGGATCGGCCAGTCGTTGACTGCTGCGTGTGCATGGTACCGCTGTCCGCGAGCCTTGGATGAGGATGAGGGCGAGGATGAGCGGCCGATTGGCTGATTGTTCATGCCACTGCCATTGTTGTACATCATACCACCCCTGTTATTCATCATGCCGTTGCTGTTCATCATGCCATTGTTGTACATCATGCCGCCACCATTGTTCATCATACCGTTGTTGCCGTTATTGTACATCATTTGTGGGTTGTACATTGGGTAGTTGTAGTCCATATTTTGCGGCACGTATTGCGGCAATGGAAGCGCATACACGGAGGCAGTGTGGATGAATGCTCCGATAAGTAGGCTGCTAATATAGCGCATTGTGTTAAGAGGTAGTGTTTTTCAGTTTGTTGAAGAAATATATTTAAAAAAGTGTTTTTGTGGGAAAACTACGACTTGTCGACAAGTTAAATTCACATCCTGTTATATACTCTTTTTTTCTAAATATAAAGAAATGATTTGTTCTCTGCATTTATCGCATATATACAAAAAAGCTAACATTTAATGAATAATACAAAAATGTAAAGGTCTTAGACATTTTCATGTCATTTGTTTATTGCTATTTAAATCGACATGTGTTTTGTGTTTTGTATCGCATGACAGACATTTTGTTTCAACCGCCACGATTGCTTATTTGGAAATAATTTCGATTTAGCATTTGTTTTTTTGCTTGTCAGAGTGAACAGCAAATTCCAAACTTACATAAAACACAGCAGTCAGAAACATCCAGTAACCCCAACCGTAACAATGTTTTGACCATACATATAACAATAAGAATAAAAAACTGCGGAGAAAAACATCGTCCTTCTCTATTTCCCCCCTCCCCCTCTCCTTGCACACTCGTTCTAAGGACTCAGACGATCCACCCTGGAATGGAAAAAAGCCCAAAAAAGGTTTCACCAAAACGCACCTTCCCCCTTTTCGTTTTTTTCTTACTGCTGTGCCCATCGTCTAACAACAGCCGGAACATCCTCCCTCGCCTCCACCAGTTCGACGACCTGGCCCGGTTCCAGCATCATCTGCACCATCCTATACTCCTTCGGTGCGCGGCCACTAGCCGCCAGCAGATCATTCCTCCCAGAGACTCCCCCCGCCGTAGCATTGCCCTCGCCCACACCGCGGACAATCTCCAGTTCCACCAGTGTCTCAAAGGCCTTCATTGCCACAGGCTTCTTATACACCTTCATCGACCCACTCGAGCCCATCACATACCGGGACATAAACAGCTTGTACTCGGCATAGACCATTTCAAAGTTAAACTTGCCACTGCCAGTGCCCAGAAGCCCACGCATGGCCACCAGAAGGTAGAGCTCAAGCAGAGAAATGCCCCTCAACACCTGCATTTTGGCCGACGCCCTTTCCCTGCCTACGCTCTCGCGAATCTCGTCCAGGGAGAGCGCTGGGCGGAGCTGCGAGAGCCTGGCTACGGCAGAGGCAAACACCCTCAGGGCCCGGCGCGGGTCCTTTGAGAACTCATATGCCTCCAGGATATACGCGCGCACAGGAGCATCCGCCAACACCTCATCCACCCGGTGGTCAAAGCCGGGGTCCCCCGTGCTCAATGCCTCGCGGAAGATCTGCGCGAATTCCTCGAGACTCCGCGTATACTGCACGTACACCTGTCGGTGCGAGAACCGCGACTTTACGCGCTTCTCCAAAAGATCCATGACATCCACCCGCGCCGTCACCCGACGACAGCAATCGGCGTCTGGCGCTGGCTCTGCTGCGCAATGTCAAACAACGTGTACAAGAGGGATTGCTTCGGGTGTTGGGCCAAAAGATCAAACTCTTCGAGGATAAATACCAGGGGTATAGGGCGGTCGCTGGAGTCTGTGCGCATTTGCTGTAGGATGTATGTGAAGGCGTCGGAGAAGGACCCAATGAGGATGTTTTCGAGGTCCTGCGTTATTAGAAGCTGGCGGGCGATGTCACGAAGGGCAATTTTGTCTGTTGTGTGGATGAATCCGCTGAGCTTCACCACATGGTGGGTTTTCTTCTGCCCCTGCCCCTGCTCCTGCTCTTGCCTGTGCTCTTGCTGTGGTTTGTGGTGGTGGAGGAGGGAGAGCGCCTTTTGGATCAGAGTGCTTTTGCCGCTGCCGCGTGGGCCTATGAGCAGAACCGAGTTGCCTTCTAGGTTTGCCACTGTGCGGTGTAGGAGTGAGTGGATCGAGGAGAGCTGCGTGGACAAACCGACTAGTGTTGATGGCTGGGTGCGGCCGTAGAGTCTGTTGAGTAGAGTCTGCCTCACCAAGCCTATGTCCGAAACGCCCATGTTTGGAAAGCGGTGATTTGTGAAAGTGTTGCATGTCCTGGCATTTCTTGGAATTGTTGGAATTGAAAATGTAAATGTGAATGTAAACTGAAAAGACGAGTGAGCCAAGAAAAAAAGGGAATAAATTTTTTATTTGAAGTGATCATCATTTTACATTCTGGTCTTTTTTTGGCCACTCGAGATTACGCGCGTATGTCATACGCAAAGCGAAACTCTTCCCTTTTCTTCTTGATTGGCTCGTTTGTGTTTACACTATTTGCTTTGTCACCTGTGCCAAAAAAATTAAAGCCAGACCCATCGCAGTGCCAAAAAAAAAGAAAAAAAACAACTCTTTCTTTTGTTATTCCTTTCCTACTACTCTTATTTATTTTTGTACTCTTACCCCCCTTCTTTTTTCTTCTTTCTCGCAATCCACTTTATTCTCTCATTTATTTACTCTACAATTTATTTTCTTTAGAAATGTCAGATACAAAAACCTAAACAAGAAGAAGCGCGCCGCCCGTCAAAACTCCAACGTCTTTGCGATATTCGACCAAAAGCAAATATCCGAATTCAAAGAGGCCTTTGGGATCTTTGATCACAACTCAGACAACATCGTAGACCGCGACGATCTCCGCGAAATGCTCAGTTCCCTAGGCCAAAACGTATCCGACAGCTACATAGATGCCATGGTTAATGAGGCTCCGGGCCTATTAATTTTACAATGTTTTTGACCTTGATGGGTGAGCATCTTAGTGGGACGGATCCGGAGAGTGAGATATTGTCGGCTTTTGAGGCCTTTGATTTGGATGGGAATGGGTTGATTTCGTCGGCGGATTTGAGAGACGCTTTGATGCAGATGGGGGATAGGTTTACGAAGAAGGACGTGGATATTATGTTTAAACATGCGCCGATTACACCAGATGGATATTTGAAGTACCGTGAGTTTGTGCAGATGCTCAAGCACGGAGAATAAGACTGTTAATTTTAATATAGCATTTATAACAAATAAATAAATGATATATAAATGTATGCATGAAATACCTTGATAGTTTCCAATTACATATTATTATTATTATTTGGTTTGGTTTGGTTATTATACAATAAAAAGTTTGCTTGAAAATAAAACAAAAAACAGAAGCATTTACTTGCGCAGTGACGCCACAACAATGGTATCCCGCTCGAGGGGTACAGCGATACAGTGGTAATGGCAACCGTACTCGGCATCAAAATCATCAAACCGTTCTTATCGACAATATTCGGCTTAAACAGCGAGTCCCCAGGCAGCTCCAAATCATACCGATTAAAGACATTCGCCAGCGTGGCAAAAAAAATCTCCATCCACGCCAAATTTCTCCCGGAACAAATCCACAAACCATTGCTGAATATCAGGGACAGTCTCTTCAGTGGCTCATTATCGACGAAACGGTCAGGGTAGAACTCATAGGGTATTTCCCAGACTGGTGGGATTAGTGTTGGTTGCCGAAATGCAGATTGGTCAGGTTGTAGCCGCTGGGGATGAGATGGGCTTGGGGATGGTGCTGCCAGGAATAATGAGACGGGGCGTGTTGGTGGCTGAGTTACACAGAGCAAGGAACTTGTCAAAATCCTCGTGGTAGGTCCTGTAGATGTACCTTTAGAAGAACTTGCCGTTGACAAGGGGCATGATGGACTACAGGAAAATGGATGCTATGCACCCAATCGACAATCTGTGTTTTGCGAGAGGTTAAGCACCTGTGCGTTTGTCCGAACCCGAGTGACCCGATAATGGCAAATATCATCAGCATAAAGGTCATTGTGGTACCAGATCCGCGCCTTCTTTCCATTTTTCTTTCTTTAGCCTTATCCCACTTCTCAATCGGCTGCCGCGGTCCAGAGTCCAAAATAATTAGCTCCATCTGGCTTCAAGTTATTCAAGCTCATGGACGGACCAATCTGCCTCCGTCTCTAATTGTTAAGCTCTGGATTGGCAATCAAAAATGTGTTTGAGCCCATCACCTTGATCTTCTGATACATGTGGTCCTTGAGGAAGGTATAGGTGCCTAGAATTGTAGAGCTGTTCTTGGGATCGCAGATTGTCACTCGATGCGGGCTCATAATAAAAAGACTGCCGTAGATCTGATTGTGCTTCATCATTAGTTCATGCTCGGCACAGCGGACTTGGTGGAAGAGAAAGGGGGGCTGGAGATGCGCGCCAGGAAGGGCCCAGGAAGCTTTACGCAGCGGTGAAAAGTACGGCGCGTAGATTACTTGCCAACCGATGTAGGCGCCAAAGGCGATGCTGATGTTTAACGGCCGCAGAAGCACCCACAGGGATCCTACCAAAGCAGCAGGAATAATACTCATGGTTAATGAGCAAATATTTTTTATGGTAATAAAGTGGTAAAATAAAATAAAAATAATACACTTGGTGAGGTAAAAAAAATGAGTGAGTCGTGATACAGAAGAATAAAAAAGATTAAAGTGACTAATGTTCGGGATGTCTGGTTTATATTTAAACAAAAATAGTCATTTCCTCTTTATCCAAGTGCAAGGGTAGGTAAGAAGTAGCGAGCAAGCTGGTAACTATTTTCTTGGTACAAAAATCATACAATTGATAAAGCACAAGGATAAACAAAACGGGGCCACAGAAGGAAAAAAAATGTCAACAAAATATTTTTTGCAAAATCAATGCGCATAGATCTTTCAAATACTGCATATTCGACACAGCTTGGCATTAGCCTTTACAAGGTTTTGATTTTAACAAAGAAAAGTTTTATATAAATTAGTCTTCCTAAACCATATACCAGTAATTTTATTAAGCACATCTGCGCGTTTTGTTAATCGATTTTGCGATGTGAAATGGTTTTATGCATACCAATGTTATGTAAGAGGGGGTGTGGGAAGCACTACTGTAATAGTGTTAAAATAATGGGTGTGAAATTATAAAGGTTTTTTATTACTAGTGTTTCTAAAGTGCTATTATCGCCGGCCTCGCCTTATATATATCTCCTTGTCTTTGTGCCACCCACTGGCAGTTGTGTGCTCTGTTCGCGAGAACTGGTCCTTATGAAAGTAGCCCGGGTCTCTGGTATGGCATAATTGGCATGTCTGTATTCTTGCGCCAAGCACATCCATTTCAGGGCAGGCAGTATGTCCGGATGTCAATTGTGGCCCCTAATCTGATCCCCTGTAATTTGGCCCATATCAGATCCATCTGTGAGCTGACGAGAATCTGTCTCATGATTTTCGCCCTCAGCGTCTACCTCCATATCCTCGGGCTGCGTAACACCAATTTGTCTGGTAAAATCATGGTTATTCATTGCTAATTTTCTAATAATTTGCATCTGCAATTTAAATGCCTGACCCTGCTCCGCCCCTAACATAAGGATGGATTGCATTCTTGCTGTCTTATATATATCTTCGTCAAAATTAAAATTTAGATTTACTGGTTTCACTGGTGATTATTCATTCGCTTTGCACAATATAAACATATCACGTATATACATATTTATTAAGCAGCCCAACAGAATCTAAAAAAGCATGATTTGGATTGCCTCGCCTTTTTCAGTTTGCTGTGCAGCAGCAATGAAGATTGTTTACCCAACTGGGGTAAAGAAAGGGCGGCGTCGATCTACAAACCTGTGAAGGCGGAGGAGATATATTCTCCGCTCCTATCATTTCCTACCAGATATTGCCCAATTTTCCAATGTTTTCAAAAAGGGTTACACATTTACAAATGTTTTATACTGAGCGATCCACAGATTGTGGATTAAAAGCATTCCTCCTTGTAATCTAAGGTCCACAAATTTTGCGATTTCTGCACTGTACTACATCTAGGGTTTGTTTTATTGGGTTTATTGGCTTCATTTTTTGGAAATCTATACTCGGTGCCACGCTTTTTTGATTTTGATTTTGACTGTTCGAATGAAAGGGACCAAAATAAGGTCTAAAATAGTACCAGGATGATGTTGAAACTTGTCAAAAACATTTGTTCTGTAAAAAGTATAAATACACCCTTTTTTGTGTTTGTTTTGTTCCCGCTGACAATCGACACATTTATGTCATAATTTGCTTGTATAGTTTTATTATTGATTAACAATAATTTATTTATAGAATTGTCCATTTCACCCCTTTTTTCTGGCTTGAGTTAATAAAAACAATAACCAACACGCGCACAGCTGATGCTACAACTGTTCATTTTTATTGAAATATCCATATTTTAATTTAAAAGTTAGTTTTCTAATTATAATTTAGAATATTTGCAAAGCAAAACATATTGTCATTCGATGTAGAGGCACTTGCTACAACATACAAGTAAATTGGTTATTAAATTACCTATTGATTTATAAAATTGTATGCCCACTGCAAAGGCAACAGCGCTCCGGTCGGCTGAGTTGCAGTGTCTACCCAGTAATTTTAATTATATTTGTATCAACCTTGTGCCGATAAAATTCCAATTTTACTGTGAAACGACCTTCAAAGTAATTTTTTTTATTTCTACAAGCAATTTGCATGCAGGCATATCTTTGCTAACCATAGTTAAAGGTTGTAAACCATAACAATTGTTCTTTACAATATTGTCGTATTAGTTAATTGCGTAAAATGGCCCACCATGAATAGACCGGATAAATAATTTCCTGTGTTTTTCTAGTAGCTCTTACATTTAAGTTAGTGCGCATGTGTATTTTGTGCATTGAATGTATTATAAAAAGGTACAGGTATGATAAATAATATCGAATAGAGCCGGAGTAGCCAAAAATAAACAAGAATTTACTCTCACTCACACAGTCATCTGCGCGCTTGGCGTCTATCGCCAAGATTATTTTAACTAAATATTTAACTGTTGGAAACGAGGCAGGTTGAGTTGGATCAAACAATTTAAACGCAAAATAGCTGACTGCGACTATTTGTATTGAACACAACAATGCTGCCTCCTTGCTCGCTTGTGTTTAACTGTAAAATTTATTTGGTCATTGCTTTAAAAAACAAACTTATAAACTGGTAGCAAATGACAACATTAATGTATTTAAATATTAAAAACTATGCACGCTTTGCAACTAAAACAATGCAATCACGCTCGGGATGCTGCGGCACAGTTGTAGTAGCAACAGTGCGGGGCATCAGTATTGGATTTCCATTGTCATCGACAAGGTCCGGTTTGAACAATGAATCGGCCGGAATCATCAAATTGTACTTGTTAAAAATATTGGCCAGCGTCGATTGCATTTCCATCCATGCCAGGTTCTTGCCCGGGCACACCCTTACGCCGGCACTGAATGTTAACACTGCCCGCTTGTTTACTTCGTTGTCCAGGAACCGCTCAGGGTAAAACTCGTAGGGCTTCTCCCACACTGCAGGATTAGTGTTGACGGCGGAGATACTGATGGTTAGGTTATAGCCACCGGGAATAAAGTGGCCTTGAAAGGTTGCGCCACCAGGAGGAATGAGGCGGGGCATGTTTGTTGCCACGGGGTTCAAGCGCAGTGATTCATAGATGCAAGCTTCTAGAAGTGGAAGACTGGCCTTGGCCTCACTGTAGTTAATTATGTGATCGCGGCCAAATGCCGTGCGCACTTCCTCGACAACCCGGGCTTGATACTGAGGGTACATAAGAAGCAGGTGAATGGTCCATGTCATTGTGTTGGAGCTGGTATCCGAGCCAGCCAGCAGACCAATAATGGTCTCAGTAACCACTTGTCCGGTCGTCATTCGGATGCGCGACTCGGGATCCTCAGCATCAATGTACGACTGCAGAATATCCTTGGGTTTGTTCTCGTTAGGTTGCAGGCCACTCAGGAGCTTTTTGCGCTCGCTGACAGCCTTGGTACACAAAGCAAAAAACGCATCAAACTCGTTGTAGAATGACTTGGCAATAAACCGACGAAACAGAGTGGTCTTGACCAAAGGCATAACCGACTGAAAAAAGATTAAAATGAAAGTGCTGTGCACCCATTTGGTAATTTTTGTATCCCCTGATGTCAGCGACCTGTGAGTCTGCCCGAATCCCAGCGTACTGATAATGTCAAAAGCCATAAGCATAAGGTCATTGTGATACAATACCCTAGCTGTTATCCCATCCGTGGATTGCTCAATGTTCCAGTCCCACTTGTTGAACAACTGCTTGGGTCCGGCTTCCAGGATGGCTGGCTCCATCAGCTTTAGGTTTGCCAAACTCATTGATGGTCCCATCTGTCTGCGGCGCTGTTTGTTTAATTCGGGGTCGACAGTTAGAAACATGTTTGGCTCCATAAGCTCGACGTTGCTATACATCCTGTCTTTAAGAAAGGCGTGCGAGGAAAGGATTGTTTGACTGTCTTTGGGGTCGCAGATGGCCACTCTAGATGGACCCATCACAAATATGCCACCGTACGTTTGGTTGAACTGCTTCATAAGAGTAGGCTCAAGGCCGCGTAGTTGATAGAGCAGCATGGGGAAGCCCGAAATGCGGAACCACAAGGAGCCAGGGATATGGCGCAGAGGCGATAAATACATGGCATAGATAATTTGCCAGGAAAAGTAGGCAACGAGTCCGCAGAGTACGTTCAGCGGCTGGAGTAGGTCCAATAGGGCGTCTGCTGTAAAAGCCGGAACAAGACTCATGTTTGTGTCTTTAAAATAGCTTAAAGTAAATATATTGAGGCACTAAAAAATAAAATAATAAAGAACAGAAAAGCAAGAATACAAAAAAATATTGAGAAAAGCTATAATTGAAATGCATTGAAGCTGAAAAATTGATCAACTTCAAAACAAGTGACGTATTGCATGCAGGAAAAAAACAAGTGGGAAATTGTTTTCCGCCTCATCCAAATATGCGAGAAACCGGATACCAAAATAGAAAATAATAAAGGAGATATTTTTATGGCCACTACAACTACAAATTTAACTGTTAGAGCAATGCGGGCTAAAATACTAAATATAATTTAAACGCGTAATAATTATACAAAATTGGTGGCATTTTTAAACCATAGTTGTCAAATTATTATTATTTAGTTGTCATTTTAAACAAACAAGTTGGTTGCAGCAAACAACAATAAAGTAATAAAGTAATAAAATAATAGAAATCATACCCGCATTGAAATCAAAACATTGCAGTCGCGCTCGGGATGCTGCGGCACAGTTGTAATGGCAACAATGCGGGGCATCACAATTGGCAGTCCGTTATTATCAACCCTGTCAGGCGTAAACAGCGAGTCGGCAGGAATCTCCAAATTGTACCTATTGAAAATATTGGCCAGCGTCGATTGCATTTCTATCCATGCCAGGTTCTTGCCCGGGCACACCCTTACTCCGGCACTGAATGTCAATACAATCCGCCTGTTTGCTTCGTTGTCCAGGAACCGCTCAGGGTAAAACTCGTAAGATCTTTCCCACACCTCAGGATTAGTGTTAACACCCGTGATACTCACAGTGCAATTATACCCTTCAGGAATAAAGTGACCATGTAGGGTTGCGCCACCAGGAGAAATAAACCGGGGCATGGTTGTGGCCACTGGTGCCAGTCGCAGAGACTCGTAAATGCAAGCTTCAAGGAACGGAAGACTGGTTTTGGCCTCACTGTAGCTAATTATATGGTCGCGATCAAATACCGCACGCACTTCCTCGACTACTCGAGAGTAGTAGTGCGGATGCATGAGGAGCAGGTGGATAGTCCAGACCATTGTGTTGGAGGTGGTATCCGAGCCAGCCAACATGTTGAGGATTGTCTCGGCAACCACCTGGCTGGATGTCATTCGGATGCGCGACTCGGGATCCTCAGCATCAATGTACGACTGCAGAATATCCTTGGGTTTGTTCTCGTTGGGTTGCAGGCCACTCAGGAGCTTTTTGCGCTCGCTGACAGCCCTGGCACACAAAGTGTGGAACGCATCAAATTTGTCGTAGAATGACTTGGCAATGAACTGACGAAACAGAGTAGTCTTGACCAAAGGCATAACTGACTGCAAGAATATAAGCATAAATGTGCTGTGCACCCACTTGACAATTTGCGTATCCCCCGATGTCAGCGACCTGTGTGTCTGTCCAAATCCCAATGAGCCAACAATATCAAAAGCCATAAGCATAAGATCATTGTAGTACGATACCCTAGCTGTTAGCCCATCCGCAGATTGCTCAATGTCTCGGTCCCACTTGTTGAACAACTGCTTGGGTCCGGCTTCCAGAATGGCTGGCTCCATCAGCTTTAGGTTTGCCACACTCATTGATGGTCCCATCTGTCTGCGGCGCTGTTTGTTTAATTCGGGGTCGACGGTTAGAAACATGTTTGGTTCCATGATCTCAATATTGCTATAGCGCTTGTCCTTCAAGAAGGCATGTGTCCCCAGTATTATTTGACTGTCTTCAGGGTCGCAGATAGCCACTCTAGACGGGGTCATGACAAATATGCCGCCATATTTTTTGTTGTGGAACTTAATGAATTCAGGCTCCAAACCACGAACTTCGTAAAAAAACAGGGCTAGACTGGTAATGCGCGGCCAGATTGAACCAGGAACGTTGCGGAGAGGCGAGAAATAAAGGGCATAGATTAATTTCCAGCAAAAGTAGGCAACGAGTCCGCAAAGAATGTTGAGTGGCTGGAGTAGCTCCCACAGGGGGTTTGCCAAAAAGGCAGGAACAAGACTCATGGCGTTGTCTTTAAATTAGCTGAGGGTAAAAATGATAAAGTTCTAAGTTATAATTAAATAAAAAATGAAAGAGAAGCAAAAACAAAAGTTTCTCAGTTGGGAGAGCAGCAGCAGCGGTGGTAACGAGTAGACTATTATGTGGGACTATTGCAGACAGCGCTTATTTTATAATATTATAAGAAAAGGTAGTGTATATGAGAACAGACAATAAAAACAAAAAAATGAGTAAGGAAATGTTTCAAAAAATGTTAGTGGCAGCTCAAAAAAGACAATGACAACACTATTATAGTAGATAGAGAGGTATTGAGCAAACACAGCGATTGGTGGATGGCTATGTATACAGGTTCACCGCAAAACCAGAACAATTGTTGTTCTTGTAGACAATTAATCATCAAAACGCCACGCACTATACAATTTCTGATTACAAAAGAAAAAAACGAGCGATAAAACAATATATTTAATAGATCCTATTGTGCCCCAATTTCCAAACATCGATCAAAGTATCTTGATCTGAAAATGACAAACAATCAATAACGGTATGTTATATATATTAAAAATATATTTTATAAAAAAATCTCGAGTTGACTCTTGCCAACCTTTCTTTCATACACAGTATTTTGGCCATTGTGATTGGTACCACTATTGTCATATTTAGTCAGCTTTAGGCGCTGTTATTAAAATTGGTACAACACATCGCAAAGTAACAAGTTAATTTATTAATTCATACACGCCTTGTAACTAAAACAACGCAGTCGCGCTCAGGAAACTTTGACATACAAGTTGTAACAAGTTTACGAGGCATCAAAATTGGCAGTCCGTTATTATCAACCCTGTCAGGCGTAAACAGCGAGTCGGCAGGAATCTCCAAATTGTACCTATTGAAAATATTGGCCAGCGTTGACTGTATTTCCATCCATGCTAGGTTCTTGCCCGGGCACACCCTTACGCCGGCACTGAATGTCAATACAATCCGCCTGTTTGCTTTGTTGTCCAGGAACCGCTCAGGGTAAAACTCGTAAGATCTTTCCCACACCTCAGGATTAGTGTTAACACCCGTGATACTCACAGTGCAATTATACCCTTCAGGAATAAAGTGACCATGTAGGGTCGCACCACCAGGGGGAATAAACCGGGGCATTTTGGTTGCTACAGGAACTAACCGCAGAGACTCGTAAATGCAAGCTTCAAGGAACGGAAGACTGGTCTTGGCCTCACTGTAGCTAATTATATGGTCGCGATCAAATACCGCACGCACTTCCTCGACTACTCGAGAGTAGTAGTGCGGATGCATGAGGAGCAGGTGGATAGTCCAGACCATTGTGTTGGAGGTGGTATCCGAGCCAGCCAACAAACTGATGACTGTCTCGGCAACCACCTGGCTGGATGTCATTCGGATGCGCGACTCGGGATCCTCAGCATCAATGTACGACTGCAGAATATCCTTGGGTTTGTTCTCGTTAGGTTGCAGGCCACTCAGGAGCTTTTTGCGCTTGCTGACAGCCTTGGCACACAAAGTGTGGAACGCATCAAATTTGTCGTAGAATGACTTGACAATGAACTGACGAAACAGAGTAGTCTTGACCAAAGGCATAACTGACTGCAAGAATATAAGCATAAATGCGCTGTGCACCCACTTGACAATTTGCGTATCCCCCGATGTCAGCGACCTGTGTGTCTGTCCAAATCCCAATGAGCCAACAATATCAAAAGCCATAAGCATAAGATCATTGTAGTATGATACCCTAGCTGTTAGCCCATCCGCAGATTGCTCAATGTCTCGGTCCCACTTGTTGAACAACTGCTTGGGTCCGGCTTCCAGAATGGCTGGCTCCATCAGCTTTAGGTTTGCCACACTCATTGATGGTCCCATCTGTCTGCGGCGCTGTTTGTTTAATTCGGGGTCGACGGTTAGAAACATGTTTGGTTCCATGATCTCAATATTGCTATAGCGCTTGTCCTTCAAGAAGGCATGTGTCCCCAGTATTATTTGACTGTCTTCAGGGTCGCAGATAGCCACTCTAGACGGGGTCATGACAAATATGCCGCCATATTTTTTGTTGTGGAACTTAATGAATTCAGGCTCCAAACCACGAACTTCGTAAAAAAACAGGGCTAGACTGGTAATGCGCGGCCAGATTGAACCAGGAACGTTGCGGAGAGGCGAGAAATAAAGGGCATAGATTAATTTCCAGCAAAAGTAGGCAACGAGTCCACAAAGAATGTTGAGTGGTTGGAGTAGCTCCCGCAGAGCGCCTGCCAAAAAGACAGGGACACTGGTCATAGTAGTGATTTTAATAAGCTAATGCAAGATATGAATGAGAAATAAGAATAAAGTTGACATCAAAACAGCATTGGGGATAATTGTAAAAAAACAGTGCTTGGGCTCCATGTAAAAAATATTTCCCTCAGCAAAAAATAATGTTGCATATTGAACAACAATAAACAATAACATGCGCATTAAAAAACCCGTTTGTAATTTTATTCATGATAGGTGAAATCGGATACAAGTTACAAAGCACAAAAAAGTACAAATAAAAATTGCATTGATGTGCCTTATTTATTACGCTCCGCATTGGTAGACATTGATTTTGCAGAGATAAAACAAAAATTTCTAGAACAAAATATGTACTTATTGCATATTTATGCGTGCCAATCATTTTTTTGCCTTTTATGATTCCTTTAATTACAAGTCGTATTTTTCAACAAACCATTCTAAAAATAAAAATTAGCGCAATGCTCATTTTAAATCATAAGTGCACACGCACAAATAAATAACAGAAAATTATAATGTGTATAGAAAAAAGGATCTACCAGATTGTTCTCAATAAACAAGCCAATTGATCAATTTTATTTTATTTTAATAATAACAGCATACGACTGTGGTTCCTTTGTTATTTGCCAAAGCCCAAATTCAAGCGCATAATTTTCAAAGTTTGATGATGCACAGTAAAATAATGTTATAAAATGTAGCAAACAAAAGCTAGAGTTTAACGTACATTTTAATAAGTACTGTTGTAATTTGAGTGAAGCACTAATTGCCTATTGTTAAAGTTATATTTGGGGTTTGTTATAGTTTTTATTATCAAGGGAATCAAAAGTAGAACTAGCGTTGGCCTCATCTTATATATGTATCTTGTTGCCTGTGTTGTGCACTCTGTTAGCGAGAACTGGGTTTTCTGCAAACACCCCAGTATCTTGGCAAGCCAATGTTGTGGTTTTCACATATGTGCGCTCGTATGTGTACATTGCAAAATAGGGAGCATATCTGGGCATCATAGTTATGCCTCCCTAATTTACTCCTGTATAATCCAATTAGTATCCTATCAATCGGCATGCAGATGGAAGCTTGTTTCATGATTCTCAACCTCGAGATCCACTTCCATATCTTCGGGCTACACCACAAGGTTTTTAAAATAAATATAATTTATATAAAGCCTTAAATTTACCCGAACTAACTTTGCAATTACATTTTTTTGTATAACAACAATACCTTTAAAATAAAAATTTCAAAGGTATCTAATATGTTCAGCACAAAAATTATTTATATGATTAATGCAAATTGATTTGTCTATTCCCAAATCTCCGTATGTACAATATATTTTTATGAGCGCCAGATTGTGATTGGCGTTAGTGTTAATGTTTTCAAATTTTTTTGCATTTTCTAAAGCCATTAATTCTATTCAAAAGGAATTTACTTTATAAACTCAATATTTATCGTGCTTTAGCTTGGTTGTGCTTTATAAACATGCATATGTTGCCCTAAACTACACAATTGTTTGTCTTATTTTGGTCAGATGCAGGGAGTAAATTAGAAAATCAATTAGTTTGTGCTTCTGTTAAAACTCTCCGGAGGGTAGCAGAGACATATGAAAATAAGCATATGTTAAATTGAACAAAGTGTGGTGCCCAACACACATTTCAAGCCACTATCTTCCCTTTTCAAGAATCAAGATTGCCCTCATGGCCACTATACACATTTCTGTTATTGCTAGCTGATATCAAGGAACACCATGATGTTTACAGCGCTGCCCACACAGCGCTGCCCCCTTTTTCAGTTAAGTAAGTAATTTTTAAGACTTGAATATATCGATTTAGACCCACATTTTTATAGAGCACGACACAAAGAACCAACCACTACATATTTGGCGGCTGGTTCTTAGTATATAAAAAAGCTATTAAAACAAGAGTTGGCTAAGGGAGAACTCTCCTCTGCAACTTCCACATTGGCTGGCAATGTTTTGGTAGCCATCATTGTGGCTATAAAGGAATTCAAACACTGTTTAAAACATTATTAGATGAATAGTTCCATAAAGCGAACTAAATGCATGACACTAGTAAACCCATGTAGTAATGGGTTTGTGATCGATCTATGAATTAACAATGCAATGTTTACACCACATGTGCATGACCGGGGGGGGGGGGGGTGGCCACAGGGCTCCGACAGGGGGATGTCAGGAACATCCCCGGCCGGATCGCAATATTCCTATGCACATAATTATCATTTGTATTATATAACTATTTTTGACAATCTGAAATTACCATTTAAATATGGTTTTAATTGCAGTGAATAACAGTTTAGAGTGGTGTGAAAGCGGGCTATTAAAATAAACTCGATGGCTTAATTGTTGTAGTTTGACAAAAGGGGTCAACAATTTCCAATTTCATATGAGTAACAGGTCACAATTTAGTCTAGCTATCCAGTAAGATAACAGCTATATTTTTGATTTTCTCATTGAAAACTCAAATAGGTCGGCATGGAATTATTTTAGCCAACAACATACTTTGTTGGGTGTTAAAATCACCAGGCTCTGAGCGCCAAGCAACCTAAATATGTTTAAATATGCAAAGTGCCAATATTGCACTTGTAAAGAATTAAAACGATTTGAGTGGCCACAATCAATGCAACGTGTAGCCAAATTATATTAAACCCAACCACAGAACTACTCGGTTTAGTTTTTATTTTCCATCAGCTGAGAAATTTCATAGGATATTTCATGTGCATATTTGCATTGAGAGTATAAAAAATCCGTAAAAAAGGCCTGGAACATGCTATAAAGCTCAGGACGTGGGTATACTAAGTAAGCCTTGAAAATATCCTAAAAATCTAAAAAAAGTTAAGCTGAAAATGGCAGCACCGTGTAGTTGGCGCTATAAAGGTCTTGTTGACATTTGATGCTTAAGTATGGGGATAGTAGTGTTGTGTTAAAAGTATTTATTATCCAAAGAAATGAACTGTTATGTAAAAGGGGGAGTGTGGGGATCATTATTGTAATAACGTTAGAAGGATAGGTGTTAAATTATAAAGTTTTATTACTAGTGTTTCTAAAGTGCTATTATCGTCGACCTCATTTTATATATATAGCTCATTGTCTTTGTAGCACACACTGGGAGTTATGTGCTCCGTTCGGGAGAACTGGTCCTTATAAAAGTAACCCGGGTATCTGATATGGCATAATTGGCGTATCTGTATTCGTGCGCTCAGCGCATCTATTTTGAGACAGACAGTATGTCTGGATGTCAACAGCGGCGTCTGATTTAGTCCCTTGTAATTTGGTTAATATCATATCCATCGGCAAGCTGGCAGGAATCTGTCTCATGATCCTTGCCCTCAGCGTCTACCTCCATATCCCCGGGCTGCATAACATAACTAAAAAAGCTAAAGGATGAACAGCCTTCACTATTCATATTCATTAGTATTTATATGTGCGTATGAATTCCCGCATATCCAAGTAGGGAATTAACTGGCGATTGATTCATTAATCAATCGCCGGGGACAAGCCTGATTTTCTTATATCACAAGTAGCGTGAAATGTGAGTTGGGGATCACACGTGTAATCCTGCAAAAGCTTTCTTTTTGTTCTTTTAAATTTGCTCAACCCATTTATTCAAAGGGGGATACGTGGAGTAGCTATTGCAAAAAATCCTATGCAATAGTACAAAGCAACCTTTATTCTTGCACATCATGCATAGTTTTAGTCAAAATAATTAATTGTAAAAATAATTAGCAGCAAACAAAAACATATTTTTGCCTACCTGTCATTTTCCAACTGAAAAAGCCCATCCATTTTTTATTTTCACTTCATCATATTATTTCCTACATATTTTTATTTTACCTATCATTATTTTCAGTCACTATAGAATTTATTTAAAACAAATGCTGATCTTTAAATTACTGGCTTTTCTGGTAGCTGGTCTATCGCTAGTATCATCAAGCACTGTCAAGAGACAGAGTCTATTTTCATTAAATGTTAATGCACAGAATGACGTTACTGATATGCAGTATCCCAATTACCTTGTACTTATCAAGGATACTACGAGCACCCAATGTGAAGTTGCTATTCTTGGTGAGAATATTGGTTTAGTTGCTGCAACTGCATCAATTGGGATCCCAACGAACAAGGATCGTTATCTGGGTACAGTGTTGCAAATGTTCAGCCAACCCCGGCGCAGGCGATATACGGAAAGTAACAGGAGTAATAAGGCACCCTTCATATGATCCAACTACCTTTGCCAACAATCTTGCTTATATAGAGTTTGAGTCTCTTGTACAAGATGGCTCTTGGATGTGGGGTTTTATTGCCGATGACCCTAACAATTTGCTTAACCGTTACTTTACTTATCGCTCCCTGTCTAGCATTAGTCCTCCACAGGGCGACAAACTAAATGTAGCTGCTTCTATGGACCCACCAATTGACCTTTGCAAAGAGTATTCACCCTTGTATGCTGCACACCCTGATGACTATGTTTGCAATACCTTGACTGTCGGCTCAGTTAACAGTCCTGGGTGTGTGACGGGTTATAGCTCAATCTATGGAGCTGTGGAAGACATGGTGGCCATACATGCACTATACAGTTTTAGTGTCAGTGACGAAAGCACTGGCTTGTGCGGTGCCACGGGCCAAGTTATAAACTACTACACTGTTTTGCGTAATTACTTGCCTTGGTTTGCAAGCATTGCAGGCAAATCTTTTATATCTATTCACAGTGCCAACATGCCATACGTAGGCATTAGCACCGATAAAGACTTCCATGTTAGTATTATTACCCCTGCTATTGCTGGCAAGGTTGCAGTTAATGGATTAAGTGTGCAAGTACAGAATGTCCCCAAAGCTTTGTCGTCCTCTCTTTTGCCCATACCCACAACAGCAACATTAGCATCGCTCACAACAGCAATTCCCCCTCCAGTCATACCAACCATTCTGACCACACAAACGGATACTACAACTATTGAAGTTACTGAATCTGTTAAAACGTCGAGCACAGAATTTATTTCGACAACTACTGTTAACACTATTAGCACCACAGAAACAACCACTGCAACTGCAACTGGCACAGTTACAGTCATTGATACTACCATGGTAAGCTCCGTTATTGGTGTCACATCCATGGACGTAGCAACCTCGACCACATTTACAACAACAACGTTTAGCGACACCATATTATTCACAGCAACAGTGACAGATACGGTGACTGCTCCAATCATCAACACTGTAAATCCCCAGGGCAACAACATTAACATTGACCTTAATGCAGGTCAGGAAAATGCCGCTACTGTTACGTTCACAACCACCAAAACTGTATCCTCGGTTTCAACTATTACTGATACATCAGTGCTGTCTCTAACAACCACATTAATTTTATCTGACTCTAATATTCCTCAGCAAGCTGCCATAGGTGTTCTTCCTGCAAGCACCATTACTTCAGCAGATATCAACACGGTTACAGTCACCACAGAATCCACATATTTGATTACCTCCCTCTATACTGTCACTTATCTTCCCTCCATAACCAGACTTGATATTGTCCAAACAACTGTATCTGGGGTCACAACTGTCACACAGACTGTTCCAAGCATGTACATGGTCACAGTAACCCAGACAGTCACTAGTAAAAATGAGCTTGACCCTCTGGACACTTCTTCCGAGCTCAGACCTATTGCAGCGGTGGCTGCTAGTGACTCTAACGTGAAAAATGTTGCTGCCAATAATGTAAAAAAATTTAAAATGTCTGCTGGTCTTATTGCAGGTCTTTCTATTTTGGCTCTTGTACTCTTAGCTGGGCTGTGGTATTTTTTCTTTTACAAGGGAAAGCGCGATAGCCAGACTGACGGATACACCAACCAGCAGCCTGGAGGTCTGTCGCGAGTGCGCAGATGGTTATATAACAGTGACAAAAGTTATTCTCCCGGTCACATGGCCCAAATTCATTAAATATAATGGGGGTATAAGTTAAATTGATGAGTCTCTTTTGCATTAAACCTTTTTATTTATTTATTAATATAGGCAATTTCTCTACTCAATTTTCAATGCAAAACCAGTTTTCTAATTTGCAAGTAGGCTAGTAAAGTGTATTGAAACTCAATTACTTGTACTATATTGCTATGCAGCCCAAGGATATGGAAGTGGATGTCGAGGTTGAGAATCGTGAAACAAGCTTCCATCTGCATGCCGATTGATAGGGCACTAGTTGGATTATGCAGGAGTAAATTAGGGAGGAATAATTATGATGCCCAGATATGCTCCCTATTTTGCAATGTACACATACGAGCGCACATATGCAAAAACCACAACACTGACCTGCCAAGATACTGGGGTGTTTGCAGAAGAACCAGTTCTCGCTAACAGAGTGCACAACTGGCAAAGTGCACAACACAGGCAACGAGATACATATATAAGACGAGGCCAACGCTAGTAGTACTTTAGAAACATTAGTAATAAAACCATTTATAGATTATCCCCCTACTTTTCTAACACTACTACCATATTGCTCCTCACACCACCCCCTCTTATGACAACCTAAATATAAAAATAAAATGTGCATAAAACACAATCATGTACCCTGGGTATATCAGACCAGTATTTTTGTGGTTATTGGTTATTGGTTGATGGCGATCAACTGATTAACCAGTCTTGGCTGTTTAGCCACACAAACAATAAGTCACACAGTGACCAGAGCAATATGCTCTCTTCTCTTCACCTCACAGTGCATAGCACTTGTTATTAAATAAACTTCATAGCATTATACTTTATCTACACGTTCATAGAACGTTCCCTATATTCCAACATTGGTGCAATCGATAAAATACTTATTCAGGAGGGTTAACTATGTTTTTAAAGTTGAAACGTCTTAAATAATATTCTGTAAAACTTTTAATGCATACTCACGTTTATCGTCTTTAAACAAACTACAACACCGTTACCATAGTTGTATTTAAATATATTCTCTTTATCTAAGTAGATAATTATTTTTTTGGCTGCCATCAGTATATAAAATGGTATATTCGGTGCCAATGTCCTTAATTACAAAATTAAAATTTTATTTGTGTATCTACAATCAGGCATCACGTATATATACTTTGCACCATTTAGATTATCAATTTTTATATATGCATTTTTAATATAAAATTAGGTTTCTATCGACTCAATTTTTGGAGTAGTTATAGCATCTGTAAAACCAAGTAATAAACTAGTTGTTAGCGTAATCAATGAACAGGTGTTGTTAATAAAAAATAGTTGAGGAAAGGATGACAATTGGCCTCTTTATACAAAAATCTATGAAATCTATTATAATGTAAGGATAGTTGATTTTTTTAATTGAAATCCTTACTTTACTATTGCGCAGCATGTTTTGTTTTTGTTTCTTTATACGCAATTGTTTTTGTCCAATCATTTGCCAATGTCAATTTTTAATTATGAATATGACAATTTGTTTGTCACAATATAAATATATTTCGCTCTCAAAATTAATTAATTAATTAAATTAAATAAAATAACATAGTGACTAATAAATAAATACTACCAGGCAATTCGTGCCACTATGCTGGATGGACAGGTACGCACAACAAGCTTGCGCAGCTCGTCCATGCACAAGATAAAGAGTGCAAATGGAATAGGAATAAAGAAGAATGGTAAAGGGATGTGCGCCGTGCCAAAGATGCGGTTAAACCAGCCGACATAGCAAAACAAAAACACCACGCCCAATGTAAAAGGAATGGCGGCCAAAAGCCTGAGATTGCGAGTTGGCCCCCACAAGGGGTTCTGCTGGAAAACGCTCAGCCGCCGAGTGCGAGTGGCAAACATATTGCCCCACTGCAATATAACCAATGTCAAAAAATATATTGACTGCCCGGTGCGAAGCAGCAAGTTGAGTGTGGCCTGATCCTTGCCGTGAAAATCGCCCAGAGTCCACTTGTTAAATGCCAAAAACAAATCCCCAGGTGTAAAGCCGCCATGCCAGTACATGAACACAAAGAAAATTATGTGCGCAGACACCGCCTCAAGAATACCAATAAATCCAAATGCCTGACCAAAAAACTTGAGGTCAACTAGATGCTCCCTCTTGGGATTGCGCGGCGCACGAAGCATAATATCAGACTCGGAAGACTCGTACATCAGCGAGATGCTGGCCCAGACGTCTGTGAACATGCAAATAATAATCATGAATATGACAGACAGAGGGAGCGGCACACCCAGAAGCATGTTTAAAAGCATCGGAATAAGTTCAGAGAACGAGCCTGCGGGCATGAGATAAATGAGCACCTTCTTTAGATTCTCAAACACCAGGCGTCCGTTCTCAATAGCGACAATAATAGAGGCAAAGTTGTTGTCCAGAAGCACCATATCGGCGGCCTCCTTGGCTACCTCTGAGCCACCGCCCATAGCCACGCCGATATGTGCTGCCCTGAGCGCGGGTGAGTCGTTTACTCCGTCACCAGTCACTGCAACATAAAACTCGCGTCTGCGCAGCTCTTGCACAATGCGCAGTTTTTGCTCGGGCGTTGTGCGTGCAAACACAATCTCGCCGTAAGCGCAGATGATGTCCCAGTGCTCATTTTGCAAACTGCTGAACTCGCTTCCAGACAATACCAGACTACTGACTTTATCCTCATGGCGCGTGATTGCTGACACCAGCGACGAACTGTCTTCATCTAGCTGCAACATATTGTTCGCGGCACTGACAAATGTATTCTGCGCACACTTTAGCAATCCAGCATGCACGTCCTCAATAGTGTCCACTTTATCGTTGGTAATTATGTGACACTGGCGAGCAATGGCTGTGGCCGTCAGCGCAAAGTCACCAGTAACCATAAACACGCGAATGCCAGCCCGGCGGCACGTGTCAACAACATGCGGTATTTCCTTGCGGGGCGGGTCTTCGATGCTCACAAGGCCGACGACGCACAGGTTGCAGTTGTGAATAAAAACCACTCGCTCAAGCTCTGCCTGGTCATCCTCGAGTCCAGCAAAGGGGTTGGTGTCCGGAAACTCACGTCGACACAGGATCAGTACCCGCTGTCCTAGTCCCGACCACTGGTGCTGCAGACCTTGCAGTCGCTCTATGTTTTCCGTGTTGAGTGGGTGAATCTGGCCGCTGGAATCCTGAACAGTCGAGCAGCGTGGAAGGAGCACGTCGGGTGCGCCCTTGACCAGCAGTAGTGGCGGCGGTTGCGGCAACGACACGCTGTTGCTGGCCACAACTTTCTGCCGCAGTGAGAGCATCCACTTGTTTTTTGAGTTGAAAGGCACCTCAAACAACTTGCAATACTCGCCACACAGCTGGCTGACCGGACATATATTCTCGGCAAAGCGCAGGATAGAGGAGTCAGTCGCGTCGCCAATGATGCTGCGCTCGTCAATGGGCAGGCCGATTGTCGCCGGGTCAAAGGAAGCGCTGTTGCAAAGGGCGGCCGTTTCGTAAAGGCGCTGAGCCGCGGTAAAGCCTTTGCCGCTGGCACACTGTTGTCTGAGCGCGTCGGGCGTAAAAACTGCGTCTAGAAACCCAGCGTTGACAACAGACATGCGGTTGCAAGTCAGAGTCCCAGTCTTGTCCGAGCAGATGACGTTGACTGACCCGAGCGTCTCGACCGTTGTCAAGTTCTTGACCAAAACATTCTGATTCTGCATGCGCTTGGCAATGAGGGTCAGGGTGAGCGTGAGGCAGATGGGCAGGCCTTCAGGAACAAAAGCCACAATAACGCCGGCGCTGTTGACCAGTGCGTCAGAAATTAAAAGAAAATTCGGAAAGCTCTTTTGCAGCCACACAGCCCAAATGATGATTAGCGTGACGCCTATCAGCAGCGATAGAATGGCGACGATGGTAACAAAGCGTGTAATCTCGATTTGCAGCAGAGTCCGCTCAGTTTTCTTGCTTGCAGTCATGCGTGCAATGCGGCCCATGACGGTGCTGTTGCCAGTGGCAACCACAATGCCAATGCCAGAGCCTGCGTGATGTGCGTGCCCATGACGGCAATGTTTCGGGTCTCCAAATAGTTTTCATCCGTATAGTTGACCGTGGCCACGATAGCGTCGGACTCGCCAGTTAGCATTGACCGGTCAAAGCGCAGATCGCAAGTAACCTCAATAAGGCGCAGGTCAGCAGGTACCTTGTCTCCGCCGCGAACGCGAACAATATCGCCCTGAACAAGCTCGCCAGCAACAATTTTGACAAGTTCGCCATTGCGAATGACCATAGTCTCAGTGGGAAGCATACTGGTAATTGACGCCATCACTCGAGACGTAGTCCACTCCTGCCACGCGCTGAATGATGCCTGCAGTGCAATGACAATAAAAATTGCAATACCAAGAGCAAGGTACTGCGGGTTGGAGGGCTTGCCCAGCGGTTTCCACGAAATCCACACACATATAGATGCAATCCAGAGCAAGGGGCAAAAGCCACTAAACAGCCATTCAAAAATCTTCAGGAAAATGCGGTTTGGCGGGCTGCTGAGCGTATTGGGGCCGTCGCGCTCGCGCCTGCGCTTGACTGCTGGGTCCTCGAGCCCCTGAATCGGGCTAGTGCCAAATTTTGCCAGAGTTTGGTTGACGGTATCCAGGTGGAACTTCAGCGAGCTCAGCTCATCAGCATTTGAATTAAGCTTGTTTTGCTGGTCGTCGTAGTCGGCCTGGTGCTGGGCATGTGCGCTATGGATGTGCAGCTTGCAGTACAGCCATGTTTGACACTTTGAAAAAAGAGCTTGGCTTGCAGTAGGGCGCTGGTAGCGGCTCTGGTTCTGTCTACTCATTTGGACGCTAAGAGTGCGGTACTCGACAGTTAGCTTGCGCTCGAGTCTAAGCGCGGGGCTATTGCAATTGGCAGTTGGGGTCGCAGTTGCGTTTGCAGGCTCGTCGACAATTTGGATCTCCATTTGTAAGGGGACAGGTAAAAGTGGTTGAAACAAAAATAGTTGATACAATTTGGGTTCAGCTAAAAAAAAGGTCAATGTTTGAAAAAGATGAAGGCAAGACGAGTAAATATTAGAGTTGAAGTTGATGATTCCAGTTATTCTGCGGGAGAGATGTGTGAGCCTTATATTGGGCCGAACGGGGGCTGTTGCTGAGAAACTTTGTAGAAACGTAAATGTGGATGCAGGCTCGGGTGCGGGTGCTCCCCACCTTCCATTAGCCGAGCGCGCGCGTGTGGTTAGTTACATTGTTATTTCTAGTTGCGCATAAATTGAAGCCAAAAGTCCTTGTGGATGTCTTTTACTAAGTTCTCTATATTTGGAAAGCTTTGTTTGCTGAAATTTTAGTTTCTGGTTATTTCCAATTTTTAAATTGAAAGGGGAGGTGCTTGCGCTTGGTAAATCGACTCGCACTATCAGTTAAAAAAAACCTCTTTCATCGAATGATGGCGTCAAAAAAGTTTGAATATGAGCTTCGGGCACTTGAAATTGTGTTTCATGTTTTTATTCATCATCTTTAATCCGGACAATTGTAGCAAGCGAGGGCGCAGCAGGGGGTCACGGTTATTTATTTGAAACAAGGGGGGAGGTACAAGCCGTAGCCCCGAAATAAAATGAAAGCATTCATTATTTGGATGATGGGATTGTTTGCGCCAAATATTGAAAAGTGATTGGCTGAAAAAATGACACCACAATGAAAAAGGGGGATGGAGAAGTAATACATTTCTCCATTTTTTGTCTGCCTGAAAATAAAAATAATCCATTTTGGAGGAAAGGTAAATTTTTTTGATTTAGTGCCTAAAAAATAAAGTTTCTCTCCATTTCCCGAATTAAAATAATAAAATTTCCATTGAACAATTCCACAGAGCGCTTCCATACAAAATTCCGGGGTTCAAATATTTTAGTTTGGGGGTTTTTGGGGGGTTTATTTATTGGAAATGCTATAAAAATACTATAAAATGGCTGGTATTCAGCGCGCCCTGTGCCCACGCCTATTCCTCAGCACCATTGCAGGCTGGAAATAGCAGGGGATCAGGGCGCTGGCCTTTGGGCTTTTTAGGCGCTCAATCCGGTACTGGTGCCAGTGTCAGTGCCGGTGATTTCTCTTGACTGTATGCTGATGCTGGTGCTGGTGAAGGAAAGCGTAATAGCTAGCTTCAAATAACGAGAGCTTGAAATAGAATAACTGGCAAATCAGATACGCAAGCAAATAAAGGTGCCTAGCCCAGAGAGCGAGAAGATAAAAATATTGGTTGATGGCGATCAACTGATTAACCAGTCTTGGCTGTTTAGCCACACAAACAATAAGTCACACAGTGACCAAAGCAATATGCTTTCTACTATTAACCTTTCACAGTGCATATCACTTTAGTTATTAAATATACTTTATCTACACGTTCATAGAATGTTCCTATATTCCAACAAACAAGATGATTACAAAGCGAGAAGGAAAATGAAAGAACTACATTGCGGCATAGCTAACATGACATAGCAAGAATAGGAGAGTGAGAACATTAAAGCAAAAGAGCAAGTTGCTGCCATAGTGGGAGCATGAGCTTGAAACGAGGGTCATTCATAAATAGCGCATATAAGGCATTAAATAGAAAAATATGATCAAGTTCACAATAAGCAGCTTTGTTAGTGTTGCTTATAGTGACATGTGAGTATTGCCATTAGGCAGGTTGCCATTGGTATGAATGAGCATACAAACAAGAATGAAAACAAACCTATTATTATTGGCGCTGAGTGCTTAAATAACACTTGTTAAAATAGAAAATGAAAATTTAAGATAAAGAGAAAGATAATATAGAGTGAAGCATTTTTATCACTCATATCGCAGTTAAAATGCTTAGTTGAATTTTATAAAAAAATGCTTTATTTTCTCACGCGTGGCCTGTTGATTTGATTTAAGTTGATATGAAAAGTACATGTACACATATTTACCCTACAAAATACTGCTAACATTTTGTGCATTCAGCGCGATCAAAAATATGCATTTGTATTGGTCAATCATAATCAACCAATTAACCAATATTGGTTGCTTAGCCAGAAAAAATTCAATTTATAGTCACACAGTGATACACACCGCATAATTGTACTCTCTCACCTCTCCAGTGCATATCACTCATAGTACACACTTTATTAAGTACATAGTATTGTATTATTTACATCCCATTCATAGAACGTACATATTTTAACACTTGTTCTAATAAAAATTTTCAAAGTTGAACGTGTCATGCAGCACAAAATACATTTATTAGGTACGTTTCAATTTAAATTATCTATTTGCATATATTTTTGACTACGATCACAAAATTTCTATATTCAACTTTAATACTTTATTTTTATGTTTGTCAGTCAGCCATGGCCAAAAATTTACTAGTCTAGTTCCCAGCTCACACCTCAACCAGACATGATTGACCTTATGCTTAGTGTTATGTTAAAAATATATATTTGAACAAAATGAACTAAAAGAAAGTTAAGGAATGAACAGCCTCCACTGTTTATATTCATTATTATTTATATGTGCATATGAATTCCCACATATCCAAGTAGGTAATTAATTAGCGATTGATTAATGAATCAATCGCCGGAGACAAGCCGCATTTCCTTGTATCACAATTAGGGTAGACCTTCGTGATTCTTTTGAGCGCAATACAAATAATATATTTTGCGAATTCTTACTGAAGTGCAGTGGGCTCGAGCTCCCATGCAAAAGGAAGGTTTCTTTGGGTTTCAGCAAATCGGCGTCAAGACGTGGGATGCAGATTCCAGTCAGGACATTTGACAATGTGTTTGGCAGCACCACCAACATTGCTGATACTACCAATACTGTCAACACTGCTGACTCCACCAATACCACCGACACCACAGACACTGCTGACATTGCTGATTCCCAGCTGGATAACTAGTATGTTTTGGATATCTTTATTGAAGAGGACGAATATTTGAACAACAGCAGCACCAGTACCTGTCACGAGCGATTCAATGTAGCCTTCCAGGGCACACAATATTGTCTATATAAAACATTGAATTCGACTTACAAAAAGCAGGGGCCGATATTATCGAGCTAATATCTATATAGCTAATAAAAATACTCAAAACCACATGGAGGGGGGGGCAAAAAATCAGCCATTTTCGATGGATAAATGGAGCTTTCCACCATTTTGCAGGGTTTGGGAGAAATTTTTATTATGGTTCCATTCAAGAGATTGTTGACGGGTCTGTTTTGGTGGACACCAGTCAACGGGACATGATGTACTGCATATGGTACAATAGTCATAAACAAAAAGGGTAAAGGAAAACCCCTTTGTTTAACTCGAAGTTGGCTAGCCCATTCCCGTCATGAGCATTTCTTTTGTCAGATCTACAAGGGCGCAAAAAAAGTCTTCAAGCCCGATCCTGCAAAGCTCGCCAAGGCCAGGGAAAATTTATGGCACACATCTGTTGAGGATGCCGAGCGCGCGTCCAACCACCCTGGCTCCAGTACACTTAATTTTAAGTTGTACATTGCGTACCTCCTCGAGCGGCACAAGGGAAAGTTTGTCCTGAGTGAGCACTACCACAACACGCAGACCCTTGGCAAGAGCCGCAAGTATGATGGCAGTAGGTAAACTCACCCCTTCCACAACAAGCTCTGGTATTTTTTGAGATGACTAGATTCCAATTGTTGGAATATAGGAACGTCCTATGAACGTGTAGATAAAGTATATTTAATAAATAAGTGCTATGCACTGTGAAAGGTAAAGAGTAGAAAGCATATTGCTTTGGTCACTGTATTGACTTATTGTTTGTGTTGCTAAACAGCCAAGACTGGTTAATCAGTTGATCGCCATCAACCAATACCAATGTATATAAATATATCTTAATTCCTAAGCTAACTAAAGAAGTCTTGTCGCGTTCGTGAGTGATTATTATACCTATGCGCAAAACAACAACAATACCTTGACGGGGTGGTGATTGGTCGCCTGCAATGATCACGCGATGTGACCCTATTTTTGACATCACATTTTTCCTTTGTCAACAGAAAGTGCGCCAATGTCGAACTCGCAAAATCTATGCGCGCAAAATTTGGGTCGGATACTGTCCTTATCCTTGGCAATTGGACCCAGGTATGCCCCATCACTATGAGCCAATTTATGACAGGGGGTGCAGGAGATGCTAGTGGGCCAGTGATTCAAGGCTTACTTGATCGACGAGTATTGCACCTCGACATTTTCCCCAGCATGTGAGAGTAGGGTGGAAAAGTTTCACAAAATTAACAACCCGCGTCTAAAGAATCTCAAGCACAAGCACCACATTACAATGGCCGCAGCAGCATCCAATTACGTTGCAGCCACAACCACTGCCACCAGTGATTTTGTTGTTGCAGCAGTCACCATTGTTTCTGTCGCAACCGCAACTGCCGTTGTCACCACATCTTTTACAGACATTGTGCAGCAGGGTTGCAACCAGTGGATACTTATTCACCCACAGGCTGCCGATATCATTCGGTGCATAGGCGAGGAAAAGGGCTGGTCTAAGCGCAAGATTTCCCGCAAGGTGAAGCAGCAGCTGTGGAATGAGCTGGCTGAGCAGAATTGGGAACAACAGATTCATATCTAGCTTGTTGATAATATCAAGCAGATTGTCAGGCTGAGTGACTGGTTGCAGGGTAAAATCAAACATAAAATTGGACAGAGGATGCACGATGAGTTGGCCGCGCAGCAGCAGCAGGTGGCCACAACAGGCGTGAATATGATCCTGGTGGTAAAATAACCACCCCAGGTTTTATGCCACGGCTTGCTCCAGTGCACAATGGAAGACTTTCTGCAAACCTTTAGGGTTGACGGAACACGGGTTGAGGATGGCGAAAAAGTGTCATCAGGCAGACGGAAGTGGAACCATGACACAGCTGCTGTGCTAAACTTTTGCATCATTATTAATACCCTGCTTACAGGTAATCGTCCTCCCCGTTTTCACACAAAAAGGCATGGTCAGAGTCAGCAGAATCTGAGTGAGTCTACAGCGACGCCCAAGATGTTGCCCGAGATATCGCCCGAGATATTGCCCAAGACAAAGTCCAAGCCCAAGCACATGCGCAAGGATCACTGTGCCCCTGCTTCACTTCACAAGAAGCAGCGTGATGATTAATATCTTTAAACATAGTGGGTTATTGCCTCTAATTTCTAACCACGTGCCAGGTTGCTATGGAATTAGGATGGAAAAGATGTCGATTTGCAGGATATTTGATTTTTTTATAGATATTTGTAGGCTCATTTCAGTGTAACAAGCTGTGTAAACATGCTTTATGTACCCATCCATCCAGCGCAGTAAGCATGATTGCCTATTAGTATTCTTTTAATATTCTTTTATTTTATTAGAACAGCATTGCTATTTTTTGCGTTTTAGTTTATTTTTAGGTTGCACATTGCGTTTAAAAAGGAAGCACGTTGGAAAATAATTGCTCTACAAAAAAGGGTGTAGCATCTATAAATAGAATTTTGGAAGAATAAGTACTCCTACCATGTTTAAAGAGTATTTTTATGTGACGAAGAGTACGCCAAAGTCATAAAGAGTACAAAGCAGCTTGTAAGTAAAGCTTGATAAACACAAGTTGTGCAATTAATCATTGCGGTTTACCATGCCAATAACTATTTAAATTTATAGTAGAAACACACCTTAGTTTTTGATATAAAAAGCAGACAAAATCCGCCAAAATTTACATTTACAAGACAACTTTATAATAAACAATAGATTTAGTATACAATGCAGCTTAAAAATACCAAAAACCAATCAGTGACTGTTAATACTTCCAACTACAAGAATTACCTGTACTATTTGCCAAATAATGATTACAGCGATAAATATGTGTTTAAATTTGTGACTGAATTATTTGGTACAGGGTATTCGATCAAATGCTTTAATGGAAGTGACTTTGTAACTTTGCATAATACAGAGCATTCAACTGTGTATTACGGTGATGAGGGCGAAGGTGTTTTGTTAGACTGTATAAACAAAATAAAGTGGTATACGAGTTTTATTTTGTCACATCAAGTTTCATTATTCAAAATAAGGCCAATAACATTCTGTATCTTCAAAATTAGAAGGGGTTATACTACAATTGTATAGATATAGACCCAATTGAATCTATGCTCGCATTAATAACCACATATTTACACAGGTAGTTTTGTTGTTTTATGTTTATCGCCCTTTTGTCGTTCATTATTTTAAATATAAACTGTGAACTTCAATCATAATATAATTGTAGAATTGGTGATATACTAAAAAGGGTATATATTAAACCAAAAAAACTAAAGAGTAACAACACGAACCACTCGTATTACTCTGCAATTTATATAGTCAGTATTGGTGCCCACATATCCGAATAAGAAAATCAACTGGTGATTGATACATTGGTGAATCACTGAGAGCAAGCCAGACTATAATTATGTCATAATTCCATTTTCTAAGCAACGTATAACAGCATATCAAAATTAGGTTTTTTATAGTAATTTATATGTAGGAGCCTCACGTAACTGCACAAATGAAGGTTATATTTATGTCATACTTAAAATATATTTAAATCATATTACCAAGTGTGGTGACAATCCGAATTAACGAATCTGATAAATCTTTATTCAAACTGAAACTAGAGAAAACCTTCTATTGAGAATTCCAAAATTTCCTTTTTATAGGCAATCCAAACAGACTAAATGCCAACTCGGCATTGATGTCGTTAAGCTCCCGTCTAAATAACTTGACCGAGCTTATATAGTAAGAATCACTAAACTAAGCCTAGTTGCGCTTTGAAACAATAACAACACAATCGCGCTCTGGGAACTTTGGCACGCAAGTAGTAGCAGTCACCCGCGGAATCAAAATCGGCAATCCGTCTTCATCGACCCTATCTGGCGTAAACAGCGAGTCCTCTGGAATCTCCAATTCGTACCTGTTGAATACATTGGCCAGGGTCGACTGGATTTCCATCCACGCCAGATTCTTTCCCGGACACACTCTAACGCCAGTACTAAAAGTCAACACCAGTCTTTTGTTGGACTCGTTGTCCAGGAACCGCTCAGGGTAAAACTCGTAAGATCTTTCCCACACCTCAGGATTAGTGTTGGCTCCGGCAATGCTGATGGAGCAGTTATACTCTTCGGGAATAAAGTGGCCATGTAGGGTTGCACCACCAGGGGGAATAAACCGGGGCATGCTTGTGGCCACTGGAACCAGTCGCAGTGATTCATAGATGCACGCTTCTAGAAGTGGAAGGCTGGCCTTGGCCTCACTGTAGTTAATTATGTGATCGCGGTCAAATGCCGCACGCACTTCCCCGACTACTCGAGAATAATACTGCGGATGCATGAGGAGCAAGTGGATGGTCCACACGATTGTGTTGGAGCTGGTATCTGAGCCAGCCAACAAGCTAATTATTGTCTCGGTAACCACCTGGCTGGACGTCATTCGGATGCGCGACTCGGGATCCTCAGCATCAATGTACGACTGCAGCAAATCCTTGGGTTGTCCTCGTCAGGGTGCAGGCCGGTCAGCAGCCTTTTGCGCTCGCTGACAGCCTTGGTACACAAAGCGTAGAACGCGTCAAATTTGCTGTAGAGGGATTTAGCGAGAAATTTGCGGAAAATTGTGTGTTTAAATACAGGAACGATGGCCTGCATGAACATCAGCACAAAGGTGCCATGCACCCACTTGGAAATCTGCGTATCCCCTGATGTCAACGACCTATGTGTTTGTCCAAAGCCCAGCGTACTGATAATATCAAAGGTCATGAGCATGAAATCGACATGGTAGCATATTCTGGCTCTTTGTTTATCCGCAGATTTCTCAATATCCCGGTCCCACTTGCTGAACAACTGCTTGGTTCCGGCGTCCAAAAGAATAGGTTCCATCCGCTTCAAGTTTGCCAAGCTCATTGACGGTCCCATCTGTCTGCGGCGCTGCTTGTTTAATTCGGGGTCGACGGTCAAAAACATGTTTGGTTCCATGATCTCAATGTTGCTGTAGCGCTTGTTCTTCAAAAAGGCGTGTGTTCCTAGGACCATGTGTATATCCTTGGGGTCGCAGATAGCCACTCTGCGCGGGCTGATGATGAAGATTCCGCCGTATGTTTTGTTGAGTTGTTTAATTAGTTCGGGCTCTGTACCGCGCAAGTCGTAGATGAATAGAGGCATGGCGGAGATTCGTGCCCAAAAGGGTCCTGGGACGTTGCGCAGCGGAGAGAAATAAAGGGCATAGATTATTTTCCAGGAAAAGTAGGCAACGAGCCCGCAAACAATACTGAGTGGTTGGAGTAAGCTTAACAGAGTGTCCGCCAAAAATGGAGGAACAATACTAATCATCATCCTTGTTTTTTTTTTGTTTGAAATATGATATATATATATATAGAAATATAGGGGGAAATGATATTAGAGATTAGAGATTAGAAACGAATACGGGCTCGAGAAAAAAAACATAAAAGTCATGAGCGGAAAATTAGAGCAAAAATGCGAATTTTTATGCGTGTATTACCCAATAGCATAGGCGGTGGAGTATGCGTCTTAATTGATCCTTTTGATAGATCGGATTAAATTCGGCATTATGCTGTCAATAATCTAACCAAAAACTAATATTTTCCACACATATGAATAATAAATAAATAATAGTAGTATTTTATTGTAGTTAAACGATAGCCTTATTTATATCTCTATTCAGATCACTGCTTCCACCATCTATGGTGGCAATATCATTATAATTATCCTGATCCTGTTTTTCCTCCTCCTCTTCAATATTATTATCGTCTTTGCCGCTATCTGTATCCTCAAGCAGCCCCCCCATCACTAACATCCTCATCCTCGTCCTCGTCCTCCTCGCCATCGTTGTCGTCGTCACTCGACTCTTCCTCAGCCAGCCTGACTCTCTCCTCTCCACTCGCAACTAGCAAGTCCCTGGGAGTCACGACCGCGCTCTCAAACAAATGCCAATGTGCCGGCACCTCCAATTTCCTCTCCCCCACACTCACTGCGCCACCTTCCTCCTTAACCTTTACGGGCACAGCCACACACCTCCCCTTCTCCTCCGCCACCGGACACCTTCGATTATCCATAAACTCCTTGCTCCCAGTACTCCCCCCCGGTATCTTCTCGTGTCTCAACTCCCATCCGCATTCCCGCGCCAAAAACGCAACAATATCGTCGGCGTCGCCGAGTAACTGAACGTCAAAGTTCAAATGCAAAATGGGGGTTTTGTTTATTACCACCTGGGGGATATTATGCGGCAAGTGGCTCATTATATCCGAGACCGGGGCGACTTTGAGACTGCTGCCCATGACTAGGAGGAGATCTACTTGGTCGCGGTCCTCTAGGAGGGCTTCATCGAATTGGTCGGGGAGCTTCTCGCCGAAAAAGGTTATGTCTGGTTTCATTATCCCACGCACAACTCCATAGTCCATATCATCCTCGTCGTCGTCATCTTCGTCGTCCTTGAAAGAGGCATAGGCGCCGGTTCCGCTGGCCACGGCAAGTCCGCCGGCAGGCACGTTGGGTTGAGAAACCGGTTCGCTTGGTCCGTCCTTACATTGCGGGCAAAAGGCGATCCGCATAGCCATAATATCCTCCTCCAAGTCCTTCCCATCACACGCATACCCACATTTAATACACGTAGCAGTAGCAAACGACCCATGACAATTCAGCACCCTGCTAATCCCCTGAACATGCTCCAGGGTATCGATGTTCTGCGTATAGTTCCTCAACAACCTCCCCTCATCCTCCAACAACTTGACAAACGCGTGGGTGGGCGCCGGAGTAAAATTATAAGGGTAGAGCTCTTTGGCAAAGGAGTAGAAGAGCTCGGGAGTTTCGCGGAAATACTCAATATCAAACATCTGCTGTGGGTCATCCAGCCCAAACTCATCATTCAACCGTGTGTATATTCCAGTGGGCGAGCGGAAATCCGGAATCCCACAGGACACACTAACACCTGCGCCGGTCAGCACCATAATTTTTCGAGCACCTTGCAAAAGCTCCACGACATCCTGCACGGAATTAATCCCGCTCAGCTTAGGTCTATGTCGGTAGAACCGCACCATCTGGTTGCGCAGTAAGGGCAACAGTTGAAAATCCGGCACGGAAGATATCAGCGCAAATGGCGCGCCAAAGACCTCGAGGAGGGCGCGTAGGGAGACGCCGCGGCCGATGTATTCGTCCAGAAAAGTGCTGAGACCTAGGGTGCGCGCCTCAGAGCGCATTATTTCCATCTCCTCTGCGGTGAACCGAGTGTAGGGGGCGGTGGCGGTGCCCAAATCCATATTGGTGGTGTTGAGCGGCGAGGGCGCGCAGCTGCTGTCGACGTTGACGTCTTGGCCAAAATCACCGTCGTCCGAATCGTCCGAGTCGTCAGAGGCTCCAGAATCTGCAGGGTTGTTGCCTTGGGTGGCTTGGGCAGTTGGTTCAATTAGCTCAAAGCGATGGCGCTTTGTAGACGCTGGTGCTGGTGCTGGTGCTGTTGCTACTACTATGGCTGGTGCAATTGTGGTGGTAGTGGTGGTGGAATTGGTGTCGTGCAGGTTGTCCTCTGTGGGTTCGGGTTCCGAAAGAGAATCGTTTCTGCCTCGGCGCTTCATACTGGCCGGCCGTGGACCTTGTTGTGCGGCAGCGGGCGGCGTTGGCTCCGAATTGAGAGTAAAGTCGACGTTGTGGGCCATGGTAGAGCAATCTTGCAAGGTGTATAAAAATAGTGAAAAAAGATAAATGAATGAAAAAAATGAAAATAAGTGATTTTTTAATATTTTCTTTTCCGCATTTTAGAAGAAAAAAGTTGGATCGACAAAAAAAAGGATTGTATTTTACTTTCACATAGTAAAAAAAGGAGTTTAGCTTGGCACGGTCGACGCGTTTTGAGCAAACAGAATGTCGGAAACAAAGCGCATCATGTAATCATCCACATGGCCCACACCATCCTCCTCATCATAGTTGTTGTCGTTGTCGTTGTCCTTGTCATTATCGTTGTTGCCAGCGTTGCCAGTGCTGCCAGTGCTGCCAGCGTTGCCAGCGTTGCCAGCGTTGCCATCAGCCGTGGTGTCTGCAAGGCCACCATTGCCACCGGGAGCATTAGGGGCATTGTTGGCAGTGGGCAGCAGCTCGTCAACTTCCCCAAGATCCAGGGCATCTGCCTGGGCAACCTCCGCAATGGCGACCTTGAGCGCCGCTGCGTCAACCTCGTCCTCGGCAGCCGCAAGCATGCCCAGGCCGTCACGCTCCGACGCCGCCGACGCAGCCGCCGCCGCGCGCACAGCCCCAGGAGCAGCCGAAACAGCCCCGTTGGATTCGGCCAGCATGGATCCGGCGAGATCGTACCAGTCACTCACGCCCAACGGCGCTGGGCCCGCGCCCGCCATTGCACCCGGTGGCTGGGCCGTCGACTGGCCACTGAAATTGCCGTCCTGGATGACCACCTGGTTCAGCCACCGCTTTTCACACTGCTTGCGCCAAATGGCCTCCTCCACCGTGCGGTCGCTGATCAAGCGGTAGATGCGCACCTCCCGCTGCTGGCCAATCCGATGGCAGCGGTCCTGGCACTGCGCGTCCATAGCGTGGTTCCAGTCACTGTCGTAGAACACCACAGTGTCGGCGCCGGTCAGGTTGATGCCCAGCCCTCCGGCGCGCGTCGACGAGATGAACACCGACCAGCGGCGCTCATGGTTGAAGCGCTCGGTCAGGCGCCACCGCTGCTCAACGCTCGTTGCGCCGTCCAAGCGCAGGTAGCGGTACGCGTGCAGATTCAGCCACTGCTCGAGAATATCCAGCACGCGCGTCATCTGCGTGAAAATCAACACGCGGTGGCCGTCGCGCACCAGCTGCGCCAGCAGCCGGTCCAGCGCCTGCAGCTTGCCGCAGTCGTACTGCAGCAGGAAGCGCTCGGGGAAGGCGATCTGCTGGCGCACCTGCACGGGCCGCAGCAGCCCGGTGTGCCGGTGGACGCGCCGCCGCACGTGCAGGATGTCCGGCCACGCGTCGCGCTGCGCCCACCTCGACCCCGAGTGCGCCAGCGGGGGTGCGCGCAGGTGCGCATGGACGGCCTCGCGCCCAGCCGGCGTGTTGCGCACAACGACCGGCGGCGTGACAAACACAAAGCGCTCGATCAGCGGCAGGCACCGCGCGACGCGCTCGGCCGCGCCCGACACCAGCCCGCCGACGGTGCCCAGCGGCCCGACGATGCGGCAGGCGGCCACGGCGTCCGCGCAGGCGCAGGCGGCCGGCCTGGGCGCGTGCGTGACGCGGCGCGCGTTGAGCCCCGCCAGGCGCGTCCACGCCGCGTGCCGGCGCTCAAGCTGCTGGCGCCGGCGCAGCGCACTGTGCGCGCGCGTGTATCGCGTCTGCACGGGCCGCAGCAGCAGCAGCGCGGCGTCCTCGCGCGTCGCGGCCAGCATCGCGTCGAGCACGGCGCGGGCGCCCTGTGCTGCGTGGCGCACCAGCGCCGGCGTCGCGTCCAGGCGGCGCGCTGCGGCCCAGGCGGCGGAGCTGGCGTGGGAAACGACGGGGGTGGACGGCGCGGCCGACCCGGCGCAGGAGGCCACGCAGGGCTTGGGGCCGAGCATGCGGCGCACCACGTCCTCGGTGCCCCTGAAGCCGGCGACCGGCGCGCCGTCCATGGCCCAGCTTGTCCTTATGGGCCGCGTCTCAAACAGGTCCGGGTGGTTGCACACCTTGCGCAGCTGCATCAGGCAGGCCATGACGCCCACGTACGACCCGCCGCGCAGCGTGTCACGTGTCTGCGCACGCGCCATGAAGTCGTCGTACAGGAAGCGCTGGCGCTTGGACAGCGCGCACCGCACGACGAACTCGGTCTTGCGCGGCAGCTGCGTCTCGACGTCGTGCTTGAGCCGCCGCAGGATGTGCGGCCGCAGCACCGCGTGCAGCCTGCGCACGGCGGAGAGGGCATCGGCGGAGAGGGCATCAGCGGAGTGCGGCTCTGCTGAGCCGGCCGAGCCGGCCGAGCCCGCGCCGCGCAGAAAGTCGGCTGTGTTGAGCCCAACCCCGCCCACCCGCCGCCAGGCGCCCCGGCCGCGGCCGCAGCCACAGGCACGGCCACGGCGGCAATCTCGGGGCGCGCGGCCAGCACCCGGTCCAGCGGCTGTGCAAACCACTCGCGGAAGCGGTCGAGCCCAGCAAAGCCATCGGCGCCGCCGCCGCCGCCCGCCCTCGCCCTCGTTTTCGTTGCGGCCGCCAAGCAGAAAATACATCAGCGACCACAGCTCCAGCAGGCTGTTCTGCAGGGGCGTGCCGGTCAGCAGCAGCCGGCTGCGGCGCGCAGCCCCAGCAGCGTCTGCCAGCGCTGGCTGCGGAAGTTCTTGATGGCCTGCGCCTCGTCCAGCACCAGGCAGTGCCAGGCGCGGCGCCGGAATACTGCGGCGTCCTGGATGGCCAGCTGGTACGATGTGATGCACACGTGGAATGCGTTGCGCCGGCTCCACCCGCGCCGCCGCTGCTGCCGCTCGGCGCGCGACCCAAAGTACGCCAGCACTTTGAAGCCCGGCAGCCACCGGTGGAACTCCTGCTGCCAGTTGAGCAGAACCGACGTCGGCACAATCACCAGGTGCGGCCCCCACACGCCGTGCGCGCACGCCAGGTGCGCCAGGAACGCGATCGTCTGGATCGTCTTGCCCAGCCCCATCTCGTCCGCCAAAATCCCGTTGGTTCCGTGCCGGTGCAGCGCCGCCAGCCACGCCACGCCCTGCGCTGGTAGGGCCGGAGCCGGCCGCGGAGGAGGGGAGCCTGAGCAACTCCAGTGCTGTTTTTTTGAACCAGGCGCTGGTGTTTCGGGCGCTGGTGTTTCGGGCGCTGGTGTTTCGGGCGCTGGTGTTTCGGGCTCGGAGCCAGATTCAGACTCAGACTCGGGCTCAGGCTCGGGCTCAGGCTCGGGGCTCCCGCTGTTTCGGACCCACTCCCTGCCCCGCGCATCAGCCGGTACTGCTCCAGCAGCTGCTCCATGGGCACGTCCTGGTCGCGCGCCAGCTCGTCGACCTCGCCCTCGCCCTCTGACTCCGTGTCTGTGCCCGCATCCGTTTCTGTGCCTGTGCCTGTGCCTGCGTCAGACCCACCAGACCCGGCGCCCTCGCTCTCCTCCTCATCGCTCTCCTGCTTCTGCTGCTCCGCCAGCATCCGCGTCGACCGCTGCACCATCTCAAACAGGCGGCCTTGCCCTCCCTCTCGCGCTGCTCTCTGCGCTCAGCCTCCCGCGTCTCAACAACGATGCCTTCAACAAACGCCCATCGCCGCATAACCTGCTGCACTGTCCACTTAGCCAGCCTCCTGCGGGCCTCGACCTCCACACGACCCATCTGATCACCAGTGCTGCCAGGCATGCGTTCCTCCGCCTGGCGTTCAATCTCGCGTCCGCGCCTCCGCAGCACTACGCGGTGGCAGCGCGCCTCAGTTGTGAGTTCGCGGTGGCGGTCGCTGATGTCCTGCAAACCTGGTCCCAGGCTGACCGCTGCCGTCGGGGCTCTGGGCATTTGGCTGCGGGCAGCGGCTGTGCCAGTGGCAGCAGTTGCGGTAGCAGCAGTGGCAGCCGGGTGGATGGTGGTTCTGGAAGTGCTCCGGTTGTGTCGCGCAGCATCCCGTGGAGCCGTAGCCCGGCGATCCGGTGCATTCTGCTGGCTGCTTCGTGCACCCACGCGGCGAGATCCGAAAGCATTAGCTATGTAGTCGATCCCGCTCGCGCTCCTTCTCCTTCTGCTCCCGATCTGCGTCCACAGTCACAGCCTCAGTCACAGCCTTAGCCATCGCCGCCGCTGTTCCTCTAACCGCAGCCAATGCCAAATTACCGCAACTGCTGCTGCTAGCAGTGGTAGTGCGCGGCAAATGACTGCTGAGCACAGAGTCATCGGGCAGCGTCACGAATGATTCCAAATACCGCGTAAACTCCCACTCCTTCTCCTTACTAACAGCAGCCCCAGCCGAGCAAACACCAATGGCCGAATCACATTAGCCGGTGGCACTGAAACCGGCTCTATTTTGGGTTGCTTTGATTTAACCGGCTTTCTGCCAATATGCGTGCATCCCAAGGGCGGTCTGCTCGGCGGTCTTCCGCGTTTCTTCCTCGCACTGCGAGGGATGGCGGTTTGGAGGCTGTTCTTCGTTATTGTTGTTAGTGTTGGTGTTTTCCTCTTCTTCTTCTTCGGCAGGAACTGGAATAGACTATCGAAAGCTTTTCTTTTTTGTGATGTGATGCTGTTGTTGCTGTTGTTGCTGTTGCTGTTGCTGTTGTTGCTGCTATTGTTGTTGCTGGGTTTGTGTAGGAGGTGCGCCGACCGGACTCCTGGTGGTCGCCCTCGCCGTCGCCCGCGTATATTGTGTCCTGCTCCTGCTCCTGTACTTTCCATTCACTCTATCGATGAAAAAAACAAAAAAAATAAATATGTATATAAAAATATATAAAAATGCAGCAATAATAAGAAGAGACTTTTCGCCAAAAAAAAGCAAAAAGAATTATCAAGAAAAAAAAACGACTTCAAATATTTTAATCTCTTTTTTATGTATGTTGCTGAAAATCGAATCAATGCATGAATGCAAAAACCACTGCAAAATGAAACCGTTTATTTTTTCTGTTGTCCCTCACCCTAAACCCAAATGTGCTTTTTTGTTGCTTTATTGGGGGATGGGAAGAGCTATTTCCAGTTCCAAAAATCCGTTTCAAAAACAGATCCAAGTGCTGCAGGGCCACAAAAAGTTCAACATTAAAATAACACCCATGCATTCAACAGAGGGTGTGATAACAGTACTAAAAAGAAAAAGAATGATAAAGATGAATGATCTAAACGAAGAAGAAAAAGAAGAAAACGTAAAAGCTCAGCATGCGCAGTCGCTGCTCTGTGTATTCCCAGACTGTCCAGGCGCCAAGTTCACTGCCGGCGGGCCACTGCTTCTCACCGGCTCCACTCTCGGAACCTTCCTAGCGAGGTCCAAAAACAGCCTCTCTACATTCTCCCCACTCTGCGCCGACGTTTCAAAAAAAACAGCCCACCAGCCGCCGCATACGCCTCGCCCTCCTTGGTATCCACAGCCCTCCTCTCCGCCGCCAAATCTGCCTTATTCCCGGCCAACGCAATGACAATCCCAGCTCCCGCCTGTCTCTGCAACTCCTGCACCCAAGCCTTCGCCTTCCCAAAAGATTCCCTCTGCGTAATATCATATACCACTACGGCAGCTGCCGCATTCCGGTAATACATCGGCGCAAGACTCTTGTACCGCTCTTGACCTGCTGTGTCCCAGATATGCAGGTTCGCTGTGATATTGTCATCCAGTGCACTTCCTTTGTTAGGAAGGCTGCTCCGATTGTGCTTTCCTTGTATTGGTCGAAATGATTGCGTGCGAACCGTGTCACTAGGCTGGACTTTCCCACTGCAGACTCGCCCAGGAGAACCACCTTGAAAGTGAACTGCTTGGGCTTGGTCACACCGCCTGCACTGGCAGAGGGCTGTTTCGCTTGCTGTTGTTGTCCGACCATTTGATTATGAATAAGGAAAAAAATGATAATAGGATTTGTGTGGAATGTATAAATATTGAAGGAAAATAACTGTGTATGTGTGTGTATAAATGTAAACGCGCGGATTGAAATACTATTATTATTTTTCAAAAAGAAAAAGTAAAAAGTAAAAAGTAAAAAAAGAGGGCGTGGGGAGGAAGGAAAAGTCACAAAGACGGAATTGTTTTCCCTTGTTTTTTTTTTTGCTACTTTGCTTTGATATGGTCGAGCCAAAACGCAATAAAACATTGAAATTACACTGGAAGCAGCTGACACAAAAAAATAACAACCTCTGACGTTTTGCTTTACATTTTTGTACGTGTAAATTAAACTGTCGTGTGATTCCATTCCAGCAACTGATCAATCGATCAACTGCAAATAACTTTGTGAATAATTGCGCAGCACAACAACAAGGCAAAATAAGCAGAATTACAAAACACCAGCATTCACTCTTTTTATTTTTTTCTCGACTTTCTTAATTCACAATTTTCAATCCAATTCACAATTTTCTTGTTTCTGTACATAATAAAAAAGCCAAATGAGCGGCGCAATGAACAAGCAAAGTGCCGCGCGCAAAATGACCGAGCTCCTAAAGCTCCAAACCGACCTCCCCCCAGGCATAACCTGCACGCCCATCGGCGACAGCATCGACCACTACACTGCGCGCATCGCGGGCCACCCGAAACCCCCTACGAAGCGGGCCAATTCCATATCACCATTTCTCTTCCCGACAACTACCCGATCGAGCCACCATCGATGAAGCTCAAAACGCGAATTTATCATCCCAATATTGATGATCATGGGAATATTTGCTTGGATGTTTTGAAGACTGGGAAAAAGGGTGGGTGGAATCCAGCATGGACGCTGGGTAAGGTGCTGCTTTCTTTGTCGGCGCTGCTGGGGAGTCCAAATCCAGACGACCCGTTGATGCCGGAGATTGCGGAGCAGATGGTTGCTGATTATAGCGCCTTTGCTACGGCTGCTAGGGAATGGACTGCCAAGTACGCTGCCTCTGTCGATGATGATGAGAGACGGTGACGGCGACGGCGACAATACCAATGACAACAATGGCGACAGGGGAATGGCGCTGTTTCTCCGAACTCGGTCATATCAGTGGATTTGGAAGATACCGCTGTGCTCGGTAAGCGGAAGCTGGGACTTTCGCGCAAAACATCGTCTGCATCGCCTGGTCCAGCCTCTCCAGCTTGCTCCCCCCTGTGTCATCTGGGAAACTTCCCGGCGCCTCAGGTATCCGGCGCCTTGGGCTCAGCCGCAGTCGCAACACGGTGCAAAGAATATGCCGCCAAACCCTGCTGCTGCAAAGGCGCCCTCGTCGCTCACAGTATCATCGTCGCAGGCTGAGTCTGTTGACCTGACCAGCGACGATAATGCTGCTGATGAGATGCGTTTTTTGGCTGTGGATAATAAGCCGGCGAAACGGTCAAAATCGTTGACATTATCGCAGATACTCGCGTCGTCGTCGCAGAATAGGCCTCCGAAGCCACCGATGCCTTTGGGGAGTAAGCGTAAGAAGCGAGGCTCGGTCGCTATGACAGTGCCAGTAGCGCAGCAGCATTAGTGAAGGGGATGGAGGAAGAGGAGGAGGATGAGGAGGAGGAGGCTTGTGTGGAGACACAAATGGAGTGGATGGAGAAGGGTGCTAGGCTGGATAGTCTGAAGACGGAGCAGAGCAATATTGATTATGACTGTTTGTTGAGCGCCGATGAGCTTTACACTACGTCTGTTGATATGAGCATTCCTGAGTCTCCCTTGCAGATGTCGTCCTTACAGATGATACCTTCGATTCCGAACTGTAATTCGGGTCATTTGGCGTTCCAGTCTATTCTGGATACTGCTGTGCTGGTTGAGCGGGAGGTTGTTGGTCCGCTGTTTGGCAGCGACAGTATTGTGGATGGCGGTGGGCCAGTTGAATTGCTAGAACATGAAACTGGTCCCCTGCCCTTATTAGTGGCGCAAAATCAAACATTGGAAATTAAGGCGGATGGGCTGGGCTTGGAGGCCCAGGCTGGATGTAATAGTGGTGGTGGTCAAGAGACAAGAAGGGCAAGGGCAAGGGCAAGGGCAAGGATGTTGATTTCAGCAGTAATTTGATCATGTCGCCACAGCGGACTGTGCCTTGCCCCGTTGCTGCTGCTGGTGGTTATGATGGTTCTGTTAATGGAGAAGAACAGATACTGTATGAATCGCATTTTGGACCTTGGATCTTGGTCTTCCACCAATACGGGTTAGCGCTCAACGAAAACTCATGCGTCGCAAAACTCGGAACGAAAGCTGAGCTTTTTATTTCCTTTTTCTCTTTTTTTTGGTTTTTTAATTAAAGGTGCTGACAAATATAAATTGTCCCACGCCTCTTCCTTTTTTTTATAATGTTCAAAGCGCACTTTCTTTTTTTAAACTAAGAAAAAAATGAAAAGAAAAAACTAGTGGCTGCCCCACTACATCGATTCATTGTTCTTGAGCAAAGATTATAAAAAAATTCCCTTTTTCGATTTCTTTCCTTCTTTATTATTATTATTATTATTTTTCTTTCCTTGCCATTTTTTCTTCTATTATTTTTTCTTTTCTCCCCCCCTCCACCTCAGATCATCTCAACTTGCACTTTATTCTGCACGCAAAAACCAGTTAATATATACTCACGCGTGCATTTAATCAAGGAAGTGGCATTACGTTCAATGCTGTTCAGAAATACAATGGCACTCAGAAACGGCTACGTGCCGCTGAACAATGATCTGCTACAAGGTTGGTAAATAGAGTTTGATTATCTTATGTTACTATTCATACCCTCTGGTTTTTCTTTAAAAGAAGAGGTTTTCAGCTCTTTTTTGGGTTTTGTTTTGCACAGTACTTGGAGGAAAACCTATTTGAAGTTTTAAAGAAAAAGGGGGGTGCATGTTGTATTGTGTAGAGCAAAAGCAAAGGAGATATCTTGGATGCCAGACAGGGGGGAGAAAGAAAAGAGGGGTGTGGCAAGTTACAGAAGAGAAGAGATGGCAGTAAGGGATGCTGTTTATTGTGTGGCTTTTTTGCTTGCGCGCAGGAGGTATAATGAATAATAAACCTTCGTTGTTCAAATACAAATTTTGCAGGCGGCCCGCTTTTACCATCCTCTTGTCTAAAGCACAAATCATGCACCGCCACTATTACATACACCATCTAGCCTCTTTAGTATTGCCGCCACCGCCGACCAATGTCAAAAATACCGCCGCGCCCGCTAATCGCTCATAAAAGCAATCCCCCTTCACCATCACCGTCGTTTTCTTTCAAAAAGGTAGAAAATACGTCCGAAGCCACCGCTGAACGCCAGCGTGGATACCATAAGGTCGACACATCCCAGCCGCAATTCACCTGGCGGGCGATCATCGTCGGGCTTCTCTTCGGCACAATCCTCTGTTTCTCCAACCTATGGTTCGGGCTCCAAAGCGGCTGGATATCCATGATGAGCCTACAATCCTCCCTGGTCGGCTTCGCCGTCTTCAAAGCCCTGAACACGTGCTGGATATTCCCTTTGGCCCGGCGGAAAACGTCGTTCTTCAGTCCACAGCCGTCGCCACAGCCACTATGCCGCTGGCCGGCGGGTTCGTCGGTATACTGCCTGCGCTCAAAATGCTGGAACCCGGGAGGCCGGGGGTATGCGCACGGTGTTGAATTACGGAGAGCTGTGCGCGTGGGGGCTCGCATTGACGTTTTTTGGCGTGTTTTTCGCCATACCACTGCGCAAGCAGACTATTGTGAGGGAGAAGCTGAGGTTTCCGTCGGGCACAGCGACTGCGCAGATGATTAGCGTTTTGCATAAGATGCCTGACCCGACAATGGAGGCGGTGCTTTGGCGGTGTCGACGGCCGTTGCTGTTGGACCGCAAGACAATAGTGCTGCTGTGGACGCGCACCAGATTCGCCGCCGTAACGAACAATCCATGCAACTTCTGAGCCCGGACGGACCCCGAGATAGAGCCAGTGCAAGAGGATGCGGACGGCGACCGCAAATTTGTCGATGACGTCGAATGGGTGACAAAACTTCTCTCGTTGCTCGTCGCGTTTCTGCTCTCCGGCTGCTACGCGCTTCTGGCATACTTTTTCCCGGTTATTTCCGCGCTGCCTGTTTTGGCAGCCGACTGTCGCGCATGTGGGCGTGGAACCTCATGCCATCGCTCAGCTACGCCGGCCAGGGTATCATTATGGGCCTGCCGACGTGCATATGGATGCTGGTCGGGTCCATTGTCGGCTGGGGCGTGCTGTCGCCGATGGCGAAAAACGCTGGGTGGGCGCCTGGTCCGGTCACAGATTGGAAGGACGGTAGTCGCGGGTGGATCTTGTGGATATCCCTGGCGGTGATGATTGCTGAAAGCGTGGTCTCGCTGGGCTTGGTCAGCGCCAAGGAGATGCACAATTTGTTGTAATTTGCGCCGAATTGTGGACAAGAAGTTGGGGTTGCAGTTGAGCCGTCGGGGGATTCTGGTGGTAGCGATGCTGCGGCGGAGGATGAGACGCAGGACGGGCTGCCTGCTAGACAGGGTGCTGTAAAATCTGTGGATATCAGTGATGACGAGGATGTCGACCCGCGGTTCCTCATCCCTGGCTGGATTACGTGGGGCGGGCTTGCGGCGTCGACACTGCTGTGCATGGGCATTGTATACGCCTATTCGGCGTCCCTGTGTACGACACATTGATAGCTGTTTTGCTGGCTCTGCCGCTGGCTGTTCTCGGTGTCCGCGCGCTGGGCGAGACCGACCTTAACCCTGTATCGGGCATCGGAAAGGTGTCACAGGTGGTATTCGCGGGCATCATGCCTGGCAACCTTGTTGGCAACCTGGTCGCCGGTGGAATTGCCGAGGCCGGTGCTCAGCAGGCCGGCGATCTGATGCAGGATTTGAAAACAGGCCACTTGCTCAATGCCTCTCCCCGGGCGCAGTTTGCCGGCCAGATGATCGGCAGCGTATTCAGTGTATTTGTTACCGCTGGAGCCTACCTTTTGTACAACAAAGTGTATCCCATCCCAGGCCCGCAGTTTCCTGTGCCCACGGCGCAGGTATGGCTGGATATGGCTCGCCTGGTAAACGGCCACCCGCTGCCCCCTATGTCTGGCCATTCATAATTGCGTTCTCCGCTACGTTTGTCATCTTGCCCGTGGTTGCGCTACTTATTAAGCAGAGCGGCAAGGACGTGATCAGGGTTGGCTCATGGACTATACGCACTGTGACTCTGCAGCGCTGGTGGCCTAGCGGTATTGCCTTTGCCATTGGAATATACAACACGCCCAATTTCACCCTGATGAGGGCCATTGGCGCTATTGTCGCTGCGGTTGTGACTGAAGTCATTGTTGCGCGTCGGAAGAAAGAGCAATCTGCCTTTCGTGCTGCTGCGGGGTATGGTAGTGGGTTGAGTTTGCAGAAATTTGAAATGTTGCTTCGGAGGAAAATTGGAATGATGGCTATTATTTTGGCCAGTGGGTTTGTGCTTGGCGAGGGCACATTTTCGTTTTTCATTCTTTTGTCGCAGGCATTTTCGAACTAATTAATAAATATTTGTATGTGAGACTTTACATATTCACGAGCACAGTGCACAGTGCGCAGTGTGTAGTGTGCAGTTCAGTGCGGAACCCATTTCAATTAATAAAAAAGGGAATGATACTTGACAAAAAAAGGAAAATGTAGACATTTTTATTATTATAAAAAATTCTCTAAAATGAAAACACAGAAGTAATGCTGCAAACGCAGAGTATGGAATTCCTGATGCTTAGTAAGGCTACATATTACGTCATATTTTTTTTTTGTCGCGATGCACATTAAAGCAAATTAAATGGAAAAAATATAATGCTCAGCAAATTTATTTTATTAAAAAAATCAAACAGCTGAGCCCTTTCTTACAATTCCATTTGATAATTTTTATTTTCAGAATCAAATTTGGAAATAAGGAAAAGAAAAAAGCCCTCGAATGCATTCCGCATTTTTTATGTCTCCGTTCTAAGTTAGAGAGAGAGAAAGAGAGAAAAGCAATGACCACTTTAGACCGAAAAATTGCATATATATAAAGCGAGAATGTGCTGGTCTCAAAAAAATGGAAAATTATTTTCATCCATTAGCACTTTGTTGTACTATAGTATTACTTGCTTCAAATTAACACTTAACCGCTCACTCGCTTACTCGCTGTCACCGTACTCGCTGCATACTCAAAAAACAGACTTTTTTTGAGCTTATCGCCTTTGCAGCACGTCAACCAAAATTAATAAACCCAAGGTTAGTCCAAGGTATTTTACAATAATAAAATTGTACACGACCCCAAGGAATATGCTGGACCACGAAATGTTCGGCTATCAGAAGTGAATTAAAAAGAGCAGTTAAAAGATCATTATTTAAAACTTGGACTTTCGCTAATCCTAGTACTGACAATAGTACAGATACTTCCATTGACATTACTAAGCCTGTTGAAGAAAATAAATTTAATAGATACTACTATTAAACAATTGATAAGTGGTAACACAATTAATATGTTTAAAACATGATGATTGCGCAATTGAAATTAAAAATTAATAATGACCTAATAAAAAGTAGACAGCTCGTATGAATAACTAAAATAGCTTTACTGTTACTGCGCGCAAATACTTTTATACGTTTAGATATTTTATTTTTTGTATTTTTTATTTTTTGTGGCCATTGTTAATATTGGTTAAACTTGCATATTTATTTGACAATTTTTGTTGAACCATGTAAATAAAGTATACTTACAAACCAACTGATCCAATTATTATTTGCTTGTTACTAAGCTACAATATAAAAAATTACAATCCGGGCGTCCGAAATTGGAGCAGGCTTGTTTGGAATGTGGACTAAAGAGAATAAAAAATAAAAAAATAAAAATTGGATTTTTCATTATAAACTGTGAATAAAAAATGAGGCCGCGCATTTAGAGCGGAATGTCTGATGCTTGGCAGGCATCACATAAAGGTGCCTTGCTTTTTTAACGTTATTTTTATTGTACATAAAAAATGCAAACGGCACCTCCCATTTTATTATAGAAAGTAGCAACCCCCTTTATATTTGTTTTGTATAATAGGTTTTTAGTTCTCTTTTATTTAAAGACCGCATAGCTACTGGTCGCTTTTTTGTGAGCAAACTCTAAGAAAAGCAGCAATATACGTATTTATTTGCCGCTATTATAAAGGAGCAACGGCTGTTTTGGACACTACATCAAGTGTAATATATAAAGCGCATAGAATGTGCTGGACAAAAAACATGTTATTTTTTATCTTTATTAACGCACATTTTTGTCATACTTTTTAATAGTTTCACTTGCCTTATTTTGCAATTGACACCTCTACAATCTCTGCTTATTAAATATGCGCCCAAACTTGGGGAAAGTGAGGCTGAGGCTGAGGCCGCGTTCACGGTCACGTCACGGTCAAGCATGATGGCGCAAAAAAGACAATTCCTATAAAAAATATAGACTGTACTTTAGCTTCAATTAAGGATATGTTGAAGAACCAGAAAACAGTATTCCTATTGAAAAATGGAATATTGTAGATTATTCTGATAAAAAAAATAAGCAAAATAGATATACAACAATTGAGACTATAGTGAATAAAATAAAAGCATACCAGCTAACAATTATAATACCATTTGTTTTTCCTACTATTGATTCAAAAGGTTTGACTAAATCTTGTCAAGAGGCTCTAGTACTGCTAGCTTAAACGCATAGCATCCGACCTGTTTAACAATTTCTAAAATTAGTAGCGTGCAAAAGTATTATGTATTATTTTATTAGCTTTTTCTTATTTTCAAATAATGAATGCATCATTATGAACGCCTTTGTTACCATTGTATTGTGTAATGTTTCTCTCTGCTGCCAGTCGATGTTTTGTTTTATTCTGGTAGGCATTTCCGCCAATAAGGGCAATCAGGTGAGCACAGGGCGAGCCCGCATTCCATATTCTAAAATTAAACGGTGGTTTTTTGTCTAGCCCACTTTTATGATATCATGGGTCGACCAAAACAAGTGTAATCGACCCTCACCCAGACCTTAAAGGTGTCTTGCATTGAACGTAAATAATTATCTTTGTGTGTGCGTCCACAACTCTGCATGTACTTCTTTTCCCCACTATATTTTATTTATATATTTTCAGTTCTTTATACATATTTAACTTACAAGCCCTTTATGCCAAACTGCAGTTCTACTCATGCTTAAAACAAGTCGAGCAATGACCCCGGCCGTTTGCAGGCAATGCTTCTGCGAGGTCGAGCCACAGCAAAATACCCGCGGCTATTACCTTCCAAACCAAACAAATTAGCACCAACTCAACCAACAAGTTCTCAGACATACCAGGGGTATCCGAAGTGTCAAGAAAGGGTGCTACTCCCCCTTCCTGCGCAGGCTGGCATGCTGGATTGTAGGCACCGGTGGTTTGCTAGCGTGGGTTATATTTTTGGGGGAAACGAGATAGAGGCGTTTGACAATCAGGAGCCGCCACAGGAGCTGCGGCTCCTTGAGGGCCAAACGTACAAGGGCCACCCATCATCGACACTCCAAGCACTGAAGGCAAACGGCGCGAGCGCCTGGTAGTTCTCGGATCTGGATGGGGCGCCGTGTCAATCCTCAAGACGTTGAGGCCTGACACTTATGACGTGACTGTGGTTTCTCCTGATAATTATTTCATCTTTACGCCGCTACTTCCCAGCGTGACTGTGGGCACAGTCGAGTTCAGGTCGGTGCTCGAGGCCATTCGGCGAGTCATCAAGCGAATCCAAGGCTCTTATATCCAAGCGGCGGCTGTGGACATTGACTTTGAGAAAAAATACGTTTTGGTTGAGAGAGCCGGCGAAGCCTGCGCGTGGCTGCCATACGACCGCCTGGTCGTTGGCGTTGGCGCACAAAGCAGCTCGTACGGCGTCAAGGGGCTTGAGTTCTGCCACCGGCTCAAGACCATCAACGACGCACGTGGCATGCGACAGCACATTATGGGTAACTTTGAGAAGGCTGTGCTGCCGACGACGCCTGTTGAAGAGAAGCAGCGATTGCTGACGTTTGTTATCTGTGGTGGCGGACCCACTGGGTGTGAGTTTGCGGCCGAGCTGCACGACTTTTTGTCAGAGGACCTGAAGCACTACTTTCCGCGCAGTATCCAGGAGATGGTGCGCGTTATCATTGTGCAGTCGCAGGACCACATCCTCAACATGATGGACTCTGTGATTAGCGAGTTTGCCGAGAACGAGTTTTCACGGCACAACATCACCGTGCTCACTAATTCGCGCGTGAAGCATGTCACGGAGAACAGCCTGGTGTACACGACCAAGCGTGCGGACGGCACACTGGAGGACCACGAGATTATGCAAGGATTTGTGTTGTGGTCGACAGGCAACGGCCTGACGCCATTCACACAGCTTCTGTGCGATAGGCTGCGCAGTGGCAGAACAATAAACACGCAATTACGGTCGACGACCATCTGCGTGTCAAGGGAGTTCCTGACGGCTCCGCGTATGCGCTGGGCGATTGTGCCACGGTCGAGTTTCCGCACCTGCTGTCGCACATTAACGAACTGTTTAACTCGGCCACCACTCTAGTCGCACAGAAATTACTCGCAAGGAATTCCGCACATTTATCAAGGATGCGGCAGTCAAGTTCCCCAGTGCTACCGGGCACCTTCAGTCGCTGGACCGCAACTTTGGGCTCTTTGACACCGATGGCAATGGCAGCATTTCTCTCAGCGAGTTCAAAGGGATGCTCGAGTTTGTCGACAGCAAGCTGACAGCGTTGCCGGCCCTGGCGCAGGTGGCCAGCCAGGAGGGCGTCTACTTGGCCCATGCGCTGGACATGCTGGCATATAGGTACAGGCGTGGCGAGTTGCCCATTGTTAGCACTACCTCTGTCCCCACACCTGAGGAGCGAAGCGCAGCAGAATATGCAGTTGTGCCGCCGTTCTTGTACCATCACAGAGGGACTTTGGCCTACTTGGGGCGCGCGGCTGCAGCAGACTTTGGCGAGGGACGTGCGTACCGCAGCAGCAATTTGGTCGCAAAGTACCTGTGGCGCAGTGTGTACTGGAGCCAGCAAGTTTCGCTTCGCACGCGCATCCTTTTGATGATGGACTGGTTCAAGGAGCTGGTTTTTGGTAGAGATCTGTCAAAATTTTGAGCGGACATTACTTTTTTATATAAAACCAAGCTTTTTAATAACTGGCGCAAGGTATAATACAAAGCCGCATTCAATGAGGTGAAAGTAAATATTTAAAAAGCTCAGTAAATGGCTGATATTCTTTGTCGAAAAAATAAACAACCCTTAAGTCATATTCTAAAATAGAAGACGTTTATTTTGCAAATAGTTTGAGTATTAAAACAATCCGCACTCTTGCAGTCTCGCATATTTGCATACTTGCAACCCTCCAACACTGTATAAAAAGGACGTGGCGAATGCTTCATTCATTATTTGCCTTATTTTCCTTCTGCATTTTTGTTGCTCATTCATTTACTGTTTTAACCCTTAATTTTACTTGAACAATATTAACAACTATACATACATCTTTTGATATTCATTCAACATGCCCGCTCCCGCTCGCACTTCCACTAAAAAGCTTTGGAAAAAGTTAGAGTAACATTTGTTATTCCAGGTGACAATATATTTTTGTAGATGCCCCTGATACAACTAAAATTTTGGAATTAGTCCATATAGTTAGTGAAAACATAAGTCAACACATAGACCGATAAGGTGTTGGTGGAAATCATATTAGTGGCACTACTACATTGAAAGATATGAAACTCGAAGCACCAAATGTAGATATTTGCGTAACGTTCAAATGTATACAACCCTCCCCTAAAAAGTAAACGCTTTTTGTAGTATATTTTATCCGTTTTTTAGCTTAACGAAATATATTAACAAATTATTGAGTTTAACAAAGAAAAGGCAAATATTTTATGTCAGCATGCCTACAAAAATAATAATATTTGCTCATGAAGTATTAATATATATCTCATTCAAGAGACACGCCAAAATAATAATTTTGCACTAATTTACTTTGCAACTAAACTATGTCTAGTTATAATACTTTATTTGGGGTTGTACGGCGGCGGAAGCGGAAGCGATGGATTTTCGTTGACCACTAAAAGCAATATCTTTTCGGCATGTAACCTTTCAGTCGATGGCGCTAATTTTTGTGATCACGACAGCAAATTATTCGTGATTTGATCTGCCAATTGATAATCCTCAACGCGATTGGCGATTTTTCCACACTAATAGAAATTCAAATAGTGTCTGAAAATGTGAATGCATCTGTTGTGCCCACCCCCACCCACACCACCCGACGCGAATAAGCACCAAGAGATGGCAGCATCAACCTTGAATCCATCTTTTCCGTTTTGGCACTCCTAATTGAATTTCCACACGAGACAAAATGGTACGAATCCAACGCAGTCAGTTATTTCAAATATTGCATCCAACGCGGGTGGAATAGCAATGAGCTGGGCAATGGATCCAGCGGCCAGAGTGATTTTGGACGCATCCATATGTGGCATGCCGTATGTTGGATGCGTCACGTCAGTTTTTATATGGCGATGGATACACGATAGCGACGAAACAGGGGGCACGCCTATTTTGAAATTTTATTTTAAAAAGCTGGTGGATTTGGAATTCGGAATCTCTGCAGAGATTTTGAATTTGATCAATCGAGGGCGATTTGCTGCGATTGCACTGTTTTATTATGCCCATGAGGGTAACGGCGGCATTAGAGAGATATTGGGTGTTGTGCTTACAACTAAGAGCTGGCATTGTTGTTGTCTATAAACAACAACGAGCTGGTTTTTATTGCTGCCAGCACGAACGACTGCAATTTATATTGTGACTGCGAGCTTGGCGGCAGCAGATTCATTATCATGCTCCATTATTAACGGTGACAACAACACAAGCAGCAACTACGACCGATGGAGCGCACGCGCATACTGCAGATTAGCCCAACTATTCTTAATTTCTAAACTGCGTTTGAATGCCACAAACGCTCGCTTTTTGCCACTTACCGAGCGCACTTGCTGAGACGCGCAAACACTCTCTAGCACCCGTTTGGCATATTTTAAAACAGCCGCGCTATTTTTGTTCGAATGGCGGCACATGTCTAAAAACTGCGCCAATTCATGGATACTAAACACCATGTTGCTTTTTTGCATAACATAACCTTTAGGCTGACGCTTCCACCGTTACCATCAGGACCCGCAAGTTCATGACCAACCGCCTGCTTCAGCGCAAGCAGATGGTAAGTATCACTGCACATCTGTTTTTTATCAGATCTAGACCCGCTGGTTGGTACCACCGGCCAGCCGGTTTGCGCATCTATGCATGATGTGTTCCACAACTGCGCACTGGTCGTGTCTGCAACTTTTAAACTAGCACTGCTTACTAACCACGCGTCATTCTATCATTTGATCTTGCGATTACTTTGTCATTTCCATTACGCAATAGGTGGTCGATGTCATCCACCCCGGCCTTGCCAACCTGAGCAAGGACGACGTCCGCGAGAAGCTTTCCAAGCTTTACAAGGCTGACAAGGAGGCTATCTTCCCCTTCGGCTTCCGCACCCAGTTCGGTGGAGGTCGGTCCACTGGCTTTGTCCTCATTTACGATTCGTTCGAGGCTGCCCAGAAGTTTGAGCCCAAGTTCCGTCTTGTCCGTCAGGGCCACGGCACCCACGGCACCAAGTCCCGCAAGCAGCGCAAGGAGCGCAAGAACCGCCTGAAGAAGCTGCGCGGCACCGCTAAGGCCGGTAAGGACAAGAAGAAGAAGAAGGAGTAAGCGTAGCTCTTGTAGTATTTTCTTACTTTATATTACAAAACATTGTCAGGCCACTTGTCGGCACTTTTTCTTTGTTTGGCTCGAGTTGAAATTGAAGGTACATTTGGATGGTTTGCCCTGTGTGCATATTGGAAAGCAAGCGCGTGTGCAAGGTTACATGCGACAGCCTTACATATTGGGGACGGTGATGGTTATGTTGCAGAAAGACATTATAAAATGCGCAGCCGATGCTATTCCATTTTCTCATTTTAATTTATTTTTGAAACTGAACGCGACGAATTCAATGTTTGGAGAGCCGAATTCAGAGGGAGGCTACAAAAGCACATTCCGCTTCATTTGTAGCCTTGGCGCTGCCGACGGCCTTTGTCTTCTGCTCACGGCGGAATTTCAGGATTCGTATGCCGATCTCGCTCCGCACCTCGCGCTGCAGCCCGGGGCGGTAGCCACAGATAAACAACACCTCGAGAAAGACAAAGAATGGCGCCATGACCAGGGCCTGCAAGAGATTATTGAGCAAAGCCGGAGCGCGCTTTTCAAAAACGCCATGACCAACGAACTGTGCGACCCAGCTGAAAACAAACAGGCCACGGTTACGCCGATTCCATTGGGCGTTGTCAGGACGAACTGCTGCGCGGTTACCAGAAACGCGTAGATGATTGGCACAGTCAATAGACCAGCGAATGGATCGAGGATTACGTAGAAGGAGATGAACCCGAGCATTGCCAGAGTGGTGAAATTCAGTAGTGGGTTGGGGCCAGGGATCTGAGATAGTGCGGAAGCGATAGAGGCCGAGTAGCTGAACAGCTCGTGGGGCTCAGGTATGTGCCGATTCCCAGGAAGGTCCAGAGAATTAGTGGGACGAACACCATGTGGATCGAGACATTGAGTTTGTTTGAATGGTACTCGCCGTACTTGGCCAGCTCGGACTTTAAGTCAAAACACCCATTTTTATTACTTTTTACCGTTGCAGAGTTGTCTAGTTTTTGCTGATATTGATATTGAGATCGTATGAAATATAATATTTTTAATTATCAAAAGATGCGGAGAAGAAAGAAAGAAAAATCAAAGTTGCTAGCTGAATTGCAATGTGTCAATCCAAGTGCACAGGCGCACAGAAACAACTCAGCATGGGGGTTTTGGCTGCAAGATTCAACACATTATCAAACTTGATTTTTTGTATTGTTTTTGTTGCAATAAAAAACCGATCACATGTCCGGTGTTTGTCGTTTGCCGCCCATTGTCTAACGTGTGCCAAACGCTCACACATACATACATATATTTATGCAATACACACGTGCACAATAACAAAGACACGAATTTCTTCAACCAAAAGTATTTTAAATATTTGCGCAATTATGTGATTCAGAATATTAAAAATCTAGTGCTAATATATCCATTACATGGCTGTGGCGCAGAGCATTGCAGCCACGGATGCCAAGACTGCAGAGCCAAAGGCATTCAGCTTCAGTGAAATAGCCCCGCTGGACTTGGATGAGCTCTTGTTGTCATCGTCGTTGATAATCTTAGATTTTGAGATATCGTAGATAAGGTCCTGAGTTTCGTTCTGCTCAACGCCCGAGTAGTCAGAATCGAAGGGTTGGGAGCTGGAAGTCAATCGATGAACATTTGCTGACAGGGTTCTTGCGCTGAGCGTATATGTCAGAGCAGTCGGCGGCGGTAATAACATTGACAGCCTCGTTCTTGGCCAGGTTGCGGAACCAGATGGGCTTGTAGCCGTCCTTGACGAACTTGGGATGAGCAACACCAATGAGGTCCTGGAGCAGGGCATCAGCAAAGGCAACGGGGGCCTCAAACCAGCCCAGACCGCCAGCGGTGCTCTGGATACGGTCGGGACGGAAAACGCGACTGGTAGTGACCCACGAGTAATCGACCTTTGAGGGGTCGGAAATACCGTAGTTCTTGAGCAGTTCCGTGTAGGGGTAAGACTCGAAGGACTCGTCGATGACAATGTCGACCTCCTCCAGGGCGTCCAGGAAGGCCTTGGCGGTGGAGAAAATAGTGGACTTTGCGCCAGTGGTGTTCAGCATGCGGGCGCCGGCATCACGCACAATGTCGTACTTGTAGTCGGCAAAGGATACCTGCCAGTAGGCTTTGTTGTCGTTGTATTCGCTGGGGGCAGCATAGTTGGTCCAGGCGACAACGGGACGGATGTCATTGTACTCTTTGTTGGCCTTGGTCGAGAGCAGTCGTAGTTGGAGTCGATTGACTCGAACAGAGTGTTGGCACGTTCCTCAGCATTAAAGAACGCGGCAAAAAACTTGACCCACTCGGAGCGACCCAGGACGCTGGCTCGAGGTACTCTACGGAGTAAGCGGTGTTGGTAATATTGCTGTCACTACCGCCGGGCATGCTGAACACCACAGTGTTGGTGTCCTCCTGCTGGTCGACAGCAGTGGAGTTCGACTCGTTGAACGGCTCAATGACGGTGTCCAGGAGCTTCTGCAGGCATGCAGACACCATGCTGGGCGCGGTGCCCAGGTTCTTAATATCGTCCTGGACGCCGAGGGCCTCGAGGAAGATGGCTGCGGTGGTGGCCCAGGCGGAAGCACTGGTGACGGGGATGGGGATGTATGCCGAGGCATCCTTGACCGATGGCTTGTCGGAACCGCACTGGTACAGGACATACGTGTCCTTGGTCGACAGGTTGTTGACAACCTTGTACGTGTTGTGGTAGTCGATGGAGAACAAGGTGGCGTACTTGACTTGGACTTTATCGGGTAGAGGTCGGTATTGCTGTTGTTGTTCGAAGAGGTCAGGCATTTGGTGCTCTGCAGGCCCTTTGTCGACGGGGTGGTGTCAGCTGCAGAAGCATGAGGCGGTGCCATCAGGGCCACGGTGGCGGCAAGAGAGAGTGTAAATGCGAACTTCATTGTACCTTGAATATTTAATTATTTAAAATAATAGTTAAAACGGTGAATAAAAAATAAAGACAAAAAACTAGGAAACAAGGAGAGAAATAGTGAGGATGTTTGCCTGATAGTAAAGTTTTAGTAGTCAGATAAAAATTTCAATTATTTTGTGCGAGGACGGACCAATTTATTTTTTGGTGTGCGAGTTTCATTCTTTAAGGCGGTATTTGAATCCGAAAAAGGAAAACGAACTGTTCACAAGAAAACCCCGGTCTATTTGATAGGCCGGGCGACAAGATAGGAAATGGCCAGTTCATTATCTCTATCTCTCTCGTCCAAAAACGGCCTATTCGGGTTGTCGAGATATTGCTTTGGCAGACAAAATTTTTATTTAAAATTTGTCTGTCAGTATTGATGTGTCTAAATTGACTGCATATATTCTGCACAATGTAGAACGTGCGCGTACAATTGCATGGTCATACGCATTAAATACTGTTGCTGTTATTTTTTCACACGTTCTTTGCATGTGTGCATATTTTTTTGCGCAAAAATGTGCCTGGAATTCCACAAATAAGCGTAAAATTTTCACTTGTAATGTTGAAAAGATGAAAGGACGCAGCGTGTTCCGCGCCGTATTTTAATTTTTTATTTCTGCAATGCATCCCGCACACGCACCGTGATTGGGAACATCACACTGTGCATTGTTTATTGCTACCATTTGGGACTAGGTGAGTAGATTGTCGTTTCCCCCACTTTCATTCCGCAATTCCATTCCACTTTTTTTGCTCACAAAACGGTGTGTGAGCGAGTGATTTTGTTGGGACAAGTGTGCAAAACAAAACAGATAAAGGGATCACCACGCAATATTTTTTTGGCTGGGGATGGGATACAAAAGTGGGTGGGATTTGCTCACAAAACCAAATATGCATAATCCCGAAAACACGTTTATTGGTGTGAATGGTAACAGACCAAGATGTGGTCACAAAACAGTCTGAAAATGAAACTATGTTTTAAATTTGTAGCTTTGGAATAACAAAAAATAATATGCCAAGAAAGCATTGTCTATTATAAATAATATCGATTGATAACCAAGAAAGTGGGTTCAGATGAGCAAATAAGCCTAAAGTGCTATGCTGCGCTCCTCAGGGCCCACCATTGACTGCACAATGAAATACAATACTTTAAAAGCTTCAAAATTGTAAATAAGAAATCGTTGTTGCTTGACAAACTAACAAGCAAGGGAATAAATGCGACTAGATCGAAAATCAAGCAAATCAACATTGGTGTGTCGTCAGGCAGATTGACAAACTGTAATATCAAGTAGGACAATGTCACGTGACACTCGTAATTTTTACCAATTGTGGCTGCATTTTATTATTTACGGGTTCCAATTGATAAGGCGAGCTTCTTTAGCTCCTTTTTAATAAACAAATTTATTTATTTATACATAGTTTAATATTATTTACAGCAACTCTACCCATCACCTGCCTGTTGACCGCTGCCCCCTGGAGCCAGCGCCAGTGCGAATGTTTGGTGCAGCCAGGGCCCGACTTGGCCGACTTTTGCGAATTGACCGTTTCGCGAAGTTTTGAATTCGAATTTTCTTTTTCCATACTTTTCAAATGGGCGCGGGTAAGAAGGAAGGGCGATAAATCGGTTTATTCACTATGCATGGGCGACAAAACGTTAATTGATCTATATGCTATGCCCTCCTGGGCCTTTTGGGACATCCACAGGTGGCAGAGTCTGGTCATACTTCCCAGAGTGGCCGGCACATTACTGTGTGGCCTTTACGTCTCTTGATGGCGCCACACCGAGGCGACGTCTGCCTGTAAACCTGTCCAGATGTGATCATCAGCTTTACCTCCTCTCCATCTACATCAATACCTGTAGGTCACTCACAAACAATACTGCCATGGTTAGTCAGGTTCTGCTGCAGATGGGAGAGGAGGATGGGACTGAAGAGTAGGTCTGGATAAGTCTACAGACTGATATAGCCGCAGTATGCATTGCCAGGAGGTGCTGAGGCCTTGAAATAATGGACCAGCCACCTTAAGCAATGCATGCCAATCACATCACCTGCCCTGGGCCCAAAAGACCTGGGAGGGGGTGTCGGGGTTTGACCAGCATTATAGGCGCCTATGGCAGTCTTAATACGTCATCAAACATTCCTTCCTATTCATCCGTGAATACAAAAAAATTTGGAAGATAAATTCGAGTTTGAAATTTGAAATTTCGGAAAATGGGGACTTGGCCAACAGACAGGTGGTGGGTGCAGTCACCAACCTGGGTGCCAGTCTGTCCATAATCACCCGTGTGGTTACAGCTATACTTGGTTTGAAGATTGACACCCAATGTCACTTATACATCCACGTCTGGTTCGAGACCAGATGGTGCACTGCCTTGGGATCACATGGGCCACATGACGACAATGGAGATGGTGTGTCTGAGGCAGGTCTGACATGCTGTGATACCAGATTTGGGCTGGATCGCGTTACAACACTATTGCATGCAATCTCATTATTTTAATATTATATGCACACTGCGATTTTATTATGTAAGCATATTTAGCTTTTTCATAATATCAAATTTTAATGTATTTAGTATTCATAGCATAATTTTCTTTAGAAAAACGATAGTTAATATCTTCAACCATAATGGGCTATTGTCTCTAGTTTCTAAGCGTGTTCCGGGTTGCTATGCAGTCAGGATGCAAGGAAATATGTCTATTTCAGGATACTTGAATTTTTTAGATATTTGTAGTCTTATTATTTTCTATAGCGTTAACAAAGGATAGATTTAACAGTAACCTGTTTAAAATCCCACAACATTCACAGTATTATACGTTTTTTAACTGCATCAAGTCATTGTGTTACATCAATTTTTTTACATTATGCAAACAATGTACCATTTAAAATCTACATATTACAGTGGAATGCTACACATTGGTAGATACAAAATGCATAATATGGATGTTATAACACCATGAATATCTTGTGAGGGTGCTTTTGGTGATAAGAGTAGTCATTGTGTTTTATATTATAATTATAGTAGTTGAAGTGAAGATGTACTTGTCCTCTCAAAAAGATATTTATCATTTAATTTAAAAATAATGATATTCAGGTAGTTAATAAAAGAGAATAAAAGTCCATGACCTTAGAATCCACGGCGCGCGGTCGGGGTATTAGAAAATGGCGACGCTGGCGCAGGGCCTGTGCGACCGCCCAAAAAGCTAGAGCCCAACCCCCTGCGCACATTGCTCATAGGCGTGCCAAACGACGAATTAATAGGAGGAGCCTGCTCACTAACAAAGGCGCCGGGAATAGTCAACACCTCATCCCTAAAGCCAGCATCCTCGGCAGCACCAGCACTGGACCCGTAGACCCAGAGGAAATCGACGTCTGCGCCGAATTGACCTCCTGGTAAACCTTCTGAGCCGTCTTGACCCGTTCCTGCAGGGCCTCCGTCTGCGAATCAACCCACTCGAGCGAGGTCAAATGCGCATTAAGTATCTGCACGATCTGCGCAAACGGATCGCCACGCTGTCCCTCAGCCTCCGTATTAGCGTTCGAAATTCCATTGACATCCTCCACAAGGGTAGTCAAGCGACGGGCAATCTCGTCCAGCTGCATATTGAGGCGCTCAGCCGAAGAGTAAACATGATCGCGCTCCTCGTCAGCACTCATCATGCCCTTGGTACCCGAAGCTGCCGGCTTGGTCTTACTGACAATATCCTGCACACGGCCCTCGTAGCTGTTGAGCAGATCCTCTAATGCCTTTTGCTGGCTCTCCATGTGCTCCAGGCTTTGGTCCAGTGCCGCTTGCTCGGACTCGACAGACATTGTGGCCTCGTAAAGCTCTGTAATCCGCTTGCCCTGCTGAACAAGTGCACGGTCCCAGTAGCTTACAGTGTTGGCCTGAGTGTGGAATTTACGCGTCTGCTCGGTGAGCTCCTGTGTCCACATCCGCGCAATCTCCTCAACGGTCTTGTTTTGCAGAGCTGTGTTAACCAGATGTGTCGAGTTCTCAATCTTGGTGGGATCGATTGCCGCGGCGCTGTCTGCCTTTTCCTTGTCGTCCACAGCCTGGCTGCCGCTGGCAACTGAGGTGCTCGGGAGTTTGGATCCGCCCAGGCCCGTGCAGGCAGTGGGGTTTGATGCTGCAGTGGTGGTCGCGGGCGCCGCGGCATCCGGTTTAGCTGCAGCCGTGGTATTGCCAAACATGAATCCAGCGGAAGACGCAGCCGGGGCGGCAGAGGCAGTGACAGACGCGGATGCCGGTGCAGCTGTCGAAGCCAATGGCTTGGCGCCAAACAAACTACCGCCACCAGTACCAAGCGACGGCAATGTCGTGGATGCAGCTCCAAACAAAGACGTAGTCGAAGAAACCGCGGGGCTGCTGTAGAGGTAGAGGTAGAGGTGGATGCAGCAGCTGAAAAGCCGCCAAAAAGGCTACTACTACCACCACCACAGCGGAAGCAGCAGCGCCAAAACCAAACGAGGCCTTCACGGGCTCTGCCTTGCTAGCTGCAGTTGCGGCCATTGTGTTCGACGAGCCAAAAAGATTGCCTGAGGCCGTGGTGGCGGGTGCGCCAAAAAGTGGCGCGCTGGCGGGCTTGGGGCTGCCGCCAAGCTTGGCGCCAAACAGATTGCTGCTGCACCACCGCTGGGAGCAGGAGTGGGCGTGCCGAATGTGCCAAAGCCGCTGAAGCTGCTGGCGGGTTTATCGCCCGAACCAAAAGTAGCACCAAAGCCGCCAAAGCCGCCGCCGCCGCCACCGCTGCCTCCTCCCTGCGCACCGCTGGTGTTGCCAAAGCTCATTTGTTTAGATTTAAAAAATTGAGACAAGAATGAAAATATGAAATGTGACGCGATCTTTATTGTTTATTTTATTTTCAACTGCCGATTCAACAACTCTTTCAATATAAATGGTGTGGGAAGTAAAAAAAACAAATTGAATTGAATTCGAGGCAGACGAAAGAGAGAAAGAGAAAAACAGTGTGAAAAGTAAAGGAGGGGTACGTTTTCTAAAAGGGTATGAGTAGTGCCAGAAATGCTGGATCCGCGGCTCACACCTAAAAAAAACAGTCTAAAATCTCGAGCGAACAAAATCACTTAATCTGATTTGACGTTCCTGATTGGCTCAAAGGCGTAGCTCAGCATCCAGACAAGGTAGCTCAAGCATAGGATGGATCCCTTGAAGTAGTTGGCCTTGCCCTCGATAAGCATGTAGGTGAGCAAGAAGACGCAGAAGAGAATGGCAATGACATCCCACAGCGGGAACATCAGCGCAAACACGTAGGCGCTGGGCTCAGTAGGAAGATGGCCTTCGGCTGAGCCCGAAGTAATAGTAGCAGCGGCGGTGAACCAGCGAACAGCCAGCTCGCGCACACCGTCCAGAGCGGAGGAGGGCCCAGAGACCAGTGGCCGAACAAAATCGGGAACGCCATAGAACGCGCTGAAAAACACCAGAATGGGAATCTGCAGGAGCGCAACCTGAACCGTGTACGCATTGGAGATCTCAATGGAGAGAGCAATATTGTTCTGCACGGCGAATGCAATGGCATTCATAAACTCGGTCACGTTGGGAACGAGAGAGAATAGAGTCAGACCGATGATTTTCTCGCCAATGCCCAGCTCCTGAATGACCACATCGACAGTCTCGACGAGAACCTCGGCAATGAGAGAGAAGGCTACGGTGCACGCGCACAGGATGAAGGCTGATTTAGATTTGCTCCAGTTGGGCGCGTCGTGGCCACCGTGGCCGCTGTGACCCTCACCCGCAGCAACGCCATCGGCGACACCCTCCAGGAGCGCTAGGTCAGGCAGCTGGTCGTCGGGGTCAGCGGCCAGCACGCGCGGAAGCTGGGATAGGCGAGGCACATTGGGCATAGACGACGGCGCGTTTGCCGGATCGTATGCAGAGGGCATGCGGCTGATACGCGATGGCTGCTGATGTTGGCGCACCGATCCCTCGGCCGCAGCCTCCAAGTCACCCGTAAGCGGTAGCTGCTCGTCGCGCACCCGCACATTGCGCTGCGCAGCCCGGTTGATGCCGTCGGGCCCAATGGCGCGGCGGAAGAGCTCCAGAACATGGCGCACAATGGGTTGGATGTGTGGTTGCTCGAGTAGATGTGCTTGACGTGCGTCTTGAGCGAAAACCACAGCGCGATCAGGTAGGCCAAGGCAAAATTGCCGTGCAGCAGTACATAAAGGGCCGGACAGTCTCGAGGTAGAAAGGATCGTCGAGGAAGTTGACGTGGGTCTGCCGACACCGCTGCACCGCTCCCACGCTGTCAACCTCGTTGCGGCACTCAAACTCGGGCACGGCAAACGTGTGGTAGAACAAGGTCGGCGCAAAGGCACCGATGATAGACATGATGACCAGGGTGGCTGTGACTTCGGCGCTCTTGGCATTGAACCGCTGCATCTTGTGCTTAATGCCGCCGGCAATCATACTAGTGCCAGGCATCAGAAGCAGACCGGCAAGCAGTGAGCCCACAAGGGCGCCCTCAACCAGGCGCGCCTTACCTTGTGTCAGCGCAATAGAGTACAGGATGACCTCGACGATCGAGCCAAAGGTGGCGTTGATGACAGCGCCCATACCCAAGGACGACTGTGCGCTGATGGAGCTGACGGCCTGGCCGATAAAGTAGGCCAGTGGCATGGTTGACACCAGGCACAGCGGGAAGAGCACGCCGGGCTGCACAAGCGCATGCTGGTGGTGGGTCAGGGGCGCGATGATAAACGCGGCAACAAGCACAAAGACAGCCACCGACAGCATGTTGTAGATTAGGATGTTGACGCCGTCCACCGTGTACTTGTAGTAGTACCATCCAACGGCGTCGTTGGTGCACAGAAGCACTGTCGGCGCGGGCTGCTCCACAACGGCTTGCGGGTCGAGCTGCTCCGACGCATCACCAGCCGCCTCGCGTGATTCGACAGGTTGTGGCACCTTAACAGTGGGCAGGTCGCCCGAGCGGAAGTGGAGTGACAGCGGGTCACGCCAGAGGTAGCGCGTCAGTGTGTATGTCAGTTTGCCCATTGGAATCGAAAACACAGCAAACCACGAAAGCGCAGACACCAGAATCAGAATCGGATTAAGCACAGTGACAAGCAGTGCATAAAACACTACACGCCCAACCATTGTCTGCTTACGGAAGCGCGCGTGACGCACCGCTGCGCAAGACCAATCAGAAGCGTCATCCTGGGAGCCAAGCAGCGGCGCGTCTTCGTCATCATCCTCGTCGTCTGCGTCGCCAGCCTCCAGGGCCGAAGCACCTTCCGTATCCAAGGCGCAGCGCTCGCGCTCGTGCGCGTCATCCTTGATGCGCTCGACGTAACGGCCAAACGGCCACAGAAGGTACCATCCGAGCCCGGCAGCGACCCTGGCATACTGGCGACCGCCGCAGGGAACGATAAACAGAATGGCTGCAATCACCATGCACACAGCAAGCAGCTCCCAGCCAGCCAGCAGCATCCACGCAATGTTGCCTGGCTTCAGGAAAAGCTTGGCTGACCGCAGCGGCGTAGCGTGCAGGGCCAGAAACGCAGCGCGCGTCACCGAGCGCGACTTCTTGTACAGCGCCGGCTTCCAAATCGGCAGTCCAAAGGGATGCCGCGTGTTCAGCGCCTCCTGACGCGTGCGCACATTATCGTCCCCCTCTAGCACCCCCTCCGACTCGGTCGAACCGCTGGTCGACCCGTTAGTCGATGCCCTCCCGATCTCGGACTCGGACTCAGCCGAATCGTCAAACTCGCCCTCCATGGCCACTTGACGACGACGCCCTGTGCTGCGCCGCGACACAGGCAAGTTCTGCATGGACATGCGCCGGCTCGCCGACCGCTTAACTGGTTCACCCGCTGCGTACGACCTGCGGTAGTGCCGGTGTCGGTGGCCGCGGTCCCCCTCGGGGTGGTCTACAGAATGCTTACTGGCTGTCGAGCACGATATCGACCCGGACTCGCTGGAGTTTCCTCCTACCGAATCCGCGTCATGTGTACTCGCGTTGTGGTCGTCATGATGCCGGCGGCTATAGTGCTGGCGGTGCTGGGGTGTGGATGTCGATGCTTCTGCCTGCTGCTGCTGCAGTCTGCTGGCCTCTTGTTGAAGGAGCTGCTGGAGCCGAAACTCACTCTCATCCATGTCTCCAGGCGACAACGGAAGGTTGCTGTTGTCAGCGTCCATTTATATGCCTGTGTATATAAAAATAAGAAGAGGGATTCGAATTTTGCAAAAATGAATATGAAAACTTGTAGTTTAGTGGAAAAAATATTAATGCAAAGCTAATAAATATGTAAAAAAGAATTAAATAACAAATATTTTGTTAGTGAAAAAAGAAAAAGAAGCAATCTCCTCTTTGAAAAACAACACACGGACAGTATCCACGAGTGGCGATGTTGTCCTTTTTAAGAAATACGGGCACATCATTAAACAAAAAAAACATCACATTGGCGGTGGTATATTTTTTGACAAAGCAAATTAATGCATCCAAAGTTAGGTAAACAAAAGCAAATTTAAAAAATGGTTCACTCAATACTGCACTATTTACCTGCTTGCCACTCGTTTCCCTCCCCTCCTCCCCACATGCACTATCCGCCGCACTTTATTTACATTGGGGATGAGCTGGATCCAGGCGATGATGGTTGTGACGCAATCCACTATTACTGCGACCAGATCACCAAGCAGCTAAACATCCACGATATTTCACAATCCATTATAAAATTTGGTGTGAACAGGCGCTGAGCTGCAAAAAAAAGTAAATGTCGGAGCGCACACTCAGGCAAAAAAATCAATATTGTAGTTTTTATTGGGGTAAATCTATTGAGATTGTGCAGATTGCTATGGTAAAGTGTGTGTAAAGTTTTAAAAAAATGAATTGCTAAATACACTCATCAGATCAGATCACTTTTAGAAGAAAGCAAAGCCACACAATAGTGTTGGAACAATCCAATTTGTGAGCCTCCAATATCATGCAAAAAATCGGACGACTAACTGAAAAAAATAAAGTTACGTTGGCTGTATTATTCCCACGCATCGAATGTTTTGAAAAACATTAAGGCGGCTTACTCGATAATGCCGATGAGCCACAACTGACAATTGTCGTTGCCATTGCCACCGCCACATCCTGCTCACAACTCTTTCTATCCTCCTACTTCCTCAAAAGTATTCAATAAACACAATGTGCGTGCCTCCAGATAGATAAAGCGCAACTAATAAATTACAGTATTGAAAAATGAAAACCAAAGTGAAATATATATTTTTTAACTTATGTCTTCTGATACAGTCCATTTTGCTGCTTTGCCAGCTTTGACAAAAATACTATGTAAAAATGTAACATTTTTACAGATAAATTAGCAGTATACCTGTAAAATTATAATCACGCGCGTAGTAGATTTTCGGCATTACGTATACCCGAAATATAAAAAATAGTAGGCTGGTCATGTTACCAATTAAGGCGTATAAAAGAATAGAATTTTCCGAGCATGACGCACGAGTATGTAATTATAAGTTGTCATAAAAATATATCCGCTTCGCTGGTAGCAAAAAATTAAAATAAAACTAAAATAAGTTGGCCACAGCTTTTTTTCATTCTCACACTCACCCTTAACATTTTTTTCACACGTCAAATTATTAAAAATGTGACCATGCATGTGCAGACCATATGATGTAAACAAAACATTATGACATGAATATAATATTACTGTGATGTATTCTACATAAAATTATGTGGGCATTAATAAAATAAAGTAACATGGTGGTCAAATAGGTATTTTTTGCAACAATTGTATAAGAAAACAATATAGGCATGCTTTCAAAAATGGCATCTAACAAATTAAAAAAGACAATGCAAATTTTTTGCTCGCAACTGCTTATACAAGAAAAAGGGCACATTGCACAATGTAATATTCATGTGGCAACGCATGCAAAAAGATGTCACTAAAAGAATGACTGAATGTTATATTACATTTGTTTTATTTGGACTTTTTTGCACATAAATTGCCTGTTTAATTTCAAAAAAAATTTATTTTTATTTTTACAATAAAAATCCGCAATTGTGCAAAACAAGATAAAAATCAGCAATATCTGCACTCGCGTTGATATCTGCATTTTATTACTTCCAACCAAAAAATGTGATACAGTCTATAACATTTTCTTTCATAAACTGTCCTTTTATTGGTCCTGTAAATGTTATAAATTTTTTCGTCTACGATGGCTTGGCAATTTACGTTCGTGCATATAGGCAGCATAAAGAAATAAGATGACAATACACCTGTTTGCAAGAAATTAATATTTTGTCTGTCCAATATACGCCGGTCGACATGAGCTCGCATATCAGTCAGAACGCTGTTTTCTCACCCTTTTTTCTTGGGTCCAATAAAGTATAATTAGAAAGAGCAAATATATATAACGTGTGCCTCACATTGGTTTATCTGTAATCTGAATTATGACGCATTGCATTTCAGAAATACTCGTTTATTTAAAATAAATGGCATTGTATTATATCTTCCAAATGAACTGCAAGTGTTGCATTTGTTTGTTTTTTACTTGTCTTAATAATATTATTGTTCTAGCATGTTATAAACACAATTATTAAAAACAGTATATTTCAGATAGTGCAATTACAATCAAGGCTTATAAACACATTTACAACACAGTGGATGTAGAAATAAAATGCAAAAAAATAGGGATGAGCGAAATGTGAGAGAAACGCCACTACACTATCCCCTCTTTGCTACCCTCTCTTGCAACCCCTTTCCTGCACTTGTTTTTAAAAAACAACAAATTTATCTTCCCGGGTGGGTTGCGTAGGTTGAAAAGACAAAACAAGTTCATCTTCATATTACTCTACCAATGAACGGCGGTGTTTAAAAGAGGAAAAAAGGATCAATTCAAATAAAAAAAACTAGTTTTTCTATTTTCTGCATTACCTTTTTTGGAAAGAAATTGTGCCAGTGTAAGTGGATTAATAATGGATAAGCCTTTTTGGATTGTTTTTTTGCGAATGAATCGGTCGATTCGGGCTGAATGAGGTAAAGTAAATTTGATATCCACTTTGTGCGGAAAATAAATCCTTCGAATTTCGGCTCCGTCGGCACAATAGTATCTGTTTGTACAAAAACTATCTTTTCTGCTTTGCTTTAATGCCAAAATTGCTGTAGACATGACGGTTTAAGCGCCATCTTGCTATTCTTTGCCCAGAAAAATATGTCCATCATAATATTGAAGTGGTTCCACACTATAACGATACAGTGAAATTTGTTGTTTTTGCTGTAGTATATTTCATCCCTTCTATCTTTTTATTTTAAACATGCCATACAACGCTCATTCTGCTTTGTCCTTTTTAGCTTGGCATTTATATTTTTATTTGCACTTGTGATTTGCATTGTTTATTTTTACATTTTTACATTTACCCCCCCTCCTCTCACCCCTTGCCACTGACTTCCCCATCCCACCCCCCCTCCTCCCTGTTTTTGCTGCCTTGCATGAAGCATTTATTTGTTACGTTTGTGATATAAATTTTTGTTAATTATATGCCCCCGTCTCTTCATCTCAATATACATAATAAAAACTAGAAACAGCGATTCTAGCTCCACGCCTTTTCCTGTATCCCTTTATCACCATTTCATTCATTTTGATTTCAGAGGAACAAGTCAAATACTATATAAATTGTAACCCCCATTCCGCCATCCCTCCCCACGCCTTGTTTCTTTGCAATTTCCATTACTCTAATATTTTCCATTTCCAGAAAAAATATAATTATTTCGTATTTATTCCCGACAAGACCTTTTCTTTTTTGTTGGCTTACTATTCTGTTGCACTTCTAGTTATAAGCAACAATACACTCCACACATTTATCTTGGACCACTGTTTGCTAGTCCTCTGCACTTTCACCAACAACTTCAATCATTCAAAGACTCAATTTTTGTTTACTTTTGTTTACTTTCAAACCACTGCCACCGCGACTACATCCTCCTTTTTGATTGCACTCAGTATAGGCTCATCTTTATTTTATTTAAATATTCTGCTTCATTTAAAACGAATATCCCTTTGTCATATCCGTTATTGTCACCCACATACTAAGCAGATATTGCTCTCTTCGACTTGCGATTGCGCTTTTTCAAAAAATCGACAATCTCAATTTAATTTTGCGCATACGGGGCAATCTTTTGTCTCAATTTGTTTTATTATCACGCCAGTCTGTTTTTCGCTTGCGCTTTTATAATTTTTTTAGGCAGATACCTCCCTTTTTTGACAGTCATTTCGGTCATTTTATTTTTTCATTGACGATAGCTGATAGCCTTTTCTATTATTTTATTATAAGTACTTTATCTTTCTTGCTTGACTAATTGTGCTCGCATTGTCACACACTTTTCACACTTCTCACACTTTTTTTACGTCTATTATTTTACCCTTTTACGGCAGTTTCTATTTCTAAATACATTTTCTTTTCCTCCACTTCTATTTTTCTATTTTTGTACCCACTCTGCCCCTCGCATTCGCATTTAAACTCAGACACTTTACAACAAAAAATTTTACTCACACAATGGGCACCCACACTCAAATCTCTCGAGTCACTTTGCCTTTGCACTCTCCGAGAAGGGTCAATAGCGACGACACTAGATGTGACCAAAACAACAGGGCACACACAGCCGGTTCTAGAATGAACACTCGTTTACTTTACAAATAGTGAACGTTGTGATTCGCCCATGTATTACCATGCCGGATGTGCAGAAAAAGAAACGGACAAGCAGATTATTACAACCTTCGACAACAGCACTTCTGACTACGAGAATGCGGATATGCTCCCAAACGAGGCCGACATCAACACGATGGATGTGGCTGAGCTGCGCAAGCAATGTTGACCCTTGTCCGCTTGCGCAAAACGGCATCTCCCAAGTCTGCAGCGGCCATCCCAGACTCACTCCCGGCTTCCACATTCACTCTCCAACCCTTCCTATGCGCCATCATCTATTGCCTCCGCTTCGCCACCTCCTGCTAGTGCATCGGTTCTTGAAATTCCAAAACCTGCTGCCAGCCGCAATGACGCGGCATCTGATGCTAAGGATAATTTGCAGCCCCGCAAAAGACACCGCTGCGACTCGGATGTGTCTGTATCACAGCAGCGGATGGGCATAGATCTGCTGCTTAATGCATCAACGCTGTCCGACCATATGGACTGCCAAAAGTCGCCTGTCATGCACAGCCCAACGCAACAGACACTGTCACCAACGCCCATTGCCAACAGCTGGCCTGGCGCTTGCAAGCTGCCAGCGCTGCCGCCAATTTCTCAGTTTGAGCGTGGCTGCGGCAACGAGTTGGCAGGCAGGCAGTCTTTTCACCTGGTTTGTCTCCTATCAGCGCACATCCGTTGTCTTCGCCGGTGGAAGGTTCTTTTGGGGTGGGTTCTTTTGGCGCATCGTCGCTGGAGGTATACAGAATTGGCGGTTACAGCAACAATAGCAACGCAAGAAGACAGTCTACGCATCACGGCGCAACCACAAGCCTACTCCTCCCGCTCATGTTGGCCGCCCGCTCGCAGCCCAGCACTGCACACCGTTTGTCTCCGCCAGAGCCCACTACAACATATCGACTGGAGTCACTTCATCACAGGAGATCCATCGCTCTCCCTCTCAGGCAAATGCCCTATTGTCTCCCAGCAACACAATGGCCGCAATGATGTTCACTCCAAATGGCACTGAGGATAACAGCCCCCATCGCCAACAGCACTATCAACATTGCGCACAACATCCTCCTCGTACACTCATAGCCAACAGCTGGCATCTCCGGCATATACGTTTGGCCAGTCGCCCAGCCAAGGCCCTTCATCTGCGCATCATGATATTTATTCCCAAGCGCATGGATACTTTATGCACCAGCAAAACCAGCACCAGCACCAGCACTCGTCTCAGGCTCATCCCCATGCTCACTCTTCTCAGCACACGGCAGCCATGCACGCTAGCGCGCCCGGTGGTATTTCGCCAGTGGCAGCTATGCCCGCTGCAAGAAATGTGAGCAAGCCAAAGTTCAATTATGCGTTTTTGGACACCAAACGGCCTCGCGGTCCTTCTGCTCGTTGGTCGGTGGAGGAGGACATTTTGCTTAAGCGCGCTGTCAAGCAGTATGGCGAGGACAGGCAGTGGGTGAAGGTTGCCCAGCAAGTTCCTGGTAGAACCAACTTGCAGTGCCGCCAGCGCTGGCTGTGCAACATCAAGGCGCAGGTAGACAAGGAGTACAAGGTCCCCAAGTAAAAAATTAAAAATTAAAACCTTGCACGGCAATAGGTTTTCCCAGCAGTGTGTCTGCTTGATCACACGTTTGTCGCATGTTCATTTATTTTCCATTTTATTTTATTATTTACCCATGTTTTATTATATAAATTAATTGTTTTCATTTATTTTTATTGTACCAACATATTGTCTAAACAAATTTCTATAAAAAATAATATGCAATGAACATGTGGAATGTCACATTGTGATTTTAAAATAGACAAGTTATTCTCACAAAAAACAAATGGGCATAAAAAAGGGATATGTATGGCATGCAATTCACACAATTAAGCAAATAAAAATAAATGAATTCAAACTACAAGAAAACAATATATTTGACAAAATAGCAAAAAAATAATCGGAATACGCGTGATACGTTGACAAATAGTAAATTCCAATTTATTTGACATTCTATAAATTGCATGGAAAATATTAAAAATAAAAATATTGCAGAGCTCATGTGAAAAATATGACACCAATTTGATCACTTTGAAATAGCCATATTATAAACATGGAACAACGTATATCCGCAACAATATCCAATCATATTTGTTTTTAATTTTTTACATTTAGAAGTGATATCATTAATTCTCTAAGCCCATTGCTTGAATATGACATACATACAGTGATCGTGATTCGAAAGTATAGAGAGCTACAAAAATTTGATATTCCTTATTTTACTTTTTTATTTAGCGGAGGAAGTAAGCAAATTGGCGAGACAAATTAATTTATCGTGGCTATTTCTTTTTAGAATTATTTCCTGTTTAATTAATTTGAGGAAAAAAGGGAATAAGCAGAGTACATTACAATTGCATGGCATGTATGTCACAGTAATTAATTGTGTCAGACGTACTTGAAAACAAACCAACCAAAAAAATAAAAAAGTAAAAAGGTGGATAATATTGACAACGGCCACATTGTCCATTGTAATTGTATTCATAATAATAAAAAATTAGGTGGTCGGGAAAAGTAGGAACGATAGAAAATAGGGAATTTATAAAAGCAATTATCATCGAACATGCCTATTCTAATACCAGTGCATTTATTCTTGCGATAAGGCTAATATAATTTTTTTTACACGAATAACCCAGCCCCTTTTATTTTTCATGTGTATTTTTAAACAACCATTAATTTAAGGTCATGTGTATGTGTGAGAAAAAATAGAGGGATAGTAGTTTGAGGATGCAGCTAAAAACAAACAAATAATGCATGCCAGCTGAGTGCGCATTGCAATGATTTTCTCCTCTCCCCAATCCACAACATATTTGCTGCAATTTTGCTTATACTTAATTTTTTTATATTCGAACACTCGTTTGAATGAAGCAATTGATGTGAGAGAAAATGTGGATATCACTTTGCCAAGAAACAGTCGCAGATAAATAAAATATGTGTGGAATGCACACAGAAGCACTGATAATAATAATGGGGGATATATACATGTACAAATGCATTGTATGCATCGAGTGCACATATATAATATTATTTTTTATAGTCTTGCATTGAGTGTATATACGCACTCAATGCTTTTTTATTTATCTAAAAGATGCTAACTGGGATCGACCTCAGAAAACAAAGAAAACAATTTTTTTGATGCGCTCTACTGGGATAATGGATGTTTACAAAATGAAAAATAAAAATCTACGTAATTGGCGAAAATAGAAAAAATAAAAAATTTTACATTAGATTTCCTTCTGTCAGATCTTCTCTTGCATGCCTTGTTTCGATAAAAAATTTTAAATTTTTTTTGGAAAATCATCAGTTATTCTTGTTGCAAGCCGGTTGTTATTTGCTTTCAATTACATTGAGATTTTCGAGATGTGTTTAATTTTCTTTATCATTTTCAGTGGTTTGTTTTTTATGATTCAGATAAACAAACATGCATTTCAGAATGAGCAGCACAAAAGCGCATCGTACATCGCATCGTGCTTACATGGCAAGAACCTTTGTCAACACTATAATTTTTTTTAAAATTGCACAATTAAAAAAGCTGTCCTTCATCAACGGGTGTTTTTGTTTATTTTAAGCAGAGAGAAAAGAAGAGAAATCGATGGCCAACTAAATCAAGCACAACCCAGTCAGAATAAAACAATTAAAAAAGAAGGGGGGAGGAAAAGAGCCTCAGTGCTTGTTACACCTTACTCGTCAGCGTTGGTGCAGTCCCTGGAGAAGTGACCAATACCGCCGCAGTTGTAGCACTCGACGTTCGAGTTGCGTCCACCTCTGGCACCACCCTCGGGGCAGTCGCGGGAGATGTGGCCGACCTGGCCGCAGCCGTGGCACTCGCGGTTATCAGCACCGCGGCTCTCGCGGCAGTTACGGGAGATATGGCCAATCTGGCCGCAAGTGTGGCACTCGCGGTCGTTGGAGCGGTAGGGGGCAGCACCAGTGTTATCGGGGCAGCTGCGGGCGATGTGGCCAATCTGGCCACAGATGCGGCAGTCACGGGTGTCAGCGCGGGGGGCAGCAGCACCGGTGTTATCGGAGCAGTCACGGGCGATGTGACCAATCTGGCCACAGATGCGGCAATCGCGGGTCTCGGCACGGGGGGCACGGGGGGCACGAGGAGCGGCAGCGCCGTCACTCTCGGGGCAGTCGCGAGCGATGTGGCCAATCTGGCCGCAAACACGGCAGTCGCGGGTCTCGGCACGGGGGGCACGGGGGGCACGAGGAGCGGCAGCGCCGTCACTCTCGGGGCAGTCGCGAGCGATGTGGCCAATCTGGCCGCAGACACGGCAGTCGCGGGTCTCAACACGGGGGGCACCCTCGACGTTGGTGGGGCACTCGCGAGCGATGTGACCAACCTCCTGGCAGTTATGGCACTGGGTGGGCTTCTTGGCTCTGCGGCGAGTGCGGGGGGCACGGGGGGCGGATGCCTCGGCGGAATCACCCTCGACAGCCTCCTTCACCTCCTTAGCGGCCTTGGGCTCCCTGGGCGCCTTGGGCTCCCTGACGGCGCGGGGCTCAGTGCAGTCCTTAGAAAGGTGACCCTTGTTGCCGCAGTTGAAGCACTCGCGGTGCGAGTTGTCGCGGGGCTTGTCGCACTCGGACGAAACGTGTCCGGGCTGCTCGCAGTTGAAGCACACCTTCTCCTCGGTCTCGCACTGGCTAAGCCTGTGTCCGGGTTTTCCACACTTGTAGCACAGCATCTCTCAAAAAAATCTCTCTCGGGTTCTTACGAAAAGGGGTCTACACATAGTGAGAAAAAAGGTCATTTAGTTCTGTAATTTGGCAATCTGGTTAAAAGCATTAAAAATTGACGGTGTTTGCTGCCTCTGTACAAGCGGGGGCAAGAATGGCAGCACTTGGTGATAAAGAAAAGGCGTTACTATGCAGCAAAAAAAGGACGGAGCTCTGTCGGCAGAGGTCCTCATGCGTGCGTTGTTGAGATGCTTACAGAAAGTAGGGGGGTGTTTGCAAATAAAAATTTAATTATTACAAGTAGACAAGAAAGGGACGCGAAAAGGAAAAAAATTTAAAAGCTCAAAAGATACTTTCCCAACTAGCTCGCTCCATCCAAACCACTGCTTGGTGGCCGCAGAACAAAGCAAAACAAAAAGCAGGAAATACACACTGATTCTCAGCATTTCTATTTTTTTGCACCCAACGTAAAATTTTAGCATTTTTTGCTCATCGAGCTTTGGCTGGGATTTACCAGTCCAAGGGAGGGGGGGCTCTACAAAGCAAGAAAATTAAAATGTGATCATAATAAATTGCCGCAACCAAAAAAAATACTGCAACGTAGTGTCAGAAAAAAAAAGTGAGAAAATTTTCTCCAAGACAAAAAAAATTGAGGGAGGCAAGTTTTCCGGAAAATGGCTTGATCAAATTATAATTACTTTAAATAATTTTGATCATGGAACAAGGATTGGCAACAAAACCCGCATCACAGGACAAAAATACAAGTACAAAAATAAGACGCCTTATAAGCGGGCGGCTTTAATTTGATGCGCTGGACAAAAAATGTTCACGCCTCGCTCAGAGAAATAGATCCAAAGGTCCACTTGCTCGTTTGACGAAACCTTGTTCTGTGTTAAACAACTAACGGCTATAGCCGCCATGGTCTGTGGATAAAGCAATCTGTGCGCTGCTTGTGGAGATAGGTGGCCGTAGTAGAGGGTGCATTCCTTGGCTTTGCACCTGGCTGCTGCTGCTAAGTCTCTGCCAAACGATTGCACTTAGTTTCCTACCTTTTAACGAAATGTAAGGGCAAGTGCGTAAACACAATCTTGAAAGTACTCCACAAATTTGAGATTTGTTAAAGTGATATTGTCGCATTAAATCAACCAAAAATTAGCCGATTAATGCACATGAAAGTTGGTTTGTCATCGTTCACAAAATTGCGTGCGCCAATTTCCTAGCCGCTTGGCAAATGCAAAAACATCGCAGGCGGACATATGTTTTCCACACGTATCCCTTTTTTTCTTCCCACCAAAAACTGGCATTTATATCACAAACCAATATTGTACTTTACCTTACTTATTCCACTTAATATCAGCTTAGCATACGAGTCACTCTACACATAATAAAAAAACGACCCAATTTTCAACAGAAAAAAACAAACCAAATTCTTCGATTTTTTCTTGGTCCTAAAAAATGGAGGGAGACAACGAAAACAGAGGTGCCTTTCCACAGTCAGACGCAGCGCACACTCACAGCAACACAGTAGAGGGTCTCCCTACAGCCGAAACATCGCAGCTGCCAGTCCGTAGCTCAAACACCAGAGCACACTCCACATTATCGCGGTCGTCTCCATACACTGTGACGCATAGCAATGTGCGGCACATGGCAGCAGGAGACGTGGCCAATATTCCACGGACTGCTCAGTACCACGCAGTCGGCATGCCCGCTCGCCATCCGTTGGGAGTGCAGTCAGAGTCAGTGCACTCTGATGTGTCATCGACAGAGTCCATTGACAGTAATGGCGTGGATTATAGCGAACCGGTGGTAACTGCAGCACCGCTTGGGAGCAGGGCAGACGTGGATGTGGATGATAGCGGCGCTACAGGGATGGTTGACGAGGATGAGGATGTGGGCGAGGGACAGGCACTATTGACTCCACTGGGGCTGTTGGATGGAGGCGAGGAAAATAGTGCCCGAGGCGAAGATGGAGGCAGCGGTGGCCATGCGGATGATACTAACAGCAGCAGCAGAGCAAACAGCTTGAGTGACAGTAGACCCAGGGGGCATTTGACAGAAGAGGGGTCAATGGGTTTCCCGAAAGGAGACAAATACCATCGGGGAGCAGAATAGCAGGAAGCCACAAGCAGCTGCAGCAGCAGCCGGCATCCAGTCCAATTGTACTGAGTGGCAGTGGAGGCAGCCTGGGTTGTCCCATTTGCCTCGGCACAATTTGTGAGGCTTTCATGACTGCCTGCGGCCACTCCTTCTGCTACCGCTGCATTTCGCGCCACCTGCTCGAAAGGCACACATGCCCGACATGCCAGCAGCCCCTAGAAAGCGACCAGATCTTCCCCAACTTTACACTGAATAAGCTGATAACCCACGGATCCCCCGACATCAAACCACTCACAGGCAGCAAATCCCAACAGCAGCAAGAGCAACAACAGCGTGTATCGAGCATATTGGACCAGGTTCGCAGCAGCGTGGAAACTGGTGATGGGCTGGACTCGGAGGACATTGATACGCTTTTGACCCTGCTTCAGCAAAAAAAACAAGCCATGCGCAGCTACAAGCGCCAGTTCGAGATGGCGACAATGCGGCAGTTTCTTTTGATCGCGCAGGCGAAGAAGGCAGGCGAAATGGAGGCACTGCGCAAAGAGCTCACAGTGGTCGAGGAGGACCTAGACTTTGTATCGACACAGCTTGACGGGTTTGCGCAGAGCAGCGAGACCTTTAATGACGGAGCCCGGGCCCGAGAATGCGCGGCAATAGTGGTGTGTGGGAAGAAGAACCAGATGGCAGAGGGCGCCCAGGTGCCCAATAATGCGCCCTTGAGTGCGGATGAAACCGCGCTGCTGCCGCGGAATAAGCGCGTCGAGGAGCACTTTGCCGATCTCGAGTCCTTTTACTTCAATACGCGCATGCGCGGTGTGGGCGAAGAAGGGCTGGATGAGTTCCTTGAGACTCTGACAAAGTTTGCCCGGCATGAGAAGTTCCGACCTGTAGCCACGCTGCGCTATGGGGACAGTACGGCGAGCACGGCTATTGTGGCCAGCATCGAGTTTGACCGCGACGACGAGATTTTTGCGGTGGCCGGGGTTACGCGCAAGATCAAAATCTATGACTACGGTAACGTCATTGAGCAAGCCGAAGCGTGGAGCGAGCTGGCGCAGTACCAGCAGCAGAAGCGCGGCAGGCAGCAGCAACAGCAGCAGCATTCTCAGGACTGGTGGAATCGCGAAGTGGAGGCTGGCAGCACCAACGGCGGCGGCGGCGGCGATGATAGTGGGATGATGGCCACAGCGCTGCAGTACCCTGTGGCCGAGTTCACCAACCGGTCAAAGATCAGCTGCCTGTCGTTCAACCCGTACATCAAATCGCAGCTAGCATGCTCGGACTATGACGGCACAGTGTCACTCTGGGACGTCGGCGTTGGCACATCGACGCTGTCGCTGGGCGAGCACGAGAAGCGCGCGTGGAGCGTGGACTTTTCGCATGTCGACCCGACCCGGCTATGCAGCGGCAGCGACGATGGCAAGGTGAAGATCTGGACGACAAACAGGCGAGCCTCCGTGATGACCATCGAGGGCAAGGCCAACGTCTGCTGCGTGCGGTTCAACCCTTTGCATGGCAACATTCTGAGCTTTGGCAGCGCCGACCACAATGTCCACTGCTTTGACCTGCGCTCGCCCAAACAGCCTCTGTGTGTGCTGCGCGGTCACCGCAAGGCTGTGTCCTATACGCGGTTTTTGTCGCCCGACGAGATCATCTCGGCGTCGACGGATTCGTCGCTGAAGCTGTGGAGTCTGCGCACGCAGGAGTGCGTGAGGACGTTTTCTGGACACGCTAATGAGAAGAATTTTGTTGGACTGACGACGTCGGGCGGAGATTGGATTGCGTGCGGTAGCGAGAATAACACCATGTACGCGTACTACCGCAATCTGTCGCATCCCGCGGTCACGTACAAGTTTGGCAATTGCAATCCGGTCACTGGAATCGAGCAGCCTGAGGAGGATCCTTCGCTGTTTGTCAGCGCCGTGTGCTGGAAGAATAGGTCCAATACAATGCTTTCGGCAAACAGCCAGGGTATTATCAAGGTGTTGGAGCTAGAGTAAAAGTTTCTCTTTTTTTGTTAAGCATGATTCAAGTGTTTTTTCATGCCATAATTTAAAATATTGCATTTCTATATAAACCGCAGCCTGTCACTCCCGGTTTTTTCACTCATTTTTTGCGTACTATCGTCACTAAACAACAATATTCTAAATACTTACGCACACTCAAACACGCACGATGAAGGAGGTTATCACTTTGCAATTTGGCGAGCAGGCCAACTACGTCGGCATGCACTACTGGAACATGATGCAAGCAGCGGCACTGCTCAGCGCAGACACGCAGACTCAATACCCGGTGGACATGGACACGCTATACTGCGAGCGACCGGGTCTGCTGGAAAGTGCACAGCGGGAGCACCAGGCATACGCGCCCCGCGCGCTGATATTTGACAAAGTTGGCAATTTCGGATCTCTCGATGACCAGGACACAGATGCCAATAAGCGCAAGGCCGATCAGGAGGAGGGCACGCAGTGGGGCAGCGGTACGCAGCAAACTGAGGTGTACCGGCAGCCGCTGTACTCTCGGCGCCCGATCTCGGACGTGCACGAGAGCAATATACGGTTCTGGTCCGATTACGCCGAATTGAACTACCACCCACGCACGCTGAATTCTGTATCGGGTGTTGAGTTTGGCAACAGTCTCGGGCAGATGAACACATTCCAGGAGGGGCAGGGCGTGTTTGCCGGAGAGAACTCTAGGGAGGACGTGTTGGAGGGCCGTATGCGCGAATTCGCCGAGGAGTGCGACCAAATCCAGGGATTCCAGGTGCTGGCTGATGCCTACGGCGGATTTGCTGGATATGCATCGGCTTATATGGAGAAAGTGCGCGAGGAGTTTCCCAAGACCACCATTGCCCTGTATAATGTCAGTGGATCGACCGTGGAGAGCATGGAGGTGGCGCACCAGATGGACGCGGCCATATCCCTGGCTACGGCGCTTGAACTGGGCGTGCCAATGGTTGTGCCTCTCTTTGCGCCCTCGCATATGGATCGGCTGCGGCCGGGGATTGATGTTCGCAGTGGATTGTTCCAGAACAGCGCATTCCTCGCTATGAATGTTGCTCAATGGAGTCATCCATTGCTCACGCGCGTGCGGTCCCTGGACGAGATCGTCGATCAGACCACGCAGCAGCAGTACTTCAGACTGGCAGAGTCCCTGCTCGCTCCCGGAATTCATATTGGAGAGGGTGCCAAGTTTGAACAGTTGGGCGGGCTGCTCGGGAGCCAGTTTGCTGCCTGCTCCGCTGTAGAGGTTGGAGCTGTGGAGAGGCTGGCTGGACAGCTGTTTGTTGATCGTGGAACGGCGCTCACAAGGGTAGTGTCGGAGAGATATGATCATTCGGCGTATCTGGACTGCAAGTCACCCGTGGCGTTGTCCAGATCGTTCCCGCCGATCTTCCGCGGAATCTCGTCCAACGGAAAAAGGACTACCGACCTGTCCGCTCAGAATGCTCATCAGAATGCTCAGCCTGCCATCAGCCCAGAACGTAAGTCCCAAATTAAAAATATGAAATGCAAAATAGCAAACCGATCATGTCTCGTCCTTTTCGTTTTTAATTTAAAAACATCTCATCATGTTGCCAAACCGTCTCATCAATGTCATTTTTTTATTTGTAGGTCCTGAGAGTGTCGGTGTGGCAGGATTGCTGTGCACAACAACAGGCTCGACAAAGTTTGTTGAGAAGCTGCACTATTCACTCAAGACTGAACGGTCCAAGCATCTAAAGGACTATGAGCGTGAATCAATACGCGAATTCAGATACACTTTGGACTCAACCATCGACAAGTACTCGAGTATCTGAATATGTATCTTTTTTTACGCATCTATTAAGAAAAATTTCTTTAAAATTTCATTATTCTGGGCTTTTTTTGGACAATGTTTTTTTTACGATCGACAGCCATTTTTTCTGCTCTCTTTGTTTGTGGTCACAAAACATCCTACAAGCACAAAAAAAAGTTTTTTTCAAATTGCGCGTTGTCTGTTTAATGTTCTTATTGTTAAAAAAACTATCTGTTTTGTGATCGACAGCAATATATGGATGATAAAAGTGGTTGAGCTGCATTAAATTTTTTTCGGAACTGAAAAAAACCAATGTTCATCTTTATCCTAATTAAGTCGGGACTTGATATTGTGCGTTTAAAGGCGTCATGTGAGTGAGAGAGAAAGAGTGAGAAAGCAAGAGTGACAAGTACTATTGTTGTACCTTAAGTAACGTCATTTTTACTTTATATTCTACTACCTTTTAAAGAATAAATTTTCTCTTTTAAATTTCAGTGTTTTTCTTCTTTTCCAAGGATTGTATTGTGTTTTATATTCCACCGTTTAAAATAATTTTTTATCTCATTTTATCCTGTTTTTATTATATTCTAGGTTTTTGCGTATTGTCGGTAATAGCGAACAAGTACAAAAGCAGCACAAGCCACACAAGCAGCAGTTTTTTTTGTGCGGCGCACAAACATAAAAATATCTCTTTTTCAATATTCAACCCTTCAATTGTCTTTTTTATTTATTTACTTAAACAGACCGTATCTATAATCGAAGCGGAGGTGGCTTAAAATTCCGGGACCATTTTAACTGCATTTTTTGTAAACAGTAGCTTTTCTGTCCTTGTTTATCTTATTTTACTTCTACTGCATGAACGGACGCATGTAGTTTCCCCAGTTTTATTTATTTATTTTTCCTTTATCCTTTTTTTGCTGCCAACTATAAAAATAACGGTAGTGTGCCTGGTGTAGAGTACAACATTTTTATTGTTTTTTTACTCCCTTTTTTGTGAACCAAAAAACTTTTCATTATCTTTTTTCATTACCTTTCTTGCGCATATTGAACGCATATTGAAAATCTGACATACCAAAGAGGAATATAGAAGCTCACACTGTCAGTATCCCCAGTATCCCTTCTTTATCCAACAAGCCCAAGTAAAAAAAGGAACCTAATACTCTCTATTCTTGTACTTCACACACCTACTTTTTATACCTTATTCCTTGCTTCTACAAAAAAATCACCATCTTCAGCACTATACCCGCAAATTTTGATTTCTCACCTCGTTTTTACTCTTACTTTTTTAATTTACACGGTCAGCAGACGTTTTGACTCCACACTATAATGGCGACTTTATCAGCAGGTGCGGCCAGTACACCACAGTCAGTAGTACACTCAGTCAGAAACAGCATGGACAACACAGACAGAGCATTCGCGTCCCGACTAACACGGTGTCGACAATGGCTTCATCTGCGGCGCAACGTGCAATACACAGGAGGCAGTGGGTGCCCAGATATCTACGACACAAGCATTGGACTGCCCTCGCCAACATCAACAACGGTAATGAGTGAATGCTTCAGTACAGGAGAGCCATTTAGCAGCGGCGACGCTAGCTCGCCCGCGTCTACAGCATTTGTGGACGGTGATATTGGGTACCAGCAGGCAAATGGTGCGCAGCCGTTCCATGTTATGCACGCACGGTGGAGTGGGTGTCTGGCACAGACGCTGAGCAGCCGGCAGTCAGTTCGCAGTGCCCGGCGCGTGAACACGCTGCGGAGTCGCAGCAGCGCAGTACGAGAGGAGGGGGCGGCGGCAGCAGCTCATGCACATTGCTTGCGCACAGCAGGACAGTCTTCACATCCTGGAAGCGGGGGCTCAGTATGCAGCTTGGCATTTGCAGGGCATCCGGGCGATGCGGCTACCAATATTGTGCCTTTGGCTTCGAGTGCTATTGCGGAGGGTGCTGCTGTGGAGATATTGCCTATGCCCACATTGTCAGAGGAACACAGCAACGACAGTGGCAGCTGGGAGTGCGCGTGCGTCGAGTGCGCAGAGGCGGTCAATGGAGATGGCAGCAGAAGTAGCAGCAGCGATATTATTCCAGAGCGGCGGTCATCATTAGTGTACAATGACACGCCATATATGGCGGTCGACGACCATGCGGCGTTCCCGCAGCATTACCTGCATGCGCAGCCGCATATGATGTGCCGGGACCACTACCATACGGTCAGTGGCGACTACTCAGCCGCTGACAGCGAGTATGCAGAGTACAGCCGCTCATCGCTGCCGCCCAACACCAACGTACACATTATGGCGCCCGAAGTACCCGAGCACCCGCCGGCCGCGACACCAGATTCCGCTACAAGTGGCTTACAGTCAGCGACTATTCCGAGCGCCTCAGTCATTGCACACATTTTTTCAATAGGCGAGCCCACGCAGCAGCCTGGCCACAAGGGCATTTCGCGCGCGAGCCGGTTGACACGCCGCATCCGCGGCCTGGTCTCCCGCAAAATAAAACCGGATACTGTGTGGCGCCGCCAGGCACGTGCCTGCTCTGAGGCCCTTCTCGACGCTCTGGCAGCCGAGTCCACATTTGCCTCGTCTATCCGCGTGCTCTCGCGCACTCGCAGCAGCACACAATCGCCCTCGTTCTGCTTGCGCGCAGACCGCGTGCACCTGAACCAATCGCGGCTCCTCCGCTGCATACACGTGCTTTTTGTGCTTCAAGTGCCTGCAGAGGAGCGTCGCTCGCGCCACTATCGTTTTTACTTGCCTGAGGATGACCAGTTGGAGCTGGACCGCGGATTCAGCGAGAGCGTCTTGTTTGCTGCCCAGGCATTGGCTCGCGGATACCAGATTCGCGGAACTGAATTACAGACGCAGGCGCTGCGCGAACCTGCATGGCTTTTGTGCTCCGTGTGGGCAGCCATCAGGCACGTCATATATTCGCGCGGCGGCGAGCTGTGGTCGGCGTGGAACAGTGGGCCGGAGCAGGGCCATGAGGAGGAGTTTCAGGCCTTGAAGCGCGTCTTGCTTGATTTTGACGAAGCTTGGGTGCGCTTTGAGCGGGACTTGTGCTTTGCCTACTTTGGCTTGGGGAACGCGCAGCTTGTCAATATGCTGGGTGACTCAGAGGATGACGAGGGCCGCGTTGCGCAGGAGGAGGAGTTTTCTTTGCTCGTTGTACTGCTATCCGAGACGCTGCAGAGGTGCCGAACCCTTGAGCTGGTCACGGAGGAACAGATTGAGGCTATGGACCCGCAGTTCATCCTGGCGCTTCCGCGCCTTGCCATTATTCATGCGATTGGACGTGGCGGTGTCGAGGGCCTCTGCTTTGTTGAGTCGGAGGACGGCCACCAGCAGGCCGGCACATCCGACCACGCTGCGGTGTTTTGGTGGTTCCGTGAGTACGCTGAGCAGTGCCGCCGCATCAGCGACACGCTCGCTCGCTGGCCAGACGGCCTCTTCAATGTGCTTCAAATGGTGCTTGTCGCTGAAGAGGCTGATGTTGCGCTGGCTGGGGCCGAAGACATCCTGAGTGATATGCTGCAGGTGGCTGCCGAGCTTGATTCCCAGCGCGTGACCGCTGATCTCGAGTCCATGATTGACGGCCCGCGGTCTGCTCGCTCCATGTCCATCGACTGCATATCCTCTATTTGCGCGCCGCCATTGCTGTGCACTGGTCGTGCGCATGCCAAATCCCTCAGTGCTGATCCTGATTTTGACGAGTGTCTTTCGGCCCGTCTCCACGCTGCATACGCCGCCGCCCCGCCCTCACCTATGATGCTCACTCCGCCGGACTCGCTGCAACTTTACGCTTCGACGTCCGTGTCTGGCGAGCTTGTTGGGTCACCGTCTTTCCCTACGAGTGGGTCATCAGCTAAAATGAGCTGGCCCAGGCCCCTGTCACCGGTGGCAGCCGGAAAGTCGCTGCCTGGCGCATCTTTTGGAGTGAGGGGGATGGACGTTAGGGCTGCGAGGGTCGCGAAGGAGGGTGAGAGGAGGGCAAAGTTGGACGAGTTGATGGCGGATGCTAAGCAGATATACGTCGATGTGTGCACTGTGTCAGATTCTCTGCATAGCGGCCCTTTTGCCCGGCCATTTAGGGTTGCTTTGGAGATGGTATTCCGCATGAACACCGAGGAATGAGTGCTTTTTAAATTTATTTTATTATTTCATTTTATTATTTTACTTGCTATTGTTGCAAGAGCCGAGTGCCAAGGCTTGTTTTGCTCAAATTATTCGGGCGGATAAGTGTTTTTCCGGTAGACTTTATTGCGGAAACTTACAACGTAAAGCAGACTTTAGACAGTTGTTTATTTCACATATTTCGGGTATTTCTTATGTTTTACTCGTGTCATTTGACTTAATCGCGTGCTTGCCACAGTCCATTTCTGGGGACTATAGTTTACTTATTCGACATTTTTTGGTCATATTAAACATGATTAGAAAGGTATGACATATGTACACATTTGGTCATTTGTGCGAGCCTCCAAAAATTTCCACGTTAAAAAAGCTTTACATGTAAACAATTTCCTCCACCACTATGTGCAGTTTGGCTTGAATTATGTGTAGAAAATCTGCGTGAAAAATTGCGGACATGCAAAAATAAACGTTGCAAAGAAATAGAAGTGTACAATGAGCTTTCACATGAAAGGGAGTAAATTGTTCAAGCTTAAATGGTTGGTTTTGTCTTTATAATTTTTGAAAACTAGCTTTTAATTAAAAAGGTTGCTCCTGTGGCCGCAGGAGGTCGGAAGAAGTAGCGTACTACGCGGATTCATGCTCCAGGAGTACGCAAAATAAATTATATTTGCTAAAATTAATTTTTAAAAAAATGGGTGAGCTGTGGTGCACTGTCATTTAGGAAAGTGCAGGTTTTGCGGACAAAACTTGATTTTTATGTCAAATACAAAACATAATTTATACTGTTATAAAAAGCGGCCAGCTGCTCACCTGGCTTTTATTTTTTTTACATTATCTACCATCCTCCTTTCTTACAGCATTTTTGTATTAACTTATAATAGCTCCATACTTTACCAATAACACTTAGCTCGTGAAAACTCGCATTTACTACTTGGAACATTGTTATAATGAGGTTTTACCATATAAAATATGACAAAAAGAGGATTGAAAAAGGGGAAGAGGTAAAAATTAATTCAATTAATTTTATAAAATATAAATATTTCTTTATTGATAAACATATCACTGATTCAGATGTTTATACTTTTTTAAAAACTGTAACTTGTAAAAATAAAAAGGGTAAACAAATAATTGACAATACAACATTTGATGAAAAATGGAAAATAAAATACAGAAAACAAGGTAAAAGATATTCAGATAAACTCGAGAATCCTAGAATTACAGCAAACTTTTTTATTGGTAAAGCTTCTGAAGCTTGGGAATCAAATGCTTCAAATGAATATGTTGAATTGAAAAATAATACAACAAAAAATAACTTTTATAATGCAGACAAAAATATGGGTATCAATGTTAATGTCAATGGTCCTGATGGTAAACCTGAATACAAACTATTATTTGTTACAGATAAATATGCATATCTAGAATCCCTTACAGATCTAATATTTGTTTCAAAATAATAATATGCTATTTTTGTTTTCCAGAAATAAAATTCTATACATTATGTTATAGTTTAAACAACCATTTTCCTGACATTTTTGCTATTAGTTTATGCATTATTAAATTTTATTTGTTATTAAATAACATGCATTATACTCATCTTATTTGCATACCATTTTTCTTCAAGCTTGAAATCCAATTGAGCTGTTTAAATTGGGTTTATTGTAGGCAAATTAACTTTGCCAACATTTATTGCGTAATACATTTGGATACCCTTGGGTTATTTGCTTCCGTGTGTTATTTGTTCAGTTGTTACACGATTATATGTACATGACTGTATTATTTCTTGTTTATATTTGAATTACATATGCGTTCTAGTCAAACAAAACAAAACAAGTACATGCAAGCTAATAAACCACTTGTATATATGTATATTGAAGGCCAAAACAAATATACTCTCTTTTCCTGCACGTTGGTGACAATCCAAGTGGGACATATTAATACATTTGGTAATACCTCCCACTATTAATATTGTTTTGTTTCCAGATGTTTTTCCTAGTTTGAAAGTGCAAACCAAAAATGCGAACAGCACACATGCAATTTCTGCGCTTTTAATTTATTGCTGTTTAAATGAAATAAATTCAATGGTGATATATTTATTATTGATTGGAATGAAAACTTTAATTTTTGTTTTACATCTTTCTTTTCTCGTTTTACATTTTTAAATATAATTATTCAAGTTTATTTATCTAAATTATTAGTTGTTTTTTCAACAGACGCCCTGCGGGGCTTACTCCAGCCGCTCAAACTACTTTGCAGACTGATTGCCTACTTTTTCTAGATTGTATTCCATGCATTTTATCTTTTGCTTTTGCACAATATCCCGGATCCCTTCGGGTTTTGCATATCAGGCCTTCCCGTACTTTTTTATCAGCTCAGCAGTCTTGAGCTCACGCTAATAAAATATAACAAAATATACGACAATATTTTTATCATGACCCTGTTTCGAGTGGCTATATGTAACCCCAAAGACAGCCAAAAAAATTATATCCACATACAGATTCCTCAAAGGCAAAATGTACAGCAACATTGAGGTTATGGAGTCAAATATGTTTTTGACTGTTGACTTTAAGCTAAACAAGCATTGCCGCAGACAGATGGAACCGTCAATGAGTTTGGCCAACTTGAAGCAGATGGAACTTATTATTTTGGACGCTGGAACCAAACAGGTGTTCAACAAGTGGGACTGGGATATTGAGAAATCTGCGGATAAACAAAGAGCCAGAATATGCTACCATGGCGATTTCATGTTCATGACCTTTGATATTATCAGTACGCTGGGCTTTGGGCAAACACATAGGTTGTTGACGTTGGGCAACACACAAATAGTAGAGTGGGTGCACAGCACATTCATTTTAATGTATCTGCATTTGTTCATGCCTATAGTCAAGACTAAGCTGCTCCGTCAATCTATTGCTAAACCACTACATGAAAAGGTTGATGTGTTCTTTAATTTGAGTATCCAGGCTATTTGTTATGTTAAAAATATATATTTGAACAGAATGAACTAAAAGAAAGCTAAGGGATGAACAGCCTCCACTGTTCATATTAATTAATATTTATATGTGCATATGAATTCCCGCATACCCAATTACGGAATTAACTGGTGATTGATTCATTAATCAACCGCCGGAGACAAGCCGCATTTTCTTGTATCACACCAAGCCACTAGCTTTTCAAGCATCAAGATTGCCCTCATGTCTGCTATACACATTTCTGTTATTGCTGGCTGACATCAAGGAACACCATGATATTTACAGCGCTGCCCCCTTTTTTCAGTTAAGTAATTTTTAAGACTTGAATATATCGATTTAGACCCACATTTTTATAGAGCACGATAGCCCTAAAAGAAATCCAGCTTTCCCCATTGTTGAAGATGGATAAGCAAACTTGTGCAAATGAAGCCTGAACATCGGTAACCATCTAGAGTTCCTTTGCCTTCCCCTACTCACCCAATATCGCAGTCACCTGGAAGTAGCTGTCACTTTCAGGCAAAGCTTCCAACTTGTAAAATAGTGATATTTTAGAGACTACCAAATATGCCATGGCACGCAAATAAATTTATATCAGCTTTACATGATCTCCACGAACCACAGGAGCAATTGCTGTCTTGATTGGGTATCGGATCGATTCGAATTTTCCTTTGCGCTCTGGATTCTTCATAAAAGGAACAACCCCGGGAAAAAGTGTCTCGGGCTGCTGCTGTCTGCTGGCCAAAGTGCTAAACTGGCTCGCCATTTTGTCCATTTTGGCTTCCATTGCCGCCTGATTGGCCCCAATTGCTGCCTATTTCACCTCAACAGCACCCACATGCTCTGTCAATTTGAGCATGTGCCCCCCCCCCCATGCAAAAAAAGCCTGTCCAGACCACCTCCATTTTTAACAAGGTTGTTAAAGCCATGCGTGAAATCATTCACTAGCTTGATAACATCTGCGACTGTCCCTATCTCTGCTGCCATCGTATGGTCGTAATTAGCAGGCCTAGGCTCAAAATTTCTGATGAAATTCATTAAATTTTTTTATTTAAAAAAATTAAAGAAAAAAAGAAGAGCGCACGAATCTGTACTGCAATAACTCGGCTTTGTATTTAAAAACAACATTTTTTTGTAATCGATCAACTGAAATCGTGAGCTTAAAGAAATAATTTTTGTGGCCTTAAAAAGCTTTGAGATTATAAATAAAATTCAATTATTTTGCGTGCCTCAAATATTATATATTTTTCTCTTTATGTTTTTTAACAGCTATGGTCAGTGGTAGACTGGGGTTTCTTTCAATAGTAGACGGCATGTAGCCATCTGTATCCGACCTTGCTGCTAGTGATGCGCTGGCTGCACCTTCCAAAGACAAAGTAGAGCTCAGCCGGGAGGGGAATTTATGGCCCATATGTAACTGACATGGTCTCACCCGAAAAGCCCAAGGTGTGATATCAGAATTGGGCTGAGCCAACAAAACAGCGCAAACACGTGCAATTACAATGGCATGATACTGCATGCGCGCATAGATTTTATTATAATGTAAAGCTTTTTTAGCTCTTTTTTGTAGTCTCAATTAACTTTTATTATTTTAATAGTAAATATTTTTGTTTGGAGTTTTAATATGGATCTGATCAGTTGATTACACTTATAAAACGCGAAATTCAAATACTTTTTTTTTTTGAAGGATTTTATTACAAGCTGCCTCACGCGTAGTTGATTTCCCTTTCTTATTTCTTTTTTCCCTCTAATTTATATATACATATTTTTTACATTTTAAACCCCTCTCCCCCCTCCCCTACAAACTTTTACGTAATTCAGTGAATGGAGCTGCGTAACCGAAGACTTTCTCTTGAAGAACTCGACGAGCAAACCAACGGCGATAAGCAACCAACAAGCATGAACAGCAACGCTGGCAACAGAAGCAACGATGGCAGCAGCAATAATGGCGACCGAGATGGCGATGGCGACGAAGACGAGGAGATGGAAGATATGGGGGGATTCCTTGGCGATTTTGAAGAGATCTGCGAGGATGAAGATGTCGAGCGGTTTATTTCGCAAAACCACACGCCGGCGGTATCCACCAGACACTCGCCGGAGATCTGCGATAAGGCAGAGAGCAGTGATGAGGAGGATATTTTCGAGTCAATTCCAGACCAAGAAGACGTGGTTATGGAATCAGCGACTGTAGAGCCGGTCGCTCCGGAGCCTATTTCTGTCGAAAAGCTGAGTGAAGAGCAGGTTATGGTGGCGGCAGCGGTGGAGACTGTGGCGGCTGTTCAAATGACTGAGCCGGCAGCAGAACCCCAAGAAATAGAAGAGGTGGTGCAGGAGATTGCTGAGGTGGTGCCGGAGATCGCTGAGGTGACGGATGTGGCTGAAAGCGCAAAGCCGGCGAAGACGGCCTGGCTGGTGTCCGAATCAATCAAGCAAAAGTACCGCGAGCTCGAGGATCGGTTTCGCGACCAGTTTGTTCCCAAGCTGGGGAAGGGCCAGTTTTTCGACCCGGAGACGTACAGGAAATACACAGTTATCGGGAATGTCGCCGAGGCATCTGTGGCGGCACCGGCTGTTCTCCAGCCGCAGCAACAACAAGCACAGCAGCAGCCGCAGCAGCAGCCGCGGCGGCAAGCCCAGCAGCAGCAGCCGCAACAACAACACATCCAGCAGCCGCAGCACCAGCCGCAACAACAACACATCCAGCAGCCGCAGCACCAGCCGCAACAACAACACATCCAGCAGCCGCAGCACCAGCCGCAACAACAACACATCCAGCAGCCGCAGCACCAGCCGCAACAACAACACATCCAGCAGCCGCAGCACCAGCAGCAGAAGCCGTCGTCGTTGCGTTCAGGGGCATTGGTGCAGACCGACCCTCCGGTGAGCACACGCACGCGGTCGACCAAGGCCAGCGACCAAGACGACGTCGTCGGGGCGCTGCTCGGGGCAATGCAGCCGGCAAACAAGAAGCCCAGCCCGCACGCGGACGCGGCCCAAGCCACCCAAGCCGCGATCCCCACCGACATGCTCGCAGCCATGGCCGCGCTAGACGGGCCCACGCCCGCCGACGCACCAACCCAGCCTGCGCAGCCAAAACCAGACCCAACCCCACACGTAACAGCGAAAGACCTCGCAGCGCACTTGCCGCGCGGGTACGCCGGGCCATTCTCGCAATTGACATTGGCGGAGCACCAGCGGTGCCAGTTTCTGGGCTCCCGTGGAGCGAAAGCGCTGGGAGCAAGGGAGCAGGCGGAGTTTATGCGGTTGCGCGGGCGCGTGGAGGCGGAGCAGAAGGAGTTCCGCAGGCTGCTGCAGGAGAAGACCACGGAGTCCCTGCGCGACGTTTCGCCGGAGCTTCTGGCGCAGTGCCGCGGGTGGCTGGAGAAGCAAAGGCGCGAGGCGCTGGAGGCGTATGCGCCGATGTACATGCCCACACGGGTGATGGCTATTCGGCCGATTACCTCGGGGCACGTGCCGCTGGAGTACCGCGATACGCTGCTGCAGTGCGGCGTATGCCACGGGGTCAGGGAGGTGGCGCATGGCGGGCGGGTTCAGCAGCAGCAGCAGCAGCAGGCGGGGGAGGTGGCCATGGGGGGAGGCAGGCCGGTGATGACCAAGGACCCGCACGTGCGGCGGCTGGCGGAGCAGGCCCGCGCGGACGTGGCGTTGTCGGACAGCGCGCTGCTGGCACTGCTGACTTTGCCGCTGGCCTACCACCGCGATCTACTGATACCCCTGGAGGTCGCCATGGTGGGCGGCCGCCGCTTGGCTGTGGTTGACCGCCCGCTGGTGCCTGGCCGCGCGTGGACGCCCCGGAAGCTGCGCCAGATGTACTGCGACGCAGCCGTGCGCTCGCAGATGCTCGATAGAACGCAGACGCTGGCTCTGGGCCGCGGCTCCGGCGGTGGTACGGAGCCGCGGCCGCGGCCGGGGCCGGGGCCGGGGCCGGGGCCGGATACTGTGGGCGCTGCGGCCAATGCCAGCTACACTGTGTGGGCGTTTGGGGCCACCCGGTTGCTCGTGCGCTGCGGGATTGACGGGTTCAGTCAGGGCGAGGGTGAGGGCGAGGGCGAGGGCGAGGGCGAGGGCGAGGGCGGCAGTGGCGAGGCGCGGGTGACGGTGACATTGGGAACAAAGCTCGAGCACCACGTTCCGGCGACCAGCCCCGAGGCGAGTCTGGCAGCAGGCGGCAGCGGCATGGCCCTGGAGGAGATCACCGAGACCGAGCGGCTGTCCTGGTGGCTGTCCGCGTGGCTGCGCGGCAGTCCGTCGCAGCTATGGGTCACGCACCTGGACAGAGCATCCCAGGCCGTGCGCACCTCGAAGGTGACGGCCGCGGATATGTTTCCGGCGGACGCGCCGCAGCCGTCAATGCATGCTTTGCGCAATGTGTTGGCGGAGATACAGAGGCTGCCGGTTGGCCGGTATGTGCTGGAGCACGTGCGCGGCGCCTGGGATGCGACCATTCTGAGAGCTGTGGACCGCGCTGCTTCGGGTGCTACGGCTGCTGCGGCTGCTTCGGGTGCTGCAGCTGCTACAGCTGCTACGGCTGCTACGGCTGCTGCTGTGGGCGCGGGGGTGCTGGGCGTGAGACCGTCGGGTGCTGTGATGGATCTGGCCAAGGAGCTGGAGCTGGAGGTGGAGCTGGGTGCTGCTGGGTTTGCGCTGGGCGAGGTCGCCAACGACTATGTGCCGCCGATGTGGCTTGGCGCCCCGCCGATGCCGCCGTGGACGTATCCGCCGCCGGAGATGCTGGCCCTGCACAAGCAGAAGCAGAAGCAGAACGGCGCCGGCGCGGGTGCTGGCGCAGGCACGGGCGCAGGCGCGGGCGCGGGCGCAGGCGCTGGGTCCAAAAAGGGAAAGAAGGCGAACAAGAGGAAGAGGGCCAGGCATAACTGAATCAGACAATCAATCAGACAATCCTGTGGTTGTATTTTTTGGCTGGCGGGTGGGGGTTTCTTTCCCCTTCTTTTTCCTCTTTCTTACTGGCCCGCTATTTCTCTCTCTCTTTCTCACTTGCATTTCAACAACGGAATTTTGTATTTTATTTTATTCTATTCTATTCTATTCTATTTTATTGTCTCTATCCTTATTGTTCCACAGCAATGCTCATTGTCGGGCTCACAGGCGGGATTGCCAGCGGCAAGAGCACAGCCAGCAAGGCGCTGCGCGCCCGGGGCATCCCGGTCATAGACGCAGACGCAATAGCGCACGAAATAATGCAGCCGGGCCAAGCCTCATACCGCAGGGTCGTCTCCCACTTCGGCCCCGGCATCCTCCACCCCGACCGCACCATCGACCGGGCCAAGCTCGGCGCAATAATCTTCAACGACCCCGCCCAGCGCCAAGCGCTCAACCAGCGCACACACCCCTACGTGCGGCGCCGCATCCTGCATCTCCTCCTGCAACACTACCTGCGCGGCCACGCACTGTGCATCCTGGACGTGCCGCTGCTGTACGAGTCTGGGATGGATCGCCTGTGTGGCCGGGTTGTGGTCGTCGTGTGTGCTGAGGAGACGCAGGTGAGGCGGCTGCGCGAGCGGAGCGGGCTTGGGAGGCAGGAGGCGCAGGCGAGGGTGAGGGCGCAGATGGGCTTGGAGGAAAAGGCCAGGCGCGCCGACGCCGTGGTGGCCAATGAGGCGGGCATCAGCGAGATGCAGGAGGAGGTGTGCCGGGTTGTCGACGCGTGGAGGCCTGGATGGCTGCGCACCGCGGCGGCGCTGGCCGTGCCCCTGGCGGCTGCCGCGGCTGTGCCGGCGGCCTTTGTCCGGTCGGCGGCGCTGGGGATCAAGGCGCTGGGCGCGGTGGTGGCTCTGGGCGCGTACCTTTTTGTGTCGCACTATTAAATTCATTTGATTCATCTGCTTGATATGCTTGATATGCTTGATATGCTCTTGATCTGCTTGATATGCTTGATCTGCCTGATCTGCTTCATCTGCTTCATCTGCTTCATCTGCTTCACCTGCTCCATTCTACTTTTGTCTCCGTGCTCAGCGCAAATGGCTCGGCGACCCGTCGTACAGGCACTTGATGACGTAGGCCTCTGAGAGAAGCAGCTCGACGTCGCGGTCTGTCCATGCGGCAGTCGGCGGGCGCTGCAGGAAAACCATGATCTCCTGGAAGTCCATCGCGCGCAGCTCCCTGCTCCACCGAAGCAGGAACGCCGCGCACACATACGTGTGGAAGGCCGAGAAGCCCTGGGCGCCGCCGCCCTCTGCCAGGTACGTGTCCCAGACGCGCACGACGCAGTCCAGGCTGAGCTCGCGCATCAGCAGGCAGTTCATCCAGCGGAAAGCAAACTGAATAAACTCGACGCCATGCGCGTCCAGGTGGGCAGCAAGGTCGCGGTCGATGCGCGCCACCAGCTCCTTCATGCGCACGATCTGCCTCTGGATGCCAGGCTGCGCGTGCGTGTAGTTGTCCTGTATGCCGTCCAGAAGCTTGGTTAGGCACCAGAAGCTGTCGGCCTCGACCACCTCAAAATCCACGCTCGGCCCCTCCTGCATGAACACGCGGTAAAACGTCGTCACCAGGTCGTTGATCCCCTGGACATAGCCGCTGGCCGGGTGGCGTGCTGCCCAGCAGTACAGTACGCGCTCCAGGCTTCTCTGCAGCCGCTCCTCGTGGAACTCGGCGCACCCGGGCTGTGTCCGCGGCACGTCGATGCGGATCTGGTGCCAGAGCTGTCGGTCCAGCGCGTCCTCGCCGCGGCCAAACGTCTGTGTGCGCCAGTCGAGGTACTCCTTGCGCTTGCGCTGGAGCGTGGCCTGGCGGCGCGTGGAGTTGAGTGGGCCATAGCCCATGAGGAGGCGCCAGGACGTGGGCCGGGACTTTGCGGGGATGCCTTTCCAGCTGAGCCTGCGCAGCGAGTCGAGGTCGATGTTGGGCTGGGAGAGGAGGATTTGGAACTTGTGCTCGAAGGCAGTTGGTTCTAGTGAGGACAAGGGGGTGCTCTGCGATGGAGCCTGTGGTAGCAATGTTGGTGGCGGTGTGGGCGTGAGAGTCTGTGGGGCGGCTGCGGTCACTGGTGGTGCTGCTGCTGTCACTGCTGGTGCTGGTGCTGGTGCTGGTGCTGGTGCTGGTGCTGGTGCTGGTGCTGGTGATGGTGATGGTGATGGTGATGGTGATGGTGATGGTGATGGTGATGGTGATGGTGATGGTTCCGCTGCCGCTGCCGCTGCCGCTGCCGCTGCCGCCGCTGCCGATGCTGCCGGTGGGTCGAGCCTGGTGGTAGTTGCAAATGCTGTGTCCACTATGGACGGCGTATACGCAGGCGTGCGCTTCCAGAATCCCCCGCTGCTTTGTCTGCTTGTCGTCGAGCTGCTCATCTTTCTATGAAATGTATTGTGTAATATTAACTATATTGAGAGAGATAAAAGAAAAAGTATATGCGAATTGGGTTGAGTTGAATGTAAAGAAATTAAAAAAAATGAAAGTACAATTATAAAAGCGCATAAAAAAGAAGGAACCCCCCTCCCCTCCCCTTTTCGGTCACTTTGAAAATAAAGTGTGTGAGAGGAGAGGAGGGAGGGCTTACGTGTGGGCGATACACAAATCGCCTATCCGCCCATCACTTCCCCTCACGACCTCTCTCCCTTTCCTTTACTTTACCTCATTTTTTTAAATTCAATTCATTTTCCCCCCCTCAATCTTGCTACGCTTTTTTGTAAATTTTATTCTTTCTTTCACAAAAAATTAAAAAAATAAAATAAAAACATTTATAAGGAAATGCCAGGAACTAAAGTCTACGCCGATATGACGCCGCTCATGACCCCAGGAGGAGCGGCCAAAACGAAATCCTCCAAATCCATTCCCAAAGACCCCCACGGTTTTGACCCCAGCACCAGCACGCGCAACCCCACGACTCTCTCCCAAGACAAAACCTCCGACTCCACAGAGCTCGCCCTGCGCTCCAAAAAGGCCTGGGAAGTTGCCATGGGGCCTGGAAAATCCCTCCCCATGCAAGCCTTTATGGCCTGGATGTCCGGCACCGGCGTCTCGATCTTCAGCATTCTCATCACAGGAATGATCCTAATGACTCCGTTAAAGTCAATTATGGCCGTGCAGCAGACTTTTGCTCCCCTGGAAAGGGTCCATAAGGGCGGTGAGAGACTGGATTTGAACTTGCAGAAGGCTGCTTTTGTTGCTATCAACGTTGCTGGTGTTTTGTTTGGCGTTTATAGATTGGCTATCATGGGTTTGTTACCGACTGCGTCGTCGGATTGGTTGGCTTTTATTCCTGCAAAGACCTTTGCTGAAATTTCTTTTTAATATCCTTCAATTAACGTTTTTTGTGATGTTGATAAGAGTTAAAATGACCGTATTTAGTGCCGCTGAAAACGCATTCACCTGTAAATAACCAAAAGACATTGTTTTAAAATTGTAAACAAGTGGTTCGCTTGCTCAGACTATTTTGAATAACAGGAACATCGAGATAACCGGAAAATACATTATACAAATGAAAAAATGTCGCAATGTATTTATATATTTTTATTATTTATATTGAAAGGGGAGGGGTGTAGAGAGAGACTGCGCGCGCAGTTTTATTTCGCATTTCTTTATATATAAAATATTTAAAAATTTTTTGCTCATTTGAGTTTTCCTTTCAACAAGACATACCCGTGCCCCCCTTTTTGTAATTTAAAATTTTTTAAAAATACATATATTTTAAGAGCATCCCATTCACAAAGTTGTACTCATTTTCTTCACAATTATTTATATAAAAATATCCAACCATTATTTCTTCTCTTATAAATAATATACATATATATAACTCCTTAAAATAATGAAAGAAAGCGGGAAAAAGCGCAAGGAGATCACAAAGTCTGCGGAAAACAAGGGGTACAAGAATAAAAAACAGGATATAAAAAACAGGATGGTCAAAAATGAAAAAGGTAATCTAAAAAAGGAAGCAACTGCTTTCACAAAAATGGTTCAAGACCATTTTAAATCACTATTATCTTTAGAAACGATTACTCGCAGTAACATGTTATTTTTCATATGCAATAAATCTTTTTCTCATAAAAGATGGTAAATTAACAGATAGTTTCGAACTAGGAATAACTTACAATAAGGGAATTCATATATGTGATATATTAAAGCATTTCTATGATATATACAATAACAAAATACTTGTATTGAGTGTAGGAGGTAGGATGGGAGCTCAATCTTTTGTATTAAATAATTATTTCAACTACAATTCCACATTTATAAAATTCTTTAAATTCCATACGCTTGTGAGTAAACCTATTAATCGTGGGTATTTTACCTTGCTGGAGACAAATGCAACAGATATAGAAATTAAGAAAATAAAGGCAGAGATTAGATTAATGTTTTGAAAAAAGAAACTGACGGCCCGGAGAGAATAGCAACTAATGCGACGACTATTGAGAGAAAAAAAGGGAGACCCGGGGCTTTTTGAATGGTATGGCTGTCTAGTTAAAGGCTGCAATGTTGGATAGCTAGACCCGCACAATTTGTGTCATCCCATTTTTTACAATATTTATTATTTACTTTATATTTGTTATAAAACAAGTTCTTGTCAACATGCTGCAAAGCTATAAGTTATCTCTTATCTTTTAATTGGCACAAATGCTTAACTACGATTACAGTTAAATATATATATATATATATATTAACTTTGGTTTTATTGGCGCTCAGAACCCTAATCATTGACAATGCTAGTTTTTTTTCGCAAAAGTTTTAATGTCTATGTCTAAAACGGACTCTGCATATGGCAACTTGTGTGCTATACACAGCAATATATAAATTAAATATTTAAAATAATTGCTTTATTAAACAATATAAATTGGCCTAGGCCGTAATGGAATTGTCATTTTATTTTTGATATTAATGGTATTGAATATCAATTAACAAATGTTTAGATAAAAGTATGTGGCAAAGCCCTAATTAGCTGGTTTTCTGCTTGGCATTAAACACCGAAAGTGCATGGGCACACTTGTTGAAGGACACAGCAACAATGGACAGGGGAATCAAGAGGTATGGCAAATAAAGCCCAAGAAGCAAGAGTCGCTGGTGGAAGGTGCGGTCAATATCGCCAAGCATCAGGGTACCAAGCACAGGCGCCATAGTCGTGCTCACATGCGCACCATAAACAAGCAGTGGTGCGTGTCTATTGGGGTTATTGGTCCACAACGCATAGGCGGCGTAAAAGAAAAATGGAAGCTGCAGAACGAGCTCGCATGTTAACATCGATCTGAACCAGGTCATATCCGAGCGCGTGGCGCCAATAATCATAAGCGGATCAGACAGCTGCTCGGTAAGGATGCGGTTGAGCTCTAACATAAATCCTGGGAGCAGATCGGCGGGGAGCAGCGGAGCGGCATCGGAAAACACGGTGATGGGGATGTGAGATACAAAGTAGAAGAAATACACGACGTCGAGCCAACTACGACCATGAAAAGCACGAGAAAATGGCATGTTTTTTTTTGCTGGATAAAAATAAAAATATAAAAAATATAAAGCTTGAAAAATGGGGGTGGAAACAATGTTGACGTTTTTCAAGGTTTGGCTTATTTTGCGCTGATTGACAGCTGAGCTCGGGCAATCCCCTCGATCGTTTGGGGAGTATGGGCATATCATTCATCGAAACTAGCCTGTAGCTTATTTTGTGTTTCAAAAGACCTTTGTCAATCGCAGTCCCGCTACAAAGCTGTTGGGCTTTGCGGCTGCTATTTTTGGCAATTAATAGATTGTGCTTGTCAATGCGCAGTCAGTTTTTTTTTTGCAGATTTCTGCTACCACAAGTTTTGGGGTGGGCATTTGAACGAGGAGTGCGGATGCCCGTAGTGTTTGAGTATAATACAGGATTGTCAAAGTGCACTTTTCTGTTATTTGTTTTTCGATTTGTTTTATTTATAATATATGAGCATGTAAAAATGGCAAAATTAATGGTCAGAATTGGAAAATCCACTTAATGTATAATGTGGCCCCAAAAAGAGCGTTGGTGCGAAAAATCCTGCAACAAACCAAATTTATATTCCCCCCTTGCAGCCTTTGAAACAAGATGTGCTAACAATTGCTTTGTCTGCTCGCTGTCACTAAACAATTGGTTTAATTTTAAAAAAAAGTTGAATCGTCCTGTTGAGCACTATTCTATACCCTATAACATAGCTCTCACTCATAATAAACCCAACTATCAAGTAAAATATGTAATGGGAGGACTTGGAGAGAAATCGGAAAGCTCGCAGTGAAGTTGGGATATTAATATTTACATTTGCCTTAATACAGCTTCATTTAGTCGGCTTGTATATATATTCTTTAAAGGCGCAATTTATTGTCAACACTTTGACAACTTGTTTGTACCAGGATGAAATAGTGGCGCTCAGGCGTTTAATTGAATTACAAAGACAGTTGAATGCATGCTTGTGCGCAGCCATCCTCTCCCTCGTTTCTCTCTGTCAATTATTCTGCTCAAGGCTTTAAAGCAAATGTGAATTTGATCCCATGGAATATGTCACCCCTCCTCCCCAATTTTTTAATATTGCCCGCTGCGTACGCATTTGCATCGGCCAAATTTCATATAATATAATTTTTGCGTAGTTGTCCCTGTGCCCACACACAATATTATACAATCGGACTTTATATTAAATAAATGTTTTTTTGGCCACTGAGCCAATTATCTTTATTATTCTCAAAATTTCAAAAAATATTTTGCACTGTAGTATTCAGCCTTAGACTATGTGCAAAATTGGCTTCCCTATTTTTAATTTTAGCAATAAAAAGCTACTTGAGCTCTTTCGCTTTGTGCGTTTTTTGTTTATTATTGACTTTTGTGCATGTTTATTTAGGCTGTTGAAGGGAACAAAAAAAAGCAGAGGGCAAAAACAAAAAAAACACGGACTGCCAAATCCGTCGCTCTCCGCTACATCCCCATTTTTTTGCCTATTTTTATTCTGACTAAACAGAAGAAATAAAAAACAAGTTTAGAGCGCTATGTATTTTTATGCGCTAATCTCAAAACCGCGGTCCACCCTTTTTTCATTTCGCACAGCCTTTGGTTTTTATCCACTTCTTTCTCCTCACCTGCTTTTTTCTAATTACCTTTTTTCGCCTTTACAATTTGCAACGACACATTCGCAGACTGATAAACGCTTGCGGCCGACACTGCGCAGGGGCAATTTTATAGTTGTTTTTCTCTCTTTTCTCACTTTTTCTCTCTTTATTGCTTCTGACCAGGGGAAAACGCTTGCACACTTGCACGCTCACCTCACATACACTCTCAGTTCGCCCATTTCGCAATTCAAACATAGAATCCAAACTATTGGTACGTGCAACCAATAAGCGTTGAATCGAGTTTGGCTTGAATTCGTTCACTCGGCCTGCTTATTATTTAATGTGGCAATGTGGTAGAAGCTTGCTTTTGCTCGCTGCCCGTGCTATAACTGCTACTGCCACTACAGCCAGTGTTTCTCACACCCAATGCTTTTTTTATTTACTGTGAATGCCCCCAGCATGACCTTGGTGACGCTTTGCCGTTGCTATTGCAGTCACAGCGGTGTTCATCCAGTATCTCCTTATATGGTATTTTATTTACAATGCTCGTTGGTCTTGGCTCTCAGCAGAGGCGACTGTCAAGTGTTGCTGTTACTCTCTTTATTTTCTGTTCTTTTTTTGTTCCATCATCTTGTTTTGGGCTTGTTTGCCTCTTTTTTTCCTCTCCGCCCATCTTCTCCATTTACGGATCTTCTGCCCCTCTGTTGTGTTGTTTATTTTTCTTCTTCCTCTCTTCCGATTCCTGTCGGTGTTGCGTTGATTGTATGAGCACGGTTGTTTTTATTTTCCTTTGCTCCAAGAACCCATCCATCTACTTTTGGCCGGCTATTATTATCACTGTGGTACCTCAGCCTCTTTTCTGCTATTATTTTGCGTCGTCTTCCCCCCCGTTTCCGTTAACATACGGTGCAAAGTGTATTCGGCTTATTTTTTCCCCTTTATTTTTCCCGCCTTGTCGCAAACTAAAACGCATTCAGACTCGCTCACCTGAGCGTACGCCAGCTCTATATATATTTCCTTTTTCCTCATAACCCTTTCTATTTTTTCCTCTTGTTGAGTTCGTCACTTTTGTTAGTATTCGCCTATTTCATTCTATTTTTTGTTATTGTCCTTTCGTCTATTTTTAAACACGAGCTGCAAGAAACAACAACTGCAGCTGCAACTGGTCCTGACTGTCTTTTGGAACTGTGACGCGCCGCCCCTTCCTGTTTCTTTAGCCGTAAGCAGACAACTAATATAACAAACACTTTTGAGTCTAGCACCATAGTAAAATCCAATGCCGACACCCCCTGCTGCAAGCATAGCCTCAGTGGCTACAACGGCTAGTTGCTTCGACGTCTTCAGACAAAAGCTATACATCAGAGGCGTGCTGGGCAAAAAGAATGACCGTGCGCCCGATGGACGGCCCTACAGCATGCGCAAGTGGACCCGCTGGTATGTCGAGCTGAGGGGGCCGGTGCTGGTGTTCTGGAATCTTTTGGACACCCAGCTTTCAGCCTATCTCGAGGACATCACTTCCATTGTCGATGGCCGCGTCCGGCCCGGATCGCCCGAGTTTGAGCGCACCGTCGGACACATAAAGAACATCGTGCTCAAGCCCAGCTTCATCAACATCACCGACGCAGCCTGCGCAATCGTGGGCAAGCTTAAAAAGCGCGACAGTGTGTGGACTTTGCACTCGTCGGGTGCCAACCGCTTCTACATGCAGGCTGTCGACGACCGGGCGATGAACGAGTGGGTGCGGGCTGTGCGTCTGGGGTGCTTCGAGGCGGCTAAACTGTACGAATACTACACAGCAGCGCTCATTAACGAACGCTACGCAAACATTCTGTCAGCCCAGCGCCCGAGCGAGTACCACGTCCATGTGCGCTTTTCGGGGACCAACGATTGGGTGCCCTGCACGATGGTTTTGTCGGGAAACCCAGCGCAGATCACCTTTTGCTCCGAGGAAACGCAGGCGCAGATTGCCGCGGTGAAGAGCCCTCGCTACTCGTACTCTATCTACCCAGATAGCATTGACAAGGTCGACAGCGCGATGATCGCAAAGTTCGAGGGCGACTGCGACGTAGACAGTTCGCTGCTGCCCAACCTTGAGGATACCGACGGAGAGCGCGACATTGCACCGCTAAATTCACGCGATCACGGATCGTACGCCCTGGTTATCTTCCAAAGCGCGGTCGATATGGCCTCTGCGCTGGTGGAGGTGGCGGCCCACGGGCGCATGTACAACATGCCCAGCAGCTTTGCGCCTGACTTTATCCCCGAGCGCCAGAATCTCTACCTGTCGCTGCCAGACATTGCCGATAAGTCGATCGAGATCATGGAGCCTGTGACTGCGCGGCGCATGCTGGAGAACCTGGCCTCAGAGCGGTGCCCCAAGACCAGCACAATGTCTTCCGGACAGTCTGCCGATTACTGGGCCTCCGCGTCGGCCGGAAACACCAACTTTGCGGCTGCTGTGGCCGAGACGCAGTTGCCCTGGGGAAGCGGTGCGAGCGACGAAGAGTCCGAGATTCCTATTGCTGTTAACAAGAAGCGCGAGAGTATTGTCCAAGTGGCCGGCAAGATTCTGGGCTCAAAGACAGCAAAGTCCGAGCCCGAGGCTGTGTCTGAGCCCGAGCAGCAGAAACGCGGCTTCCGGTTTTTGCAAAAGAGCGGCAAGAGCAAGGATGATGGCAAGCGTGATTCCAGCATTCTGCTCAAGGAGACTGCGGCCGCAAGCACTAACGCTAACGCGGGCGCCAAGCACATCAAGCGTCAGAGCAAGAGCAGCTCAAACTCCACGACGACGTCAAACAAGGACAGTCACCATGCGCCCACATCAGAGAGCCTGTCGCATGCGTCCACTGCACCGTCTCTGCCAACTCCCGTTTCGTCGACCGCAATGCACGGCACTTTTGGCGACGATGCGGCTGAGGCCATTGGTAACCTAAAAATCGTTGACTCTTTGCTGCCCGGGAGCGAGCAGCAGAGCAGCTTGCCCGTGCCGCGGCAGCTGGCTGACTCAGACACTGACTCGGATGGCGACGCGCCGCTGGGCAACATCATTCCAAGACTGGCGCAGAGCATGGGAGCGGCTTCTGGCATGACTATGCTCCAGCAGCAACATCAACAGAATATCCTTCAGCAACAGCACATGCAGATGCAGATGCAGATGCAGATGCACCGGGCTTCGGCAGCAATTCCAGGAATGGTTGGACCGGCGCAAATGATGGCCATGCAGCAGCAGCAGCAGCAACAGCAGCAGAATATGATGCAAAACCCGCAGTCAATGTACGGTGCGATGCCTAATGTAAACATGGCCCATATGTTTGCGCAGGACCCGAACCAGATGATGATGGCTGGTGGCGGCATGCCGGTGCCATTCCAGGGCGCGGCCACAATGCGCGGTCGGCCAAACACGTTCATGGATCCAGCGGCAGCCATGTGGGGCCAGCAGCAGGGCGGCATGGGTATGGGTATGGGCATGGATTCTGTGGGCGGGCCCCTGCTGACGGTCGATAAGAAGACCGACCCTATAGAGCGCCCGATAGGGCTGGTCGGCGCAATCGCCAATCGCGAGCAGATGAAGAGCGAGCAAAAGTACCGCGACTCGAGCAGTCTCATGAAGGAGCGGCAGATGCGGCGCAACCAGGCAATGGGGATGAACAACCAGGTCTTTTCTCAGCAGCCGGGCGCGCGGTTCGGTGCTGGTGGCCAGGCTTACCCGAGCATGTACGGCGCGCAGCAGGGCTGGGGTGACGACGCAATGTCGATGATGAGCGGAATGTCAGGACGTGCACCATATGCGCAAGTCGCGCCGTCGCTGTCTGCCGAGCAGCTCTCGGGTGGGCCTATGCGCGGGACAATGTTTGGCATGCAGCAGCCATTGTCGGCGCAGATCGGCGGTATGAGCAACGATGAAGATGACGTGGCGCTGTCTGTATATGCCGGTGGCCGCATGTCTGTGGCTGCACCCGACGTGCATCCGCTGAGAGCGGCGATGCAGTCGGGTATGTCTCTGTCGACGCCCCAGCTGGTGGGCGGGATAAGCCCCTACGCACAGCAACAGCAACAGATGCAAATGCAAATGCAGATGCAGATCCTGCAGCAGCAGCAACAGATCCAGCAAATGCAGCACCAGCTGCAGCCGCCCAATGCGTTTAGTCAGAACCACCAGCGCCAGCTGTCGGCGGGCGGCTCTGTATCTGCGCCGGCGGTATTGCCTCACAGTAACACTATGCCTGCGGGAAACTCACGGCACTCACTGGTATCGTCGAACTCGGGCTCAGGCAGCGGGTCGTCTGGTAACTCGTCGTCATTGGCGATCCAGAACCGCCTGCCGGCCAGCCGCTGGGTCAAGGAGGCGCCGAATGCGCGCGCTGACTTCAAGTCGAGCACCATGCCGCGGACCCACGGCGCCTCGAGCAATGGGAACTCTCGAATGAATAGCTCCTCGATCTATGCGCTGCCTGGGCGCAGCTCAGTCGTGCGCATCGCTGAACCTGTCAAAACAGCTGCACGCACGCAGGCGTATAACGCTCGGTACACCAGTGAGGATGACGACGATAGCGAGGAGGAGAGCGAGGATGGTGACTCTTATGGCGGATATGGCAAAGACAAGATGTCGAAGGAACTCAAGCAATTCTTTAATGCTTTCGCTGACAAGTGTCTGGACATCAAGCCCTATGCGTGGGTCGACTTTACCGTGGCATTTGATGCGTATAAGAGCTTCTGCTCGCGCAACGGTATGAGTGGGAAGGATGTGGCTACGAGCTCGCAGTTCCAGGACCTGATGAGTACGGCTGAGTGGCAGCTCAAGACCAGGGATACTGGTGTGCGCGCGTACTACAACACGTGCTTGATTTGATGATCGAAAATGTTGACTAAATGCAAAAGTGAGCTTTTTTTAATACTTTGTTTTTCTTTATACCTTTGTGTATTCACAGGGTTTTGGTAATTTGATTTTAAATTACTTTAATAATTTCTTTTTGTGAAACTTGCTGCCAGGAAGAGTTAGTACATCACTGCCATCACGGCTGAGACCCCACTAGCCCATGCAAAGTTGAGGTTTTTCAAGCTTGACAAGTACATCGAGTATATTTTGGAAGTGCGCAAGGCGGAGCCCATCCTCAACGAGTTCTATCAGAACACCATGACTCGGCATTATGACATTACCGCCAATGGTGCTGAGTTGTTCATCCCGCCACATTACAAGCTCAATTACCTTGCATACAAAACCCTCCAGAAGAAGGCTGATGCGAAAACTATGCTGCGGAGACGCCTTCCAAGTTCAGTCAAGATCCTGTTTAAGAAAGGATGGGTGCATAGTCAAAACCCAAGCGACAGATATCTCTGTGGCACAGCCTAAACAAAATCAACCATTCAAACTTAAGCACTCGCGGTTGATCCTAATCTCCAGGCAGCCGATTAAAAAATTTTACATTCCACGAAAGTTATTGCTCCCGTTTACTTTTAGGCATGGGGTTTCCGAAAGGTTTTCATCACACCCGTGTATTCTGCTGTTTTGTCTTCATTCCATGTAAAAATTTAAATTATTTTTCCTTCTTCTTTGCTTGACTAACAAAAGTTCAACTGCCGCTCTCTTAATTATACGCATTTATCATATTCACTCACATTCAAACGCTCATTTACGCACCCACTCACTCACCCACTCACCCACTCACTCACTCACTCACTCACCTTTACACACAAACACAGACGCGCGCACAAGCTAGAAATGGCGACAAAATTCAAATACAACGTAAGTATTTTGGCTTTTGCTTAAGCACTCATCCGTTAATCCAATTCTTGAAGCGCATATTTTAAATACAAAAAAGAAAACACTTATTTTCCTTTGTTTTTCTCTCTTTCGACATATAGCTCGAGGCGCTAGAGTGGGACGCCAAGCACATGCGCAACAAAGAGGGCGTGTACTGCTACTGCGGGCTGGACTACACCGACGGGGACTCGATGGTCAAATGCCAGGACTGCAAGCAGCTCTTTCATTGGGGTAAGAATTCGAGCATATAAGCCATTTGCACTGGCACTGAGGCGCATGCTTGCGCTTAGTTTATTATTGCAGCTGGCTTACTGATTTTTTACAATTGTATTATTTAACTTTGGTATTCTCGAGTAGATTGCGTCCCATCTATAAAGTTGAAGCCGCTCAAGGGCGACAGCTTCTACAAGTTCCAGTGCAGCGTGTGCAACAGCGGCAATGAGATCTACGAAAGGGAGACGATTAGCTGGGTACAGGCGATCCACCTGGTACTCTACCATCTAATCAAAACAGAGCCGGAAAAGAAGTACTTTCGGTGGAGGGAAAACATTTGCGCGACGATCAGCGAAAATTGGGAGAGCTTGATGCCCGGCAAGGCCAAGACAGCGACGTGGCACAATACGGTAGCTGGCTCCCTATCCACGCATCACTCGAGGTTCAAATCGGGATTCGACGACACACAGCAGTCTGGGAACTGGACATTGCAGGAGGTTACTCCGCCAGATAGCACGCCGCCCAAGGCGACTGGGAAGGCCAAGGAATCGCGTGCGCCAAGGCAAAGATCGGACGTGAAAAAGCCGCGGAAGAAGACTGATCTTTCTGCTGGATCCGAGGCTGAAAAGGAAATCCTCGAGGTTCTGAATGAGTCAAGGGGATCAAAGAGGTCAACCAGACACCGTGTTTCGTTTAGCGATGATGAGAGCGATAGTGACGTGGGCAAGAGGAAGGCGAGGAGACGCCGGGTGGATCCCAAAATACTCGATAATGATATAGATCTGCTGCAGAGTTTCGAGCTGTTTACCAAGCTGGAGAAGGAGCGCCTTGGAGGATCCTCGCAGGTGGACAAGCCCGAGGGTTTCGGTAAGCAGACTAATGAATGCCTTTCGCCCACAACGGCTCCCATTGCTGCCGCCGCTCAGGAGTAAACGTATATAGTTTTAATATATGTATATTTGTCCGGCGGTATACGAGATTTTAAAATGTGTTGGTTATTAATTATATGTCTACCTCGGTGCGTGGTTTCTTTACACGTTTTTTCCCTGTCTTGGCTGTACGTGTGTATGAGCACACGTATTCTGCCTTTTTTATTTTGCTTTTGTAGAGAAGGACGATGATCTGGAGTCGCTTAGTTCGTTGAGCTCGCTATCCACAGACTCGGAGGCGGATGGTATTGACTTTTCAGACCTTGGGGACAAGGGCGCTCTTGAAGCGATTGGCAGTGACGACGATACTGATGACTTCCAAGTCGAGGAAAAGCCAGTGCTCCAAAATGAAGCCGGCGAGGAATTCTTTGGCAATCTGCTTGGAGCCAATGCGACCACCATGGACGCGCCGCACCAAGTGATCCGCATTAAGAGGGATGATACAAACATCAGCCCATTGGCGCCAAAACCCTTGTCAACTGTGGCATCGCCATTAGATTTGGCTACCACACCTATGTCGTTCCCTGCTTCCATTCCAGGACTGTCTTCGACGCTGCCTTTCCAATCACCAGCCCCCGAAAGCCGCATTTCGCCTGATTTGACGCCTTCGCCTGAGCGCACTCCTGTCGCAGAGTCTGTTGAAGTAGGATATGTGCCCGAGAAGACGGCTGGTCATATGTACGAGGATGCCGATGCATTAAATTCCTCCAATTCGGACAACGACGGCTATGGATATGACGAGGACGAAGACGATGATAGTGATGGTGATGGTGGTGCTCGGAGCGAAGACGGCCAAGACCATAACGACGAGCGCGAGATTGATGCTGATACCGACGCCGAGCAGCATCTCGCTGCTTTCGGACCTTTTCCAACCACTTGCCTCGACAACCTCAGCCCGCAGCCACTGTTTTCTTCATCAGAGGCTGAGGTTCCTAATATTCACCTTATGAGCGAGCAGGCGCAGTGGGAGTTCTGTGCAAAAACGAGCAGCAGCCAGTCTGTGCTTACCAGTAAGGCCAAGCGTCTACGTCGCCGGCTAGAGCTGCGGCGGTTCAAGCGCATGCTCGGATTGCGGCTATTCGACATTGACAATGCGGTCAAGACGTGCATGGAGCACAGGCAGATGCCGTGGCTCCAGAGACCAATTGACCTCCAGGCATATCTGCTGGCCGGCGGCAGTACTAAGCTAGCGGATGACAAGACCGGCATGCGGCAGCTGCTGTCAGAATCTGGGGCAGGCGAGAGCAATGATCTGAGGAGCGGCAGCTGCGAGCGTGATGAGATAGATCGGCCAGGAGGCGGTGACGCGAGCCACCCGGGTGTATTACAAGCAGAGTCTGCTGCAAATGTCAAAAGGGGAATCACAGTGACCGCCTATGCCAACTCGTTTGCCTCGCGGCTAATGGGCCGAGCCATTTTGCGCGACAGCCTGACATCGCAGGTTGCCAAAGTCAGCCCGTTCCACGGCCGCCTTCTCCGGCCGTACATCTGGCGCGACTTTAAAACTTTTGGCGCAGACGACAGTGCTTCTGGACCCGATGGCAAGGCTCGTGGGCTGGCGATGCTGCGAGTGCAACGGGCAATTCGCTCACGCAGTCACCCGCTCTTCCACACTCTGTCGCTCGAATCCCTGTGCTTGTCCAAAACGGAGAGCATTGACTACGTGTTCTTCCAGCACGAACACCTTGAGCAGGTCAACGCGCTCCTCTGCCGGACGTTTTGGCCCGGCATCGATATGAGCGAGGCCCTGCTCTACCCCGAATTTAGCATCGTCGCGCTGTACAAGCGCACTGTAATTGGCTGCGCGTTCTTGACTCCCGAGGCATACCTCACGTATATTGCAGTTTCGGCTGGCTGGGAGGGCGCCGGGATTGCCAAGTTTATGATATACCATTTGACCCAGACTGTGCCTACGAAGGACCTGACGTTGCATGTGTCGGCGACCAACCTGGCAATGCTGCTGTACCAGAAATTTGGATTCAAGCCCGAGAAGTTTGCTGTTAATTTTTACAAGTCGTACTTGCCAGAGTCCAGCCGTGTCTGTCCAAATGCCTTTTTCATGCGATTGCGGCGCTATTGAAGCCGGCTGAGCAATGGCAAAATAAAAAAGCAAAATAGAGTCAGTTTTTTCTTTTTCTTCTTTTTGTGCGCAGCAGCAGCAGCATCACATGTCTAAAATGAAATATATATTTTTCAACTTGTATTCAGCATCAAAAGTGGCAATTGATAAATGCGATACATTTTTTCTAAAATAAGAAAAATAATCTCAAATTTATAGTCGTTTTCTAACCTTCATATAGGCATTTAAGCATTGAACTGCGCTTTTTTTAAACATTTCGATTTGAGGGAAAGCGAGAAAGGAGGCGTTCCTTTTTGGTTAATTTTTATTATGTGTGGGGGAAACGGAAAGAAGGGCTGCATTGGCATTTAGATTGTCAACCTCATCGATGGCTCTCCCCCCTTTTTTCTTCTTCCTTTTTCCTTCTCACCATGTTCCATTGTATTTCTCTCTCTTTTTTCCCGTGCATATTTCTAAATTTCTATTATCTCTTTTTATCCTACTCTTTTTTCTTTAAAGCCTAAGCTCGAGCTTTTTATTTTATTTTTCCATTATCACTTTTTAATTTATTGTTTCCCTTATTTCAATACAGCATTATTTTTTGACGCGCAACACATTCAAACGTAGTCGGTGAGGAGTTAGAGCGGTAACAGCAACACGTTATCTCGCTGCGTTATTATTTTTACATATATATTTCTCAATTCGTAATGATACTCAGCAATGGAAAGAAATATGCATGCCAGCCATGCATTCGCGGTCACCGAGCGTCGTCATGTAAGCATAGCGAGCGCGAGCTGGTAGAAATACGACCAAAGGGGCGGCCAGTTACACAGTGCGAAAAGTGCAGACAATTGCGGAAGTCTCGAAAGGCACACGTCAAGTGTCTGTGCAGCGAACTGGACGATGACAGTATACAAGAGGCGGAGAGTGCACCCAGGATAAAGAGTAAGTTTTTTCTGATTTCCCCGGAAACCAAAAAATGGATTACAAATCATTTTGCACACAAGTGGTATCGACTTAACGGGGTTATTTGCTTGCACTAAAAGTTTTTTTTGGGTTTACCATCTTGCTGGGTGTGGTCTTTTGCCTGCTCCTTATTTTTTCTCTTGTTGGTGCGTCTGTAGTTAGGAAGACCGATTCGGGCGTGGGGTTGCGATCCAAAGTGAGCAGTAGTAAGTATAATTCCGGCACTCTGGGACGATTCGAGCGTATAGAAAACACAACTGGTGCTTTAATTGATGGTCACGCAACTAACGCAGCTAAATATCTATGTAATATTGTAGTTGAAAACCTGCTGAATCCGTGCAAGTGTCCCCAAGACAAGTTTTGCAAGTGCTGCCGGCCCATGTTCACCAACTACCTCAAGCGCAACTATCCGCAGGATATAGTAGATGAATCGACAATATCACTTGGCACCCAGCTCGTACACACGCCAAAGCACTCGTACACCCATCAAACAGCTCAGGCTCCTCAGGCTCCCCAGGCTCCATAGGATACTTAGGGACCTCGAGCTTTTCGAACCCGAATGTCCATCAGGACCCACAGCAGCTTGCTGCAAGACCAAAGCGGAGCCATATGCACAGGCACAGTTAGAGGCAGAGTTACCGCCGGCACCGGCTGCTCTTGCGCAATCAAGCTGCTGCCTCTCCGGGCCGAAACAAGTTAGTCTAATAGAAAAGCCGAATTGCGATTGTGGGTGCGATTGCAGAGCTAAACTCGAGCTACTCATTCAGACCATCGAGCAGCGCATTGGGCAGCCGCTCAATATTGGAGGCGGCAGCGCGCCGTATGATGGCGTGGATCCGTCGGATTGGGTCGAGAGCATCCTGATGCCGTTCCCCTCGGTATTGTCCTCGGACACGCAGTCGATAAGTGACTCGGTCACAAGCAATGGCAACAGCTCGACGCGCGCGTCAACCCTTATCGAAGACTTGCAGTGCCAGCAGCCATTACTCAACGAGACTGTGTCTGTGTTTGCTGCGGGCGTTGACCTGCCGGTTGTGTCGACCGGCGGATGCTGCGGGTCGACAGCTCCCAGAGTGCAAATAGTCGATGATTCTGCGAAGAGCCCGGCAGCAGCAGGTGGCTCGTCATGCTGTGCATCATTGAATCCGCCTGCCAAGAGCATGCTGCCTCCTTCCTCGTCTTCGTCGGTATCAGTATCATCGTGCTGCGCGCCTTCCTCCGTGCCTGAGCCAAGCTCTGTAAAGCAAGCCCCGCCACAGACCAAATCCTGCTGCGCGCCAAATCCCACCAGCAGCGCTATGCCATCGTCGTGTTGTGGTGGTAACGACGGCAGCACTGGTGGGCCGTGCCAGTGCAGCTGTAGGAAACGCAAGCGGCCGGAGGCATGGCAGCCAGGTGACCCAGATAACCCCGAGGTCGACGCTGACGGTGCGTTGGCGTGCAGTTGCGGGTGCCAGAAGCCATTCGAGGAATGTATGGACTGTTTCGAGGACCTGTGCGAGGATGTGCTGTTGAGGTCAAAGTTTTAGCACACTTTTCCCTTTTCATTTATTTTTAAAGCGCTTGGATTGGCTTTTCCCTCCGCCAATTTTTTTTGTGTTCCTTAATTTTTACAGCAAGCGATTTGGCCAACGCATACACCTCAGATAAATCTTGATATTATCTCACCACATCAAACATAAGGAAACCAAGTATGAGTGTCCGCAGCTCATGAGTGCGGACTATGTTGCTAATTATGAGAGTACAGCTATTCTGGTGGCGTACAAATCGCACATATCACAGCGCTTCAACTGACAGTTGAAATATTTGGTTGATGTCACACTTAAGTGTACCATATCGCTCCCTGGCCCTTTTCTTCACGTCAAGAACGAGGGTGGTCTTACTGAGAAGGAAATTCGGCAGCTGATTAGCAAGGAAATAAGAATCCCAGCGGGCAACATAAAGAGTGATATTCTCTTTGCTACGACCAACAGAGCTGGCAAACAGATCAATACCCAGCAGATATCAGACCCTGTGCTTCGCGATGGGATAGAGCGCCTGATAGAGAGGATCCTTGGCGCATACCCCCGAAAACTACAGTTTCGGCGACAAGGGGCTCCGGTACGACTCTGCGACCAATGCGATAAACCACATTGGGGCTTTTGTCAAGGTCTTCCGGCTTTTAAATGTCAACAAGGCTGTGCACTCAATTTCCCTTTTCCCGACGAGGACATCTGTTGTACCAGGGTTTACGACAATCGACAAGAACATCCTTGTACTAAGTATTTTTCTGTCTCAAAGAGCCAACTCAAAGCGTTGCACAAGGATAAGCTTTGCCTTAATATTGACCTCCTAGAAATTCCATCTCAGAGGAAGCTCTTAGCCAAATCACCAGGATAAATTTGGTCTCTATTTTGTGATATCTCTTGTTGGCCGTTTACACTTTATTCTCGAGAGGTCAAAAAACCACACAAATTCGGAGGACTTATTCGTACAGATGGCGTTGCAATTATTGTATTTCTTGACTCAAGCGCAAACACAAAGGCTAAGAAGCTCGAGGCCGAGAAGATCAAAGCCAAGCAGGATTCACAGTCTCAGAAAGGTTCTGGCGATACGGACAACAGCAACAACAGCAACAGCAACAGCAACAGCAACAGCAACAGCAACGACAGCAACAGCAACAGCAACAGCAACGACAGCAACAAACAGCAACAGCAACGACAGCAACCAGCAACAACGACAGCAACAACAAGCACCAGCAACAACGATAGCACCAGCACCAGCACCAGCACTAGCAACAAAAACAGCAATGGTGTACTCCGCAGTAAGAATGCTTCCACTCCCGAATACATTGATACTTTGATACTTTGCCTAAACCTTATCATTCATGGTATTGTTGATAAAGCAGCTTTTTGTGATCCTGGTCGCAGAGATATGTTATATTGTCTGGGATATAAAAGCAGCTACAAAAGGGGTGAGAAAGTTATATTCAGCTATACCAGGAATTCAGAGGCTAATAAATGACGTGAACGCGTTTCGACGGATCCACAAAAATGCAAAAAAGGTATTCCAGCTTGACCCCGCAAAGCTCGCCAAAGCGAAAACAAATGGTCGGTATACGTCTGTTGAGGATGCCGAGCGCGCGCTCAACCACCTTGGCTCCAGAACACTTGCTTGCAAGTTATATGTCGAGTACCTCCTTGAGCGCTGTAAAGGGATAATTTGTTTTGGCAGAACATTACCACAACACGCAGACCCTCAGCAAAAGTCAAAAGTACGACAGCAGCAGCTCAACCGACCCCTTGCACCGCAAGCTCCGCTATATTTCTTTTGTTAACAGAAAGCGCGCCGACGTCGAACTCGCAAAATCTTTGCGTGCAAAATTTGGCCCAGGTCTGGTCCTTATTCTTGGAAATTGGACCCAGGTATGACCCGTTACCATGAGCCAATCCGTGGCAAGGGGCTGCGGGAGATGCTAAATCCAGTGATTCACTGTTTACTTGATCGACGAGTATTGCACCTCAACATTTTGCCACGTGTGAGAGTAGGATGGAGAAGGTTCACAAAACCGATAATCCTCGTCTATAGAATCCCAAGCATAAGCACCACATCGCAATGACACCAGGTAGCCGCAACAGGCATACATACAATTCTGGAAGTAAAAAACCTCGCCAAATTCTATGCCACGGCCTGCTCCAGTGCACAATGGAAGACTGCCTGCAAACCTTCAGGGCCGACGGAGCCAAGATCAAGAATGGCGAAAAAGTGCCACAGGCAGACAGAAGTGGAATCGTGACATGGCTGGTGTTAAACTTTCGCATTATTCTTAATGCCCGCTTACAGACGAGCGTTCTCTCGTTTCTTGGGCAAAAAGGCATTGTTAGGGTCGACTGAAGCCGAGTCTACAGGGACGCTTAAGCCAAAGCCCAAGCCCAAGGTGTGCGCAATAATACATCTTCCTCTGCTTCTTCTCTTCGAAAGAAGCAGCAACTGATTAATATCGTCAACCATAGTGCTCTATTGCCACTAGTTTCTAAACACTTTATCTGGGGAAGGATGTCGTTTTGAAGTATATTTGTAGCCTCATTCTTTTCCTATAGTGTAGATTTGTATTTTTTGAGTTAAAGGTACTTTTTTTGCATCGTCTCGTCCCACTTCAGCTTCTTTTTTAATTCTCATTCTTCTCTTTCACACTTTTGCTTTTTTGAATTTCATTTTTAATTTCCTTTCCATTATTATTACTGTAATCATTATTTTCTCTTCAATAATCTCTTTTTTTCTTCCTCATATACACAACAATTTTTATACTAAAAAACTAAGAATAATAATACAATAGACATGGTCCAGAGCGACTTGGACAGGCAAATCGAGCAGCTTCGGCGATGCGAAATCATATCGGAGAACGAGGTCAAGGAGCTATGCAACAAGGCACGCGAAATATTTATTGAAGAGAGCAACGTGCAGCGCGTTGACGCGCCAGTGACGATTTGCGGCGACATTCACGGACAATTCTACGACCTGCAAGAGCTATTCGCAGTAGGTGGCGAGTGCCCATGTACCAACTACCTCTTCATGGGCGACTTTGTCGACCGTGGATTCTATAGCGTCGAGACATTTCTCTTGCTGCTGGCCTTAAAGGTGCGGTACCCGGATAGGATATCCTTGCTTCGCGGAAACCATGAGAGCAGGCAGATTACGCAGGTGTACGGGTTCTACGACGAATGCATGCGGAAGTACGGATCGGCGAATGTATGGCGGAACTGCTGCGAGGTGTTTGATTACATGAGCTTGGTAGCGATTATTGACGACAAGATCCTGTGTGTCCACGGCGGGTTGTCGCCGGTCATTAACACGGTGGACCAGATTCGGACGATTGACCGGAAGCAGGAGGTACCGCATGAGGGTGCCATGTGTGACTTGCTATGGTCCGACCCCGAGGACATCTCCGGCTGGGGACTGAGCCCGCGCGGCGCCGGGTATCTGTTTGGTGGCGACGTCGTCCGGTCATTCCTTCATACAAATAACCTCGATCTAATCGCCCGAGCGCACCAGCTGGTGATGGAAGGGTACAAACATATGTTTGACAAGACCTGTGTCACCGTGTGGTCGGCACCCAACTACTGCTACAGGTGCGGTAATGTGGCTGCTATCCTGGAGTTTGACGAGAACTTGGGCTCCAATTTCAAGATCTTTGAGGCTGCGCCGCAGGAGGCCCGCGGAACGCCAGCGAAAAAGCCAGCACCAGACTACTTTTTGTAATTATCTGATGAACAGTCAAGTCAGTCTATTTTTTCTTTTTCGTTGCTCTTGTCGCATTGTGTGGTCAAAATAAACATTATTAACACTAAGCAACAATCGGCTCTCATTACTGATGGCGGCGCCGAGCCATCCGGCTGTGCTAGCTTTGGGTGCGCGACGACACGTGCTCGATATTGCGCAGCGAGCTGCGGACAATCTTGCCTGCCGGGCTGCGCGGAATATGGCTGATGACAGCAAACCCGCCCCTCAGCCACTTGTACCTCGCCACACGCTCATGCAGCCAATCAACAATCAAGCGCGCACGCCTATCCTGGTCTTCCTTGCCGCCAGCCTTGTTCCTCAAAACAATATACGCCTTTGGGATCTCCGTCGCCTGCTCATCGTCGTAAACAGCCATGACCACGGCATCCTCGACATCCGGGTGTTCAGCCAAAATACCCTCCAGCTCCGAAGGCGCGACCTGAAACCCCTTGTACTTGATGAGCTCCTTTTTGCGATCAGTAATGTAGAAGAACCCGTTCTGGTCAAAGTACCCAATGTCACCAGTATGTAAAAACCCGTCAGAGTCAAAAATATCCTCTGTAGCCTTGGGGTTATTGAGGTAGCCCAGCATGATGTTTGGACCACGGAAACATAGCTCGCCTGGGGTTTTGCATCCCAACAGAGTGCCTGTGTCGTCGATGACCTTGGCCTGGCATCCAGCGAGGAGAATGCCGATGGATGCCGGGTTGCAATGCGACGTAGAGAGCATAGTCGTGGCCGGGCTCATCTCGCTCATCCCATACCCTTGCACGATGCGGACGCCCGGAAGCCGAGCCTCCGTGGTCTCAATAAGAGTGGGACTCAGGGCGGCGCCGCCCGAAAGCACCGTATGCATAGACGTAAGGTCAAACTCGTCCACGTGCGGGTTCTTGGATAAAGCGCAGACAATTGGCGGTACAAGGTACCCGTAGGTAATTTTAAAGTGCTGGATGGCTGAGAGGAACTTTTCAAAAGTGTAAGCCGCCATAATGACAATTGTGCCCCCCTGGGCGACAGAACTGTGCAGCACGTAGGAGAGCCCGTAGGCGTGGCAGAAGGGCGCTAACCCAAGGAATGTCTCGCGGGTGTGTGCGCCCGAGTCGAACTGCTTGATCCCGTTGATCTGCATAGCGTTAGCAACCATATTGCGATGCGTCAGCAGCACGCCCTTGGGTCTGCCCGTGGTTCCGCTGGAGTAACACAGGTACGCGGGGATTTCGCGTAATTTTCCCGCCTCGTGTTGAAAAAATAATCATCCTGTGTTCCTGTCTCCTTGATTATTTTCAAAATCGAATTCGCCGACATGCTCTTGGACCCGTCCATTGTCAAAATATGCTCGACCGCGTGGCTGGAGTGCGCGAGTGCGCGGTCGACTGTGGGTTGGAGCCCCTCGCCGACAATGATCATCTTGCAGCGCGAGTCCGTTAATTGATGCGCTAGCTCCCTGGGCGTATACATTGGGTTGGCTGGTGTGCATGTGGCGCCTGCAGCAACGATGGCGTAGGCGGCAATCGGGTAGTTCATGCCGTTTGCGGCAAAGATCGCCACGGTGTCGCCTGGACCAATGTTAAAGGGGGCTTGTTGGAGCCCTGCGGCCAGACGCAGAGTCTGTGATCGGAGCTCGAGAGAGTGAGCGTTGCCTTGGTTTCCGAGTCCACAAATACCGTGTGCTCGGTGGATGAGGACACGTGCGATTCGCACTCGGTGAAAACATAGTTGACCAGGTTTGTGTTTGGTATATCTATGGGCGGCAGAATGGAAGAAGTGATCATTGCGCCTAAATAAATATTTTATTTTATTTGAAATATTAAATATTTTAATAAAACTAAAAATGCAAAATGTGGATGCAATCGGTGAAAATATAAAAAAATATATATATACGATATTGGTAGGTAGCAATGTAAGATAGTTTTGTGAGTAAAGAGAAAGTTGGATGTTTTTATTTTTCACATTTTAAGAAGCAACCGGGCGCTTACATGGCCTCTCCTTTTATATTTATATGCTCGGTTTCTACTTTACATATTTGCTTATTTTTGTGTAACAATGTCCGTTCAGCAAAAAAACGGCCGTTGCATAGTAGGTGGATGAGGATGACTGTGAATCAAATGGGGCACAGTGGTGCTGTATGGCGATATGATCATTCCAGTGTTTGTAGGCGGAATTCAAAAATCAGAATTTATGTTAGTAACAGGATTGTCCTACGTGTAAAGAAGCACAATAGGATATAGGTTTATTTAAAATTGCTTCAATGCCCATTGTTCAGCAACAAAACACCAAAAATAGGGAGAATGGTAATAGGCACAGCCACCCCAAGAGATAGTAACGAATAAAAAACACTAGTCACTCTGCACTCACACTGGCTTCCAATTCTTCTAATTCTCGGACAACAACGCGCGAATGCAGATCCGCCACGCGTATAGGCTCAGGCACCCTATACCGTGAGCAACAGCGCACCAGCTCCACCGCAGTCTGCATTGACACTCTATGCCCAGGCGACACAAAAATCGGATTCGTCGCCCCCTCTCCGGCCGTAGGCCGCACTGCCATCGCACACACATCGCCATTTACCTCAATCTCAACACCCCCCAGCGCCTTATCCTCTTTAAACATTCGCTTTAACTCCTTTGCGTCCACTGTCATGCCCTCCATGTACAGGAGGTTTTTTGCCACGCCGATTGTCGGAATATCCAGCTCTACGCCCAGATGACAGGCCGAGCCGAACCGCCGCGGGTGCAAAGTGCCGTTGCCATCAACGAGCACCACTTGTGGCCAGAGCTCTGGATTATTTGTGCGAAGGCTTGCAAAGGCGGCGAGGTACGCCGGTGATTCGCGAAAAGCTAAAAACCCTGAGATGTAGGGTTCGGTGATCAGGATTTGGTGGGTTTGCAGGTAGAGCTGGGTGAGTGATGGGTAGGAGAGAATGGTAAGTGCGACTATTGCTGTGGATGTCGTGTTGCGCGGGTAGCTGATGTCTACGCCGCCGATTAGTGTAGCCCAGGGAATGGAGCTGTGGGCGTGAAGCTCAGTCGGTCGGTGGGGTCACGTCGTGCGAGAAGCTCGGCCTGAGTTCGGGTCCACAATACTGTTGAATTTGAATTCAATTTTGAATTCGAAGTGGTCATTTATGAAAATTTTATTTTCAATAATCGTTTATTACTTTGTGCTGCGTGTAGAATCAAACAAATAAAATTTATTCATCAATAATTTGAAAAGGAAAAGTGTGTTAGAAATACCATATCAAAACTGTATTGTCAGTACAGTCAGGAACAATTTTGTTGGGTTTTTTATGTAGGCTGCAGTCAGAATTTTTGTAGTCCAAAGTAAATTATGCACCAATAAATTGATGCATGTGAGCTTTATAAATATTTGTATCTTCACTCCAGAAACCTCACAAAAAAGGCACCAACCTGCCTCTAACACCCACTGGTCATCAAGTACACATCCCTCACAAATAATAATGTTGAAAATGGTTTGATTTTCCTTGATTCATTTTATTAAAATTAAAAAGTGAATTTTAAATGTGACATCTCTAAAACGGAATATGGTTGGCGTTGTAGTGAATAGTGCTATTAGTTATTTATTAATAAGATGATTAAAACTAAAATCTGAATCCTCTTTCTTCTTGAATCATGGTCTGCCGGCTTGGTATTTATACCATTTCAAAACAAGCGAACGCGGTCATGTAGCTATCTGTGGACACCAATGTACAAAGGCGACGTGTTATAAAAATGTCTGTTGATGTCAATCCGCATTCAATAAGGGTCATTGACACTGATGGTCAATACTGGTGCATATCATATTAAACACGTATGACTACAAGCTTAATGTCTTTGCTAACTTCACGATTAATATTATTAATCTCCCATGCACTGCATTTATCAAAATCACAATCGATGCCATTATAAGTATTTGTTTTGTCTTTGCGTAGTACAAATGTTACATATTTTACTTTTAAACTTGGTTGAGTTACATTATTACATTTCCCTGCTGTAAAAACATTTTTAATAATGTATTTTTTGGTTTTTTTAATATCCACATGCAAATAAATATCCATAACTGGTTTTATGCCCTGACTATATATTTTACAAACGATAAATTTGATTTTATTATTGTTAAAATTTTCAAGATTAAAATTATCTGGCTTGTATAATTTTAGAATTTTATTTTCCTGCTCTTTATCCGTCTTGGGCTTACTACCGAACATGATGTTGATAACAGCTTAATTCGAATAGATTGGAAAATATAAATATATATGAGTAAAAGTGCAAGTGCTGAGCGATGAATGATGAATGATAAGGTGAGAATAGTAAAAAAATGAGGATGCATCGGTCATTTTATAAGTGGTATTATAAAATTAGTTTTATTATTAAATGTTTTGGCGCCTACTCAAATACATCTCACATTTATTATTGTTTGTTTATAAAGAGCTTGCGTTGTTTCTTTTATAAAAAATAATACAAAGTAAAAAGGCATTTCTAAAAATAACTTTTTAGACTTTGGAAATGTGAATCTTTTTTCAAATGGCAGCGCCTATTTTCCGTCGTATTATGTTTTAATAAATGGTTTTGTACCCGTGCTAGTTTTAATTACAAGTATCTAAAATAAAATAATAAGTTTGGCATAGAGTACATCGTTAAACTGGGCTTTTGACACCCGCATTTTCTGTCAATAATTTTTTCAAGACAACAGTGCTCCCATTTTTTAGTTTCAAATTTTATAAAAGAAAATTGGTCGATAGGGTTGACTGGCTTATTTCTAAGCTTAGTGATAGCCCAATGAGTTTTGCCAGAGTGCAGTTAAAAAGGCAGTGGTGAACAAACCTTGGGACAGCACACTTTAATGCCAAGCAAAGAAGTTTCTATCGCAGTTCGAATTAACAACAGAAAATTGTTGCTATGCCAATAGGCTCACCAATTGCATTCCAATACAAACAAATTATTGTCTTGGCAGACAAGGGTCCGTAAAAATTTATTAAAATACACGCTCTTTTTTGTCTACATGTTATCCAAATAGCTGTTAAAACCCCGACACAAAATACGGTAGAAAAACAAGTAGGGAAAAAAGGGTTCACAAAAATTTAAGTGCAAAAAAGTGCCATTCATTTGAACTCGAGTGAAAAAGTTGTTCAACGAGTATATGCAAATAACAAGTGTCAATTGCGAAGTTTTTTTTGACTTATTTCTAATTACACATATTTGAGTTGCAATATCTTGATTGAGTGATTGAGTGATTTGCGCAGCAGCAGCCATAATAACAAAACACCTACACAAAAAAGCACCAAGTATCAACTTTTTTATAACAAATTTGTCATTTGCAATTCTTCTTTCAATTCAACCATTCAGATTTGCATTTTTGTTACTTTTGTTTCCTCGAATTTAATCCTTTCTCTCACACGTACCCTTAAATCCAACAAACATGGGGCGGAGATACCGGCGCGACACGCGACATGCAGACACTGAACTGTCCACACTGACCGGAGAAGCGCAAGTATCCGCGCTAGACGCATTGATAAGTGATGCGCGCACACTCACCTACGAGGCGATATCAGTCCACACAACCACACACTTAGCGCACAAATCTACGGAGCCGACCCACTAGACGCTGTGGCCACGGTCAGCGACAAATACGAAATAGTGCGGCAGGCACAGCCCGAGAATCCACGGCTAGACCCTCTGGGCAACACCCTCAATGCGGTTATGCGACTGGCCAAGGCGCATGCGAATCTGCACGAAATCGACGAACAACTGCAGCACGGCGACGTGGCAGTGGCTGCCAGCTCGGTTGCTGAGACTGCAGGGCTGCTGGGCGAACTCGAGGGGGACCGGGCAATTACATCGGAGTATGTGGTGTTAATGCACAGCCAGCTTCTGCGCAAGAGGGCGGCAGTGCGTGCGGAGCTCGAGTACGTGGCGGAGCAGACTTCTGGGTGGCTTTGCATGGTGCCGTCTCCGAGGTGCATGCTATGTACGGCGTAGCTGTGAGCTCCGATGGCGCGCCGTACGAGAACGCTGTTACGCCCAGCGAGCTGCTGTTTGCATTGGCTGAGCTTGGGTTGGCGCGCGGGCGCATGGACCGGATGGCGGACGACCTGGTGACACACTGTCTTGTGCCCCTGATGCGCCGGCCGCACGAGCCGCTGGCCGTGGCGCACTCACCCATGGGCGCCACACTCAGCATCGGCGCCTTTGCACCCCCTGCGGACGCCAGCAACAGCAACAATGGTGGTGGTGGAAGCGGTGGCGGTGTGCATTGTGAGCTTGTGCGAGACAAGTGGGCGAAGGTGCTGTGGTTTGTGCGCTCTGACGTGTTCCACGACGTTGACGTCGACGAGGACCTGGCTGACCTGTATGCATATTTGGGCTCGCGCATGTGGCGCGTTGTCTGCCCGCTTGTGCGGTCCGAACTGCTCATGCCTCTTGTGCCTGCGTGCGCCGAGGAGCTGGCTGATTGTGGAGCGATGGGGCCCCTGTTGCAGTTGGAGGACGCTTGGTTGGAGATGCGGCTGATCACGCAGAATGATTTGCGGATCAAGGCGGCGGTACGCGACGTTGTGCTGGCGCATGTGGCCAAACGGCGCCGCGACTTGCTGGCCACTGTTGCTGCAGTGCTGGCGAGCAACGATGACAACACTGTGGTCGTCGGAGGCAGCAGCGACAGTAGCAGCGAAGAGGGCGATGGCAAGGGCAAGGGCAAGGGCCAGGGGAAGGCGAAGGGAAGGGCTTGGTGGGGGATTCTGATAGGCTTGCATTCCCGCAGTGCGCGATATCGGAGCGCGCGCAGACTCTGGTCGACTTTGTCAATGAAACCATGGCACTGACAGCCGCGGACTCTGAGGAGACGCCGCCTCTTGCTGCCCTGTACTTCCACGCCGTGCGCGACGCGCTGATTCTGCATCGCGCGCTTAGCCGGCCGGCCGCCAACGGAGATGACCTCAAGCGGGCGTTTGTTCAGTTCAACGACTGCGAGTTCATCTCGCATAACTTGGCGACTCTCGGCCTCAGGCACCGCGGCCGCTGGCCACCAGTTTTGAAGGCGTCGGCGACGTTTACCGATGCCATTTCGGCATATCGCGAGCTGGGCCGGTTGGCCATGGCGCCTGTGCTGGAACGGCTGCGTGAGCAGTTGTCGCTGGCGCTGGGGTCATGGCAAGGGCAGGGCGCTTCGGCTGAGGGAGCGCTGGCCCTGGCCTGTGCGGTTGTCGAGCGCGTATGCTCGGTGGGCAGCCTTTATTTGTCTGCCGAAATGTTCTTGAGGGTGCTTGGCGTGCTGGTTGCCCCCCTGGCGGTCTTTGTGGCTGCATGGCTAGAGGGCATCGGCGCTGTCGGCGATGTGGAGGCGCGCGCTGTGCTGCGGTTGGTCGCACCTGTTGTTGGCCTGCGCGATAGGTTCCGGTATACTGCTGCGGGAGTGGCCGAGGACGGCGTTGGGTTTGCCCAGGGACATGTGCGCCTGTGTCAAAGTACTGCCCCGAGTGGGATCCGCTGATGGTCCAAATCGACCGTCTGACGGCTCTTTCGTCCAAAATCGCCACAAACAGCATCTAGCGCTGACGCGCACACACCTGTACAATTTCCCCACCTTTTAATTTGCCAATATTTCCAAACGTGTTATATTTATTTTTTGTTGGATTATATAAACCAAGAGAAACTAAGGTGCTTTTCCCTCTCAGGCAGCCAGACCGGGCGCCAATCCAGGTGCCACGGCTCCCGGCATACCAGGAAGGGCGGCAGCCGGCGGCGCATTCATCTGGCCTTGCATACCCTGCTCAGCCTCCCACTGCTGCATCATCTTCTCTCTATCCGACTCAATGGCCAAGGGGAACACCACAAGCAACGCGCTGGTAGTAAAGATCCAGCCCAATTTGCCCACAACACTGATACCCATGCCGCCCCATCTGCCAATGCTGCTGACCGTGCTTGAGATCACGCGTCTCTGTTCGACCGGGACAATGTCTTTGAGTGCTGCGATTCTTTCCAAGAAGGATTCCTCCAGGTAGTCGTCCTCATCCTCTTCGTCAAACTCCGAGTCATAGTCCTTTTCGCTTTGGTTGGCGAGGCTCTCAAGCTCAGAGTCTGTGGTGTACTGCGAATCTCCGTCGTACACGGATTCTTCCTCAATCTCTACTAATTTGACCATTTTGTTTGAATTTAAAAATAAAGGTGGGTAGGGTTGGCAAAATTAGATATACAAAAAAGATGTAGAGTTGATTAAAAAGAGAGAAATCATAGGTGAGGAAAAAAAAGGAAGCTGATCGTAATTTCTGTCGCACCTCACCCGCCATTAGTTTTTTTTATCTCTCACAGCAGGAATATTGATTCGCGATCACTCGATCACCATGTATATTTTTTTCCTTCGTAAAAATTGATCCATGTTTTTGTTATGTTGTTTTTCTATTGCCTACATTTTTTAACTTCTTTGCTTCTACGTCAATTCACTTTTTTTATACAAACAAACAAAAAAGCACACCCACCCTATTTCCTTATATTTTATACTTTACAAATAGGAATGTCAGGCTCTAGCGACAACGAACAGCAATCCACCAGCCGTGTGGCCAAACCACAAAAGCGCAAGACCACCGCAGAGATCCGGGATATCAACAAGGAAAAGAGCGTGTTCAGCGCGAAGGCTCTGACGAAACCCTCCAAGCAGCCCACCAATACCTTAACCAATGGGTGCAAGACCGTGGGTCGTGGAAATTTAACAAAGCCAAGCAACTCTGGCTTCTCCGTCACATCTACTCAGACACCAAAATCCCCCCCACTCTTCCCCTCCGCTCTCCAATACTTTGCTGCGGCCGGCGATGGTCTGAAGAAAACCATGGTGGATAATGCCAGACTTGTCTGCATCCGATGTCTGCCAATACGGATGAACTCAGGGCTTTGAGGAATAAGATCATTGGGGTGGTGGGAGTTAGGATGACGAAGGGCGAGATTCGGAGCATGAAGCGGGTGGCGACTAAGAAGGTTACAGATGGTGAGGCTGAGCCGAAGACGGAGGCAAAGCCGGAGGAGGAGATTAGAGAGGGAGCTTCGGAGGATATTGTAGAGAGGGCGGAGAAGGTTATTGAGGCTTTGACTGCGACGCCTCCCTCTGCCACTGCTGCTGCTCCTACACCGGTTGAGCTGAAGCGCAAGGCTGAGGATAGCGACAGCGAGAGTGACAGCGACAGCGAAGCGAGGATGAGGTGCCGAAGAAGAAGAGCAAGTCATCAAAGGAAAAGAAGGAAAAGTCCAAGTCCAAGTCCGAGACCAAGTCCAAGTCCGAGACAAGTCTAAGGATAAGAAGGATAAGAAGTCCAAGAAGTCCAAGGACAAAAGCCCAAGGACAAGAAGTCCAAGGACAAGAAGGACAAGAAATCCAAAAAATAAACATGCTTTTTGTTACTATCAATTCATTATAAATAGAAAAACATTAAACAAAACATCAGCCCTAATGAATGTAAACATCGCGGTCCTTGATCATCCACAGAATGCACGTCACAGCAACGCAAAAGGTGCTAATAACAGGCCCTGGGAACTTGACGCTCTTGAAAACAACAATCTCCGAGACAAAATGCGTGCCCGCAATAACATACGACCAAAAGGTCATATCGTAAACAAGCTCATTACCCATATTGAACGCGCACTGGTAGCGCAGCACGGCTGATAGGGCTGTCCATGCGGCAAAGACATGCGAAGTCAGGGGGGTCACTTGCTCGGGCTGCCGTGAGTAAATACGGCGTGTCATACCCAAGGGTGCCAAAAGACACTGTACCGTGTTGAAGACGGAGAAGGCTGCTGAGAGCCAGATGAACTTGGCCAGACCGCCGGCAGGAAGCGCGAAAATACTGCTGAACATTTCGGGTCGTGAATTCGCTTTAGCCAAATTTTAAATAAAGGAGAGAATAAAAAGAAAGCGAAAAACAATGCACACATGATTTGTTGGTGCTGGGTGCAAGCGCACTCTTTTAAAGTCATCCGTGGTGTGATCCTTCTGCTCGCACCCCAAATATAATCGGCCTAATTTTTTAGGGATTGGCGATTAACCTTGCGATTCGGGCAGTGGATCTGTGGTGCGAGCACGTCAAGAGAAAAAATTTTTGGGTACAAGCACGACAAGCGTGCTACACGAGTGACAACCCCTATTGACAATGGACGATGGGGAATGGTAAAATGAACAATATTGCACCCAATCAATGGTATGCGAATATGTGAATTGTTTTTAAAATGTTTATATTGTAACGCTCTAGAAAAATGTGGGTCTAAATTAATATATTTTTATGTATCAAGAATTACATTAGGAACTACAAAAGGGGGCAGCACTGTGTGGGCAGCGCCATGAATATAATATTGTTCCTTGATGTTGGCCAGCAATAACAGAAATGTGTATAGCAGACATGAGGGCGATCTTGATGCTTGAAAGGGAAGATAGTGGCTTGGAATGTGTGTTGGACACCATATATATAATGAAATAGTAAACTACAAAAAATCTAAATAAAATATACGAATGTGAAACTCGCCTCAAACTCCGCTGCCGGCCTTTGCATCAGGAATTTTAGTAGACACTGGCTGTTCAGCCATTAAATTAAAGGGTACTTCAACAATAGTCAAGCGCACCTTAAAGCGATTTATGTGCAACAACTAATTCATGTCTGCTGAATCATCTTTTGATTGTATTGGCTGACAATTATAAAATCTCGATATTCTATAGGTGGGCAATTCAGACGGAGTTCCATACTTTCTACATTCTTCTTTATGCACAGCACAGATTTCGGGCCATTTTTGAACTATTTTTCAATTTATCGGTCGTATTCAGCGGATTGGTCATATCTCCTGGTAAGCATATATTTTGGGTATTGCTGGGTATCCTGTTTCATTTTCAATTTTCTTGCATAGTTCTTTGACATTGGCACCAGAATCGATAGTTACTGTAATTTCGTAACCGGTAAATTCCTTTTTCGGGTCAAATTTTTTCCATGCTAGTAGATGGACTGTCAATATAAGGTCGCTGTTATTACCTGTCCTGATTGCTGCATTCATATTGACGGTAGAATATATGCTGTTGTTAGAGATAATAATAATAGTAGCTTGAGTAGTGTAGGTGAATATGTGGTATATGGAGCGAAGATTGGAGTGAAAAATTGGAATGAAATGAGGAGAATGAGCAGCAGATTATATAGCCAAATTTTCATTTTTCCAACATTGTAAAATAAAAATAATGCTGACTGGAATGCGTCTGCTCTGTGGGATTTGACAGCATACAAATTTAACGTCCACAATTTAACAAAGCCATGTCTGCTGGTTAAGGGTGCAAAAGCGCACAAAAAATAAATTAAAACATTGACTGCCAGCTTAATATGTTGAGTGTATTTCATAAGTATAATAAGTTTATATTTTCTAAAATCTAGGAAAAGAGAAATAAATGTTGTTTTGCCCTTTTCTTTGTAGCATTTGTACTCACAAAGAAAAGGGCAACTGATGGCATTGCCTATAAATGAAATATGTGCCCAACATAATACATGTTGTCTCCCACATAGAAAAGTTGACCCCAAATATTTACTTTTTGTATTTACTGCTTGAGATGAATCTACTTTCAAAAAACTAATTAAATTACCTCGTTTATATTTTCTGCATGAGAAAAAAAGGCGCCTCTCGCACCACCTTTTTTTTCCTCCAAAAAATATTTTTTTAATAACGCAAGAGTTCTTTAGTAAAGTCTGCATTTGCCAAAACCCTGATAAAGAATATATTTACCTTTCCTTTCTGCATTATCCTTTTTCCTTTTATTTCACTTTAATTGCATTCATTTATTCGTTTATTACTTGTACTAAATTCGACACATTATTGACTGAACAGCATAAAATGGGCTTTGTTGAAGAACTAAAAACGGGCAATTTCAGTCTCTATGGACAGTGGTGCGCACTCTTGTCGGGCGTGCTTCTCATAGTCCTAGGCGTGGTAACCTTAATTGCGCACCCCATATACTCGATTCTGGCAATTGTGTTCGGAGCAATTTGCATTCTCATTGAAATTCCATTCTTGCTCAAACTGTGTCCGACAGGGCCTTCGTTTGACCGGGCCTTTGGCGGGCTCAAGAACCATTGGTGGCGGTTTGTCGCTTACTTGGTCTTTGCCATTATTATGTGGTCGTCGTTGGCCAAGGGCGGGGGTATTCTGGCGATTGGCGCGGTGACTGTGACGATTGCTGCAGCTTGCTATCTTGTGGCTGCTGTTAAGAAGCAGTCCAAGGTGACGATATCTATGCTCGGCGGATCTGGTGTGCAGAGCCACCATGGGTTCGACACAACGAATGCACTGCCCATCTGAGCCCTGTTTTTGAATATGCCCTTTTCTTTTATTTATATTCTTTTTTATCTCTTTTTGTTTTGTCAAGTTTTCATTATATATAATGCTTCTTGTATTTGTTTTAAACTCAGCCCTTAGGTTGTTAATGCGCGAGCCAATGGCTGAAGCCGGTTGTCCGGTCTAGCCTATCAAGTTTGCTCGCATCAGCGTGAGAAACAGCGGGAGTAGCGGCAGAAAGACCGATGAAGTCACATGAAAAAGCAAGCACACATGGGATGGCATGGCATTGCATCGCATGTGCGCTTGTATTTGCATTTTTATTGGCAATTTTGCAGCCAAGTCTGTTTTGTGGGAACAGGGTCTTCAGGTAGACATGACGCACGCAAAAAAATAAATTAAAATAAAACGCAAAAGCAGTGCCTCGATTTGCCTTTGCCTTTGCTTTTAATGCAAACGTTTCTCAGTTCTATTTGTTTTTATTTCGCCCAATTCATATTTACCTTACTAACAATTCACAACTCAAAGCACCTAATTTTTTATTTTTCTAGTCTTTTACCCATGAAGTTCTTCTCCGGCCCTGGCTCCACCGCCAGGTTGTTTGCCGTGCCGGACTCATTCTAGCCACCATCGCTGCTGCCTCACCAGCGCAGCACGCCTTTATTGCGCACCCCGAGCTCCACCACGTGTCGCCTAGCACCGACTTTTCGGCAGCACGCAACGCGACCAGCAGCCTGCTCAGCGACTCAAAATGGACCCGCATCGAGAGCATGTCAGCTCTTCCCAACTACCAGCTGCGCATCAAGCAGCCCAAGCTCTGCGAAACCAACACCACACAGTACAGTGGATATTTGGACACGGATGAGGACCGTCATTTTTTCTTCTGGTTCTTTGAGGCACGCAACGCCAAGCGAGAGGATGCGCCGATTGTCCTGTGGATGAATGGCGGGCCCGGGTGCAGTTCATTCACGGGTCTGTTGATGGAATTAGGCCCTTGTCGTGTTGACAAGGGTGGGAAGGTCCTCGTCTAATGTGTATGGCTGGAATGACAAGGCCCATGTTATCTTTTGGACCAGCCCCTTAATGTCGGTTACTCGTATGGCAAGGAGTGTTTAACTCGATGGAGGCCGGAAAGGACGTTTACAACTTTTTGCAGCTCTTCTACCATTCGTTCCCCGAGTACGCCAAGAGCGAGCTCCATGTATTTGGCGAGTCCTACGGTGGACATTACGTCCCGGCTACGGCCAAGGCCATTCACGAGGCCAACTTGGATTTCTCCGGCAAAATGGCCCTGAACCAGCTGTCTGTCAGCGAGAGGGAGAAGCGCGTGCTGCCGCTTACGTCCATTGGAATTGGAAATGGGCTCACCGACCCGTTGATCCAGTACAAGTATTACTCGCAAATGGCGTGCAATTCGACATACGAGCCTGTGCTGCGCCAGGACGAGTGCGACAAGATGGACAGCACTTACGACACATGCGCTCGGCTCATCAATGCCTGCTACAAGTGGAAGAACGCGCTGGCATGCTATCCTGCCGAGATGTACTGCAACCAGATGCTGATGACCTACCAGCGCTCCGGAGCCAACCCCTATGACGTGCGCATTCCCTGCGAGGGCGGCAACCTTTGCTACCCCATTATGGCCGACATTGACGCCTACCTCAACACACCCGCTGTGCAGCAGGAGCTGGGTTCTGACGTCAGCAAGTTTGAGGCGTGCTCACAAAAGTGTACACTGGATTTACCCTGAGCGGCGACTGGATGAAGCCCTATGTGTATGAGATTCCACCACTGCTCGAGGCTGGAATCCGTGTCCTTATCTATGCCGGCGACGCTGACTTTATTTGCAACTGGTATGGCAACAAGGCGTGGTCCGAGGCCCTCGAGTGGACTGGCAAGGATGGGTTTGGCCGGGAGGCTGACAGCGACTGGGTTGTGGATGGTAAGGCTGCTGGTGAGGCACGTACGTTTAAAATTTTTCGTTTGTGCGCGTGTTTGGCGCCGGACATATGGTGCCGTATGATCAGCCAGAGAACTCGCTGGATATGATTAACCGCTGGTTGGAAAGCAAGCCCTTCTATTAATTTTTTGTCGGTTTCTCTTCTTTTTTATTTAATTGATGGGGATACTTTTAATTGATGTGCTCTTTGTTTCCCACGTGATACGCCTGTGTCTGAGGATTGAACAATGAGGGAGTCATGAAAGCGTGATGGTCATTGGTAAGTGGTATTGACATATTTTAAACATAATTAACTTGGCTTGGCTTGAACTTTGCCTTTTGCATGTGTCCAATGATCCTACCGGCATCAATAATTCAATGCGTGCAAAAAAATATGGAAGAAAAAATAAGAAATTCAAAATGGACGGTACAAATATGATGACCATGCTGTCAGTAAGTAAATGTTAAAGAAAATGTGGTCTTTATAGTTTAACAGCAATTAGACCACGCGCTGGGATTTATGTTAATACAAATGAATACAAAACAGTAGTCCTAAAGACGCTGAAAAGGAAAGAGGTGAGGGCTTTAATTCATTTTTAAAACTAAAAAAGCCTGTTTAAAAAATATATATTGTTTTTTATATCCATTTTTTGAAAAAAAATTCTTCTTTTACTTTCACTTTTTATTAACGTATATTCAATATTACTACTATTTATATATCGCGTAATATGAAGGTAAGAATCACTGTATCTCTCTCTCTATGTCATACAAAAATATATTTTTTATTATTTATTATTTCACTCAGTTCTGAATACTAATATGCGCTGTACAGTCATTTAACCAAAAACAACGCTTTATAGACCATTTATCTACTCTTATTTTCAGCACTAGTCAGCGCACAGGATGCCTGCAATGGCCACGTCTCCCTCTGCTCTCGTCCCTTTAATCAAGTGAGCTACGCCAGCACGCACAACTCCTACTCCTACGCACCAGCCACTATTATCCTAGCCACCAACCAGGAGAAAACAATCCAACAACAGCTCGACCAAGGTATCCGAGCATTCATGCTCGATATTGCCCGCCCCATCCCGCAAGGAAACTCCATCTGGGCACAAACCCTGCAATGGTTCCAAACCACGTTTTCCATCTCGTCGTCGCCTTCTGCCGTGCACCTATGCCATGGTATGTGTAGTGTCTTGGATAAAGGACCACTGGAGGATACACTCAAGGTATTTGCCAGATTTATGGAGGATAATCCGAGAGAAGTGGTTACTTTTATTATTGAGAACGTCGGAGAGTTTAAAGCTGAGGAGATTGTGCCTAGTTTTGTCGCTGCGCAGTTGGAGAGGTACGCTTTTGTTCCCTCGTTTGCCCCAAAGCCAGAGAAAGCCGCGTATGAATGGCCGACTTTGGCCGAAATGATTGAGCGCGACCAGAGACTGGTCGTGTTTATTGACAACAAGGCGGATACTGAAAGGGTGCCTTATATTTTGCCCGAATGGGAGTACATGATGGAGATCCCGTATGCAAATATTAGTCCTGTGAGCCAGTTCGGGTGTGATCAGGAGAGACCCAGAGATGGGGTACCGCGTGACTTGCTGGTCGTTAACCATTTCGTGTATAACCGGCTGACCATTGGTAAAACCAATATTGACTCTCCGCTGAGTGCCTGGCAGATTAAGGAGCAGGGCTACAATTCGCTCGAGTCGCTTCTGAAACATGTAGATAGCTGCAGGAATACGTGGGGTGACCGCGTGCCCAACTACATCGTGCTGGATTACTACAACATTGGCAACGATCGCTGTTCAAGGTTGTCGACCAGATCAACGGTTTCTAGTAACTCTGCGTAACTGCATTGTTTTGCTTGTATAATGAATAAAAACTCATTCTATTGTTATAAAAATATAATGTATGCAAAATTATGAAATGCAAAAAAGAGGTGAGGAACATGACAGCACCCCTGATTTAAAGTGTCAGCTTAGACCTTGGTGACGTGGATCTTCCCACTAGCGCCATCGATAATGCACAAGTTGTTGGCTGGCACGTACTGGTGGGTAATGAGCTTGATGGCCTCCTGAGCGATCACGCCCCCGGCCATCGATGCAACGTTGTGCAACTCGTCGTGACCCGAGCGCGCAAACTCCGCAGATAGTCCCTTAGGAACCGCCTGATCGGCAATCCCCCACAAGGCCAGCAGACCGTTGGATATTGTCTCCAACTCCATGGCGTCGCTGTGCACCAACTCGGCAATGTCAATATCAGCGTTGCTGTCGCTGGACACAGCACCCGGGTACCTTGCGTGTGCAGCATAGAATGCTGCCGAGCCCCGGAAAAGTACGTAGTGGAAGAGTGCCTCCGAGTACGCAATGCCTTCAGTGCTTGCAGGGCCAGATTTAATCTCGGTGTGTAGTGGGGTGAAGCGCAGCAGCCGCAGCCGCCTGGCGTTCTTGCAGTACGTGTCAACCTCGCCCTGTGTGATAAAGCACTCGGGCAGATTGGCGGCCTGCAAAACATCACGTATGTGCTTGGCCAGTTCGGCCTTGTCCTCGTCCGCCCGCTGCTTGTACACGCGTTGCAGGGCGATGTACCCTTTGGTGTCGGCCTTCATGTCGGGGATTGTGCCGCTCAATGGCAGCATCCCCTTGGCATAGTCGGATTCGATATAGCGGCGGAGCGCCCTTGTAAGAAGCCAAAACTTGTCATCATTGTCCGCTCTTGCTCTTTCTACGAGTGAGGATTCACAAATTAAAAAAAGTAGGGGAATCAAAATTTTACACAACTGACAACAATCAAAATATCTGAGCGCAGTAGCGAGTACGCCAATGCAAAAAAGTGGTTTCATAAGGCACAATAGATAAATGTCGCTGGCATAAAACAAAAAGTAACAGACGATAGCGCCAGCTGACGAGCGACACAAACGACAGTAAAAAAATTAACAACACATTTCAAATACCAACAAAAAATAACATCAACGTTCATGTGGTCGAGAAACAAGCAAAGCAGCATTGTTTTCAATGTGCATATATATGTCAACAAAGGGAGCAGGCGTGACCCTTGCCGCAGCAACAAAAAAGAATAGGGCAAAACGAAGTAACAGCGCTGCACAATTAAATTAAAAAGGGGGATGTGCATGCATAAATGGTGATATGACAAATATAGAATACAAGTGCAAATGTTTAAAATCAGTTCAATAAATCATGTGCTCTTGTTGGTCTTACCTTTAAGTCGGCAGCATCATCTGCCATGCCATTTGATTTCGGCTCGGCGGCCGCAGGGTCACTGAGGATCTGGGCGACCTCGAAAGGAATCTCGCATGCACCGCAGTTGGCGTTGACGTTCTTGCTGGCCTCGACAAAGTTCTCTTCATCCGAGCAGGGTGCCATTCCAATGACAATGTTGCGGATGTCGGCCAGCTGCCTGAAGGGAATCTCAATGGGGTCGACGCCAAGCGCCAGGTTTTTGTCTGCAGCCCACTTTTGCAGGGCCTTAATGATGATCACGACGAAAGGGACATGGCCGAGGTCAGTAGGATCGAGCGTGCTCAAATCGATGGTATTGGCAAACTCAGAAGCGCGGGGAACGGCGCAGTAAGACGCAAGTCTTGTTTGATTTCGGCATGTGACTCGACAACTATATTGGTAGATATATGGTAGAAGCAGTGTCAAGTGATGCCCATTTTTATTTAGCACGCAGAGCATTTGAAAATAAATAAGGGAGGGGAGGGAACAATGGGCGCGCTTTGCAGCAATAATGGCAGTCAGATTTGCTATATCCTGTCGCTCGTCTTGGCCAACAATGACTAAATGAGCAAAGCTGTGGAGAAAATGGCGTACTCTGTGACTGCATAGTCTTTAAGGAAAGACAAAAGTCGGAGCGGATAATTGGCATGTGCCTGTCAACAGGCAGTAAACACTTGCCAGCAAAAAACAGAAAATAAGTATAAAAGCTGGCGAGGTATTTTATCATTGTAGCATTTTGCCCACGGGTTGGAAAGCAACAATAAATGAATGAATATACAAGTTGCGATATACTCCATGTAATTGAATGCACGTGGAATGTACGGTGATACCGTAATTGCCGTTTTCTGGTGCGGAAATGGGCACGTTCAACACATATCTTGCGGAGAATAAAACCTCCCTGACTGTCAGCAGGACAAATTGAAGAAATAAAACAAGAAAAACAAATGCAACGAAGAAATGGGGGGGGGCGTTCGTCTGAATTTGTTGCAAGCCAATATTATTTCGAAAATTAAATATTGCCCACGAGCGCCAAGGCTTGGGGGCTAGCGTAGGCAGGAAGTCAAAGACAGCAGTCACGATCCAGCGGATTGTGCAGTGCTGTCTTTGAAATTGCCTACGTCTAGACTTGACCTCATGACAATATGAAAGCGTGACACAGAAATAATGAAACCCGAAAATAAAGTAGAATATAATAAAACTTACCTGCATGTTCAGAAACGACCGTGCGTACCGAGGCCATGAATCCAGCGGCGGTGGCCACAAGCAGAGGAGTGCCCTGCTGCCAGCAGCGCAGACCAAGATCGTGAACAACAGCCTCGGGCAGCCCGCAGGCAATCACGAGTGACGCTCTGGACACAAGCTCCATGTCGCTGGGCTCACACGATGCAAGGACTTCTGCCGGCGCCCTGATTATCGATGCACCTCTGACATCAGGGTTCAGCTCGCTCAGACCGCTGACAATGCATTTCGCGCGCAGCTTGCCCATATCGCTGGACTGGACAAAAAAGTTTGTCAGTGTGTCCTGCTCGCCAACGACGGCATCGTCGACCACAGAAAACTCGCCAATCCCTACACATAAAACAAAAAACACATTGCTTAGAGACTCAAGGATTGGCGTAGCTATTGACGGAGAGCGGAGTGATCACCGTGCCATTGGGCCCGGGTATCTTCAACTACATAGAAACAGGCTGGTGTCGAGTGGGTGGACAGGGCAGCAGAAGCAGGCACCTGCGCATTTTATGTAATAGTGTGCTGCTTTTGCTTGCTCCTGCGTCGAGCTGAAGCAAGGAGTACATGGCGCAGCAGCCATCATCCCCTTGCCTCTGCTCTGCTCCATTCCGTTTACTGATCGCCATTCTGAGAGCGACATGAACTGTCATAAGTGCGATTGTGCATTGCTTGTGCTACGTACCTGGCAAAACAAGATTCTTGAGCGATTCAGATGCCAGCGCAGACGATCCAAATACGCATACGCGAGCGGTTTCCAGTGCCGCTTGGCCACTTTCGTGCCAGAGTCTACAGCAAAAAAAGAAGTTCGGCAAAAAAATCGGATTTACAGAGAGACAACGCGGAAAATATTAGTGGCGGAAGGCTCCATTTTTCCTTTAACAACGCGGGTGGCATAAAAAAGGCAGTGACTTTGCCGGATTGAAGTGAGTGCGGGGGAGTGAGGGGAGGGGAAGCGGCAACTTGCAAGCCCACTTGCGCTGCGGCGGCGCGACTGCGGGATGTGGGCATTGCCGACACTGGAAATAAAATATTATTTCATTATCCTGAACGGCACGAGTTGCCGGACAAACAAAAAAAACTAACAAAAATGAGGGGCCAAAGAAAGTAGCCACAATGTGAATTGCACTTTGTAATTCAGTTGCTGTACCTTAGCTGGCGGTCGTAAAGCTGTGCTTTGTCTGTTTCGTGTCGCATTCGTTTAATATCGGGGGTGGTGTTTGAATCTATTGAGAGCGAACGTCGCATAAACTAATAAATAAAGTAAAAGGAATTAAAAAGGGGGATGTGTGTAGGAATGTCGAAGATGCCGTAATTTTTTTTCCAAAGCTGCGCAGTCGACTGGTGGTAAACAAAGCAATTTTGAAATAACGGACAAAGGAATATTTCCGCTTTATTACTAAAAGGCTATAAGATAAAATTCAAAAAAATAAAAAATAAAAAGAGAATGCGCAAAAAGAACCAAGACTTTAAAACCACAGTAGCGTCCTTTTAAAAATATTATGTTGTGTACAGTCGAATATAGCGCGCGCGTAGAGCCAAAATTAATTGGGAGGGGAGTATTTAGAGAAAAAGAAAAATGAAGAGCTGAGTTGAGCTGATTTTGGCGCCGATGCTGATGCGCCAATCTCAATCTCAACATCAGGCTCAGGCTTCAGGCTCAGGCTCAGGCTGGCGGAGGGCCAATGGGATGCTGCGCAGATTTTTTTGCTTTTCTTTTTCAGATGGCTTGGAGAAAGAGCAAAATTTTAAAATGCTGACCCAGCCAATCGCGCGCACAGCAGGAAAAAAGGATTTCGCTTTCGGCAGAGGCGAAGAAAAAAGGAAGAAAAAGAAAGCGACGGCGAATTGGGAAGGGGTGGGTTTTCAACCCATTTCCGGTAACCAACCCTGGGGGAGGGGGAGGCGCGGCTGCTCTGGCAATTCAGTGCCCACTATTTGTAGGCAGCAATTGCGGCCACCCCCTCTCCTTCTCGCCAAGCACTCACTTTCCTCTCCAAATCTTTTTTCTTTTTCTTTTTGTTTCTCACCCACCAAATATTTTTTATATTACTACTACTCACTCCCTTTTTAGCTTTTTCACTCATTTATTTATTAAGCTTTGTTCAACCTGCCAAGCTATCGCATCGACACACTGGCACATATATAACCCACTCACGCTCCTCGCGCACTTTTTTATTTATTAATTTTTCTATTTTTCCAACTGCCCTCGTGCTCTCTCTCACTCCAACTTGGTTTTACACTTGCTTTCTCACACTTATTTTTTTGCCCGTCAATCATCTTTTGTATTTTAGCGTGCAACTATATTTTATTTACAAACACACACCCTCTCTATATACTCGCTTGTGACACAAAGCATACACTTACTTCACTTCGAATAGTCTAGAGTGACAATAACTATTAAGGGTGTTTTTTGTTTCTATATTTGCCTGATTATTTATATCCTCAAACTACTATGAGCAGCGAGCAGCTGAGCACCACTATTGACCCGACGCTTTTACAGAGTCTCGCACAACAGCACCTGAACACTTCATCTCAGCTTTCTGGCTTTTCACAGCTTCAAATCAACCCCGACTCGTCGTCTCTCAGAAACAACTACGGCTATTCATTTGGCTCCCCAGTCATCCATACCAGCGCAGCAATGAACGACAACCCGGGAACCGCGCCCATCAACATCAACCGCAATTCGGGCTTTGGCAACAGCAACCAGCAAGGCTTTGGCGGTTCCGCCGCCTCCTTTGACTACGAGCGCGGCAACATTGCCAACAGCTTTCAGCAGCTGCAGCAGCAGCAATTTGGCCAGCAGCAGCAACACCAGCAGCAAACTTCTTCCGCACGCACCTAGGCTCTCCTAGCCAGCAGACGGAGCTATTTTCGCCGGTGCAGGACGAGCTCCACGACGTCTCGCCGCTGGGCAGCTTCCAGCAGAACACCCTGGTGGCCTCGATGGCGTCGGCCGCCATGCCGACCAACATCCCGATGCTTGGTAGCCAGCACGTCAATGCCAACCACATGCTGAGGATGCACGCCTTCAGCACCAGCCCTGCACCCCAGAGCCCAGCCTTCCAGAGCATGTCTCTGCCGCCAACCACAAATGGTTTGACAGTCATTTGGTCCAGCAGCAGAGCATCAACTCGGCCCTGGATCCCTCGTCATTCAACGCGCAGCAGTTCAGCGGGTCTAACGCCGACGGCATGTCGCCCCAAAACCAGGCCCTGATGTCGCTGATGGAGAACGACGACGGTGACACATCCCAGAAATCGTAAGTACAGACAACAATTGTAAAAGTTGCTGTTCCCATTTTTTTGTATATTGCGTGTGTCTTCCATCCTCAATGTTTTTCCGCACCTCCTTTTAAATGCAGCTTGCTTGCATTCTTCTGTGGCACAGCACAGTTCGCCATCATTTCCATCATCATGCACTAATTGCCTATTTCTTTTCATTTATTTACTCATTCTTCCGAGAATAGGGCGATTGTCAGCTACGAGAAGCGCCGTCGTCGCAGGGAGAGCCACAACGCGGTCGAGAGACGGAGACGCGACAATATCAACGACCGCATCCAGGAGCTCAGCAATATGCTTCCGAGGCCATGATTGATGCCAACACCAAGCCGAACAAGGGCATCATTCTGAAAAAGTCGGTTGACTACATCAGGCATCTGCAGCAGATTCTCCAGAGCCAGAACGCACGCATCCACGAGCTGGAGTCCGGGCTTTCTCAGCAGTCCAACGCGCACAGCCATTCGCAGACATCCAGCGGGCTGGCTGCCATGCTCGCTGGCGCTGCGAGTATTAGCCAGGGCCGCCAGCCGGGAAACGACGGGAACAGCATGATGAACGGCGGTATGTAGATTGAGGAGGATGCCTTTTCTTTTTTCTCTTTTTTTCTCTTTTTTTATTACTCTCTGTTTTTGTATTAGTGGCCAAAGAGCACTCTACTCATTGAGCTTTTTGCCCCACTTGTAACAACTTGCGCGCACGCATCCTCCCTCATTACACGCAGACTACATCTTTTACGCTTTAGTTTATGTTTTTTTTGCTAGCCTTTTCTTTCTTTCTTTCTTTCTATCTTTCACAAATTATTATTTATTTCATTCACTCGGTTTTTATATTAAAAAACCTGTATTTCCTTTTAAAGTAAAATTTTATTTGGAATGTTTAGCGAACATTTGTTCTGCATGGCGCTGCATATCCCTGCTTGTCTTGCTCTTCCCTCACTCAGCTCCCACCTGTAGTGTCTCTTTTCCATTATCGAATTTATTTTTAATGTTTTTTGGGACTGTATTATGCATCCAAATGGCTTACAAGTCGCATAATATATCGGACGTATACAATGATGCATTCGAGAATGAAGGGGGGTGGTTGACAAATGACCATTCAAATTACAAAATTGCAAAATATAGATAGCAAGTGCCATGTATACTGATTAAAGCAATTATATGAAAAACTTTTTTAAATAAATAAATCACAAATGGAATAAATATAATTAAATGGAATGAATAGAGTGCGTGCGTGCGTGTGGTTATAGCACAAGCATCCGGGCATTTCGCCATATCCATCCATCCATCCATCCATCCATCTATCTATCGGGAATGCAACTCTACACTTGCCTTAAATGAGGATCACCACCATTGTAATATTATTTTCATTTAAGGATTTCCATTGTTACTGTTCTCCAGGTCACAGGTTCTAGGCCCAACGAAGGATGGGGGACGACTGCTGCTGCAAAAAGTCGAGATTCAGGACTACTCCAAATAATAATAAACAAAATCGACGAATCCGGCTAAGCAATTGGCCACACCTCACTTTTTTTGACTGTGCAGCGACGAATCAAACATCAGTTTTATAAAATACTTACTTTCACCAATCCCAAGTGAGACGAGGCAGACTGCAAACAAAACAAAAGTGATTTTTTCTTCCAAAACTCAATGAATCAAGAAGCATTTTCCCCAAAAAAGAAACATGTTCACGTGGAAAAAGATAATTTACATTAATCTCGAGTTGTGAACAGTTTTTTTTTACTTTTCCGGATTGTAGTCTATTTTTATCCAGCTGATTTTTTTTGTTTTTTCTTTCTTTCTTTGTGCCTTATCCACCACCAGGAACGACACCACCACAAATTGTTATTGTTTTTTATTTACTTCTCTCGTTCTTTTCTTTCTATTCTTCATGTCAAATAATAGAAACAACCCCTCCGACTCACTCTCCTTCACTCAGAAACTCCATATCTACACAAAAACAGCACTCTACATCGGCATAGCAGGCGGCATAAGCTTTGGAATCTACAAAATGTTCAGCCGCTACCAAACCAGCGCAGACATCCCCGACAGCGTAGTAAAGTCCCACCGCAAATTCTATGGCGTCGTGCTCGATGTCTCTGACGGCGACACAATCCGCGTCTACCACACGCCCATCCTCCAATGGCTCGCAGAAACACCCAAAAAGCAACGTGGAATTTCAAACTACACCATATCCGTGAGACTATCAGCTATGGATGCTCCCGAGGTTTCGCACTTCGGAAAACCTGCTCAGCCATTGTCTAAGGAGGCGAAGGATTACTTGGCTGGTCAGATTCTTGGAAAGAGAGTTAGTATTAAGCCACTGGCGAAGGACCAGTATGGCAGGCTGGTGGCGACGGTTACGTATAGGGAAATGTATGTTTTTAAGAAGAATGCCGCCCATGTGATGCTCGCTCAGGGGTTGGGTACGCTTTATAGAGGTGGGAATGCCCAGTATGATGGCGAGAAGGCCTTGCTGGAGAACTTGGAGGCTACAGCTAAGAAGAATAAGCGCGGAATTTGGGGACTCAAGGAGGGCGACTACGAGAGCCCTGCAGAGTACAAGCGCAAACACAAATAAAAAGGTTTCTTCTAAACATTGGATTCCAATAATAATAATAATAATAATAATAATAATAATAATGTTTTTTTAAAACCAAAAGGAGGGTGAAGGGTTTTAGAGGAATTGGAGACCCAGGCCAAAGTGCAGGCCAGGGTTGGGTCGGTCGGTTGCTGTGGCCACAATGGGTAGGCAGCAGGAGAGCTCGACACGCACCATGCTGTGACGGTACACCAGGCCGAACCCAACCGACGCCGACGGCGACGTCAAGAAGCGGTGCACCTCGCCGGTTTTCTCAGGATTGCCCAAGCCGCGGGCATCCAGCAGGGCGCATTGGCCAGCATTGGCCCACAAATGCCCCCTCAGCGCGTCCGTCTTTACCCAGGGCAACGGGGTCAGCAAGCTCAGGCCCAGCGCATAAAAGGCATCTCCGCCAATGCTGTCCTGGCCATCATGCGGCCCAATCCCGCGATGCTCAAAGCCGCGGACGCTGGTGCTGCCGCCCAAGAAAAACCGATCCGAAACATACGTGCGCGCCCCGCCGCCCCACAGCAGCCCTCCCTGGATGCCACTGCTGAGGACAAAGCCACGGCCCAAATCGCGATTTGTCTGGGCTTCAGCCAGCGAGCGCACAAACCGCACGTCGCCGCCAATTCCGGCCGCCTCCGACCCCACACGCACATACGACCCAGTGGTCGGCACCGTCGGCGAATCGCGCGAGTCGCGCGTAAAATTGTACGCCACGGATGACTTGAGCGAATGGCCGGCGTCCTCCCTCAATGTCGGCGAAGCATTGGCGCCTAGCGCGCAGATATTGCGCCAGCTCAAGGCATACAGCAGCTCATGAATGCCCTCAGGGCGGTTCTCGCGGTATGCAGCCGTCCATGTGCGCCTTAGCTCATCATGCGCACTGTAGGGTCGGCCGCTTAGCGTCACCTGTGTGGCTGCCAGATCCATGCGTTTCCGCGGATCCGCCGCCACCGGCACACTCAGCGTCGCCTGCATTGCCGCCTGTGTGCGGTTTCCGCGCGCATAATTTGCCTCAAGCGTCTCGCCGCCGCCCCAGATATTGTTGAGCCGCCCGGTGATACTCGCCGTACCCTCGTTGTCCCCGACATCAACGCCAGTTTTGATAATATACCGGCTGCCATCCTCACAATGGAAATGCACGTGCAGGCCATTGTCTGCTTGGTCAACCTCAACGGCGACGGCTTTGGCTATGCCCAAGGCGTGTAGCTTGCCGGCTGCTTCGCGGGTCTCGTCGACTGTCTGCTTAATTGTTTGTGCTGCGAAGACTGGCTGGAGGAGGTCGCTGAGGAACCCGGGCCGGATGCGAGATACTCCGGAGATCGAAAATTTGCTGACATGGGAGCTGTGCTTGCTGACGTCCACTGTGCGCTGCTGCGGCTGCAACTTTGGCTGTGACTGTGGCTGTGACTTTAGTTGTGGCTGTGGCTGTGGCTGCGGTGGTGGTGCCTGGCGCGGCGCAGGGGAAGCAAACGCTTCGCTGAGGATGCTGCGCGCCGAAAACCCAGCGTCAGTGTCAGCATTGGTGCTGGGCTCTGTGTAGGCTGACATTTTAAAACGTTTGATTTAAAGTGTCAGTTTGAATTTATTTTCTAATTGATAATACAAATTATAAAAAAAAGAAAGAGCAAAAAATGAAGAAAAAGGTTGAAATCAAAAAAGTCGATCAGTTTTTTATTTTTTATTTTCAGCTGGTTCCAAAAAAAAAAATATTTCTCAAAACCTCCCTTTCACTCCTTCACTCTGTATTAATTTTATCCAACTTATTATTTCCACTCTTTGTACACCTCAAATATACACAAAAATACATAGATTGAATGCAGCAGGATGCACCATATAATGTCAAGTGGTCGGACAACGGCCAAATACTTGTGTTCGACGCCGATACCGTAATGCGGCTGCGCAGGGACCATCGCCTTGTCGGTGCCCTGGAGGGCTGTCATCCGAGCAACCCGCACCAAAATGGCTACTTTGGTCTCCCACTGATTCTGCTCCCCGAAGAAACCGCCTATTTACTAGAACTCAACGCCATTCATAATCCTCCGCTGACCACTCATTGCTGTGGCCAAAGTCTGCCCGTGATCACATCTTATTCGAACTGTTCAAGGACCTCCATAGTCGCGGTTATTATTTAACTCGTGGCCTGAAATACGGCGCTGACTATCTGCTATACCCAGGTAAAATAAGCTCATTAACATGGTGTTTCTAGAATTTATTCAATGTTTTATTGATCATTTTGTTGTTGTTATACTGATAACAAAAAACTTTTTATTTATTTTTGTTAGGCGAGCCTATGCGGTACCATTCGAGCCACGCTGTCACTCTGGTAGACCACGGCGTTTCAATTACGCCGCGTGAACTTATTACGCTTGGTCGTTTGGGAACGGCCGTGAAGAAGATCCGCCTGCTGTCTTCTTGGAACCCGACACCAGCAAATTCACTCACATAACCATGAACTGGTCTGCGATCGGTTAAAAATAATAAATAAAAAAGAATAAACAGTACTTTGATTCATAATATAAAAAATGGCTCTCCCAAAGAAAAAAAAACAGATTCTTGAGAGTGTGTATGAGAGAAAGAAAGAAAGTGAAATAAAATTTAGTTCTTTGTGCTGGTCAGCTTGCCGTAAATGTGGAGCAAAAACACAGAGGCAATGAACACCAGGCTGAGAACCAGGACCACAACGGGATCAACTTTGAGTCCGGGGGCGTCATCTGAGTAAAGCCTCATCATCGTCTGCGTGCTACCGGTTGCCCGAGAAACTTGCCGGCTGTTGGCTCCACCGCGGCCAGAGGCGGATGATCCGCCACGACGAGCACTACAATTTTTTATAATCAAAACGTCAAAAAAAGATACATTATCAATATCAAATATCAAATATCAATTTGCATGTCACTCTGTCACTGTGAATGAAATCATACGTCTCTATCTTTTTTTGCCATTTATGTTGCACTTGGTTCTTACCGAAGGTGACGAGGGCCATCGCCAGCGGCAATGGGCCCCTTCTTGACAGCAGATGGTTCAGCCTACAAAAAAACGCATTGACAAGAAAAGTACAGTAGACAACGAGCGCAACAAAAAATAAGTTTTTTTTAGTTACTGTGCGGTGGTCAAAAAAATAATCTCAAAGCAATGCTCTACTTTTTCGCTTCAACGCCCCCTGTCTGAAGCAGAAAAAGAACCCGGAATTTCAAATTCAGCAAAAATAATTGTCATCTCAGCCTCATTCTCATCCCAGACTTAATTTTAAAACAACAGCCGCGTTTTTGTTCATAATAGACGTTACCATTGTATAAGTTTTCTGTGGACGTGTGTGTGTATGTATGTGGGTTTTTGTTATTTTTGAGAGCGTGCTGTACGAGATATTACGACGCGACGCTGCTGTGGCTATTCCTCCTTTTGTTGGTGCTTATTTTCTAGACTTTGAACAGACAAGAATAAGTGGGTGAGTATTAATAAAACAAGAATAAAAAGTATTAAAAAAACAGGACGCGTGTTAATGTAGAAATGAATGAGCAACAGAAAAAAGGAAAGGCAAGAAAGATAAAAAAAAGAACATAACAAGCTGGATTTTTTACTTGCTCTCTCGCTCTCGCTCTTTCTTTTCTTCGTCTTGCACCCCCCGTTGTTTTTTCAAGCAGACTCAGCCAATCGCAGACCGCAAACACTTAAATCGAACCGTTTTAGCTTCTCCTAATTAAATTCGATGCCCAAAAAAGGACAGGCTTCCCCCTTCCTCGTGAGAGACAAACGAAGTTCCTTTTTATTTCTCGGTCTGGAATTATTGTTTTTTTTCACAAGGTCCCCCGCGACATACAGCGCATTCTTTTGCTTGCATTTTCTTCAATTCTCATCCCCTCATCACATCCAGTGCCAAAATTTAAATAAAAACTTTGTTTTTTCTTCATGGTTCAGATGCTGACGCATGAGCAAATCGCCTTCTACCACCGCCATGGCTACCTGATCATCCATGGTTTTCTCACACCACAAGAGATCGAAAGCTACAAATCCGAAGCCCAAACTCTAGTCAACCATTGCTACGAGCATGGGGACATAGTCACCCACTGGGGTTGTGTGATCGAGCCCCTGGGCTGCGGCTACTTTGACACCACAGAAATCACCCCAGAGACCCGCACCACCCGCTATGCCTACACCGCCCTGCGCAACAATCTCTCGCCCCTATCCGCCACCTGCACGCTGGACAAATTCGGCCATTGCGCTCAGCAATTGCTAGTACCAAGGGAGAAGAGACCCTTGGGACAGCGGGCGTTTTTACTCAACGACCAGTACATTGTCAAGCCACCTGGCGGCACAGGAGCGGAGTTTGCCTGGCATCAAGATATCTTGTACTTTTCGCTGGAGGAGCGCTGCCATCCAATGGTTAGCGTGTGGACTCCGCTGGATGACGTTCATGAAGGCAATGGCACCGTGCTGGTTGATCCGTTTCCTGATTCGGATCGCCCCGGTGTGTATGACAACCCGCCAAGTGCCCTGGATGCGTTTTATGCCGTGATGAATGCCGGAAGCGCACTGTTTATGGATGGCCGGCTAAGGCACTGCAGCTCGGGGAATGCGAGTGCGAGCTTTCGCACTGTATACATGCCGCAGTTTTCGCTCGGTCGCATGGCAAGCCAAAACGATGCGTCCGGCAGATTTACTGCGCTGGCAGTGCCCTTGGCAGAACCAAGCTGACAGTTGAGTTAAAAAATGACATTAGTGAAAAAACAAAGACGAAAAGAAAGATAAAGAGATGGATGGACGGAAGTTGTTTAGTCCTTGGCATCAGCGATTCCCTGGCCTGTAATCGCAAACATGGCCTCGGACTCGGGCAGACACGGCGAGTCGTAGATCTTGACCACGCGCGTCTCACCACGGCCTTTGCGCAGCGACAGACGCGTAGTCGACGCGTGTGCAATAATGTTGCCGCCGATGGGCTTCTTCGGGTCGGGCGTAAACATAGCCATGCCGCCATCAACCTGCGCCACCACCTGGTTGGTGATGACCACAGCAATGCCAAACTCATCGGCCAGTCGCATCAGATTGCGCAAAAACCTCGCCAAGTGCATCTGCCGCGCCGAAAGCTCGCCACGACCAGAGTAGTCTGTGCGGTATAGCGCTGTTGCGCTGTCGACGATAAGAAGACTGAATCTCGCCTCCGTCATGAGGTGCGACGCCAGATTCAGCAGTGCCGTCTGATGGTCTGTGTTGTATGCACGCGCATACGCCACGTTGTCGAGGACCTCGTTGGGGTCCAGGTTGTACCGCTCGGCGATCTCCACCAGCCGCTCTGGGCGGAACGTGCCCTCTGTGTCGATGAACAGGCACTTTCCGCTGGCGCCACCACTGGCCTCGTCGAGCTGGCAGGTAACAGCCAGTGTATGGCAGATCTGACTCTTTCCAGTGCGGAACTCGCCAAAGATCTCTGTGATTGAGCCAGTCTCGATCCCGTGGCCGCCAAGCAGCTTGTCAAACTCAGTTGATCCAGTGGTAATGTGCATCATCTCGGAGCGCTTGAGATGGAAGTCGGCTGCTGTCGTAAACCCCATTGGCACCAGCTTGGCCGCCTCAGCAAGAAGCTTATCGACTTTGGTCTCTGCAAAGCCCTTGATCGTGAGAAGCTGCTTGCGCGGCGTGTATGCCACCGATTCTACCGTATAGTAGCCGGCCTCATTAAGCTTTTTTATGTCAGAGGCACTGATGCCGCATTGCTACAGACAAAAAAGTATTGCTTTGGTTAGCCCAATGAACTGTTATTAAAAGCTATGCTATCTTAGACAAACCAATATGAATAAACAAGGATACCACCAAAAGCATGGAAAAAATATCAAGTGCTCACGTACCTCCAAGGTCTGGATGGGCATTGGCCCAAACTCATTGTGTCCCTCCTCAGTGTCGGCGACCTCGGACTGGTGCTCCTCGTACTCTTCGGCCTGCATGATTGTGAGTTTGTGAAGTATGTGATGTGGTGTTGTTGTGGTTTAAAGAACAAAAAAATGAAGTTAAAAGTGTCGTGTAGATAATTTAAAGACAATTTATAGAAATGATTTTGTTTTGAAAGATCCAGTGAAGAGAAAGACGAAAATCAGCTTTGTCCTCGAGCGGGCGCCCTCAAATACCTCCAAAATCGCGAAACCAAATGCTATGGCTGCGCAAAAAAAATTTACCTGCGAATTTTTCGCGTCCCCCACTCAACGCTATTATATGAGAAAAATTGCCCAGAGCGTCTTAGCATCCCTTGTCCAATCACAGCCGACCTTTTTTCCTTCTTTTTTTGTCGTAATCGCTCTCACATTTTCATCCGCTGCAAGAGCTGCGCTCAACTGAATTGGACGCCATCAGTTGCTGGTACAAAGACGGAGCACACACCGGTGCAAAAATAGTCAGCCAAAGGTTAACATTGTTAGGCCATGCCCAAAAAATCAAGTTTTGAAAATAAAAATTCTACAGGTTCATTCTGCCGGCCAGCACCTTGTGAACATCGGGCATCCCGGCCACCTCCGAGTCGTCGAAAATGTCGGCAACGTCAATGGTCTCGTCCCTGCCCATCAGGATATCCAGCTGGATGCGCGATGCGCGCGACCCACCCAGGCCAAACTGCGAGCCCTGCTTGACCGACTGAATCTCCATCATCGTCCGCATGGGAGCGTGCAGTCCATAGATCTTGCGCTGCATGTGCAGCTTCATGTTCAGCTGTGAGTTCTCCCAGTTTGCGAGCCGCGATTCAAGCGGATGTCCCTTGGTCATTTCCTCGTCCACGCGATTGCTCGGTCCCTGGCCCAGGACATCGCTGACACCATAAACGGAGGTTTCAGGAAGCACCGAGGATATGTTTGTCGTGCTTGTCGTGTCGAATTGGAATGAAGTAGCCATGATTTTAATTGCAAGCTTTGTGATTGAACAGAATAAAAAGGTATAAAAAAAGTGCAGTCAAGAATAAAAAATAAAAATATACAGCTGCGAAAAAAATACGCCGATGAACACGTAATCCCCCCTTTTTGCGCACTTTTTGGCTGCCACTGCAAAAATAAAGCCCAAGTGTCTTGAATGCCCCCTGGATTATGACTCGTGTCATTTCATTTAATGGCAAATAATTTTTTGTACTGCAGAGACACATTGGCAATCTTCCATCTACTTCGCTGCAGTTATAAGAAGGGTCAATTTGGCTTTTATTTTTGCTTTTTGTTCGTGTATATTTGCCACTCGAGAAAACACACACGTCTATCCAAGAGTAACAGCTATAATACACACTTTTCCATGCTTTATCCTGCAACCGAGCTCATGTTTTCAGCGGGCGCCGTTGTCTTTGACGCCAAGCGAGAGCGAGTCTTGACAATTGTCTGTCAAAAGGCCCCAAGGCATCGAGAGATTGGGTTTCCCAAGGGCCAGGTTGAGGACGGCGAGACTATCGAAGCTGCGGCCCGACGCGAGGTTGAGGAGGAGACCGGTGCCAAGTGCGAGCTATGGCCAGATTGATGGCCGTGGAATCCCGGTACAACGCTCAGATTGGCAAAACAAAGATCATTTACTGGTACGCTGCCAGTTTGCTGGAGATGTGCGAACAGAGACTGGAGGACTATGAAAAATTTACCACCCGGTGGGTTGACATCGACAAGGCCAGATCTGTTTTGAGCTTTGAAAACGATCGAAACTGGTGGACATTTGCCTCAGTGCCGCAGCACAAAAATAGGAAGCCACATGATTTAGCCCACAAGCACATTTAGCCTGTTAGCACCAAAACAAGCGAATTATTTTGCGAGCCTTCAAACTGCAGCCTCAATTTTTTTACACTTTTATTTTTATATAGATACCATTATCATTTATTATTGTCGAAACCATGAGCAAAGATAAGGAATTGCAGAAACTAGAATACCTCTCTCTAGTTTCAAAAGTCACCAACGAGTGTCCAACCACATTGGCATTTCGGACAAGGAAGTCGCCGAATACATTATCCATCTGCACAGCGAAAGCAAAGGCTATGCCGACTTTAAAAAGCGCCTGGACCAGGATGAGTGCGGGTTTTCAGAAGCGTTTATCCAGACTTTGCACCGACTGATCTCAGCACTCAACCTCAGAAGGCGACAAGTCAGGCTAAGCCCACAGAAACAGCCGCGGACAAGGCCGCCTTGTTCCCGGGACTGTCGCTTCCCAACAAACCAGTCGACAACCCTCATATCTCTGCAGCAGACCGCATTTTGGCGGGTGATATCGACAAGCACATCCATTCTTTGGTAGGTGGTGCGCGGGGGAGTAGCGGACAGCAGCATCGCAACAGTCGCGAGAGGGAAAGGAGTCGCAGCAGATCTCCTTCCAGACAGCATCGGGATTCGAGACCTGATAATAGGCACAGAGGATCAACCAGACACAACAGCCGTAGTCGCAGCCGCAGCCGCAGTCGCGACAGAAGAACCTCCCGATGGGACGATCCGCGCGACAGGAATTTTCACGGCAGCAGGGATGGACATCGTGAGCGCGATAACCGCCGCGAAGGCCGCCGCGAAGGCTCGGGCCAGACATTAGACGATGCGCCAGTGTTGTACAAGATTTACTCCGGGCGCGTCTCGAACCTCAAAGACTTTGGAGCGTTTGTTGGGCTTGAGGGCATCCGAGGGCGTGTCGAGGGCATGGTGCATGTGTCAGCGATCCAGAAGAACGTCCGGGTGGAGAACCCTCGCGAGGTGCTGGAGCGCGGCCAATCCGTCAAGGTTAAGGTCTTGTCAATCGTTGGCAGCAAGCTTGGTTTGTCGATGAAAGATGTGGACCAGGCGACCGGAGAGGACCTGTCGCCACACTTGTATCCAGGGATGCCAGTGGAATCTGAGGATAGTGCTCGGAGCGCTCGCGAGAAGGTCAGGGAGCTGTCGCGGCCCGTGGGTATTTCGGGCAGCAACGCCACACAGCTCGGTGGCAGACCCGGCGCTACGGATGTTTCCAGCGCGGCGCCGCTACCGCCAGCAAGAGCAGCTCGATCAAGCGGCTGACGTCTCCGGAGAGGTGGGAGATCAAGCAGCTGATCGCCTCGGGCGCGCTCGATCGCGCTGACTACCCCGATCTTGATGAGGTCGACGAAGACGGCATCCCTGCATTCGATGACGACAACGAGGAGCTGGACATTGAGCTGCGCGAGGAGGAGCCTGACTTTTTGCGTGGCCACTCGGTGCAATCGGTGCAGCTGAGTCCAATCAGGGTTGTCAAAGCGCCTGATGGCTCGCTAAACCGTGCGGCGTTGGCAGGGGCAGCGTTTGCCAAGGAGCGCAAGGAGCTGAAGCAGCAGCAGGCCGAAGCTGAAATGGACAACTTGCCTAAGGATCTCAACCGGCCATGGGAGGACCCAATGCCGGCGCCCGGCGAGCGCAACTTTGCACAAGATCTGCGCGGCGTTGCTGCCGAGGTTGCCAGCAAGACGCGCGGCGGCGACGTGCCTGAGTGGAAGAAGGCTGTCGAGGGCAAGGCTGTCACATACGGCAAGCTCACCGACATGTCGATTCAGGAGCAACGCAAAAGTCTGCCAGTGTACAACTGCGCGACCTGTTTGTCGAGGCTGTCAGCAAGCACCAGTTCTTGGTGGCAGTCGGAGATACAGGCTCGGGGAAGACAACGCAGCTGACGCAATACTTGTACGAGGAAGGGTTTGCGCGCCGCGGGCGCATTGGGTGCACGCAGCCAAGACGTGTGGCAGCCACCAGCGTTGCCAAACGCGTTGCGAGGAGGTTGGATGCCGGCTGGGCACTGAGGTTGGGTACACTATTCGTTACGAGGACTGCACGTCGCCAGAGACCAAAATTAAGTACTGCACTGACGGTATGCTGATCCGCGAGATTTTGCTGGACTCGGAGTTAAGCGGTACTCGGTGATTATGCTGGATGAGGCGCACGAGCGCGCGATCAACACTGATGTCCTGTTTGGTCTGCTCAAGGAAGCGTGTCGCCGGCGCCCAGACCTGAAGGTTATCATCACTTCGGCTACACTGGATGCTGAAAAATTCTCAAAGTACTTCAACAACTGCCCGATCTTTACGATTCCCGGTCGCACCTTCCCCGTGGAGGTCCTTTTCTCGCGCGAGCCTGAGACCGATTACATGGACTCGGCGCTGATGACAGTGATGCAGATTCACCTGACTGAGCCACCCGGCGACATTCTGCTGTTCTTGACCGGTCAGGAGGAGATTGACACGTCCAGCGAGATTCTATACGAGCGCATGAAGGCGCTGGGCTCGATGGCCCCGGAGCTGATTATCCTGCCGTGTATTCGTCTTTGCCGTCCGAGATGCAGTCGCGGATTTTCGACCCCGCGCCGCCCGGGTCGCGCAAGATTGTCATTTCAACTAATATTGCCGAAACCTCAGTCACGATCGACGGCATTTACTACGTGGTCGACCCGGGATTCGTCAAGCAGATGACGTACGACGCGAAGTCCGGGCTGGATCAGCTCATTGTGACACCAATCTCGCAGGCGCAGGCTAAGCAAAGGTCTGGGCGCGCCGGGCGCACGGGCCCAGGAAAGTGCTACAGACTGTACACAGAGTCAGCCTTCCGCAACGAGATGCTGCCCAACAGCGTGCCTGAGATCCAGCGCGTCAACCTGTCGTCGATGGTGCTGCAGCTCAAGGCCATGGGAATTAACGATCTAATTGGCTTTGACTTTATGGATCCGCCGCCAGTGCAAACACTGATTGCGTCGCTGGAGTTGCTGCACTCGCTGGGCGCTCTGGACAACGAGGGCCTGTTGACGCGCATCGGGCGCAAGATGGCCGAGTTCCCGATGAGCCCCGAGCTGGCCAAGGCGCTGCTAGCCAGCGTCGAGTACGGCTGCAGCGAGGAAGTGCTGACCATTGCTGCGATGCTGTCAGCCGAGGGTTCGGTGTTCTACCGGCCAAAGGAGAAGCAAGCAGCGGCCGACTCAAAGAAAGCCAAGTTCCACCAGCCCGAGGGCGACCATCTGACGCTGCTGGCCGTATACAACTCGTGGAGGGACTCCAAGTTTAGCAACACCTGGTGCTTTGACAACTTTTTGCAGTACCGCCGCCTGCGCAGCGCATTAGACATCCGCAAGCAGATGGTGGGTATCATGGATCGATACAAACAGGACATTGTCAGCTGCGGCGAGCGCAACTTTGATCCGGTGCGCCGAGCGCTATGCGCCGGGTTCTTCCGCCACGCAGCCAAGCGCGACCCGCAGGAGGGCTACAAGACGCTGATTGAGGGCACGCCCGTGTACATCCACCCGTCCAGCGCACTGTTCAACAAGAACCCCGAGTGGGTGATTTACGATGGGCTGGTGATGACGTCCAAGGATACATGCGCGAGGTTACTGTGGTAGAGCCGCGCTGGATGGTGGAGGTGGCACCAACCTTTTTCAAGGTTGCTGATGCCAACAAGATCTCACGCCGTAAGCGCAACGAACGTCTGGAGCCGCTCTACAACAAGTTTGAAAAGCCCAACGAGTGGCGTATCAGTAGAGTGCGCAAGCCTCGCCGCAACAAGCAGACATTCGGCTGAAATGTCTTTTTTTTGTATATTGTAAATTAAGTTTAAGAGTGCAAAATGACCCTTGCAGAGAGTGTGTCTGCTGTTTTCGGATGAGGTGATGGTGATGGCGCAACAATTATTCGACGACCGAGTTTTTTATATTAATCGTTGATGCTTGTCATAAAAAAAAAGACATCTTTCTTGCAGTGGGTGCCAGTTTGCTTGCTTGCCTGCTCTCGCACTTTGCACTTTTGGTATTGCATTTTTCGATATATTTCTTCTCTCTTGTTTTGATTATTTGGCATTAACCATTCCAGACCCAATTTTTCATTTTGTCACGATGGGCAACGGCAGCAACGATCTCGTGGAAACCACCATAGTCTGGCCAGACGCCATTCCAGAAGTGTGAGCATCCGTGGGACCTTTGCACAAGACCCCCAAAAGTGGTGGCAAGAGACAATACCCCTCAGTCGGATAAGTGCTGAGGGCTCCGACAGATACAGCGTGGTCATGCAGCTTAACCTGGACGGTACGAGTTTAAATTTGTGATCGACGAAGTAGACTGGCAAATCAACTCGGACATGTACGAGTGTGCCAGCGATGGCAACGGCAATACCAACAACGTGGTAACTGTGACTTTGAATGCCAGCTCGAGCGGGCATGTAGTTATTTCAGATGATGTGAGCAACATAAGCCAAAATTATGGCAAAGACAGCTTGACAATGGCCCACACGTTGTCAGAATACAAGCAGCAGGCAAGTACAATATATATATGGCCATAGCGCACTGCAACCCTTTGTTTTATTTAATTTCAAGCATATTGAGCAAACGATGTTTGAAAATACAAAGGAATGCAAAATGGTGCCGACAAGAAATAAGTCAGTATTTGAATATCCTCGGATAATGTCCTGAATAGAACTCAAATGCACAAGAAAAATGTTTTGCTTGCTTCTTTCTTTGTTTCTAATCTCTTGCCATCGCACAACAGAGTGTTATCTTTGTGTGCGACTTTGTGCGGGTTTAATGCGTGTCTAAATATAAATTCGGATGGCATATGACAATATGCATTCTGTAGGCAGATGCACCCACTGCCACCGAGCAGACACCACTGCTAAGCACACGATCAAGCAATATCGAATCGCCGCCCTCATATTCAGATCCCGAAACCAACACAGACACCCTCGAGCAACAGCAACCAAGAGAAGAGCTCGACAGTGCTACGACAACGGCAACAACAACGAAAATGTCAGCGACAACGACGAAAACGGGCGACGCAGGACTCGGCGCTACATCATCGGCACAGCCTTAGTAATATTGTTTACGCTTATTGGCGTAGCTAGCGGAATGCTGTATTAACGAATATGTCACACGAGCAGAAAAACTCATTTCTGCAGATATGTGCAGACGATAAACCCAACGGCTGTCGCCAAATGTCGCTTTTAATGCCGCTAATGCCGTAATTCTTGCTATTAATGCATGTAAAGATGGGAAACGACGCTGTCTTATTTAACATTGCTTGCTGCGGCAGGAACGGCTGGTGGAAGCAGGGTGACAGGCAATCTGCCGCTCGCCGTTATTTAGGATTTCTCTGGCGGAGTGAGGCTCATGTTTTTTTTCTCGCTTCAATTTGTACATCATTCTGGATAATCTGCAACCTTAGTTCCGAAATTTGAACACATGATTAATAGCATTACGCGATGAAACAACAAAATTTAATTAAATATTAAAAAGTTGTGTACATTTGTACGGTTTAATTGTACACAACTCTTTTAGTGGCATAAAAAGGACAGGTAACAACAAAAAATATAATTTCGTTTTAATGGCGGCCGAGCGCAGGTGTCCTTGTGTAGTCGCTAGACCCATTGTTGTTTGTCTAATTTGATTGTTTGTGTAATCAGAACGGCAAGAATTGCGCAATAAATAGTGTGCGAACAGTAAACAAAAAAGGTAAGCGATATCGTGCAGGTATACTTGTCCCTCAGCCACCTTCTAACTAGTGTCTCTTTTGCTTTGTGCGTGCGACCAAGCGTTGCAGAGTAAAGTTAAACCTATACTCAGAGCTCCAAATGCAGAATAAAATTAACCAAAGCTCGCTCTTATTGCTCCCCACTCCAGCTTGCCAAGAAGGCATCGGAGAGTGAAACAATAAAACAAAAAATATGTCTGACCGTCCTGCATTGTGCATATCATGCTCCTGTTTGCTGCAGCTAGCGATTGACAAGAACACGATTTCAAGGTTCCAGGATGGGGGTGATACGACGTTGGGAGGGCAACTAAAGAGTGCAAGAGCAAAATTTCATTGAAAATCTCCGAAAACACATATGTCGCCATGGATTATATGATTGTGAATAGAGCAGCAAACCCGCCGAAGAGTAGCAATGCAGCAAGCACTATTGCATGTGCAATTGCACCATGCATCTCCATTTTTATCATATGCGTGCAGCATAGCGTTCCTTTTTTCTATTGCTGTAGCGCAAAGCCAAATAAATTGAGAAAAAAACAGTCGATTGTCACCAACAAAATAAAAAACATTTTCGTGTATGGTGTGTTTTAGTGCACGCTCCATATGTGGCAAAAATTATCCATGGGCTGTTTGGACCCCCCTCCTAACTTCCATCAGGCTTACACTCTGCATTCGGCACACAGAAACACATATTTATGCAGTCAACGAAGAGCTACAAAGTTGGTCATTTGGTTGGTCGGCTGTGTTTGCGAGGCGTACCTGATTTTTCATATTCGCTGCTGGCACTACAAAAGCGGAGTTTGGCTAAAAGCAAAAAACAAAAAGCATTACCGCTCGCAGCCAAGCAGGAAATGTGCGGTTATATAAGATCCAAGAAGGATCCCGCGCCCTCTAGTCTTCTGTCCCTTGAAATAAAATAATATATTCATCCTGTGTTTTATACGCGACAATAGCAACAACAACAACCAACACCACTATACACCCACCACTTAATTTTTTTATATATATTCTGCGCTGCAATCCCTTTGTCTACATCCACACGAGACAGCAAAGAGTCAAATACCGCTAGTCTTTTAACTTTTTAATTCTTTTTTCGTACTAAAGCAACTATTATTACATAACCTATAATCCTTTATTAAAAACATCTATTACTTACTCATCAAATGGCCAGCATCAACGTCAAATATACATTTGCAATTATCCTCCGCAAGGACGCCTTCCCAGAGCACGAAACCACCGCTGCCGAGGTCACTGTTCACTTTAACAGCGAAGGCAGTGAGTCCCAGCTGGTGGTCCTGCACAAGTCTGCACAGGACACAGCTCAGGACGCAATGTATTCTGGGTCCTTAGTTGCTGCCAAATCCAACACTATTCGCGATGTCGAGTACCGTGTGGATGGCGCAAAAATTTCCACCAACGCACAAGTTCTCGACACCGTCGATCTGCTTACTGAGGCGAAAACCAGCAGCGATTCACTCCCAGCGGGCATACTTGCTGTTGTGACATCTGTAGTCGAGCTTTCAGCCAACGAAGTTCAGGAGGGGGAAGTTCAGGCGCAGAGTAAGTATTGGTGCATAAAATAAACGCTTTGACATGAAAAGAGTGTTATTCACAACAAATGCAAATAGCGCGTACGTCACAAATCCAAACCCAACAACTAATTTAATTTTTCTGATTTTGACTATCATACGATCTCTGAAAATTTCCTTTTAGCCTCAACAACTGGTCCAGAGGAATCTCTGGAAATATTGAGCTCAGACGATTCGGCTGGGTCATCGTGCGAGGATCTCTCTCTTTCAGAGATTCAAGATATCGTTCCCACTTCAAACCCCGAAAACGAGCAGCCAAAAGAAACAGTCGACGCCTCTGACAATATTAAGCCCGCACAGAAAGAGCCGGTAAACGACGCGGCGACTGAGGTCCACGCAGACGATTGGAAGATAATTGTTACCCCCGAGGCGGTCCAGACCGATGTTCCTCAAGTTTTCAAGGAGATAACTGCCTCCACCGAAGTTGCCGTTGTCGAAAAGACTGATGCCACCCCCAAAGACGTAGAGGATGTCGCACTTGATAAGGCGGTTGTTCTCAAGGCCGACAAGAAAATTGCAAATCCGGAGGCCGCCGAGGAGAAGACTCTTGCTACTCCTGAGGCCGTCTTCGCTGTTGCCACTCCTGAGGCCGTCGTTGAGGAGGTTGTTGCTGCTCCCAAGGCTGTCGTTGAGGAGGTTGTTGCCACTCCTGAGGCTGTCGTTGAGGAGGTTGTTGCTGCTCCCAAGGCTGTCGTTGAGGAGGTTGTTGCCACTCCCGAGGCCGTCGTTGAGGAGGCTGTTGCCACTTCCGAGGCCGTCGTTGAGGAGGTTGTTGCCACTCGCGAGGCCGTCGTTGAGGAGGTTGTTGCCACTCCCGAGGCCGTCGTTGAGGAGGTTGTTGCCACTCCCGAGGCCGTCGTTGAGGAGGTTGTTGCCACTCCCGAGGCCGTCGTTGAGGAGGTTGTTGCCACTCCCGAGGCCGTCGTTGAGGAGGTTGTTGCTGCTCCTGAGGCCGTCGTTGAGGAGGTTGTTGCCACTCCTGAGGCTGTCGTTGAGGAGGTTGTTGCCACTCCCGAGGCCGTCGTTGAGGAGGCTGTTGCCACTCCCGAGGCCGTTGTTGAGGAGGTTGTTGCCACTCGCGAGGCCGTCGTTGAGGAGGTTGTTGCCACTCGCGAGGCCGTCGTTGAGGAGGCTGTTGCCACTCCCGAGGCCGTTGTTGAGGAGGTTGTTGCTGCTTCCAAGGCTGTCGTTGAGGAGGTTGTTGCTGCTCCCAAGGCCGTCGTTGAGGAGGTTGTTGCTGCTCCCAAGGCCGTCGTTGAGGAGGTTGTTGCCACTCGCGAGGCCGTCGTTGAGGAGGTTGTTGCCACTCCCGAGGCCGTCGTTGAGGAGGTTGTTGCCACTCGCGAGGCCGTCGTTGAGGAGGTTGTTGCCACTCCCGAGGCCGTCGTTGAGGAGGTTGTTGCCACTCGCGAGGCCGTCGTTGAGGAGGTTGTTGCCACTCCCGAGGCCGTCGTTGAGGAGGTTGTTGCCACTCCCGAGGCCGTCGTTGAGGAGGTTGTTGCTGCTCCTGAGGCCGTCGTTGAGGAGGTTGTTGCCACTCCTGAGGCTGTCGTTGAGGAGGTTGTTGCTGCTCCTGAGGCCGTCGTTGAGGAGGTTGTTGCCACTCCTGAGGCTGTCGTTGAGGAGGTTGTTGCCACTCCTGAGGCCGTCGTTGAGGAGGTTGTTGCCACTCCCGAGGCCGTTGTTGAGGAGGCTGTTGCCACTCCCGAGGCCGTCGTTGAGGAGGTTGTTGCCACTCCCGAGGCCGTCGTTGAGGAGGTTGTTGCTGCTCCCAAGGCTGTCGTTGAGGAGGTTGTTGCCACTCCCGAGGCCGTCGTTGAGGAGGTTGTTGCTGCTCCTGAGGCCGTCGTTGAGGAGGTTGTTGCCACTCCTGAGGCTGTCGTTGAGGAGGTTGTTGCCACTCCCGAGGCCGTCGTTGAGGAGGCTGTTGCCACTCCCGAGGCCGTCGTTGAGGAGGTTGTTGCCGCTCGCGAGGCCGTCGTTGAGGAGGTTGTTGCTGCTCCTGAGGCCGTCGTTGAGGAGGTTGTTGCCACTCCTGAGGCTGTCGTTGAGGAGGTTGTTGCCACTCCCGAGGCCGTCGTTGAGGAGGTTGTTGCTGCTCCCAAGGCTGTCGTTGAGGAGGTTGTTGCCACTCCCGAGGCCGTCGTTGAGGAGGTTGTTGCCACTCCCGAGGCCGTCGTTGAGGAGGCTGTTGCCACTCCCGAGGCCGTTGTTGAGGAGGTTGTTGCCACTCGCGAGGCCGTCGTTGAGGAGGTTGTTGCCACTCCCGAGGCCGTCGTTGAGGAGGTTGTTGCCACTCCCGAGGCTGTCGTTGAGGAGGTTGTTGCTGCTCCTGAGGCCGTCGTTGAGGAGGTTGTTGCCACTCCTGAGGCTGTCGTTGAGGAGGTTGTTGCCACTCCCGAGGCCGTCGTTGAGGAGGTTGTTGCTGCTCCCAAGGCTGTCGTTGAGGAGGTTGTTGCCACTCGCGAGGCCGTCGTTGAGGAGGTTGTTGCCACTCGCGAGGCCGTCGTTGAGGAGGTTGTTGCCACTCCCGAGGCCGTCGTTGAGGAGGTTGTTGCCACTCGCGAGGCCGTCGTTGAGGAGGTTGTTGCCACTCGCGAGGCCGTCGTTGAGGAGGTTGTTGCCACTCCCGAGGCCGTCGTTGAGGAGGTTGTTGCCACTCCCGAGGCCGTCGTTGAGGAGGTTGTTGCCACTCCCGAGGCCGTTGTTGAGGAGGTTGTTGCTGCTTCCAAGGCTGTCGTTGAGGAGGTTGTTGCTGCTCCCAAGGCCGTCGTTGAGGAGGTTGTTGCCACTCGCGAGGCCGT